TGGGCTTGAAGCCATAGATAACACAAAGGCTGCCGGTCTGCGGATGCTCCCACCGATGTCTGTCCCCACACCGGGGACGGACGCTTTCATCGAGATACGGGCGCACATGCCGCTTCCTTTCTAGCGGACTAGAGTCATGTCCACTTTGCTCACAAGCAAGACGTCCTAAAAGCAAAGCAAGTGCATGAAATGCAAGTAACCATCCGCCATCCTTTCGCCGCTGCTGGTGACTGCGGACCCCTTGGTGTCTGTGGGGGCTAGAGAACCCTTGCCGTATCAGCAAGTTGCTTCGCAAACGCTGCGGTTAAGTCCTTGGAATTTAAGAGCGTTAGCATAAAGTTCCGCATCAACACTGATCGACATGCATCCGTGAATGCACTTTGTATAAAAATATGGCAATTGATAGGGGGGCATGACTTTTTGTAACACTTGATTGGGCCAAATTTTCTAGATCCATAAATACTTCCGAGCAAAGGCGGTGAAGCCAGCCCTCTTAACAAGCCCAGATTTCGTGACCGCAAATGCACCCGACCAACACTAACCCTTTAGAACAGGCGTCAAAGAGAAGTATTGCTTTCGGTACTGTTAAGGAGAAGGTACTGATCCGGAATAGGCACGCGATGGGAAGTTCTCTGTATTCCAAAAGGTCGCTGTCGTACAAGACTATTGCTTTACCGTCTCTCGATTGGCGAGCGCCAGGCGAGCGACAGGTAAGAGACGGGCGCTCGCTGACTCAGCGAGTGCTTCCTAATTGAGTGGGTGCGGCCCCCCTCACAGGTACAGGGTATTCAAGGGCTGTTTCATAACCAAAGCTGTCTACGTCTCCCCTTACTACTATGGAAGGAAGAATCTCCTCTTCGCCATCAGCCAGCTCCCATTGATTCCTCCGTCTCCGAATGCTGGGCTGCGTTCTCCGCCCGCTGGCACGAACTCCTGTGGTTCTTCCCGTCCCTAGAAGGGTCGACTGGCTGCGTAACTGGCGCTGATTCGAGACATCAGCTTGGCCACTGGCCTGTCGGCTCGTCCCAAGTTCCATTCTGGCCTGAGTCGACTTGTTCAAGCTGCCCTGTGGACGACCTCGCCTACGGCTCGGGGGCCCCTGGTCGACCGGTTGACCAATCGGCTGACTACTAGTCTCGATGGCTAGCCCTGATGGAACGGCCTGCTTGGCGTTCTTAGGTCTGCCACGGAGAGCAGTGGCGATCTTAGGGTCGAGGATTCGTCGGTATGGATCTCGAGAGGATGCTTCTCGTAGGTGCCACCGAGGATGGACGTCCCATTTCGTGAAAGGCGTGCCATTATTCAGCTTTGAGTAGATCCTGTGGCAGCAGGGAATTCCAAGCTCGATCGACAACGAGCAGTCCTCGCCGTAATCCCCGAGGGATTCAGGGAACGGATTCTTCCCGGTCGGCATTGCTTTCCTTGCAAGCCGATATTGTTTGTTGATCAGTCCAAGGCCCTTGGAAGAGAGCGCCGTCCGGAGTTCGCCGAGATACTCCGAGCTAGGCCCAATGTACTCTCGCGCGGTAAGTACCTCGTCCGCTGCGCAAGCGTCGTTGAAATCTCGCTCCTGGTCCCTCATCATGTCCTGCATAGCCTCCATGAGCCGATAGAGATGGCTCATACCATTCAGGAGATAGCTCTTGATGTTGTTGTTGCTTGCTTCTGTACCAGAGGTGACGCGGACGCCGAAGTTGCGATACTTGCGAATGAAACAGCGCGCCCACTGCGCCCGTACAGGCATATAAGTTCCATGGAGATACCGCAGGATAGCTCGCTGGTCATCAAACTCATTGCAGAGATTTCTCCACGCCTTCTCATGAGCCTCCTCAGTCTCCGCAAACATGACGAGCTTCCACATCATGAGGACCCCTCGATAGCTATGAGGGATGACCGCCGCCGTCGGGGCGTGGACCAACTGTCGGTCTTTGGGGCTCAGCTCAGCCTGTGCCTGTGGAGCAGAGTCTTCTCCGTCGCTGCTGTCGGAACTGCTGCTGCTGTGGCCCTTGGCCCACTTCTGCTTTGACTTGAGCAAGACGTTAGAATTGATATGGTGGATGCACAGCTGCTGCTGTGCATCAGGGAACTGATCATTCAGGGCTGCCTTCATCTGATCGTCGAAGTCGGTAATGATAACGTCCGGTTGGCGAATAGAGTGTTGCTCTGAGAGCTGTCGAATACTCTCGGAGAGGAACTGAAACCCCTCCCGTCTCTCGTTGTCAATCAGGCCGAAAGCAGCATTGAAGACAGAGCCAAGGCAGGTCTGTCCTGTTGCCTGAAATAATGGAAGCTTGAAGCGATTGGTGTTGTATGTGTTGTCGAAGCTGATCACCTCGGGAAACCGCTTCCACATCTGGAGGCAGTAGGGAAAAGTCCAGACAAGGCCAACGAGACGGTTTGGCTCATCGTCCGCCCACTTCACGAGATAGGGAATCTCCATCTCGTCAAACAGCTTGATTAACGCGGCGGTGGGAGTATAGCCATTCAGCTTGTCTCGGTTGATGAGAGCTCGGGCGTTGTAGATGTCCCTCTGCGTCAAGATTGACTCGGGATGTTGGTCTTGGACCACAGCCCGTACGTCACGGGCCCGGATACCGACCCGACGGCTCGTCGACTCGATGGTAGCCCTGATGGGTGTAGTGAGTCGTCGGTGGGAAGGGTGCGCAGACGGCCTAATGCTACGTCCATGATTGTGTTGATTGTGTTCGGGGTTTGGGTGTTGTCTTAGGAGCCACTTGCCCTCTTCTAGAGCTTCAGCAATGACCATCCACTTGCATCCACACTTCCGAGACTTGCGTAGCCGAAGCCCTGTACCTCTACTCGGCCGTGGTTCTCCGTATCGGTCACATTGGAAAGAGTACCTCATCCTCCGACCATTGTAGGAATAGGCATGTCGTCGGACGATGCCAAAGCCATTCTCTTTCGCAAAGGTGTTTACCACGTCGAACAAAGCTTCGGCTGACGGCTTTGGGTCGCCTGGGATCGGCGGATTCGGGATCGGGTCTGGGTCGGGGGACGAAGACATCCGAGGAGAAGATCGCATCTCTTGAGATGAAGCTTGGGCGGACGGCTCTCGGGGCGGTGAGTAGGGAGGAGGCGATTCAATCGCATCTGAGCTGAGTGGTGAGTAGCCCCATCTCTCGCGCCATTGACGTACTCGTTCGTATGACCGAGCGAGCTCGAGCGTAAGCCTCCGCTCCGTCCCAATCACTTTTCGTACTAGCTTCAGGGCAGATTGAAACTCGGCCCGTGTGGGTGACGATTGCTGCTGTTGTGCTGATTGAAGTGGCAAGGAAGACAGTGGGTCGGTTTCTGGTCCTGGGACAGGAATCCTCACTCGTAAGGACTGCCTTCCACCGGACGGGAAATCGTTTGAGAGGTGCACCTCGTGATCGAAACGGAGCTCCCATGGTGGCTCGTGAAGTCCACGCCATCCGTGCGGCTGTGGAGCTGTCGTGAAGGTTTCTGGGTAAGATGCAAAGAGATTTCCAAGTACATCTTCGTCGCCGACTCCGTAGTATTGGCCGATACTTGTTGCTATGCTGCTCGCTGAGGATGGCCGATTCGCAAATATCGGCGGGCTGAACTTGCCCTGTCGGCTCTGCCGCTGTCGTTTTCGAGGCCGTACTTGATCTTGAGCGTGGGGACTAGAACTACGGGTTCGTCGTCTCGAGTTGGAAGGAGACTCGGATTGGAACATGACGAAGTTCCCAATTATCGAAGGTTGACCATGGTGGATTTGCTTGCTGTTGGTGGGCTTGATCTGATCGCGTCGCGTCGTGTCAGCTCCGAGATTAGGGGAGATAGCCTTGAGGTACTTAACAGGCTACGGCAGAATTCTGCCAACACTAACAAAAAAGAAATTGACGAATCAGAGGCCCGAAAAGTCATGCCCCCCTAAGGGTCATGCCCGCGTATCAATTCGTCATGCCCCCCTATCAATTGCCTTCGTAATAAGCTGACAAAATATTTCTGTCCCAGCTTTGCTAAGAAAGTATTGCTTTGCAGCCTCTTGTGACGGCCAACCAACAGGGGATGTTGTTACGGGCGCAGAAGAGCCCAAACAACTAGGCCACAAGATCAGGCCAAGGACAAGGGCGGATCATGTGGCGGTGCCGTCACAGGTTCCTTATGTAAGCACGATAAAGGACGATAAGGAAGGTACGTACCGGTCATGCATATCTGCATGACCGACACCACGCCAAGAAGGATGGTCATCAAAATATGCATGACCATCAGGATCAGATCCGTGACCTGGCCACGACCATCGGGGCCAGAGTCATGACCACGATGAAGGACAAAGGATATATAGATGCGGAGGATCTTCTAGATACACAGTCATTACCTTTGTACTTCAGCGATCAATCTAAGTATCAGTTTCACCCACACTTGAACTAGTCACTCAATTGCCGAGACTGGTATCTCTTCCAAGAGACACGAACGACAACCCAGAGAGAGAACGACAGCAGAGTGTTAGTTGTTATTGCACAGGCTTTACCTATCTGCGGAACAGCAACCCCAGCGCCCTGCCAGACGGTTGACCCCGGAGGCAGGATCGTGACACCTCTAAGGGTAGTGTAATTGTAACACGATAAGAAAGTATTAATGGTTTAGGGCAGTAAGAGTGCCCTCGAGTCGAGTCGGAATTATTGCGCGCATGTACTTAGTTAGGTAGCGGGACCAATCCTGAACTGGACTATTAAAGGAAGAATTGGAAAGTGCCCGTTGATGCCCATATCTAGTTTCTATGTAAAATGTAATATATAATTTCATTTCACCGGGGACGGTACTCCTTTAAAAATTAACTATCGGGACCTAACAGGCACACCTGCGCGTCTGATAGGAACAGATCAATTTGCAATATCGGCAGGAAGGCAGGGGTGAAAACGCGGTATGCCGAGGCAAAGGCGGAGCGCACAGGCAGTATTTCTCTAGTCCTGGTATTTCTGGGTCATCCCGCTGAGTCATCACTACGCACGTTATAAAAAGGCTACCGCGCTGTATAACGCCTCACCAAAAGCCAACCAACATTCATACCACATCTAGAACACACTCTAAGGCATGGTCACATCTGCCGTCATCAGCAAGGACGCTTCCAGCCAAGGAGCGTCCCTTATGAAGCTACCTCCCAAACTTCGCGATCAAATATGGGCCATATTCTATGCCAATATCTGCCTCCCACGCGTCATCTGTCACGCTACTGGGAAAGCCACCAATGCAGAACCTCTCGATGAACACTCCGACGGTTACATGTCTCGTCCTCGGCGCCCAAAAGGCACACCCGTAACCACCACTATCACCTATGATATCAACGCGGCTCCGACAATGACTTGCCGATCTCTATACGAAGAAGTCTGGCCAGTTATCTGGTCCAATCTACAGCTTCACCTGACGCGGAACGCACACGCTTCGGATCACCATAATCTCGGTATTATACCCGTCGAGCTGAGAAACAATATTCGCCATGTTTTCTGGTACGCGACCTCGGATGGGTGCTATCATCACTACGGTAATGATTCTAAATACGCTCTGCCTCTGTGGATTTTCCCAAAACTGAGATCGCTCACAACTGTGCTTTGCTCACTATATTTGCATCGAGGACCTGCCCAGCGGACAAGATGCTGCCAGAATAATTCGAAAGTATCTTCGCCAAGATGACTCTTATGATCCACAGAGTTTACTGCATTACCCGGTGCCTCTGCCGGCGCAGGTACTAGACATGGTAGTCGACGAATCACGAAAAGCCGTGGAGATATATCAAAACATGACACCACAAGCAAAAGCAGAGCAGTGGCTCACTGATCCAGAACGAGGCAGGAGCTTCGACATGCTCCATGCCATGTTGAACGAGGCCAAGGCCAAGATCAAGGCCGAGGCCAAGCGAGGCTCTACAGGCATCAGTCTTGATTCGGACTTTGAGTATCCGCGACAAACATTCATCGACAAGCTTTGGCCACATACACCAGGCGCCAATTGGGGTCATGGGGATTGGGCTGGATCTTTAATTGATCCGCAGGGGTATAAAGAGCAGTATGAGGGCCCCGTGCCCCCAACCGCTGTGCACCTGTTCACAGGAGGACGGAATGAAGTGTGGAAGACAATCATGCGTAACATGAGGGCCTGCGCGATGGAGCGCCGTGAAACTCTAGTCGATATAGCGACGGAGCATAGAAAGGCCCGTAGAGAGGGCCTGAAAAAGATAGCAGAGATCGGGGAAAGGTGCAGTGTCATGTTGGAAGGAGAGATAAGGCTGGCGACAACTCTGACGTCGAAAGTGTCCGAGCAGTGGGCTCTAGATCCTGCGGTCGAGGGTGGGACCATGCTCCTGAATATTGATCCTCGGGCATGATTAGTGTCATCGTTCTGGCATGCGAGGCCAGGCTGGGTCAAATTGGATGAGATGTCAACTGTTGGGGGAACAAAGTGAGTGTTTCTCAAAGTGGTATGAATAAGTACTGCCAAAGGCTCATCTCTTGTCGTTCTGGGTATCTCATATAATAATCGTGAAATGAACAACAGCTCTGCCATGGTATCTGGCCCACCTGGCCATCCACCCCCGAGTTCTGAACCCTTCTGCCGGTCTCCATAACACTCCCCGTCCGTCTTTCGAATCCCTCCTGAACGCTGCAGCTCACTGCCGGGGCCCCAAAGCTCTTCTTCATTCATTCGAGCCCCTCCGTCCGTTCTGCCTGCACCTCGATCATATCCTCGCACATCCTGACGAACCGGTCGCGGTACTCGCTGCTCTCGGCCGTGATGCTCATGGGCCCCTGCTCGTCGATCACATTGTACGTCTTGATCAGCCCCGTCATGGCCTTCGCGTGCATCGAGTGTTTCGCCCAGAAGAAGTCGAGCACCGCCGCGCGGTAGACCTGCTTCCCGTCCCGGTTCGTGATGCCTGTCCGCCACGTCGGCTTCTTGTCCTGCCGTTGCTGCTCTGGTTGTGAAGTGGCAGTGGTGGAGTCCTCGGTGATCCTGGCCATGCCGGGCACCTCCGCGTCCGGGGTCCGCCTCGTTGGTCACGCGCACGAGAAAGAGCGAGTAGTCGACCGCGTTGGCATCGGCGAGGAGCTGCGTGTCCTTCCGGAGCTGCTCGACGAACTCATCGCGCTGGCTCCGTGAGAGGTAAATCTTGCCTTCGAACTTGTCGGGAAGCCTGGACTTGGTCGCCTCGCTGGCGAGCACGCCGCCCGCGACGTCGCGCTCGGGAAACAAGTACGACATGGGCTTCAGGTCCCAAGACTCCCACTTTGTATTGTCCACCGCCGCCCCGTCGCTGCCGCACAGTAGGTTCTCCATGACGATGTGGTGGCTCGGCGCGAGCCCGAGCAGCATGCCCAGGCTCTTGTGGCGAGACTGCAGGAAGTCGGTGATGCGCACGAGGATGCTGCCCTCGCGGTGCGCCCGCATGTGCTCCGCGTACGGCAGGATCAGCTCCCTCCTGAAGAAGCTGTTCTCGAAGCTGCGCGGGACCGATTTCACGAGGTACCGCCCGTCCGAGGTGCGGAAGAAGGTCGAGCCGCTGTAGCCCATGTCGCCCAGAGCCTCGAGGCTGCCGCCCTGGCTGCCCTTGCGCCGGCCCTCGGCGACGAAGCTCGCCCTGTACCGATCCTCGGGCACCCCCCACGCGGCGCGGAGCGAGATGAAGAGCTCGTTGCGGAGCAGGTCGAAGGTGAGCCAGTACAGGTTGAGCAGACGCAGGGCGCGGCGCAGCAGGGAGGGCTTGGTGGGCGGCTTGCCGTCGTCCTTGTTGTTGAGGATGGCGAAGACGATGGAGCGCGCGACGAGCTTCTCGCGGCGGCCCATGGTGGGCGATCTGTGTGAGTCGGTGACCGGAGTGTATGGTTTTGTAAATGGGTGGTTTGACGTCAGCCCTTTGCCGTGGTTCGTTCTGGGGATGGTGATGTTAGGAGGAGAAGAGGCAGGTTACCACGAATGACCCCGCGACAGCAGCACATGCCCCAAGTGTCCTGCACGTCTCCAGCACACCTGACAAGAGTCTAATGGTTTCCCATGATTGAGATGTGCGTGGGTTTGTGTAACATGCAGGCTGGCGGGCAGGAACCTCCGGCCGGTGACGTCAGCCAGGCCCTGCAGCGCCAGGGGGATGGCAGGACCCCCCCAGTTCCTGCCATCACATCGCGATTAAGCTTAAAACTCGATTCTGACGGATCAATTTCAAGATTCACTGCGCGCTGCCCATCTCACACTGACGAACAGGGATCGAATCATCATCATCATGTATAAAAATCTCGCATTAATTGATATCGTATACTACTCCACCAGCGGCCTCAACGACCACCGCCCGCAATCGTCGTCGTCACACCGTCCCGCGCCCTGCCGGGGCTGCCGCCCTTGCTGCCGCCGTCCGCAAGGAACGAGATCTTGGGTGCCACCGTTGGCCGCGCACCCGGTGTCCTGCCGTCGCTGCTGCTGTCGCTGTCCTGCTCCGGCCGCTCCTTGGCCGGGCCGACCTGCACCTCGACCTGCACCTCGACCTGCACCTCCTGCTGCTTGTAGATCTGCAGCGGCATCATGTACGTCTTGTTGATGCGCTCCTGGCTGTCGGTCGTCCCGAGCTCTAGCGCGTCCTCGTCCGCGCTCCGGCTCCCGCCCCCGTTGCGCGTGCCCCCGCCCGCCGTCGAGTGCAGCCGCGACCCGTGCCGGTTGTTCGGGTACCCCGCCCGGAAGCCCGACGACAGGTTGCCCCCCGTCGTCCGCGCGGACGACTTGTGGTTGAACGACGACAGGTGGAAGTGGTGGCGGATCAGCGTCCACGTCGCGGGCAGGTTGGCCGTGATCAGCGCCGTCGACGACTCGCGGATGTACCAGAAGGTCCAGGACGATCCGAAGGGCTCCGTGAAGCTGTAGTACTTGCTGAGCAGCGCCGAGAAGATCTGAGTGTTGCAGGCGTGTTAGTTCGGGGCATGCATGCACATGAGTAGTTTTCCTGCCGTTCAGACTGATGTTACTCACGGTGAAACAACCAAGCAGGAAGATGGCAGAAAGGATCAGCTTCTTCTTCAGCGGCAGCGACGACTGCAGCAGGATCGGCATCGGGATGAGCATGATCATAATGTCGGACGAGATGTTGAGGACCAAGTCTGGTAGCGTGGTCAGTATTCTGCCCCGCTTAACAACTAAAAGCAATGCCTGGGGTGCGCGCCAACTTGTTATCAAATGGTTCGTAGCCGCCGAGCACTGCACGTTGTTCGGCGGGATGGCCCAGTACTGGTTGAACGGCCTGCACCAGACGGCAAGGTACAGGATCTCCATGACCACGAATCCGACGACTGCGTAGATGGCGACGACCTTGACCGCGACCCGCTGCTTCAGGTTCATGCTACACACATGCCGAGCTCCTGTTAGTCACCCCCGTGTCTTCGACAGAGAAAGGAAGAGGAACTTACGTCAACCGGCTGTACATGAGCAGCAGGCACGCCTTGACCAGCCAGATGGTCAGGCACTGCATCTGCTCCACGACCAGCACCACCTTGGACCCGTACTCGCGCAGAGCAACGTTGGCGGCGTCCAGCACCGTCGTGTCGGCCGGGTCGATCAGGTTGCTGCTCGTGTCGGCGACAATGTTCATGGCCACGACGAGGACCGTGTCGGCGAGCTACAAATACGAGGTATTAGTCACTCGAATGTCTGTGGCCGGAGGGGAGGGAAAAAGTCACATACCATGGCGATGAGCATCAGGATATCCTCAACCTGCATCTGCTTGAACGACCCGACAAGCAGCTTTCGGGAGAATCTGGAGCCACGGGCCAAGACGCCTGCGTCAGCAAAGAAACACACACACAGGAATGACGCCCCGCAAGCTTTGATGTCTTCAACAACGAGAACAACAACATCATATGGTTGAGGCAACTTACACTCGCGCAATCACCACCAGCCACGTGACCGCGTACCACGTCCATGATTCCGTCAGGAGGGCCAGCATGTTTGTTGCTGGAGATCGCTGTCGGGACGCTGCGAAAGTGAAGAACTTGACAGGAGGATGATGGATCCTAAAACAAGGCCGCCGCGAGCCGACAGACGAAGACTTGACTGGTCCTTGCTGGGGGAATACGAAAAAGAGTTTTGGGAAGGTTTGACTGCCGATCAGGTCCGGACACGGCTGGTAATCTACCTTTGACAGCAGCAACACAGAGCCGGCTGGCATAGGTACAACAGTCTGAGCGGGTGCGGCCCGGTCTCGCAAGCGTCGCCAGATAACAGCCGAGCTGCTCCTTTCCCCCTTTGACGTGGCTGCTCGGGGCCTCTCAGTATGGCTCGGGGGGTCAATCTACTCGTTCGGGCTGTGCCGCTTCGGAACTGCCACCGGAATGTCGGACGGTGCTCTAGGCCTACTTTCCACCAAACGTCCGAGCGAGTCAAACGGTTATTGCGACGGCGCGGCTGCTGTGCGCCGGGGATGTGAACCGTGGCGTACTATCGGGCAAGCCCCGGTGGCGAAGTGGTGCGAGGCTGGTTGGCGTCAATAAGCGTGTTGAAGGTGGGTGGTGGGCGGCAAAGGCAACCCGTGTAGCACGAAGGACGAGCTATCGAGTGCGGGAGGGATAGAGCTTGGTGTATAAGAGGAATGGCCAGTCTTGTTGTGCACACGCTGCTGCTGCTGTGTGAGCGGGGAAGGAAAAGAATGCATGAGAAACACAGCTGAACGCCGGCACCACGCGGATTGGAAAGCAAGATGGGCTTCACAAGCCGATCCAGAAAGGTTCGCGACAAGGTCACGCAACCAGAACCTGACCGAACGACCCATCTGTGCCAAGCATCTGAGATCGTATGAAGCACAACGTGAGGTGGTAACCCCTGAAAGGTGCTGACTCGAGCACCGGAACGCCACGGCAACCCTGTCGGTTGGTTCCCCGATTCTGGGACACGACATCCCCGTTGTTCTCTAGAGCTTCGCTGCACAATTGTCCGACCAGGCCACGCCCACTAGCACGGACAAGTGGCTCGATGCGTCCTCCGCTAGTCACCCAGTGAGCAACAAAGTCTCGCTGAAGACGAACTTTGGATGCCCGAGGAAGTCAAGGCTTGCGCGTCCAGAAGCCACCTGGATTATGACATGATGCATTAGTCTCATTCGCCGTGCGCCCGCCCGCGCGCTGGTGTGCTGATCGACCAACGCTAAGGCGGCATCACAGTGCACCAGGGCCGATGTCTTCTTGGGGCAGCTCCAAGAGCAGCCCAGACACACACTCACACACAAGGGACTCCCAACACAAGCCGGCTCGGCTGGCTGTGCCTGCCTGCCGGGAAAGACTTGTTAGGCATGCTGCGCGCCGGAGGCTCCTCTGCTTTCGGCGCCACCAAGACCTGATGGCGTCCAATAGCCCGCCAGGCAGGGTCTTCCAGAACACGCAGGGAGACATTCTTGGCGGTTCAGCTCAATCTTCCCTGTCGAGCAAGGATGATCGGAGCGAAGCCAGACCACCAAGAACTGACAAGACCGAGATTGTGGCCTGAGCAACAGCCTCTCCCACTCTAAGCGAGCTCATCCTTGTCCTCTGAACGAGTACGCAGTAAAGAAGTGGACGCCGCCGCCCTCATCGGTCCGAGACTGGTCGCCGACGTCCTTGTTCAGTAATCGTGTTGATTTGACAATGAAGATCAATCTGTCGAGCGCGGAAGGTGTCGCATGAGGAGAGGAACGCTTCAGCAATGGGGCGCCTCCGCAACGTCTTCATTGTGCTCCGCTGCAGACTGCCCATGGGGGAAAGCCCGCGCCTTCGGTTCCGGACGGGGCCGCGAGGCTGGACCTGCTCCAACACCGGCGCCCTTTCGTGGAGCACAGCATAACTAACTATGACACCGTGGGGTTGGTCATTACGGAGTATTGAGCATGGATTCGGCTCGGCTGCCCCAGTTAAGCACACTCAGGTCACAGCTGCGTCTCAGCAGATGCTCCGAGGGTTGCATCGTCGGCTGTCCTGCTAGCGTCCAGGCTCGTGCCTCTGGAAAGGCGGCCGTGCTATGGAGGCCGTTGATTGGGGCCTCGGAACAATACACGGCCGCTAAATCGTGCTGACAGCGCATCCCGTCCTGGTTGTGCCTTTAGCCACCTCACTGCATGATTGCTGTGGTTGTTGTCCATCGTGCCCTAAATCTTTGTGCTGGGAGTCCTCGGAGGCTTAACGATCGATCGTTCATCCTGTTCGTTCCGGTTACTGTTACCGAGTACTGCAAGGATTGCCAGGTTCTGTTGCCGCATCCTGCAACTGCTGCAGCGACGCGGCACCCGTCTGCCGAGAACACCGCCATGGATCAGTAGCACCTCCAGGCTCCAAACCCCTGGGGGCTACTCGGCTACCCCTGGGAAGGCCTCAGGGCTGTCACCTTCCCACTCCAGGCACAACATCATCTACTCCAAAAGGCTAAAGCCGCTGGTCTCCAGGCGATGTGCTGGGTGACAACGAAAAAACCGGTTTTCAGAGTTTCATCGGTACGAAACCGCCTCGGAGACATGCGGCCAACGACCCACTTGGCCTCCATTGGGAACGGTGCAGGTGCTCCAGAACAAAAGCGGCCATAACATTGATTGTCCAAACAGCAGACGGGGTCGTGGACGATCAGGCCTGCGACCTCCAGGATGGCGCAAAAGCAGCGATCCTCTTGTGCCATGTGGCGGTTGCCCTGGATGCACCGCTCGTGTCGTCCTGGAACGAGGAAACCTTGGCCGACAGAGGAGACACTACCGAGACGTGGCTCACATTCCCTGTCAAGAGAATCCTTGGAACGGATCCTCTGGCGCGACTCGCGGACATCCTTGCTGCTCATCTTGAAAACGCCACGCGCCCGCTCCTTGCATCCTCGTCCCTGTTCATGCTTTCCTCACGTGAACATAAAGAGGTATCCCTGAGACGTGCAGAATCTGGGGATTATCTGCGCTGCCACTGCCCGCCCCTCCACAGCGTGAGACCCATTCGACCGAGCCCCTTACGGGGCCAATTTGCTCTCCGGGGTCGGGTCGGACATGGCTGTTTACTGCGTAGTCTCCTGATTTGTATCATTTTCTCTCCAGGTACAGAGTACGTAGGCGAAAAGCTACTGTGTCTTGGTTTGGGGCTCTTTCTCGCTCAGAGGCAGCAATAGGGAGGGCCATGATGCACGTTGGTCGTGTCAAGCGACCCGTCCACCTTCTGATACGAAGAGAAAACCATGCGGCTAGTGTTGTCACGGCTGGTACATATTCCGTCCGGCACAGCTCGTTCGAGAATGCGGCTGAGAGAGTCGCTGATCTCAAGTGCCGAGCTCCGGGCAGTTGAACCATCCTGGTCAAGAACTTGCGACATCTGTGTCGCTGCCAAGGATCAAAGCGTATTCGTACCAAGGTTGGAAGAGAATACCGTACGCAGTACTCAGTACGCCCAGCGAGGCCCGGCCAATCAACCGTTCACCATGAAGGCCCAACCTCGAGCTGACTCTGCGCCGAGCCTCTACTGCCCCTGAGTGCTGCAAGGGTGAACACCACGTGGAGGCTGCGGGAGAAGGATGCCTGCTGCATTGGGACCGTGCTGGCCTGATAACGTGACGCCACCTCACTCCTATGACTCTCGGCTCGCCTGAGTGCGAACTGGACGTCGTTGCGGTGTCACGGAGGCAAGCATTGGATTCTCAGTCACTGGTAGATTTCTTGCTCTCGAGCTTCGACTTCGCGTAAGAAATGCTGGTCTGCCTAGTTGGAAGGGATGCCGCTACGAAACCACACCCGACAATCTCAAAGTGTGACTTTGCACTCCTTTGTGGCGTGGACTGATGGATCTGACTCGGAAGTGGCTGTCAAATGCACAACGGCCTGTGCAGTAGCACCATCTTTGGCTTTCACAGCAACGCTGACAACCGTCTCTTCGCCATAGCGTGCAGTAGCCAGCTCATTCGGCAGTACGGCCTGCCACCCGTCTCCTTCGATAGTCACGGCCAATCGATAGATGTCCGACTTGAGAGCAGCTGTAGTCGATGAATCCAAGCCCTCGGCCTCGGTGAAAGAGCCCGTGTTGGTGAGCTGGAAGGTGCAACTCACGCCGAGAGTGGTCGCAGAACCTCCAGAAGTAATGCCATCCGCAAGACTAATTCCTGGTGTACTCGGCCCAGCACCATCGAGTGAGAGTGCTCCAATGGTGTAGAACAAGACTCCAGATTGGTCGCGACGAACTCCAAGGACGTACAGATGGAGACGATTCGCCGCGTCAATGTATTCATACTTACTACCAGAACGTGTTCCTGCATGGAACAGCGCGTCTGAAAGCTGGCGGTAATCGCCAATTGTCAGCATGAATGGCGTTCCGTCCGGACGGTAGTAGTCCACGATGTTGATGTCTTGCGGATTTGCATCAATGATCCATTGGAAGTTCGATCCACTGCGGCGAGTCTTCGTTATCATGACGCCCGAGTCGGTGACGAAGGAGTCAGCTCCCATGCGATCTATCAATTCAAGCTCGTAGGCTTCGAACCCCCCACCATCACACAACGGGTCGTTCTGGTAATCGCAAGCTGAGAGGTCCTTGTCGAGCGAGATCTTGAGGCTGATGCGGGGTTCGTCCCCGGGCTGGACTGATCTCGCGATGAGCTCCGTGACAATAATGCCAGCTTTAGGCAGTTCCTCGCGAGAAACGGAATGAATCTCAGAAGCATCAAGCAATCCTAGCTGAGTCTTCTCGCGAACCGTGTGCAGAGAGCCCAAGGCGCCTCCGCTTTGTGCCGGAATATGCCAGCGAGTGTGTGGACCGCCAGGACCATTGAACGATCCGCGGCTGAGCATAGCAAAAGGGCCCATGTAGTCTCGTCGCCCGACAAAGCTGTTGGCATAGTTGTCTCCTATTCCCAGCAGATGACTCAACTCGTGGGCATATGTACCCATGCCCGAGCTCTCAGCCTGCGTCGAGGAGCCAGAGCCTGCATTAGGCCAGATTGTCGAGGCAGAGGCCCAAGAGGTCCATTCCACGTAGCGTGTGCGCGCGTAGTTTGTCAGGTTCGCGTCGGGCGGCCCGAAGGCGTCGGTAACATCCTCCTTGGTCTGGAACATCATTTCGCCAAACTCTTGCCACGTTGACGACTCATCCTGCCCGGCTGAGAGGATGAAAACCAATTCGAAGGAGCTGGCTGTTTCGTTGCCTACCGCCGCGCGCCATGCGCCCAGGGCATCGGTGCGGATGTTGATGGAGCATCGCTCGCCACCAGGACATGCTCCAGGGTTGAAGCCGTTAGCAGCGTTGTCGACGCCGTATTGATACGACTTTGCGCGTAGCCGAAAAGGACCAAACGCTGTCAAGTCCACACCATATCGACCAGAGGAGTCCTCCATCCAGTACTCGTGAAGGGTATGTCCACGATTGAGCTCATTCTGCGTGTTCAGCATATCCCTGTAGAAAGACGGGACGTCTTCACGTTTGATACCCGACACGGCAGGCTGAGGATTCTTGAACACTGTCGACCGCGCAGCCTGAGTGATGACGAACGGCATGTCGGAATAGTCCACTGCGACAAGGGCGATGTTGAAATTGCGTTTCGAGCCCTTTCTGGAGGGGTCTCCCCAGTTCGTCCCCGGCGGGCGGACATAGTCGTCCCATGTCATATTGTCAGGGCTCACCATTTCTGAGGGTCAAGGATGGCGAATGGGTCGTTGGTTGACGGGAATGGCGCTGAGTCGACTAGCTGCGGAAGCCAAAGCCCAGCCGCCAGAAGTGCGTGAAGCAACAACGGGGCCATCTTGATGTCGCGGCGAGCGAGACAACAGTTTCTTGCAACGAGAGTGACGATTAGCGGTCCTGGTGGAGCCTGTTGAGCTCTCGCGTGGAACAAGAGAAAGCACAGAGTACCGGCAGTCGTGGGTTGTCGATGGCGACTTCATGAACTAAAGTACTGGCGGACGAACGGCGTGTGGCTCTCTGCCACGGTCGACCATTGCAACGATGTATCACGATGACCCCGCGAAGCTGGCCCATATCGTCACATTGGAGATAGCGGTTGTGCTGCTTCGGGGAGGTCCCGGTGGTTACAAGAGGCCGACGCTGGGTGACACCTGCCGAGTTCGGAAGGATGTGCAACGGCTGCGGAGCTTTGCAGGGTGATGAGCACCATGGGCAGGGCATTGCTGGTGTGCTGGTGACGTGTGTTGTCGTGTCTTGCCGTGACTGAGGGAAAATAAAACCTTCCGTCATTCAATCAACAACTGCAGTGGAGGAGTGCAAGCCAGCAGGCTGGCACAACCTGTGGTGACCTCGGGAGGGCGATGTTGTGCCGGAAAGAACGACCCCGGCCAGTTCGATTCCTCACGTGTAGTGCACCGAGGCTCCACCAAGGAGTGTGAAGATGGCAGAGCTCGAGGTGGCAATGGCCGGAGGAGGTCGAGTTTACCAGTGATCTTCCGGCCTCTCAGAATCTCCGAGTTCGCCATTCACCACTTTGATGTCGAAGAACGCATATCGGTGCAGTCACTCAGTGTGGCAGCTTTGCGTAGATGGCACACTTAGAAAAGCGAAGTAGATATGCAAAGGGTCTCTTGTCCCCGGCTTCTCACCGATAACTAAGACATACGCCGTACTCCCCAACGGGACCATGCTACTGCTTCCGTAAAGCACGGCCAGTTCATGATATATATATATATATACAAACTTGATACCCCTTTTTTCGTAACATCCGTGAACCCTGAGCTGGTTCAGGAGCTTGCCCCTCAAACATCACAGTACCGTGAGGGCCTCAGGACGGTCTTCTGAATGGGTGCGCCTCCGTATTGAGCACCCACTCATCCAAGCTAATCACGTCGGGTGTGGAATACAGCAAGAAGAAGTACTTCAGGGTTTCGGCAAGCCAGAAGGACTCCATCTCATCCTTCTTGTCCGGGTTCGATCGCATGACATCGTGAATCGCGCTGTGCCCGGCCTCGGTCTGGGTGTGGCGGATGATGGCCTCGAACATCTTCCATCCCTTGTCTTGCCAGGTGGTGTCACCAGTGATTCGGTACATGTACCACACTGATTCTATGGCTTCAGGTCTAAGAATAACAGCATGTCAGCATCTGCGCGGTACAAGTGTTGCAAGGAGCGAATGGCGCACTGACCTCAGAATGTAGCTCGAGAATCGAATATCAGTGAAGCCCGGAGGAAGCTTCTCGTTCGTGATGCGGTCCTGGACATATTCTTTGTGCGACTGCGGGCGAGCAGGCAGCGTCATGTCTAGAGGAATCTGCTCCTCCTCATCATCGCTTGTCGCGCCGAGCGGGCTGTTCTGGTGAAATGACGAAAGGGCAGCGCGGCCAGTATTCTTTTCCGGGGTTGGAGGCGGAAGAGCCGAGCGCTTGAAGTGATTGGTGTCGTGGTCAGAGCTGGTGCTATCGTCTGGTCGCGCCTTTGCTAATTTCTCGTCTTTGCTAGAGGCATGGCTGACGCGGAACTTATGGGTGCCTTGCTCCTCTTCATCAGTAGCGTGGCCACGTTGAGCCCTCAACGCCTTGAGCTCCTCGACGCGCTTGTAGTAGTCGTCGAGTTGTGCATCCCGCGTGGCCGCAAGGGGGTCAAGAGCCTGCCACCAGAGAGTCTCGTTGAAGTCGCACTTCTTCACATTGGTGCACGGCACGACGTAGGCGCCCTCGGGCATGATCCCGCTGGGTGTGCTCTCGTATGCCCAAACGCATCCATCTGTCAGTCGCTTGCCAATCTCCACGTCGTCCGGCTCGTTGAAGATCTTGCCTGCCATGCCAAACATGCCGCCAAGGAAGCAAGTGAGATGTGGTACCTCGTACTCGGTTCGTGCGTCGTCGACAGGGTCGCCCCTAGTTGTCACCTTGGCCGAGAACAGAAGATCACGGTCCGGGACCATGGGGCGGAAGAGCAACCACTTTTTGACAGCTGCGGCCACTTTCTGATGCATCGTCTTGTACTTGGATTCGAGTCCGCCGAGAAGCAGGTACTGCTTGGGGAAACACTCGTAGGTGCTATCTTGGCCACCACCCATGCCGTAAGATTCGCTGAAGCCACCTGGGGCTAGTCCTTGAGGAATGCAGTCGAGTTCTGATCCCGAGCCGAGACTAAGGCCCATGGAAGGGTCCCAGGTTTCGGCAGCATAATTTGTTCTGCGTGCGAGATTGGAGGAGCCCTTGCCCTCGACGTTATTCTGGGAGCCGCCAAGGTATGACTCGCCAGGGACGGGATCCTGATGGTTGTGGTTGCTTACTGCGAGATCGCCTTCGTACAGAGAAACCCTTGGCGTGAGCTCTTCCTTTGGCATTCTCGAGGTACGTGCTGGATTTTGGTGTCGAGTGTTGAGCACGGCCAGCAGCTTCATTCTGCATCGCCGAGATCCGCTCTGCCTCGGCGGTCCGGTTGCATCCGGCAGCATCTACACGGTCCGGGAAGATGCCCGCAAGGGTTGTGCCCCGGTTCTGCCATTCTTGGAGTGCATTAGTAATGCGGTCAATGGCATCATAGTACTTGTTCTCTTTCGTCAGTTGTGCGAGGCGTGTAAACTCCATCGATAGGGAGCCCAGCTCCGCAAGGTTGACCGACGAAGATGCGCGCTTCGCCTTTTCCATGGCAGCGGGCCTCCAGTTGTAGAATAAGATGGGCATATGGTTTGGCGTGTCGAAAACTCCCATGAGAATCTCTGCGAGCTCAACAGCCTTATCAAGAAGAACCTTGTGAGTGCCAACAGTCTTGCCACCACTGACATCGTAGGCGGCAAGCAGTCCACCGAGGTAGCGGATCGTGGTTTCGAAGACGGGGATCTCGGTCTTGGGAGTGGTCGTAAAGTCGATCTCCGCAACGGCTTTGACAGCCTCCTCGAACTCGTCCTTCAAGCCCATGATCCACAGAGTATCGAGACTGTCAACCAGGGTGGCAGCCCAGCCACAGAAAGGGTCGCGATATTTCTTGGTAACAGGAGACAGCTCGTCGTGGCCGAAGGCGTATTTGCGGTAGCCTTTCCAAGCCCTAACAGCTTCCGCTCGGACCTTGGCAAGCCGCGCCTCTCGCACTTTCTGAGCCTCGGGCGTCTCCTTACCAAACGCAAATTGAATGGTTGGGATGTTGACAGGCTTCCCTGTCGGCAGAGGGGCTATCGACTCCGTAGGAATCGGGAAATGCTGGGTGGGCTTCTTCCAATGGTCCTGCTTTGGCTTGTTCGCGTGGCCGGCAGCCTCCGAGTAGCTGTCGCCCAAGGATCCATGGTCCACGGCGTCATGTTGTCCGCCCTGGTCAATGATCCTGTCGGGAATATTGAGAGTATCATTGTGTGCGGTCCCGGTTGAAGGCTTGTCGGGTTTGCTACCTCCTGTCGGCTTCTGCTTGATAAGTGATGAATGGTCATCGTCGTCGGCAGCGGCGGCGGCGTTGTGGCTGTGTGAGTCACTGGTGGACTTGCCCGGTGTAACGGCAGAGCTGGGGTTGTACGTATCGGCATGGCCATCTCCCACCGACCGCTTACTCCGCGTGCCGCACTCTACGGCCTCTCTGCTTGCCTCGCATTTCCCGGAAGCCCCTGTCCGGTCCCCGTTTCGCGCTCATTAAAATGTCAGCAACGAAGTCTTGGTCCAGTCTACACACCAGTACCCACTCACACAGCCCTCGCGAAGATGCCATGGCCTCTGGTCACAGCAAGAACAACTTGCCCGCCAGCGGATCCTGCCACAGTCTCCACGCAGCTGACTCGTCCAGTCCAAAGTGCTTGGTTGCCTCGAGCGAGTACTCGACGCGGTGGAGGTCTTCGACGCTCCTCGCCACCAGCATCCACTGCAGCGCACTGGTAGCAGCATCGACAGCAGAAGCGGAACCGCAGCCACTGTTCGAGCGACTGTGAGCGCAGGTGCCGCACGAGTCCACAGTTGCTGGTACCGGTATGGCATCTTCGAGATGAATATGCCTGCCGGAAGTACATCCAGCATCATCTTGATCGAAATTGCGACGGCTGGCAGAAGGTACATGAACGCGAGGAATGCTCCTTGGGCTGACGTCGCTTCCACAAAGACATTTATCTTGGACGCTGCATAAAGCAGACTCCCCTGCAGATCACTTAGCGGCCGAAGCGATACAGGTCTATCGTCCACGTCGCTCCCTTGCATCGCGACAAAGGAGTAGAATATGATGTGGAGCAGGTAGGCGAGCTCGAAATCCCGGCGCAGCCCCGCGGGGATCCGCCGTTGGATCCAGCCGCTTAAGAACACACTCGACCTGATGAGACGGTCGCAGATGGCCCTCGACTTGTTGATCACTGCAGCCCGAAATCTTTCTAATTTCCGAGGCCGAGGCGATACTGGCGTGTTGCTGCTTGCAGACGGGACATTCGAGCTGCTAATGACGAACCCTGTCATCCGAGACTGCGGCGGCGCAGGAGCCGGACTGCCTGAGATATCCCACTCGGCGTTCATCACGGTAATAATCAGGGAGCAACATACAGCAACGACACCTCCAAGGACGACTTCGAGGTCCCGGTTGTCGATTGCCCACAGCCGAAACGAGTCTGCAAAAACATACGCCCGCCGTACCCACAAGTACAGCGTTGAGCAGTATTGCGTCAGCAAGACGAGCGCCAAGGTCATTCTGCCCATCCACACAGAGTCGTAGCCCTTTTGACGGACACTCCGTCGGGCTTTTTGCGTCCAGAGCACAGGGACACTCTCGTCGGCCTGCGCCGATGCACGAATTCCCAGAAGAGCGCTGGCATAGAATATGGCTGTCTCGCCGGAGACCTGCCCTCGGTACCTGGCTGCCACTGTGGTCTTTATCTGCCGGTGAAGCTGTGCAACGGGGAGAGTGGGAAACATGACAGAGACGACCACTTGAAGCAATACGCCTGCGGAATCGCACGAGCTGCTGCCTCGAAGGCTGAGGAGGTGGCCGTAGGTTCCGGCAGCGACTATCGACATTGCAGCCGACTTGAGCAAGGACTCGTGGACGCTTCGCAGAGACAACCGGTCGATGTACATCGGTTCCATTGGAACCGAGTATCGCAGGGCTTCGCCGCTGCGGAAGCCTCGAGACATGATGGCTGCAACAAACGGCTGTCTTATGATGGCTTGAATCAAGGACGAGAGGTGGCAAAGGAAATCCAGTCAGCAACCACCAAGATATTGAGACTGTGAGTTTGAGCGAAGTGGACATTGAAGTGTTCAGGTATGCACTCGAGAACTTTATATGCGCCTTCAACTCACAAACCAGGAGAGGTGCAAGTCACACGACAGGAGCTAAGCCACCACCATGTCTATGGATATGGCTGAGACCGTCTCGAATACCAACAAGCACAGTAGCACAGGGACAGCCTAACGAGGTTGAGTGAGAATTATCGCAAGGCCTCATCTTCTCCACCAGTGGCTGTGCATTGTGCGACAGAAGGCGGCTCAATACTCACTCGTGCCGAGTCTGTCATGCTCTGCGAAAAAGAGGGCGCAGACACCGCATCGAACGTGGATGCACACACAGTCTAGGGGCTGCCGTTACAGTCGAATTCTGTGACATTGAGCAGGTAAGGTACGTACTGGTGCTCCCCTGCACCGCTGAGTAAGCATTCTGGGCTCCCATGGAGCATATAAACCGAGCTTCAGAGCTCGTAGTCACTCTTTTAGAGCTTTTTCTTTAGACAGACGACTATCAATTACCACTGTTGAAATCACTCATTCAATGCTCTCTCGAGCGTCAAAATCGTTGCTTGCAATAACGTCACAGTTATGAGCCCGGGAAATCGATCCTTTCGAGCTCCCCAATGACTGCGCAACTCGAAGAGCATCTGTTTCCTCATACCTCACATTCTATAACTCACAACCATTCCTCAGTCTTTAAGACCTCCATTTACAAGCTCTCCCGCACTCCACCTTGTTCTTTACAAGCTCTTCCACGAGTCAACCAACGCCAAAATGCAGGACCGACGAGCCGACGACGCCTTCACCAGCTACAATGCTGACATCAAGCTTCGATCTCCTCGGGACTGGCCCAAGTGGTACAGAGAGCTGCGAAACAAGGCTTCGAGCGCTGAAGTCTGGCAGTTCATCATCTCTGAGGTGAACGACGCCCAGAAGAAGCTGCAGAAGCCCGTTTTCAAGACACGCATGTCTCTGCTAGCTGAGGCAGTCCTCGAGTACAACGCACAACAGGCTGTTGAGGCTGCCACCGAAGCGGCCGCCACAGGAGCAGGGAACGACGGAAACGCCAATCCCGGAGCTGCTGGGAACGACAATCAGCATGCTGGCGGGAACAACGAGAACACCGAACCCGTTAACCTGCCGGCCCCTCCGGAAGTCTCGGAACTCTCGGGGAATGACGAAGGCGAGGGAGGAAACCAGGATCACCCTGCTGCAGCTCAGCCCGCAGCAGGGCCCGTTCTCCCGACCGATCCGGTGCGCCGCGCCACTATCGAAGAACTCGTAATGCCCATTGTCGAGTTCCGATTCAAGGATCGGCGCGACCAGTACCTCATCGACCAGAAGGAGTGGGAGACCAACCACAAGGCCCTCCAACGGATCCAGGACTGGATGGACAACTCTGTCAAGGCTAGCCTTATGCACAGGGCTCGTCAGAAGGCAGGGACCAACACCACTCCTCGCGACCTCGTCGAAGCACTTCGACTCGACAATGCCCCGAGCCACGAGGCGGTCAAAAACAGCGTTTACGCTAAGTACAAGCCCGTTATCGAGAAAGGCAAGCGTGGAAACACTTCTGCCACCGAATGGATCGCCAGCTGGAGAGAGGCATACAGCGACGCCGTGGCCTGGGATCTGGAGATGATCAACACCAACGTCGAGGTTCGAGAGTTCCTCATTGCAGCAGGGAGTTGGGAACCAGAATGGTCCAGCTCGTCCATCACGGAGCTGGCTATCAAGAAACGCAAAGATATCCCTGCCGACCTCGAGGAGTACGGCGAGGACTTTGCCTCGATTGTCAATGAGCTCTTCAAGACTCACAAATCCGGAAAGACGCGCTGAACGGTTAACGCCACGCTCGGGGAACCGGCGGATGGCGGATCCTCTGCTCAGGAGGACACCGTCAGCTGCCCGCGCTCCAAAACGCCTCTCCCCAAGTCGAAGCACTATTGGCCTCCAGTCAAGTGCTCGGCGGTCCATTTGGCGCTCTTCGGAAAGCCCTTCCCGAGAGCTCCGAGCATCAAAGTCAGTAACAAACGGAAGGAGGAGATCCTGGCCCGAAGCAAGGAACGCAAGCACAAGGACTTGGCCACACAGATCAACAAAAACCTTAATCAGAGCTCCGGAAGCGCCGGGAGAGCTGACGACTCCGAGGACGACGCTTCTGGGCACGTGATCTCGACTGTCATCTTCAACCCTGTCGATGTCCACCCTCAGGAGGAGCGATCAGACGCTCTCGGAGTCTTCAACGTGTCATCCCCTGCTCGCCACCGCCTGGCTGACAGCACCCTGGTTGATAACTGTGCTGCTCTCCACCTGGTCAACTCTATCGACCTCCTTGAGAAGGGGTCCCTGACCACTGCAGGCCCCCATAAGTACGTCGAGGTGGGCACTGGCCGACTCCCTATCACCCATTGGGGCACCAGGGTCATCAAGAAGTGTCTCAAGGGAAGCAACGGGGGCATCTCCGGAGACCTCACCCTTCAGAAGGTGGGATTGGTGGAAGGATTTCATGTCAACATCATCTCCGAAGCGCTGCTCACCAAGCACCAGATCTGGGTTTGCAGGCTCGACTGCACGCTTAGGAAGGGACCTGTGGAGGGCAGCAGAGTCATCAAAAACCTCAAGACCGCAGAGAACCTAGTTTTCTTCGAATACAAGCCGATTTCCATCTATTCCTCTATGCCTGTGTTTGCAACCATCCAGAAGCGAGCTCCGACTGGTCATTCCCAACGACCATACGAACGTGAGAGGCTGGATTCAGAGGAGCTGTGGCATCGAAGAGCAGGACACCTGGGTCCTGCAGCTCTGCGTCATTTGGTGCAGAATGTGAGGAATGTGAGGATACGAGGAACTGGCCCCGCAGAGTGTGAGTTCTGTGCGCGAGCCAATGCAGAATCAGTCATTTCAAGGCGACCAACCGAGCGAGCGGCAAGACCATTCTTCAGAGTGCTCTGGGACCTATTCGATTTCCCAGAAGGCTACAATGGTGCTCGCTGGTTGCTGGTTTTGAAGGATGACTTCAGTGGAAAGCTCTTCTCTTTCCCACTTCAGGACAAAACACATGGGCAAGTCAAAAAGGTCATCTCGAGCTTCGTCGCATTTGTGCGAAGGCGTTATGAGCTCCATGTGGCAATCCTGAAGCACGACAACGACCGATCGGTGATCGCCATCAATGGGGAGACAGGGTACTAGAAATGGGCGGAAAAAGAAGGAATCGAGCTCGAGCTTCCTCCACCGCACACCCATGAACCCAGTGGCGGCTCTGAGAGAGCAGGAAAAACCATTATCGTCAAAGCAATCGCCATGCTGCATGACGCCAACCTGCCAGCGGAGTTATGGCCCGAAACCACCGTGGCAGCCACCTGGCTGTACAACATCTTGCCTCTCCAGGCACAGCGCTGGAAAACCCCCAGTGAGGTGCTCGATGCGTGGTTTCGAGCTTATTATCGATGGTTTGACCCGGCTGAAGTAAGGAACAGGCTGGCCGACCTCAGACCAGACTGGAGCGGCGTTTACGCATATGGATGCCGCGCCTACGCTCTAACGAGCTCCAGATCGGCTGGAACAGAGAGAAGAGCTTATAAAGTCAGTCTCCGTGCGCACCTGGGGTACCTGGTTGGCTATTGTGCCTCCAACCTGTACAGAATCTGGGTGCCATCGCAGAGCACGGTTATCACGACTCGGGATGTCACCTTCAACGAGGAACTCTTCTTCGAAGGTCCCGAGCGCGAAAAGCCACAATTGGATCTCGAGCAAAGCGTTTACGAGCTCGAGAACCCGGTCAGCATCTGGGACGCTGGACTGCAACCGGCCACATTGGACCAAGTGGCACAGGAACCGGCTCAGAGCGACGAGGAGCAACAGACCTTCGATCTGGGGGGTAATGGGACTGGAAACGTGGAATCTGACGCGCAGTTTACGGTCAGAGAGCCCGAAACCGGGAACCTCTTGCTCACACACACCCCACCACTCGATTTATTAGGTCCCCTACAGGAGCAGAACTCGGGGGTGGACAACGATGACACAGACATCCCAAGTTCACCTCGAGCTCCAGAAGCTCAGGGAGAAGCTCTCATCGAACATGGACTTCTGACTCCTGAGCGAACCCTTGAGCCTGCGAGCATGCCAGGACAAGGACGTGGCTCGGAAGCAGAAATGGCCGAACCATCGTCACCACAGAGAGACAGCATGCAAAGTCGTGACGATGAGGCAGGCGGATCAACAGACCCGCCAAACGACGTGCTTCAGGAGCAGGGAGTGCACGCCCAAAGCCCTGAAAGCAGCGCCGACGAAGAAGAGATTCTGGACGAAATCGTGGTGGCCTCAAGGCCAGAAATTGAGTTTCCACCCAGCGATGACGAAGAGTCTCAACAAGCAGCGGAATCATCATTCCAGCCTGCAACCGAGCACCAACAGCCCAATCAAGGCACTCGCCGACCTCAGAGAGCACAGGAAGGCCAATCCGAACGGCAGACCCGTGCAATGAGACGAAGGCAGGAAAGCGAGCAAAATCGACTACTTGCCACAATTCTTTACGCACCACAGGAGATCACCATTCCTGAGGACCCAACGCTCATTTTCTTTGTTAGCACTTTCTTTTCGGGTTGTGAAGCTCTGCATCAAGGTGACAGAGAACATAAGAAGCTCCATGCAATGGTAGCGGCTGCGCTGAAGACCAACAAAGCTCCACCAGACCAGCAAGAAAAACTGCACCGAAACGAGCTCCTAACCCCACCTCCGACAACCTGGAGAGAGCTCGAGAACCACCCATTGCGAGATCTGTTCCGCGAAGGTGCACACCGGGAAGTCAAGACCCTGCTCGACCGCGGAGTCTACCGAGTTATCGACAAAAACAAGGCCCGACTTCGACCACTCCCCCTGAAGTGGGTTTTCTCGTATAAGTTCGACGAAAATGGCTTTCTGGAGCGCGCCAAAGCACGCATTTGCGTTCGAGGAGATCTCCAAGATAAGAACACGCTGAGGAGCACGTACGCAGCTACATTAGCAGCTCGTTCCTTCAGAGTGGCAATGGCCTTGATGGCTTGCTTCGACCTAGAGTGCATCCAACTCGACGTCACTAATGCTTTCTTGTATGCTAAGCGCGGCAGCGAACTGGAACCAGTGTTCTGTGAGCTACCTCCAGGTTTCGAGCAGCCAGGGAAGTGTGTGGTGCTCGATCGCGCACTCTATGGACTTCGAGACTCACCACTTCTGTGGTATCGCGAGTTTTCGTCTACCCTCAAGGACCTGGGGCTCCAGGCCTCCCCAGAGGAACCTTGCCTATTCTATGACGAGCAGCGGAAGGTCTTTGTCGTGTTCTTCGTCGACGACATCCTCATCATGTATGCAAAGAAGGATAAGGACAAGGCGATCGGGGTAAAGGAAGGGCTCATGGAAAGCTACGCTTTGAAGGTCTCCCCGAGCTTCGACTACTACCTTGGGATGCGCGTCCTCCGAGACAGAGAGCAGCGTTTACTCTGGTTAACGCATGACGCCTACATCGAAAAGATCGTGGCCAGGTTTGGCATTGACAAGAGGACCAAGCATCCCTTCACTCCGATAGCACTTGAGGAGCTCGTTCCTAACACTGGGCAAGCATCAAAACGAGAGATCAAGAGCTACCAGGAGCGCGTCGGATCGGCCCTTTACACCGCCATCATGCTGAGGCCAGACGTCGCATTTGCAGTGTCGAAGCTGTCACAATTCTTAACGAATCCCAGCCAGCAGCACTCAGAATCTATCGATCGCGTGCTCTCCTACCTGTATGGAACACGCCATTTGGGGCTCCAGTTCGGGGGTGAGCGCACAGGAGCCGACATCCTGGTTATCGCAAGCGATGCGTCATTTGCCGACGACTCAGCAACAAGGAGGTCATCTCATGGGTACGTTATGAAGCTCTTCGGCGGCCCGATCGACTGGATTGCAGCTCTACAGCGCGCGGTTTCAACTAGCACGACAGAAGCAGAGCTCAGAGCCATTGAAAAGGTCGTCAAGGAGGCGCTCGCTTTAAAGCGCCTTTTCAGAGATCTGCAGCTCGAACTGGGAGTCGCATGGAGAGTCAGATGCGACAATCAACAAACAATCCGACTTGTTGTGGCAGAGCACGAGAGAGTCAACACGAAGCTCAGGCATGTTGATATCGCCAATATGTTGCTCAAGCAGGAGCATGAGAAGGGATCCTTCGAGCTCCATTACATGGCCACAAACGACATGCCCGCCGACGGACTCACAAAGAACCTGACTAGGCAGAAATTCGAGGACTTCAGAAAGCACATGAGCCTCGAAAACATCAGTCACATGCTCCCACAAGCGAAATAGAGCGCAGAAACAACGGCGCAACGCGCGCCAACACTTTCATTTGTTCTTTTCGGGGCTCGGCGGGCCCCCCCCCCACCCCCCCCCCCCCCCCCCCACAAAAACGACGAAGGTCTTTATGCGCCATTGGCGCCACAACACACTCTTTTCTAGAGCTCAGAGCTGGCCCGCTCCTCAGCTTCAGCGAAGCGATTAGCGAGCTGGTAAAACAGCTCGCTGATGCTCGCATCCGCGAGGAGAGGACCACTCTCCCGCTCTCCAGAAGGAGATGCCTGGGAGACGACAGGAAGGTCGATCAGCAAAGGCACGACCTCCTGCTCCCAGGCCACCGCCTTCTGGGAGGGCTGCTTCTTCTTCTTCTTCTTCTTCTTCTCCTCCTCCTCTTCCTCCTCCTCCTCCTCCTCCTCCTCCTCCTCCTCCTCCTCCTCGGGAAAAAGACGGCAAAGCGTCTTGACAGCCGTCCGGAGCTCATCCCGGAACTAAGTGAGCACCAGGCGGTTAATAAGGAAAGGACACCTAGGGAGGGGAGCGCATAACTTACATTCTTGAGCGCGGCAGAGGCGCCCGCACCTTGTTCCATCACCTCACGGTGGACCCGGAGGAAGGGCATCGCCGACCCGGACAAACCTGCCGGCATAGCCGGCTGGGGCAAATTACGCACTTTATAATATCTTGGATCCTGTCTGTAAATGGGGCTACGACGAGCTCTGCACGCCGCCTGTACTCTCAGAAAGCAATCAACCTAGCTGCCCGCACGACATTGGTCTACCAGTGGCTTTCACTGGAAAGCACGTCATTGATATTGAGTATGGTACAGGCATGGATTTGCCTGCCTGATCAAATCGTTCAGCCTATGTAAACTAGTCTTTGCATTGTTCGCTATGCCATCCAAGAGTTCACTGCCTGTTTTCCCATCCTTTGCATCTTTGAAAATACACTATCATAAACAGTTAGAACCTTTCAGCTGCTCAAGGAGTGCTATGAGTAGTTGAAACGAACATGACTATATGTGAGACAGTGACGCATCCCCTTGTAGAAGAGACTCTGACATATGACATTGTGATACACATATATCGAGGGAAAAAATCATTGGTTACTCAAGTATTCCATAGGAACTTTTGTCGTACAGAGCAAGCCATAACTGGAGTAAATCGTCTAAGAATCTATAAATTATCTAGTAATTGCGACTTTACGTATACTCTTTGGCTGTCGCCGTTGCTATGAATCCCTGCCTACCACACGACGAGGATATAGCCAACTTTGGAGCGGACAATCAGAAGTAGTGCACTCTTCGGGCTCGGTTAGTTGTTAATAAATGGGCTGGAAAAAGCCGCTCAGCCACCAACAACTGTGGCTTCGGGTACTATCCCCAGACGTGGCCAGCCTATTGTAACCCATCTGTCTATACTGACATCTTCACCCTCCCGAGCCATGCTATAAATTCCTGCTCCTCCGATGACTCGACCTCCAGCTCTCGCCAGATCAGCTGCGCAAGCTTTCTGCTCGCCGTAGCCATCCAGACCACCGGCATTACTCGATCTCCCCACCGGCACTTCCCCGTCTCTCCCCACTTGCACCAAGCCTGCGGCAGACCACACGTCCAGCAGCACGAGTACTCCTTGAACCGGATCTGCCGCCGCCACGCCATATACGTATCCGATCCTCCCAGTACCTTGCAGCCCCGGAACTCGTGCTCGTACGTCCGCTGTCGCCCGTCTGCCCGGCCCTGGTGGCACCACTTAACGTAGCACACTACGCACTTGCCCTCCATCGACTCTACCCACTCTAGCAGCTTCCGGATCCTCCTCTGTCTCTCCTTGTTGTCCCTCCGGAGACGGTCCTCCGCTGCCTCGTCTGCTGCCGAGTGCCAGTCCCCAGTACTGCTGCCCTCGTTCACGCCCATGTCCTCGTCGAGTACGTCGACCTGTACCTCCGTGAGCTGCCGGCACCGGTCACAGCGTACCGCCTGGAGACTGTCGCAGTTCTGCGCGATCCCCTCCATAAACGCCCCGAGTACGAGCCTCCGGCAGTCCGGCGTCTGCGTGAAACGCTCGACCGCCTGCCGGTTTAGCTGGTCTACGTCGCTCGCTTGCCGGTCCTGGTAGACAGCCGCCCTGCCTAGTACCACGACCGACTCCACTTCTTCCCCAGCCTTCCTCCCGCCTCGGCCCGTCTGCTGGATGAAGTCCACGAGCCCATACGGCTGCTCTGCGTGGATGATAGCCACGATGCCTTCGATGTCGACTCCGGTTCCGAGCCCTGTTGTTGCTACTATCCAGCGGTTCTCCGATCGCCCTTCGGTCCAGTCCTCGAGTACAGCCTGTCGGTCCTGCAAGCTCATGTCGCTGTGGTAGGACCCGCAGCGGATCAGCTCTGCCAGCCGCGTGCAGTTTGCCTTGGTTCGACTATAGATCACGCCTTTCTGATTACCGCTTAACCGGCCAGTGATGCGGATGACCTGCTTGACCACCTCGTCCTCGACCGCACTGCGGCCTGGCCCCGTGACCTGCACGACGTTGTAGCTGATATTCTTCTTGTCGGACCTCGCCCGGATAATCTCAGCATCCCCGGCGAGCATGATCTGGCGGAACCAAGCCTCGAGCCGGACTGGAAGTGTAGCTGTAAGCAGAATGACCGGGCAGCCGTACCGGTAGATGCACTTCAGCTCCGCGAGCTTCTTTCGGTAGCTCACATCCATGATAATCGTGTGGCACTCGTCGACGAAGATCCGCTTGAGCAGACCCCGACCTCGCAGCCAGTCTGCATACGTCGAGAACTCAGTATTATTAACCTGGTCCGCACTGACGAAGACGAGTCGAGAAACCCGTGGTTTCTCCTCTCGCCCGGTAGCCTGCGCTGGCTGCCACTGCTGACAGTCCAGCCCGAGATTCCTTGCACGGCCGACCAGATCATGGACGAGCGCTACAAATGGCACTATCACGATACTGACGCCTGCGTTCATACTCTGGGCCGCTGGTAGCATGAACAAGACGCTCTTGCCGGCTCCGGTCGGCAGTACTACGATCAGAACCTGGTTTCCCCTAAGTGCCAGTACCTGCTGCATCGCCTCTCGCTGCTCCTGTGAACGCCAGCTAGCGCCTGGGCCTAGCAATCTCCGTAGCCCGTTAGCGAGCTTCGCGTCGGTTCGTGCGGCGAGTGGGCTACTGTCGTCCCCACGGGCTCGTGTAATCCTGTCCGCGACGATTGCTCGCCTGGCGGCCCAGTCGGGAGTCTGGGAGCTGCCACTGTTCCCAAGCCCGGACAGTGCTCGTGAACGCTTGACCGACGCCTGCTGCCTCGTATCCGGCGTCCGGAACTGATGCCCTACTCCCTGGCTACTACTCGTCTCGGTCCCAGTCGTGCTCTGGGCGTTGAAGCCAAGGAACTGGTGCCATAGCCGGCTGATCTCCCGGTAATTAGCCACCATCTGCGGCTGTAGCTGGTTGGGGAATTGGACGTTGACTGCGTAATGCTGCCGGGCGATCGCGCTCCCGTGTGTCGCCTGTAAGTCCCAGACGTACTCGACCTTGCTCTGGCCGCGTGCCTCCCCAGTAAGCCCGTCTTCGAAGTTCTGCGCGTTATCCCAGTCGGCTTCGTCGGTCATATCGACCTCCAGCTGCTGGATTACTAGTCCTCGAATATGTCGGCCTAGCTCGATGGCGACGTGGCGATAGTCAGCTACGCCTAGCTTAACCCCGATATGCTCTGTTGTCACTGCTGCTAGCTTGCTGCTGAGCTCGGGAGTCGTCCAGATCCCTTTCCGGCTGTCCTTCCAGAGCCAGGCGTCGAGAGGCTTGGATAGCCCCTAGGCCTTTGTCTCCGTAAGGAGTAGTCTCTCGAACGGCAGGAGCCAGAGGATATAGGCAACCATAAGCCGCCCAACCGTCTCTGGTAAGAACCGGGCGACCTTTCGGCCGATTCCGCGGATCGCCTTGCTCTTATCGCGGTCCGTTATTAGCATCACCTGACCGTCGAATATAAAGACGTTCCGAAGCATATCACTCGTGTCGCAGTGCCGGATAGTCATAATCTCCGGCCCTCTCCCGGGCTGGCCTCCCCACGTGTGTGTGCTAACGAGTAGGGCCTGGCGGAAGGACTGGAGCTGGTTGAGCCACTGCTGGACCTGTGCCGTACGGAAGTGGCCTGCCTCGTCGTCCCAGAGCTGCGTAGTGCCTAGGCCGATGAGCTTACGGATGCCTGGCTCGAGCCAGCTGTTCTTCTCGTGCGTAGCGAATGACGCTCCGGGTCCCTCGAAGCTGAGGCTGTCCGTGATCCGTCGCAGTACGACGATCTGGCTCAGCGGGACCCACTCCCGGAACATGAGCTGGTCCAGGAGCTCCTCCGCGTCCGTCACGATGCTAGCTGCCATTACCCGGAAGTCGTCGAGCGGGATGCGCTGGCCGAGATATCGTAGGGCCTCCTTGTTATCCTCCCACATCAGCCGTGGCGTACCCCCCTCTTTCTTCCGGTAGCCCTTGCCGTACGTCATCATCCGGTTCATCGCTAAACGGGGAGAACGAGCCGCCTGCGAGCCAGTCGCGATGCTGCGCGCGGAAGTGCTCGATAGCTTCCTCGCCCATATCCTCGCCGGCTTTTTCTGACTCGAAGATATGCTCTAGGAGGATAAGACGGGCGCACCAGACCAGCCCGGCCACCTGCGTTGTGAACTCGGTCGCTGGCCGCCAGGCGTAGCCCTTCCGGGAACTACTGATCCCGAGTACGGCTGTGAAGTGTAGCAGCGGGTTGCTAAAGAGGTGGACCGCGACCTTCTGCTGGAGTGGCTCGACGCAGAAGGCCATCACAGCCGTGTCTATCGGGTCCTCGGCCGCGTCTTCTCCCTCGCCTGCCTCGCACGCCGGAGTCGCTGGCTCTTCGGACCCGATGTAGGTTGACGAGGCTGGAGACGTCCCTTCGCCTTCGTCCTCCCGGTCGCTGTCGTCGCTGCTGTCGAGCCGCCTGATGATTTCCTCGAGTTCAGCCCACTGGGCGTCGTTAAACCGGATCCGGAACTTCTTTGTGGCCTCGTCTCGGCCGAGCCGCCCAGCCCGGACGCAGTAGTAGAGGTAGCGCTTCCAGTAGACCTGGTATCGATCCTTCGTGTCCTGGCCGTTCTCCGTCCTGAACGGGCCAGGCGCCGGGCGGTCCGCGTCTACACTGGCCAGCCACCGTAGCACCTCCTTCGGGACCTGGCCGGTCCGCTCGATCCCTCTCGCGACGAGCCGTTCGAAGCTGGCCCCGAGCCGTAGTAGGCGCTCCTGCTCTGCGATATCCTCTTCTACCCGGAGCCTGGCGCGCTCTGTCGCCGTAAGGGAGTTCCGGCCCGCAAGGTAGTGCTCGCCGGGGTCGCTGCCGGATAGGTGCCTTGCCCAGCCCATCTCGCGCACCCACGTCGACTCGAAGTCGGCTCCCTGCCGGCTGTCTGCCGTCCGGCGCGTCTCCTCCAGCTCAGCAGCCAAGCTCTCTTCGTATCTCGCAAGCCGTGCCTCTAGCATGCTGGCGAGACCCGATCCCGATCCCGAGGTGCCTGGCCTGCCTGCCGTAGTAGCGACGCTATCGTGCTCCGCCTGCTTGACGATCCAGTACCTGGCGCTGCTGCCGCCTGACAGCGTCTGCAGCCTGACCTCAGTCCAGCCCGCCGGCCCCGTGCCAGGCCCTGGCGGCTGGTGCCCGGCCTTGCGATGGTGAGCCTGGATCACCTTGCGGTTGATGGTCAGGAACCGGCACCGCACGCAGCTGTACCCAGCTAATATTGGCAGGCATGGCACGGCGGGCTGGCCGTCACCCGGGAGCTCGACCGACCGCGGATCCGACAGCGGCTCGGCCAGCCAGCTGCACTCGATTGCGCGCCGCAGTATCGAGCCCTTCCGCCGGTGCACCTGTCGGAGGTGCGTCTCGATCCCGCTGCCCGGGCGCAGGCCCGAACGGCAGTCCCGGCACACCAGTACCCTGCGCTCCTCGCCGTCGGTCCCCCGCCAGCACGCGACCCGCACGTCCGTACTCGCGCCCTCGGCCCCTAGGAGGTCGTTGTCTTTGTCGCTGTGCTGATGCATCCCCTCGCGCGGCCTGGCTGTCCCGACTCTTCTCTTGTTTTCTTCCTTTTTCTTGTTCTTCTTTCTCTTCTTCCCCACTCACCTCCCCTCTCACCGAGTATCGATTACCGTGTGTATATTTATGTCCGTCCTGTTAGGTCGGTTTGGGTGTGTGACGGTGTTGTCGTTTCCGGGGTCGGGGTTAAAGGGGGGGGGGGGGGGGGGGGTTAAAAGGGGGGTCGTTGCAGCGGCTTGGGGTCCCGGCGCCGCCAGATTTGTCCTGGGGCATTCGGCCTCCAGATGTCCGGCCTCAAAACGTCCGACAGGGGGCCTGCTGACTCAGCCTTCACTATGGGCCCCGCCGGGATTTCGAGCCTCGATTCCCTGCGGAATGATGGGCAGTGCCAGGTCGTTGTAGCCAAGATCAGCGACTTCAAGAAGATCCAGCAGTGGACGCCAGAGAGGTACAACCAAGTCCACACCGAGGAGGCCGCCTGGCTTCGCGAGCGAGTCGCAACCCTGCACTCCGTAGACAACAGCAGCCGGCGCCGGCTCTTGGTCGCGACGCACCACGCCCCGTGCGTCGAGGGCACCTCGCGGCCGGAACACACTGCCAACCCGTGGACGGCCGCTTTCGCGACCGACCTCCTACAGCAGCCCGGGGTCTGGGACGGCGTCAAGGCGTGGGTGTTCGGCCACACGCATTACTCGACAGCCTTTCTGCGCAAGGGTATCCGGGTCGTCGCGAACCAGAGGGGCTACGTCCTCCCTGGGAGTGTCGCTGCGCGGGGGGAAGAGGCTGTAGCGAGGAAGAGAAATAAGACGAAGAAACAAGACAGCTATGAATTCGATGCGACGAGGTGCATAAGTGTCTAGGTAGCCAGAGATGTGGAATTAGCCTAACATCTCAATCTTAATGGCGACGCGATGAGAGAGCGCGATCAGTCGGCCACTGTATTTAATTTATTGATTCCTAGTCCAAAAAGGAAAGAGAAATATCTTATTTTAATTAAAGATAATTTACTTAAGAGCTGCTGGTTGACGTCGGCTTCCGGCCATGCAGCCTCCGGACAAAGCTACTTCCTGTCATACGGTTCCGTGCCGCCCCAAAACTGCTCCCCCATGTCCGTACATGTCTATCCGTACATGTCTAGGATCCCGTCCGGTATCTGTCCTGTCCAGCTTGTTTTAACCGTACCTGCCATACATATCTAGATCGTGCTCTGTGTCCTGTTTCGGCTCCTAGACAAATGGAATTGCATGAACTTTGCTGAATCATCAACGTGCCAGGGATGTGCCACGTGGAGCATCCATAGAGCATCTGCGGTACGATCATTTCTCGATACACTTGCCGGAGGTTCACCAGCCCAGCTCCCCATGTTGAGGACGCCAAGGCCGATATGTCCTTCGTCGAGTCCACAGGTAAAGCCACTTCCCATCTATGCGGCGGCCCACCAAAGCAATTGTTTCTGTGCTAAACACTTTCCGACCAATTGAACAGCGTCTATCCAGGCGCACCCACTTGGCAGTGCCGCGATGATGTCCCGAGAACTCGGCGGCGTCGTGTCGCCGGAGCTGAAGGTATACGGGACGGCCAACGTGCGTGTTGTCGATGCGAGCGTGCTCTCTACCCAGATTTCCGGTCACTTGACTGCGATCATCTACGCGGTTGCGGAGCGGGCGGCAGGTTTGATCAAGAAAGACCAGAAGTGGAAGTATCCCGAAGACCACAGCCAGGGGAGCCAGGGTGAGGATTGGCGACGGATGTGATCAAGAATTGGTGGAAGTACAGGTAACTGCAGATATAATTTTACAGCGAATAAATTACAGTTAATCATAAGCCTACTTCTGTGTAAGTGATGCATGTCATGAACGGTGTCTAGCAATTAGCTACCTTAAGCTAGGTAGTGATGGCCTGGTTCCATTGCATAGGCAACCTCTCTACGGCGCGCGGGAATCGACTAATATTTCCGTCGTCATTACAATACGACTCTCGTCATACTCCTTCTTCGGAAAGTCGGTGGAGGGATCCACCGAGGCATGCGCATAGATGCCCCACCGCGTGCTCCCAGCGGCACCCAGTCTTATCTCCTCGAGCGCCAGCTCCTCGGTGCTCATGCTCTTCATCTTGTTGCTCCTGCTCCCCGTCGACTTGCAGGCGCCCGCCCGTATGGCCGCCGAGGCCGAGCCGTAGCGGAGGTAGGCGGTGCGATCGTTGCGGGCGGAGGAGAGGCCGATGCCCGGCAGGAGGCGTGCGATCAGGGGCCGGAGGGTCGGCAGGGTGGATGCGATGATGGAGATGTTGAGCTCGATGCAGGACCAGATCGCCACACCGATGTTGTCCCAGGACGGGTCCTGGCTGATGACGCCGGCCTTGAGGGTGAGCATTCGGTAGACGGAGATGATGCAGACGCTGCAAGCGGGTGTTAGCAAACACGTTCGTTCCTGCAGAAGGGGAGGTGGTCGTATTACAAGAAGCCGAGGCAGAAAATGCCGAGCACCATGATTCTCTGCCTCAGAGGGAGTTGGAGCTTCAACACCGAAGGTATCGGGATGCAGCAGATAAGGATATCGGTCGCCATGCTCATCCCCGAGGAGAAGTACCAGATGGGCAGCGTGTTGAGGCGGGACTTGGCCATGCTGGGGACGATGATGGAGACGGGGAGGCATGCGAGCCCCAGGAGGATAGCCTGCACACATGCCCAGAGGCAGACGTAGACAATGAACCAGTAGCATATCCTCTGCATCACTGCGCCGTGGAAGATGCGTCGGTATTGGAACAGGAAGCCCAGCTTCACAACGTTCAATCCCATGTTGTAGTTGAGGATAGCAACCATGAGGAACTGGTGCGTGGAGCTTGGTTAGCCTTCCATGAGCTCCTTTGGGCCTCCCGCACGTAGGAACTCTTGTTCCAGGGGCGACCGGCCGTCATGCTATACGGCGAATGGAGGACGTACCTTGAGCTGCTCCAAGGTCTCCTTCTCCCCAACAGTTTCGACATGCCTGCCCATGCCGTACTTTGCCTCGAAGCACATGGCCATGGAGTAGATGACCGAAAACCCCTACCGCGCTCGTTAGCACTCGCGAAGAGCAAAAAGACGAAAGAACGGACCGTCGCAATCAGCATGCACCAGTCATCCTTGCCAAGGGACCTTAGAAGCACCCCTCGAGTGTAGAAGCGTCCTGCGATGAATACTGCCGTAGCGCACACGAAACCAATGGCGATACCGGTGACGAGCGGCCCGTTGGTTTCGGTACGGCGCGTTGTCGGCTGCTCCGCCATGGCGTATGGTTTTCGGCAGATCGACTTTGGGAGACTCAATCAAAGGGGGGCCCGTATTATATTGTAGGATGCCTGTATCAGCGCGACCAGACAGGACAGGGACGGAGGTGAGCGAACTGGTGCACACAGGAAGGGAAGGTTTCAAGGAAAGTGTAAATAGGCAATCGCAAGCCTTTCAAGGGCCTGCATGATTTAAATGGGGGGCTATCAGTTGCACTGGACAAAGAGCAGCAGGCCGGGAAGTCTAAGTACTCGTGCCCGCCCCACTTTAATTGGATTCCGCAAATGCTGCAATCTATTAAAAGTGGGGTGTGGCACGAGTAGCAGTTTGTCGGCTACGCGCCAACCAACTGCTCTTTTGAGTTAGTGATCAGATGTTCCCCACCAACGTTACTACCGAGGTGGAGCAATCACGCTTTTCCTAAAACGTCGTGGCGTGAGTGAGGCCGGCTGCTCACGTACTAGCTAAACTCTGCTGGCGATGTGCTGCCCGATGCGGGCTAGCGTTCGTCGAGGGAACTGCGGAGGCGGGGCCGGGGCCGGGACCCGCTTCCCGAATAAGACGAGTGCCACTAGTCTGCTCAGGCGATGCAAATTTGACAAAAAGAGTTCATTCTCTTCAGCCGCTAGGGACGCCTCGGGAATGCGGGACATCCTTGTCTTGATGAACAGAGGTGCGCGACTCTCGCCTCGGCCTTTCCTCTGACTAATGTGATCCGTCATCCACGGTGTCGTTGTCAATATCAATCAATAATGAACCCCAGTTTTGTCTGAGGCGGAAAGGGGCGACCTAGGTATGCGCCGTCCAACATGAAATACCATGCCGTGCCCTCGAAGAGTCCCTCTTGCCACCCACCTACTCAGTCAGTTGTTTCCGTCGCCACCCCCCTCGGCTAATCAAACTCTCCATTGTGCGCTATGAGGTTCTCACCATCGTTCGTGGCGGCCCTCGCCCTCTCCGCTGGTGTGTCTGCCGAGGATGACTCGTTTGACTATGTGAGTGAGCACTGTACACTGCGCGCGCTCGCGGCGCAAAACGCCATGTCTGACTTGCAATGCCCTAGATTGTTGTTGGTGGTGGCACTGCTGGTACCGCCCTGGCCACTCGCCTCAGCCTGGGCCTTCCCAAGTCCACCATCCTACTCATTGAGGCCGGACCTGCTGCTCTCGATGACCTGAGGATCAATGTCCCTGGCCTTCGTGGGTCTATTCTCGGGACCAGCCTCGATTGGAACTTCACTACAGTCAAGCAGTCGTCTCTTGATGGCCGCTCTATCAGTGTCAACCGTGGCAAGGTGCTCGGTGGCTCCTCTGCCATGAACTACCTTTGCTACGACCGTGCGTCGGCCCCTGAGTACGAGGCTTGGGCTGAGCTCGGGAACCCGGGCTGGGGTTGGAACACCATGGTCAAAGCTATGACCAAGTCGGAGAACTTCACAGGCACTGATAAGGACAGGCACGGACGCAACGGGCCGATCCAAAACTACTACAATCGAGTCGTCTACCCTGTCCTGCGCTTCTGGCAGCCGGCCGTGAGCAAGCTCGGCATCAATGTCAACGACCATGACAGCATGGGCGGCGACCCCATCGGCGTCGGGTTGCAGCCCACCAACATCGACACGAAGAAGAACACACGCTCCTACTCCGCCAGCAGCTATCTGCCCCTGGCCGGCAAGAACCTGGTCGTCAGGACCAACACCCAGGTTGCCAAGGTCAACCTGGTCAAGCTCAAGGACTCGGAGTACAAGGCGACCGGCGTGGCCCTGCCCGGCGGCGAGGTCATCCGAGCACGGAAGGAAGTCATCATATCCGCCGGCTCCGTCCAGAGCCCCGGCCTGCTCGAGCTCTCGGGCTTTGGCCAACCCGCCGTGCTTAAGGCTGCTGGTGTCACTCCGCTTGTCAACCTCCCCGGCGTCGGCGAGAACTACCAGGACCACATCCGCCTGTCCAACACGTACAGACTCAAAGACGGCATTGACTCCTTCGACAACCTCATCTTCGACAGCGCCGGCGCCAATGCAACGGGCGAGCTGCAGAAGTGGGTGGAGGGCGAGCTGTCGCTGTACGAGTATACCACCTCGGCTTACGGCTTCATGAACTGGCGCCAGCTTGGCCTGGACGTGAAGATGAAGAAGATCGCCCGCGACGTCTTTGGTCGCAGCGCCAACGTCATCGACGCTAAGAAGCTGCAGTATCTAAACAACGCCCGCGTGCCGTCGATCGAGATGATCTACGAGGCCAACTTCGTCGGCTCCTTTGGATACACAGGCGGCAAGTTCATCACCCTCATCGCGACCGTCATGCAGCCCTTCTCGCGCGGCAGCGTCCACATCGACCCGAGTGACCCACGCGGCAAGCCCATTATCGACCCCAAGTTCATGAGCAACAAGTACGACCACGAGGGGCTCGTTGAGGCCGCCAAGTTCTCGCGCCGCATCGCTCACTCCGAGCCCATCAAGTCGACCTGGGTGGCGGAGACCGAGCCCGGCGAGGATATCCAAACAGACGAAGACTGGCGCGCCTATGCTAAAACGGCGATGGGCAGCTTCTACCACCCTGTCGGGACCTGCGCCATGCTTCCCCGTAAGAACGGCGGCGTGGTCAGTCCTGAGCTCCTTGTGTACGGCACGACCAACCTGCGCGTCGTCGACAACAGTATCATCCCTATTATCCCGGCTGCTCACATCCAGACTGCGGCGTACGGCATTGCCGAGGTCGCCGCGGCCAAGATCATCGCCTCTGCGTGAGAGTGATGGGGAGGGGTGGGTGCTTCAGGCTCGGCCCCTCTCCGTTGAAATGAGTCGTCGGGCTCCCTTGTCAGACCTCGCTCAGCCTTTAAAGTTTTGCATATTAGTTTCCTGTAAAACGAGACGTGATCTTGTGCTGTGCCGGACACCTGCGCGCCGGGCAAGTCGATATATACTTAGGGTACATAAGGAATAACACGATTCAGTTCATGGTTTCGGCCGAGGGCAAGCCAATCAACCGGAATATCCAGAGTCAAGTATTCATCGTTAGTACTAGGCTGCCGCTCAAACGAGTTCTATGGGCCCCTCAATACCGGTTTCGACAACCAGTATATCGGAAACATTGCTGCGGCTTGTGATGAGGGTGTAGCTTCTAAACAGCCATCGCAAAAGAGTCCGTGCGCGGTGGATTTTCCACCACCATAAATCTAAAGACCATCACTTCACTGATATATTTGCATACCTTATTAGTTGTTTATTGCAGAATGAATGATATCTTATTGATCGTGAGCTCTTGCTCTTTAATATTTAGAGTACCAACCGCGAGCTGCCTTGACTGCGTCGATGCGACGCGGCAGTGACAAGAGGAGAGCCCTCACCTTGTGTTCAGGGATAGCTTCCCACGCTCTTTTAATTAATTCATTAGCGTATACAATATGGCTTAAATTGCGCTTCAGGTTACGGAAATGAGGCTCTATTTTATAGATTGAACGCTTCAAAAGGCGCCAAACGTGTTCGATTGGGTTGAGATCTGGCGAATGAGGTGGCCACTTAAGGGTCCAAATTCCGTGGGTTTCGAGCCACTCCTTAGAAGCCATCGCACGATGAATTCCGGCGTTGTCTTGCATAAAGGGGTCTGCAGCCTCATAGAACGGGAGGAGGCCTTCCTCAAGAACATCAGTATAGCTTCGCGCAGATGCTCCTCCACGTTTAGAATCCGGATCTCCCTCAACTACGATCACAGGGGACATCCCAGCCTCTCCGTCGCGATACTAAATCATCCCCCGTACCATTATCGAAATTTTGGACTTCACATGATCCTCAGGGTTCACAAGATCACAGCGGTATCTTTCGGGAGATAATCTGAGGACCCATTCGGATGGTTTATCCGGTTGATTCTGAATTGTACATTCGTCTGAAAAGAGCGTTCTTTGAAGCTGTCGTACGCGATAACCACGTCTATAATCGAGGCAGAATTGGTACCGCTGTAAAGCATCCTTATCCGTCAGCTCGATGCGACATGCTGCGCGCCACTTTGTGAGGCCTGTTTTCTTGAAAAACCGCCTTAAAGTAGGTACAGTATAACGGCCCCTAAAGTGGCTGTAGTGCTCTCTCCAGGTTGCTCTGGGTGCTTGGCGACCTTGACGATAGACCTGACGAGCTGCGCGCCCCTGAATTATCGGTTTGACACCCTTACGAGGTTTTGAATTAAGTCGTTTTCTTTTTGTTGCTTTTCTAAGTTGCTCTCCGACCCGCTGGCGTTTGGTCCCGAGGGCTTCCGCGATCTCGGCGTGTTTTGCGCCCGCACCTGCAGCTCCGAGCATAAAGGCGCGCTGCTCTGGAGTGAAGTCTTGGCATCTTTGACGATTCCCCGACACAATGTCACCGAATTGACGCAATTTGGACATGTTAAGGCTTCACAATAGCTGTTGAAAGAAAAGTTGTTGATGGGGGAAGACGCGACGCGACAGGCAAAGTGGGGCGCGCGCACGGATTCTTTTGGTACGGTATTGTAAGGCATATCAGCATCATGAGACCCAATTCTGGTCTCCCCGCAAGATTGTAAACCTGGGACCGCAAGCCCAGGGCTAAACACATGAGCCCGGGGGTGGGGGTCTTTCATTAGTAGCCAGGCCCAGAATTGGTCCTTTGTCAATATATTTGTCCGCTCGAAAGTAGCTCGAAAAAGGAGTCCCCAAGGATCTAGCCCTAGGTGGATATTTAGAACTACTTGCTTATTACTGAAGGTTGAGCGTGCCCATTTTTAGAGCCCCTGCAAGTGGCTGAAGTGGACCTAAATTGGGACCCCTTGAGTGGCCGATTGTGTACAGCTCTACTGCAACCTTCGTGTACCATCATTGGCTAGATGCCATATCCAATCTATTCATAGCTGCGCTACATTTATTCAGGTTGAAGGATCGTTCATTTTTGTCCTGCGTTAGCTCTCCGCTTTAGCACTGCCCATTCTCTGCTATGGCAGGCGCCGAAGCCTGCTTTGCCCAGTCCTGCTTTGCCCACAGTCCTGCCATGGCAGGCCCTCCGGCCCAGAATTGGGCCTTTGTCAACTTTTGTCCACTCGAGAGTAATTGATAGAGGAGTCCCTTGCTATTACTGAAGGTTGAGCGTGCCCAATTTTAGAGCCCCTGCAAGTGGCTCAAGTGGTCCTAAATTAGGACTCTGCAATGGACTAGTACATCATTTGGGATGGTATGCGATGTCCTGGCTTAAAATGTAGGATGGTATATCGTATCCTGGTCTATAGAATAGGACAGTATCCGATATCCTGGCCCACGGATCTAGGATGGTATATCATGTACCAGTCCACAACAGGTCAGTGCATAATATGATAGACATAAGGTACTGTTATATAATAGGATATCCTATCATGTGTCAGTACGCAATTTGATATCCAAGACAACCTAGTACATTCTGGGATAGTATATGGTAACTTGGTACACTCTTTGGCATAGTCCATCATAAACTGGCTCAGATAATGCTAGTCCCAAAGGTCGCTCATCTCTGGTGACAGTTCAGCCCGGCCTTGCTCGAACGGTTGTTCTCAAGGCATTCATCTTTTCCCTGCCGTTCTGATAACCGGCAGCGCCTTGCTGTACTATCGAAGTGGCTACAGCATTTCTTTTCAGGCACACCTTAGATGCGGAGGAATTTTCCAGGCAATCAGGTGTACACCCTGAGATGCTGAGCTGGCAGTATCGACTTGCTTTCAGGCATGTTTGTGACGCCAATCCCCAGCTTCTGCTTGCGGGGTACCTGGTTCGAGCTGAGGACACGTCTTTGATACGGGATGGAGCAAAGGACTGTAGGTCAATGTTAGTTGGAGACTCGGCCGTGAGGATGTGTTGGATTCTTGTGAAGCAAGAGTATATAGGGGTACAGTATAATGCCCGAACCTTGCTAAGTGGAAAATGCCTTCTGATATAGAAAACTGAAGCGATGTGCTCGCCCTTGAACCCACCCATCATGTCCATCATCACGGAATCTTCAACCTTAAGCCTATAGCTCCCAACGCTCGCCAGTCTCTCGAAGACTTGCTTATCCTCATTGAATCACACCTCGATTGGCAGCCAGTCAGCATTAGCTCGGATTTCAATGGACACGGTGGAGGCGCACTACGTGTAATCCATGGATACTATGAATCTATGTTATCTGCCCGAACCCATCTCAACCTAGGGTGGAAATGAGATCACAGAGTCACAAAGCCACGCATGACCTGCGCGGCAGTCCCCGCCAGGCTGACGGTGTCAACCTTCGAATCCTTGTCGAGACCAACCTGCACGGTTATGTTGCTCTCCCGCCCGATCTCCACGCCTTGCGTAACCTCGTAGCGAGTCAGCGCCCCCGCAGCGCCGCTCTTGAGGCTGAGGTAGCTGCACAGCGCGGAGGCGGCGCTACCGGTCGCGGGATCCTCGAACGACTTTTCGATCATGCGAGTGCGCAGTGAGACAGCGTTGCCACCTTCCCCCGTGCTGGTACGGACGTAGTAGTACCGTCCGATGAAGCTGTTGCGCCAGCCCTCGTCGAGGAGCTCATCCGTGGGGAAGACGACGGTGCTACGCTCCACCCTGGCTAAGGCCTCGAGGGATGGAAGCTCCACAAGGATGAAGGACATGCCATTGACGATGCTGACGACTTTCGCATCGAGCTCAGCCTGGCGGATGGTATCGTCGCTAGAGAGCTCTGGGAGCGAGAGGTCTAGGTCCCTCGGGCACTTCGCGTGGAGGCGGACGTCATGGGGGATACCGGCCTGAACGGCACTTGGGCCGGTCTGGGTAATCTCGATAGGACCTGCCTTGGTGATGACAGTTCGCACGCCCAGGGGTAGGAGGGAGACGGCGGCGCCAACGGTCGGGTGGCCAGCGAAGGGGATCTCACGGTCAGGTAGGAAGATGTCGATCTTGCGTTGGTGTTTGTTGACATCATCTCGGGGATCGACATCGTGGACAAAGACTGTCTCTGAGAGATTGAACTCGCGGGCGATGGCTTGTTTCTGCTCTTGGGTTGGTGGGCCCGGAAGAGAGGCGGGAATGGTGACTACGGCCAGGGGGTTGCCCTTGAATGGTGTGGTGGTGAAAACATCGAGGGTGACGAAGGGGAGTTCCATAATGAGTTGCGTTCTTCTGTTGTTGTCGATGGTCTTCGCGGTAAATAGCAGGCTGGAAGATGCTATCGGATGGTGTGAGATGATTGGTTCTGACTTGCAGACGCAAAGATGAAGATGGTGGTTCGAGGATGGGTGCGGGTGGAGAGTTGAGTTCCACCTGGAGACCGTGATGGCGGTTCAACCGAATCAAGACGAGGTGAGATTGAGGTCCTTCCCCATGGCATCATCCTCCGGTGAACGTTTTATAGTTTCCCTTCTCGGGGCGCGCGTTGGTCAAGGTGAGTCATCGTGAGGGGTAGCTACGATAGCGGCCTCAGTTACAAGTTGCTGACATTGCCTAGAGGCAATCTGATCTAGGTGCACCAGGCGATGGAGCAAGCAGGTAGAGCGATCTGGAGAGCCCGACTCTGCGACGTACAACAAAGATGGGATGTAATTAGCTACAGAGAGGCACTTAGCAAATTTCGTGTACTTAATTATGGTTGAAAGCCGCTGTGAGGCCATCAAAGGGTATTCTGTCGGCCCATTCCTCCCCGTGATTTATATGCGTTCTGATGTAGATTATCGATGGTCTACTGTACCTTATTTTCGATCTAGAGGGACTCACGACGCAGCTACATGCGTTTCCGAAGAAGAGTTTTGTCTTTTACTGTGGCAACTTTGATGGGGCATGTGCTGGGAAAATCGGGCCCATCTGGTCCGCAGGCTAAACCGAGGTGGAAGCCACGTATGGAAGCGGACTGGAATGCTTGCCTCCAGCGCTCGAGGGCCACGATAGCTGGGTGCACTCGGTCGTCTTCTCGACAGACAGCCAGCGGCTCACATCAGGTTCAAACGATAAGACTATCAAGATCTGGGATGTGGCTACAGGTGCTTGCGTCCAGACACTCAATACGATGGGCAGAGTATGTTTTGGCTACCTCCGGAGTATCGAGAGTCAAGTTTTGCTGTGGCGGGACTGACAGTCGCCTCTGGTTGCGGCTCAGGTCGTGCATTAGTGATGCAGCTCTCAGCAAATGGGCCATTAATATTGGCGGCTGGGCCAGGTTTGAGCGGCGCGCAAAAGTGTAACCCCTGCCAGGAAGACCCCGACGAGACGGCGGCGTGGCAGATGTGGTTAACTTCAGTGTTGACTGCCGAGCCGATGCGGATAACAAGAAAGTCCCACGACGGAACGAGAAAGCGACCCATCAGTGGTGTGCTGAGAACGGCCATCACTGTCCGATGTTAAATTGACATGGCGGGGAAGTGGACCCAAGTGCTTCACCTGTAACCCTAACGTAATCCACAAGCGACCCGCCCATACAAGCGACCCGCCCACTTTCTTCCCTCTAAACAAATCCTCAATCTTTTCCTTCATTCTCCCACCATTACCTCTTATGGCGCAATCTAAAGAACACGACCTTATCTTAGCGCTAAACGCGCTTCAATCAAACCCGAAAATAAGTGTTCGAAAGGCTGCATCAATCTATAATGTCCCACGTACAACCCTCCGAGACCCACGACGTGGCGTAGAGCGCAAACGTGATACCCGACCACATAACCAGAAATTGACCCCGTACGAAGAGGAGAGCATCGTACGATACGTAATCGACCTAGATTCGCGATCATTTCCGCCGCGACTTAGTGGTGTTCGAGAAATGGCGGATCGACTCCTCCGCGCACGCGACGCGCCGCGCGTCGGAACGAACTGGGCTACAAACTTCGTACGACGACGACCTGAGCTCCGAACGCGTTTTAATCGAAGAATCGACTATCAGAGAGTCCTCTGCGAAGATCCGGACGCGTATCGCGCGTGGTTTTTACTCGTACGAAACATAATCGCGAAATACGGGATACACGACGACGATATCTATAACTTCGACGAGACAGGCTTCGCGATGGGCAAGATCTCCCGCCGAGACTGTCGTTACAACCTCCGATCGACGCGGCAAGCCAAGAGCCGTACAACAGGGGAATCAGGAATGGGTTACAGTAATCCAGGGCATCGGGGCGTCCGGCAATTCGATCCCGCCGTACATCATCTTCGCAGGCAAGGTCCACCTCGACTCGTGGACGTCCGAAAGCCCTCTACCGCCTAACTGGGTAATTACGCTTACTGAAAACGGCTGGACGACGAACGAGAAAGGCCTAGAATGGGCAAAGCACTTCGACTTTTATACAAAGAGCCGTACGAAGGGCGCTTACCGGGTCCTCATTCTCGACGGCCACGAGAGCCACCACTCGGTCGATTTCGAGCTGTACTGCAAGGACCAGAATATAATCACGCTCTGTATGCCTGCTCATTCGTCGCATAAGCTCCAGCCTCTCGATGTCGGGTGCTTCGGACCTCTAAAACGGGCGTACGGAAACGAAATCGAAGATCTTATGCGGGCGCACATTACCCACATCGCGAAGGAAGACTTCCTCCCAGCCTTTTACAAGGCGTACGACGCTGCAATTTCGAAGTCAAATATACAGGCAGGCTTTAGAGCGACTGGCCTAGTACCGTACGACCCGGAATACGTCATTTCGCAGCTAGATGTGAAGCCTCATACGCCAACACCGCCAGGTTCCTCTACAGGCCTCCCGCCACCCTGGGTCTCGAAGACGCCAAACAACCCGATTGAAGCCGAGGGTAGGGTTAGGGTCGCAGACTGAATACATCAAGAATCGTATCGTACGGCATCAGGGTAGCTCTCCTTCATCAATAATTGCAAGCTTACGGCAGCTAAATAAAGGAATCGCAATGATGGTGCACGAGCAAACCCTTGTACGCCACGAACTCGCCGAACTTCGAGATGCAAATGACCGCCTTAGCCGCCGTCGCCGTACAAAGAGAAAGCAGCTACAGAAAGGAGGATCCCTAACAATTAATCAGGCAAAGGACTTGAAGGATCAAATCGATGCGACGCAGCAGTTACAGGCAGAAACGAGTCAGAATAGTGGTCGCGCGAGGAGGACAGAGACACGCGCGCGACGCTGTGGCGTCTGCGGGGAGCCCGGTCATAATGCGCGTACGTGTCAGAAAGTTGAGTCTATCTCTGAAGAAGAGGATTCTAAATAGTTTTGATTAATTTGAGGCGTTGTGGTTGAATGCACTTATACATTGTCGTGTAAGTGCCTAGAAAGTGGGCGGGTCGCTTGTGTGGGCGGGTCGCTTGTGGAGTACGTTAACTCGGACTGTCGCGCCATAATGTCTGGTGAACTTGTTTGGATTGGCCTCAAGGGCTCCTTTCCTCCTGAGGATCATCGCACCTATATCTTGGTCTTTCTTCGTTCATGATCGTGCTCAACTACTTTGAAGTCCCAGAATACCACTATTCGCCTAATGATGCTGTCACCAGTATCCTCGAGAGGCTAAAAATGCACCAAGATCTGAAACACTGCATTATGTGAACCTTCTCGGCATCTTGTCTCCACTTTCCACCATGTCCCAAAATAGGCGCGTCTGAAACCAAAAGATTATGTCACTTCTCCGTAAAAGGATGCTTGCTGAGCCTCTGACCGGTGTCAACCCTCTATATTCGGGTTCTCAGCGCGAATCTTCCCTCTCCAATTGGCGCTATCAAAGATGTGACATACGTTCGACAAATCCCCGTAGACTGCAAGACAGGCAAGTGATCACTATATGACAAGTGGTACTGCTTTCCATGCATTGACACAGCGAGTCTCTGCTTTTCAAATCAGCCATGGACGGTAGATGCATTTTGTGTCACAAGAGACGGTCCTCTAGACAGAAGACACAGGACACTGTCGACCGCTACATATGCTCCAGGCGAATTGCGGGTGGATCAAGAACTTGATTAACCCAGTAACGCATAACAGCTCATGCCCCGTAAAGGTCGAGATTCACTGCTACCCACAAAGTCCCAGTGCAAGTCCAACGTCTTGCGAACCAACGAAGGAAACTACACTACACCCCCAGCATCCCATCGCGGAGCTCCACGGCCAGGAAAGAAGATGCCAGCCATTCAGAGATCATCCGCGCGTAAACTTCTTGACGAAACCAACCAGGCCCGACCTTGGCGGGTCTAGCAGAGCAGGCAGCCGCGCCTACGAACTATACTAGCAGGCTTCATACGATTATCGCCTGTCATCCACAAAGCCGTTTTCCAAAAGACGGGGCAACGCATGCTTCTTCCATGCACGACCCATCCGAAGGATTACGAGGCCAGGTCTCCATATTGAGTGGCCCTGCAGAAGCTGCCCCCCCCTCTAGCGTAAGGCGAGAAGTCGGCCTAGAGTCAAAGAAATGCCAGCACTTATCGGTATCCCGTAATCTGATAGTTCACCAACGGTTACGAAAGATCTACTTAGCTTCTCAACCTGCGCGGTTGCAAAAGTTGACTCAATTCACTCGACGATCTCCTGCGTCTTCCTACCTCTAGCCTTTCTCATTTTATTGAATGATAAGGTCTTGCAACCATGAGATTAGCCGGTTAGGATTCTGCTATGGCTTGAATCAATAAGCTATCTAGTGGAATAATTATCGCGTTGAAGAATGATAATACATCCTCTCACTGTATATCTTGATCTCACACCGTCTCTCGTGATATTAAGTGCCCTCTTTCATCCTTATATACGCTTCAAAGGCATCATTATCTTACAGATATCTAAGGTATTGTACTGGAAGCTGAAGGAAGCAACGCTCATATAAAGGTCCCGGGCCGCAATGAGAAGGCTAGGTCGTCACATCGTTGGGGGGCTATCCTACACAGATCACAGACTAAGGAATCAAAGTCTGTGTGGCAGCTAACACCACCCGAAGACGATAGCGCTTGATAATTGAAGAGTTGTCATATTGAGAAGCCTGATATATTGTTCAATGCGGGGGGCCGGCGGGGGTACCGTTGGTAACCCCGTACCCCGCGTAGCTACCCTGATGGAACACGGAGCCTTCTGAAAGACCAAGCAGCTAGAAGCTAATGACTGAGATAGAGGATGGGCCCGACACTAATCAAGTCAGTTCTCCTCTCGCCGGTTCATTGGTGAGGACCGAAATTCTGCTGTCTCTTTTCACTGTTTGACGTCTCAGGGTTGTTCCTTCATGAAAATGGCCTGGATAAAATGAATAAGGGCATCAACATCCGCCCTTGTGGACATAGCACCTACACTTGCTCTTACCACCCTGTGTAATACATGAATGGTTAGCCGTTAAAGATAAAAAAATCTCCGATGTGACGTGGACATTACCGCCGAAACAACGGGAGGACTAGGTGCTGAGAGCACAGTACTGATAACACTGATAACAACGTAGAATAACGTAATCCACGGGTGAGTGTGAGCCACACGGGTCAGTGAGCCACTTTTCAAGTACTCGTACGACAATGTATAAGACAATTCAACCACAACGCCTTAAATCAATTGAAACTATTCAGAATCCTCTTCTTCAGAGGCAGATACAACTTTCTGACACGTACGAGCATTATGGCCGGGCTCGCCGCAGACGCCACATCGCCGCGCGCGCGTTTCGGGCCTCCTCGTACGACCACTATTCTGACTCGTTTCTGCCCTTAACTGCTCCGTCGCATCGATTTGAGCCTTCAAATCCTTTGCCTGGTCAATCGTAAGGGACCCTCCTTTCTGTAGCTGCTTTCTTTTCGTACGACGACGGCGGCTGAGGCGGTCGTTCGCATCTCGAAGTTCGGCGATATCATGGCGCATAAGGTCCTGCTCGTGTGCCATCATCGCCATCCCTTTATGAAGCTGCTTAAGGCTTACGATTATAGACGACGGTGAGCTATTCTGGTGTCGTACGATGCGATTTTGGAGATACTCCTTCTGCGATTCGGCCTCGATCGGGTTATTCGGCGTCTTTGAGACCCAGGGGGGTGGTAGTCCAGCAGAACCTGGTGGTGTCGGCGTACGAAGCTTTATATCTAGCTGCGAAATCACATAGTCCGGGTCGTACGGTACTAGGCCTGTCGCTCGAAAGCCTGCCTGGATGTTTGACTTGGTTATCGCAGCGTCGTACGCCTTATAAAAGGCTGGGAGGAAGTCCTCCTTTGAAACGTGGGTTACGTGCGCCCGCATAAGACCTTCGATTTCTTTACCGTACGCCCGTTTTAGAGGTCCAAAGCACCCAACGTCGAGAGGCTGGAGCTTATGCGACGAATGAGCAGGCATACAGAGGGTAACAATATTCTGTTCCTTGCAGTAGAGCTCGAAATCGACGGAATGGTGGCTCTCGTGGCCGTCGAGGATAAGGAGGCGGTGGGTGCCCTTCGTACGACTCTTTGTATGGAAATCGAAGTGTTTTACCCACTCTAGGCCTCTCTCGTTCGTCGTCCAACCGTTCTCTGAAAGCGCGATTACCCAGTTGGCCGGTAGAGGGCTATTCGCGGTCCAGGAGTCGAGGTGGACCTTCCCTGCGAAGACAATATACGGCGGGATCGAATAGCCGTACGACGCGATACCCTGGATTACTGTAACCCATTCCTGATTCCCTTGTTGTACGGCTCTTGGCCTCCCGCGTCGATCGGAGGTTGTAACGACAGTTTCGGCGGAGATTTTACCCATTGCGAAGCCCGTTTCGTCGAAGTTGTAGATATCGTCATCGTGGATCCCGTATTTCGCGATTATATTTCGTACGAGCTCAAACCACGCGCGATACGCGTCTGGATCTTCGCAGAGGACTCTCTGATAGTCGATTCTTCGATTAAAACGCGTTCGGAGCTCAGGTCGTCGTCGTACGAAGTTTGTAGCCCAGTTCGTTCCGACGCGCGGCGCGTCGCGTGCGCGGAGGAGTCGATCCGCCATTTCTCGAACACCACTAAGTCGCGGTGGAAATGATCGCGAATCTAGGTCAATTACGTATCGTATAATACTCTCCTCTTCGTACGAGGTCAATTTCTGGCAGGGTGGTCGGGTATCGTGTTTCGCAGCTCGGCCGTCTCGTCGTCGTTGGAGGGTTGCGCGGGATACATTATAGAGTAATGCAGCCTTTCGTACGCTCAATTTTGGGTCAGATTTAAGCGCAGCTAGCGCTAGAACCAAATCGCATTCATTTGATTGTCGTACCATGATTGTTGGTGGAGAAATAAGGAAATGAAGGTTATCTATTCAAAATGGGGGAAAAGTGGCTCACTGACCCGTGTGGCTCACTCACCCGTGGATTACGTTATTCCTATACTAAAAAGAATACGTACCCAGTAGGTGACCCATGGAGGACACCTTTGGCTGATCTGCCACATATGTGGCCTGCTTGTAGTGCGCGATGCAGCATCCATGGCTCATACCCAAGGACTGCGTAAATCCCCCCAGGATTGCACACTCCTACATTCTCAATGTCAGCATCAAGAGTATCATCATTCCAGTTATCGGTTCACTCGTGCATTGCCCAACTCACCTCCTGACCTGACATATATTCCGGCTTGATTCGCAGCTTCTTCAACTTCCGTAAACGGAACGTATTTCCCATCATAACCGATGATATTGAAAGCAACTGCCGAGCCATGTCTGGAGGTGCTCTCGACGGAGACATCGTCTTGCTTCGGGTGCTTGTAATGATAGATTTGACACATCAACCGCCCATTGTAGTGCCGCAGCGCCATGAGCCCTTGCTGCAACCGCGTTGTAAGATAATGTGTATGGTCAGACACCACCTCCATCGAGATGAAAAGTCGCTTGTGCGAATCGATGGCTTCGCCAAGGGCAAGGATGCTATGAAAAGGGAGAGTCCCATCCTCCAGCCCTTCATGCAGCTTATCATCAGGTCCTTCTTGGCCCTTGGAACGGTGAAAGACGTCATCGATCACACCGACAGCTTCGACGGTACCACCTCCGAAATATCTCCTCAGACTCAATATGTGGCCAGACTCTCTGCGGACAACCAGTGCCCCTACATCTGGGAAGCCGAATATCTTATAGAAAGAGAGGCACGTGTAGTCCGGTGATGATGCTGGATTTGAAAACACTCGGGACATAGGAAACGTCATGGCTAACGCTGCCGCATCCAGCAGCGTGTATGTATTCTGTAAGTCGTCGGTATGGCGCATGTGCCCTGCCCACTCCAAGGGCAGTCGCCTGCCAGTCAGGTTTGATTGGGCCGGGTACGCAAACAACCCTAAGGAGTGGCGATCTGGCCGTTTGACATCGACAGTAGCTGGCCGACGCAGCCATTCTTCGACCTCTTCGTCACTTTCGAAGCAGTGGGACTGGTTGTTCGACCACTCACGAACTCCAACGAGGCTGGTATGGGCGTCCCTGTGATACCCGTACCAGAATGATTTCGAATGTGTCTTCTCTCCCAAGTCTCGGAAGACTTCCCCTACCAGCTTGATAGCTGCCGTAGCATTTGCGACAAAGACAAAGTCGAAGTGTTCCGGATTGGCACCCAGGAAGTCAAGCGTCTTAGCGCGGACGTCCTCAACGACATTGCTAGAGAGCCTCGCGGGAGCATTTTCTGAGTGAGGATTTCCGTACAAGTCTGTCAGCATCTTCTCGGTAAAACTTTCGATCGCCGATTTCGCATATATCGTGGCTCCACTATGGTCAAGATATACTCCTATTGCAATATAGTTCCAGGTTAGCTGTGTCGAAGAGACTTCCCTTTGTGAGATGACTTTACGATTAGCTATGCTTGGGAGTTCTTAGCAGCTCACCGACGTTCATATGCGGATACTCAGCCGGTCTAAGCCGATCGACATTCTCGTTATATGCCCCGGCCATCTTGCCGATGGAGCACATGCTGACAACTCAGCCTAACGAAAGCCTAAAGGTTACTCTAATCGGTACGATGTCAGTGTCGTCCCCGACACTGAGCAATCAAAATCGGACATGATGAAGACGTGCAGACATCGACGAGTATTATACATGGCACTGTAGTCAAGCCCTGATTCAGATCGCTTTCAACCTATATTTGTTTACAATCGATAGTTGATGTATGGTCTTGTCTCCCGAGCAGACGATAGCGGCCCCGCCTTCTAGCGCGCCTTTCCTTTCCGGAAGTGCCACCACACCCTTGGACAGCCTCGATAGCTGATTGACTATGGGAATATACTACTGTATCGAGGAAAGTAGTCCATCTCGTCCTCGAGCAAACCTGCCATGGGCTTTCCGAGCAAGTGCAGTCTGACCTGGAGCTCAAGTTCCTAGGAGAACTTACAAACTACAAAGCAACGTCCTCAGTATGTTTATTTCCATTTCATAATCTCTCCTGCCACACAGAGAGCACTCCCACGTCTATTTGCTAGGAGGCGCTGAAAGATCACGCGATTTCAAGGCTGGTACATTAAGAGTGTATACTCTGGTACGATGCCTAAGACTCATATTTCGCTGACGGCCTGCGACAAATGGCTACATTCGTGCCAGAGCCTTGGGTCACCTTCAGAAGCGAGGAAGCTTGACCTTGCCAAGGAAGGCGTCAGCAAGCCAAGCACCAGCAGGCGGCTAGCTGGAATTGTGTTGATTTTGGAAATGGGGTCACGATGAACGGTATGCTAAGCGATCTGTGATACTGCTTCTCGAGCTTCAAAGAACTCTTCTTCCCTTTGCCCGCGAGCAGTCACTCGAGTTGGCCATCGACCACGTACCTAATAATGCTACTAGAGCTTGTGGAGACGCGATCTGCGCGATTAACACAACGTAACGGTTACATATCGTACCGATGGATATGTCGACGCGCTTTGACTCGAACGGAGCGAGCGAAGATATGACTCGTGCGATGCTATCGAACAAGACGGCAGAAAGGTAGAAATATACAACACCCCACGGTGCAGACATGTTAGTTCTGGGACATCTTTTCAACCTGCCGACTCCGTCATTGGCGGTACATTAGCGTTGCTACAAATGACCTGTCTGGAGTGACCAGACCCGAGAACTCCATAGCGGATCCGGTACCTGCAGTTGCTTACTCTATCATTCCAACGTCCCGACGCAGCATTTGTTGATGATTCTATCCAAGCCTCGAAGCTGTACCTGTGCGACTCAGGCGCCATGCACGGTATGTAGTCAGGTGGGAACAACAACTCACGCGATACATTTGGGTGCGCACCAGTGGATGACCGTGGCACAGAAGCGTCAGCTCAGGTTCTCGCCGCATCGTTGGGTTTGTGTTGATTGTCGAGACTGTGCTTGTACGGCAAGGCGTCGTTGAAGGTTGAGCTAGGAGGCGTGGCTTGCGGAAGCTAAGGGACCCGCTGCGGGTCTTGCTCTCCCCCACAGAGGATCTCAGTTCATAACCGCGACAAAACTCTCGATCATGCGGTGGCGCAGCGCAGAGACATCTCTACGGAATATTGATTACGGCATTATTCGAAGGTAGGTAGCGCGTATGACTCGACTTGCCTCTACCCAGATGACACATTTTCTTCAGGCATAAAGTGAGGTTGGAGGAGAACGACTCGGGCGCCGTTGGCCCCACTTTACAGGTTCTCCTGCCTCTGCCGCCACGCCCCGCAACAACGGTACCCGACTCACAAGGCGCCCAAGACCTTCTCAACTTCCCTCGGGATTATCATGCCGATCCTCATACTGCCGCCGAGCGAGCTGTAGCGCATCAACGTTGCAGTGATGTTGCGACTCACGAGGGCGGTCGAGATACGTTCTGAATGATGAGGCACGACCCCACGAAACCATTGAAAAGAGAGGGACGCGAAGATTAAAAGCGTAAGACTGACTTCCTATCTTTATTCCAGGCCACCATAGTGAAAGCGACAGAAGCTGGCAGATTAGAACAGTGAAGTATAGGAGAAACGGAGGAGCTTACAATGCTATTTGATTGAACGGCTTTTACGCTGCGCTTGAGATGTCTGCCGATGAATTGAATCGATGGCTTTTAGCTAGAAAATTACTCGCTCTCAATGTGATAGAGATACTCCAGGCTTCTAAGGCGCGGTCAGTTAATGCTCCTATGAGACTGTTGCGGACAGAGACCCTCCGTTGCCGGGACGTTGCACAATACGTTTCGTTTCGACATGAATGTCTCTATCCGACACGAAGTTGACTTCTGGTATGCATTCTAGTGCTGGTCGAAAGCGGTGCTGACGCGCGGCAGTATGCAGTCTCAAGGTACCTGAGCCGCCGTATTGCACCCGCAACGTAACGCCTGAGTTACTGAGCGGAATATGATCAAGTTACTCGGACTATTTCAGCCGCCGCCTACTCAGAATGCCGCTCAACTGGGAGAGTTGTAGAACAAAAACAGCATCTGCTGTGACCATTTGGTAGTTAATCATCCCTATGTCCGCGGCAGTCATGAGTTTACAGGAGCCGAAATGCGTGGGTCGAGCCTCGGGGTGACAGGCTGTGACTTAAGTAAGCCCTTGGTTACTATGACCTTCTTGATGTGCGCTGCTATGGAGTGCATCTTCCAACAAGTTACTGATTCCAACGGCACCTGTGGTTTTACGAACCATATTTGAAGGCGAGGTGGGCATTTTCTTGTCTGCCCTAGATTCCTGTACCATTACATCTCGCTTCTCGACGAGCTTTGCGCGAGCCTGTATCATTAAACTTACGTTACATGCTGGAGAACTCCCAGGTGGTCCTGGATCGAGATGCAACCGACTGTTACTTGTCACGTTTGCTCCCGCATCAGGAACTACGTAAGAACAGATAATTCTCTCCTAAAGCAGCTTCGCTATCAGCGAGAGAACGGCATCAAAAGCGAACGTATCTCCCAGCATAGCGCACAACCACAGCTTTGAAGTCTATCACCATTGCCAGTGTCCTTCTAGCTTGTGCTGTCGCTGCGGACCTCCACGGCCACGAGCGCTACCGGCGGCATCCGAAACAGCGCGTTCACGCGCATAACAAACGCCATACATGTGAAGAGAACTTGGCGGCCACGCCTAGTTCTGGACTCGTCATCGTATCCAGCGCAGACTCCATCTCCTCTGCTAGTGAACACATAGCGCAAATCGCGGCCGCCACATTAAGCGCTGTAGTGGGTTTCTCTGTGGCTGCCATTTCGGTTTCTGGTGCTCCCGAAGAAACCCCCGAGTCGGCTGCTAGCAGCGAACGCACTTACTCCACTACCGGGGATATCACTTACTATGATGTCGGTCTTGGTGCTTGTGGATATGATGATTCTGCGGAGAATGACACGGGTTTGTTCGCTGCTATGTCTGAAGAGTTCTGGAGCAGCATCAGCACGCTCACCAATGCCGGCTCTAGCCTGCCTAGCCACCCTCTTTGTAACAAGAAGGTCACACTCTCTGCCCCGGATGGCACTGAAGTGGTTGTCACTGTGCGCGAGAAGTGCCCCGGCTGCGCCATGGAGGCCATAGATGTCAGCAAAGCTGCATTTAAGGCTCTTTTTGGTAACCTAGATATTGGCCGAACTAAGGTTAGCTGGAGTGTGAGCTGGTAAGTCTACCGTTCTGGCCTTCGCTGCCACTCCGATTCGTGGAGCTCCCATCGGTGTCATCCATTAGACAAAAGAAACACGTGGCTTCCTCGGCACCCATCCGCATTTCTCTTTCTGATAGGTGGCGATCCCCCATCGCAACCTTCTCTATTAATCCACAGGAGTTTCTATGCTCTAAAGAGCCTTGCAACAAAACCGAATAAGTGCGCATGTCTAACCCTATCCTGGAACTGCTGAGCGCTTCTGTCAACTGGGGCATGCTCGCATGCACTGCACCCGCAGGCCTTCTCCAAACTAGTGAGTCGCTACCAAAGGGAGAAGAGACCGTATTCTTTGACCACATAGCAGGGCGACCCGCATATTTACTAGGGAAGATAGTGAATCACCTTGTGTCTGAAGCGATTTGTACAAGTTCCTTCAAGAAGACTATTAGACGACGAGTGGATTAACAACATCGCAGGAATAAATCATGACGCGGTGTGGGTGTGGTCCTTGATGAGTCAGCGGCGCCAAGACTTAGGACTGTGCTAAGACCAACGTAGCTGTGCTATTGCAGGTCAGACCACACCCACCAAACGCAAACGATGAAGGAGAAAGAGATCTAGCTCGTTGTATTTCCTATAACTATATACAGCTTTTAAATTTCCACCCTAGACGTCATTCAAGTTCTTAATGCCGAGTTAGTGATTGAGCTCTCGATTACCAAAAACCCCAGAGCATGCTGTCGCAGAAAAGCCTGGAACATGACTGCCACACCTCCGGCAGAAAGGTGTGCACATCCGACCAGAACGCGGACGAACGAGAGCAACGCGAGGGATGATGCGATAGCATAGATCTGACGGCACCGGATGCAGGGTTCGCCCGTGGACCCGGTCAGATTGTGCATCAGCTCATCAGCACAAGGAGTTGCGCAATTCGCGATCCTGGCAACTCGTGCTGCTGATTGGCGCGACCCCTCATCGACTGCACCAATCCTACGGGGCTCAATAACGCCTGCCGATGAGATGAACGCAGAGAGAACCTTAATTAGACGTCCTTTCAAAGGGCCTTGCGCGCGGCTCTTTCTAGATCTTCCAATACTTGGCCGCACGTGCCACCACATGAGCTGGACAACTATGGTGGGTCGAATTACCCGTCTTTCCTTGCGGCCGGGAACAGGCGTGAGGTGAGGTCCCTGAATTATTTAGGTGCCTCCGTCCCGAAGGGCGCCCGTCGACGGTCGCTGCTTCGACGTCCTGCGGCAAGGGGCACCGGTGCAAGGCCATCCCTGCAGCGGTGAATCACGCTTGAAGGTGCAGGACTCCACTTCTGTGTTATCAACTCGACGCCAGCTGACTGGCACATCATGTTCTATGGCTGTCTCAGTTCCCGACTTACCCTTTCCGACAAGGCTGGGCTGGGGTTAGACGACGCCCTTCCCGCCGAGTAATGGCGACCAGGCATCCCGCCCTGCGGTGGTGGCCGACGTGTGGAAGTTCCCTCGGGCAAATTGTGGCGCAGGCAACCACCGGCCCATGCACCTTCAACAGGCACACACCGTAGCACTTGCATCGACCCCACTAACCGAGCACGTGAACAGGGGTCCTGATGTGCTGTGCCTTGGCGTGACTAGGAGGCGCCCCACTGCAGCCTGCTGGTCGTCCTGGGTGCAGACCAACAAGCCACAGCGATATCCATATAAGGTAACCATCAACTCGGCATTTAGCCCGGCAGCCTGACAAGAGATCCGCACCCATTTCAAATCACACGAAAAAAGCACCACCGATCCCCAAGCTATGACGCAAGCGCGCAACGCTGCTTGCAGCGCTACCCGAGCCTCGCCCGAAAAGCCAGCCACACCAGCCGCTCGTCTGGCGTCTGCAATGAAGCCAATCCAATCAACGTGCGCACTAGCGAGTCAACAAACGAGCAAACGCGATCAAACAAGCGTGGATGAAGCTGGTGCTCCTAAGACGCGGCGTGGATTGCAGAAAGATCTTAAGTTTATACAGTCCTGGAACGCGCTTGAGGTCCTGGCGGATGTCGCGCGTCGCTACGGCGGCGAGCAACAGCTAGATCCAGCTCTTGAGCAACCACGACTGCAACTACTCAAGGACGCCTGCGCGACGGGCGATCTTTTCTATGTCGTGCTTCATCAGGTCTTTTGCACTTGGACCGCGAAGCCACTCGAAATTCGAGGGCTGTTTCAAAATGATGATCACTTGTTCTCATTGGCAGAGCATGGACTGCGAACGCTGAGTGCGATCCTCAAAGACAACTCAAATATGCGACCAGATCTGCTACACTGTTTTGCCAACTTTCCGGCACCTTTTTCGAACATGCGGCGCTTTCCACCGTACTCTGACTCGCTGAACGCCGTGGTGAAGTTCCTCTTTTCTATGGCCACTTCATGGACCGAGTTGATGAAGAAGCATGCGGCATACGGTTTCCCACTACTGATGGATGAGTTGCTAAGACTGCTGCATATGCACTCAGAGGTCTTGCAACTCATCGTCTTCCGTGCATCCAGGAGGACAGCAGGTGTTCCGGACGGGCCTGTCGGCACGCAGATGGAGTCTCTATTCAAGGAGGATCAGGACTTTCATCGGTCCGCGGATGGTTCTTTTATGCCAAAGGCACAGGATCCTGCCTATCCGAATTACAAAGGCAATCTTGTTCAGCGATACAAGGAGTAGGCCCACACCGCCCGAACACTTTATCGAGCCATGCCTCCATATAATCAACATCAGCAACAACGATATGTTCAACAATCGACCTCGCCAACAGCTGTGCCAAACAATGCTCAGAGCTTTGTCGGAAATCTCCCCTCTCCAGCGGCACCAAACCAACAGTGGACGGCCCTGCCAAGCCAAACGATGTCCGCGATCATTGAACCTCTTCACAACAATCCTCCCAGCGTTTCCCAAAGAGTCGCCGCTCGGCCCCAGGAGTCAGCAACCTCGATGAGTGTTGCAAGTCATCAATTTTCTACGACCTCGCAAGCACCATCGCAGCAAGCTTTGCGTGCTGAGGCGCCGTTCTCAGCCTGGCACGGTCAACCACAAAGACTTCATTTTTCCGTGTCACAGACACATGCGCGGCCGAATGCGCATGTCTCGGGACCATCGAGAAGTCAGCAGGCTAGTTTTGGGGCTTCTTCCGGTGCGCATTGGTCCAGTGGCTCGTCTGTTTCAGCTCACTCGCCTGTATTCCCGGTCACTGGGGCGAGTAGGCAATATCCATCCGGATTCCCCGTAGTGCAGGCTTCGATGGCTATTAGTACGATTCACAGAGGGCATGCTGTTCAGCCTCTACAACCCTTTGTGACACAGCCAATACCGACGAAACCAATCTCGACCGGCCTCTTGTTCCCAGGCCGCGATGACCGAATTGCCACCAACGAATATCCGGGTGATCCGCAGAGTAACCACTGCATCATGCAATCCCTTCATCATGCCCACATTCGTAGTCCAAAGCGCCTTCCTATACGACCAGAAGCACTGAACGAGCGGTATTACCAGTCAGTCAGGAGACTCGTGTTAGGTCCTACCTCAATTGCCCCTAAAGCCGTGGTCCACAAATTCAGCTTCCGCTTGAGTCCTAAAGATCGTGATCGTTTGACACCTGTCGAAACTGATCCCGATGAACTACTACCTATTCAGAGAGACACCAACGGAACCTTACGCGTCCGGATCCGCTGCTGCTATCTGCTCGACCACCAGCAGCACAGTATCACTGACGGCGACTGGGTCACGAAAGACGTTGTCTGGCCTGAACACATTTTTCTAGAAGTCAATCAATCTGTCTTGACCTTGCGGCGAAAGGCGCACCATTCCAAAGACTTGCCGGTTGAGGTTCCAGCAAAAGCGCTCTTGGAGGAGAATCACCTTCATGTCTGGATTCCGGAAACTGCTGCTCGCGCCAAGGAGGCACCGAAGAACAGCCACCCATATATCGCGGTAGAGCTCGTTGAGACGCTCAGTCACTCCGCCATCTTGAGTCTGGTCAAAATTCATAGCATTCAGCAATCCTCGCAGACTCTGGAAGTCATCAGGCGACGTTTAGCGAGCACTACAGCCAGTAATGATGATGACATTGCAATGGTTAGTCACGAACTGTCCATTGACTTGGCAGATCCATTCACCTCCGGAATCTTCAAGATTCCGGTGCGAGGCAGGGATTGCACACATCTTGAGTGCTTCGATCTGGAGACGTGGTTGAATTCCCGGTTAGGCAAAAAGAAGACCTGCACGTGCGGCAAAGGGAGCTCATCGTGTCAGAGTTGCCCCAACGAGCCTTCCTTCGTGGACAAATGGAAGTGCCCGCTGTGCTCGGGTGATGCTCGGCCATACAGCTTGCGCATCGACGAATGGCTGGCTGGGGTTCGCGACAAACTTGAGGAAGACGGTGCATTACGCATCAAGTCCATCGTTGTGTCAGCAGACGGGACCTGGAAGATCAAAAAGGCGGTCGAGGCAGATGAAGGCAGGCGCGACGACGAGACTTCACTGCCTAGAGCAGCGATGAAATGTGGTGGTAGTCAGTTTATCGCGGTGGGAGTGAGGGAGACGTCCAAAAGTGTCATTGAGCTTGACAGCGACTAAAGTAGGAAACGCAGAGGAGACCCCAATAGCTCGCTAGCTGTGTCGTATATGCATTTCCGGAGTTCAGCTTTAAAGCATTAAGTCTGGATGATGATCAGCGGTCATAGATCTGGCGATAAGCTGCTCTTGGCAAGAAAAGATCTCTGCAACAGTATCCCATATTCTAGGCCGCGTGCAAGGTTCAAGGTTCAGCACAGCCTGCTACATTTTATGTGTCGTTGAGCTCTTCCCCGCCACGTTAGGATAGTGTCTCCTGAGGTCAGCAGGTGGTTTATGACTTAGCGAAGTAAGTCAATATAACGAAGCCGCTTGTGATATCCTTTTCTGCTCTTTCATGATGCCTATCAAGAGCTTCTCGTATCCTCTGTCCTCCATAAAAAGCCCAAACCTACCATGATAGGGTGCACAAATTGCCTTCACTGCGACATTAGCTGAAAGCTGACAAGGACAATGCCATAGCCAGACAGGACCTTGCGGATGCAGTAAGGTGTCTTGGGCGATAAGAAGTAGTGAAACTCGCAGGGCATCAGGTTGACCCGGTCTCAAGCCTTCCCATGAAGCGTAATGTATGAAGAAGCACCGCCCCTGTGAAATTGGCGCTCAAAATTTGCCTTGTGGACGCGGCGAAACTGATGCAGGCGCCAGTGCTCGGTGACCTAGACCTTGAGGTATGTAGCGTGATTGGGAATGCTATCGTCGACCGAATGAGCCCGGCCGCGAATTGTGAATCCGACAGGAGCTCATATTTATTGTCGTTCTCGATGCGCTTGCCCGGCTCGTGACGGGGCTTGAAAAAGCGGCCCTGCCCCTCACCCGAGGTTGATGAGACCCAAGACTCGCGCGACCGTCTTACAGAAGCAACTGTACGAGACATCGTCCATCCCAGGGGTCGGGACCTGTGAAGGTCGGACGCCGGTCGTGTGAGCAGGTGGCTGGGAGTCGCAGCCCTTGGCCGCGTAGGCGCAGCGCTTGTCCAGATAGAAAGTCCCACGCCGTCCTGGGGAAGCGGTCAAAGAAGCACTACTACTATTCAGGTTCATGTTCTTCCAGCTGGGCTTGCCGAGGCGCTGGTGGCGGTGCCGACCGCAAGTCACAATCGCCACCGCCTCAAGGATATACTGGTGAGAGAGTTCGTTGACGATAGTATGAACAGTAGAAGCATCCTAGGCGGATAGCGAGCCGGAAGACGGGCATGAATTCGCTGATCGGCATTGGACGGCAAACTCCGGATCCTCCCAGTAGATCGGGCTTCTTGGGCTCTGCGAACGAGACTTGCCGGCAACAGATCTCTCATATCTTAAGGCCACTGAGCTCTGTTCGAGGCCGCAATCAGGGGCGTATAAAGGCGGCATTAACGACAGGCAGAACTTCACCAAGCGCAGGGCTGGACATTGATGGGCTTCCCCATAGCTTGCTGTAGATGGGCTGTGATGCTCTTGAAGTGCTGGAGGTCGGTCTGTATAGCCCACAGACTGACTTGAAGGCTCCTGGTATGGTTCACAGCGCGTCTTACCTGCATACTCTATTCCTCTCTAGTTGGGTCACATGCTGGCTCATCCTCCGTCCTGCACTGTCACCTCAATTGAGATACGTTCCCTTGGCGGGGGCCTGGGCGTCTCGAGCAATGTAGGTAGCTAACTCATTAGAGTGCAGGGTCCGAAGGGACATCCCGTCTCGCAAGGTTCGAAACTGATTGACCCGCTATTTTCTGCTCCCTAGATGGAATACTATGTCACTTATGTTCTTAATTTGTAGAATCCCACCGAGAGATTTACGGGGACAGAGCTTTTTTAGCGTGTCAAGTACATGGCCTTCCTCTGATTGTAGTCGCGACCATGTGGTCGGACTATGGCTGCAAGTACAGGTCCTCAAAGCAATTCGAGACACAACTGCCAGATATCAACTATGGACTATTAGGATATATCCATGCGCTTAGGACAGGAAATCATAGAACTAAGGTGGCACAGTATCGCCGAAGATCCCTCCTTCCCTTCTTATCAATACACAGGGCTGCATAGTGTAGCCACATAGTTGCTTGATCCGTCTTCTATACCTCAGAGGTCCTGATAAGAAACGTGGAAGCTCTTGCCTATTGCTTGTATCATGCAGCTTACGCACAAAACTTCGCTCTGGTGATAGGGAAGAGGTCCCGAAAATCCCGACGCTCATACAAGCTCTTAAATCGCACCGAGCATAAAATCTCTCTTTGTGTCGGTGGAACGACCTACAGAGCCGTCCAAAAGCGAGGCCTCCTCAGTGTCAATGCATCACTGGATTACAGTTGAATCTCAAACGGCACCTTAGGCACACACGCATAAATCGGTTGACGAGTTGGTCATGGCAACAACGACCATTGTCCGTTCCCAGCCACCACCAACACGACCTCCTGGCCAGCTACATATAGCCTATAAACCGATTATCGTCGCCGACAATTCTCAAACATGGAGAGCCACAACAGTCAAAGACAGGCATGCGAGCCGCAGCTATAGCGTGTCTCAGTCCACGGAGATCGCAAGGTTCTCAAGCCGAACATCTGAGCACCCGTGGCCGCCATATCAGCACGCACCTGGTACTTCACCTCTTGAACGTCTGCCTACCGAGATCTTGCGTAAGTTGCAGTGATCCCCGTTTGTTACACGCTGCGGCCTATTACTAATACGCTATGCAGAAGGAATCATAGATATGGTGGCTATGAAAGAGCCGGCTCTCGGGGGCGGATCTCAACAATACAGCATACAGTCGCTTCTCAATACTTCGAGGATCCTGTACTCTGTCGCTGTCCGCGCCCGTTACGAGCACGTTGCCATCCACGACTCAAAGGTCTTCCGCAAGCTACTCTTCGCCTTGCGCGGTAATCCGGGATTCGGTACTCTCGTCCGTCGCATAGACTTCAGCCCATTCAACCCCATAGTGCTCTTTTCCTCGGCCAAAGAGCGCTTGAGCGCAGATAACCCGACGCCGAAAACACTGATTCAGTGCTTGAACTTAGCACCCAGACTGCGCGAGTTCGTGGCTCAAGAGCACATAGATGATGAGATAGACGTCATGGTGCTAACGAAGCTCTTTTGCCACCGTCCTCATCTCACTGCGGCAGACTTTTGCGGCTGTTCCTCCCTACGCTTCCGCACTGCGATGACGACATTTACTAAGAGCATAACCGACAAGAATATAACTTTTTCTGTTTCGCGCTTGTCACTGCACCGTTGCGACAATCTGCCTCCTGTAGTGTTTGATCAGCTCCTGCATCGGATGAACGCCCTTACCCATCTCGATCTTGCCGGCACGAAAGTCTCTGCTCAGGCCCTGCAGTCGATACCGCACTCGGCGCGAATTACGCATCTGAATCTGTCCAGGTGCAATGGTTTGACAGCCAGCGCTATCCTCGAGTTTTTGCAGAGCCATCCCAGCGTAAAAGATAGCCTAGTCGTCCTGAACCTTGCCGTCGACTTCCGTACTCGATGCGGGTTCAGGGAGAATGACGTCTCACAGCTATTGATAAGCTTGCCCCGGAGCTTGCGATCGTTGAATCTGAAAGGCAGCGAAATGGGCTTAGCACATATTCCGCTTCTCCGGGGGCTTATGATGCATCTTCATGAACTTGCGCTGGGACGAGGCTTGACAGTCGCTGATTTGGAGAGGCTATTCGTGGCTGATTCTCGGTTGTTTGACCAGGATGAAGATGCTCAGTGTTGTGCAACACCACCAGCCGCTATCTTGTCACACACATTGAGGTATCTTGATCTTTCCGATTATGTGGGTCAAGAGCTCGACCTGGGTGCTCTGTTCTCCTCCGAATGCAGTATCATGCAAAGCCGTTCGGCTCCCCTTTCCGTAGTCGAGGTTGCGGGCGAGTTTTTCAGGGGGCTTTCCAGGTCGCCCATCCCCATCAGAGTCGGCTGGACCGTAGTCGAATCCGGCTGCCGAACTTGGATCCAACGGCAATAAGGCGATATCCTCCAAGGCTCTAAGGACTTCAGCTGGAAGACGGGGACAGGCAACTGGGGTATGCGCAAGATTCCCGTCGTTGTCGGAGAAGTCTGTGCTATGTACCGTAATTATACTTTCATGCGTAGCGTGTGAAAATGGAAAACATCGAGGCTGTATGGCATAGAAATCTATGGTGGGCGGCTAAAGCGAGCCTGCTGCCGAGAATGTTCCTCATTAGTGTCCGGGAACTAACCTGTGGTACGCACGAACTGTTCGCACGTCGATATCAATGGGAACTAATTAAGTAGTATGCGTACTAGCAGGAACCCCTAAGGGCTGTCTTGTGACATCGATTTGTCTCCCCAATTCCGCATATTGCAGAATAACGCGATGAAATGGGCCACACCCGGATTTCGAGGAGTGAACACCCGCAATATTTTCCGGTCGGGGTCTCCATAGCTCTGCAGGTCGCCGATCACCGCGTTAAGCTCCGCAGCAGTGGCGTCGTGATCAAGGTGGCGGTCGCAACCGCAGGCCCTGTTCCATCCCCGCTCTTGGACAAATGGCGTTGTCGCCCTGGCTCGGGTCGCCCATGTTTCTGGCGCACTGGAATAGCCTCTGATGCACTGGCCTGTGGTCATTCGCTTGAGCTCTGGTAGGCGTTGGAACCATTGCATTTGTGGCAGCAAGAAGGAGAGAGCGCTTATAAAGTATCATATTTGAATTATGTTGCTCTCTGTTCGATGTGACTGTCATAAAATGGACCGGTAAGATTTTGGTTGGAATCACACAATCTCGTCAGGATTGGAAAAAGACTAACCGACTCCCTCCTGCCATTGAAAAAGGAAAGCCGCTCCTTCCTAAGTACACTATCGAACTAGCATAATGCGATGTGATTTTGCAATCCGCAACAGTGACAAGCGAACGCGGGAAACTTTATTCTTTGGCCATTGTAAGCCTGTAGAGAATAGGTAACGCCATGTCTGGAGAACTACGAGCGTTTAGACCAGAAGATAAGGAGCCTCGTATAATTGTAACAATTCCTTACAAACAAACTTGAACATCAGCAACGCTTTACTTTTAGTAGCGCGTGCACCAACTCGGACCGACCTCGCGCAGGCTTTGTCAGAGAGGGCTCGATTGCTTAGCGCGGTAACTACATTCAGTTTGTTGTTCAGTAATATGTAGTACACAAAGTAGGATGGCTTCGCACAATAAACATCGGTTATCGGATTAGAAGACTGCCTTCTTCCACGAAGGCCGTTCTTAGTCAGATAAAATAAGCGCACGTATACGTCTGGTTGCGAGGTACTCTCTCAGGCTCAAACTCACGTTTGGAACACCGCACTACTATTCATCTTCTACGTCTTAACAACAACCCGCCGGCATAACAAGATTGAAAATGCCAGCGCCGACTATTATGGGGGCTCTCGGGCCTTTTCAACTCCCGTTCGTCGTGCAAGCTCATGCCATGCTCATGATACTCATGGGGGCTAGATCCCTTCTTACATCACCCCAACGACCACAAAAACTTCCAAGCCTAAAGATGGAGTCAGATAAAACAGATCACGATCGTCTCCATGAGGTCAATCTAGTCCCCAGTGATGTGTCGCGAGACATCGGCGACTCCGGCATGGAAGGAATTCTCTCCTGTGCGCTTGGACTGGCCTATTTCATGACTTCATACATGCCGCCAGAGCACAATCAATTTTTACATGCTAATGTCCCCCTGCGAATATTTCTTGCTCTATTAGCAGGAGCGAGACTCTTGTATATGCGAAACCCAAGGAGCGAAGCTGGCAGAACTTTGCTACTCGTGCTCGTCTATGATGGCATCGGGGGTCTAGCCGTAGGAATGAGTATTGGGAACTTCACCGGTCGTATTTAACGATGAGGGACATGTCCTGACTACTGCTCGACTACACGGAGCGGTTGATCTGGTGGCATCCATGGCAAACCAGTGGAGAAAAGTACAATTATCTCCTCCATATGCATGGAGAACACATAACAACACGAATGGCTTGATGAAGAGAGCCCGCAGACTGCAGGACATGTTTGTAGATCGAGGTACATAACGAAGTGGCAAGTATGTTTGCTTCCGTGTGCTTGGCCATGGAGTTAAGTAGGGGCTATATATAGGTCTCACTTGGGACAACATATGGTCCTTTTAATGTTGTTATAACTGGCGAGTTTCTGCAAGGAGACTGGGCGGCCTAGAGAACTTCGCCATTCGATTTCAACATAAACAATAACAAAGACAGGGCCAAAAACCCTGCTCCCACCATGCACCAGCCAACGGATGCTTGTCATCTGGCATTGACACCTTCGTCCGATTGTGCCGAGGTCAATGAGAGGCGGATTGCGCTGTTTCAGGCAGTTCAAGGGGATCACGATGCTTGGGTTCGCGCTCTGGTTAACGACGGCGCAGACGTCGACGCTCGAAGTGCGGCAGAATTGTCTTTTGAGAACTGGCTGTTATTGTTAGGGACCCTGACGCAGCAAAAGCCACTACCGAAGATTCAACGTCTCAAGGTCAGCTCTGGTGGGGAGAGACACCACTATTTTGGGCAGCTCTGAGCGGCAACGCGATCATTGTTGAAATACTTCTCCGGGCGGGAGCAAGCATTGATGCTCGGGGCCGCGGATTTTGCACCCCTCTCCTGTGGGCGACCATCTGCGGGCATCTGCCTGCCGTCGATCTTCTACTCAAGCATGGCGCAGATGTTAACGTTCAAGATGCGGAGGTCGCACTCCACTGCACTGGTCGTCTAAGAAAGGGCATACAGGAATTGTCCAAAGATTGCTTGAATTCGAAGCAAAAGTCGACGTCAAAGACGCACAAGCTCAGACTCCATTGATTTGCGCAGCCAAGAACGGTCACGAATCAATAATGGAAGTCTTGATCGCTAAGAATGCTGCGCTGGAGGCACGGGATACATATGGACGAACCCCGCTTCTATGGGCCGCTTCTATCGGAAGCTTGAATGCAGTCCACACGCTTCTCCAAAGAGGGTGCAATGTAAATACGTCCGATATACTGCATTGGACTCCTCTCGGATTGTCAATAGCGCCTAAATACGATATGGGGAAGATGATCGATCTGTCATCCGAGTCCGAAGAGGTCATTCGCCGCCTCATCCGGTGGAGGGCGAATGTGAACTGCACCAACATACACGACGAGACCCCATTGCTTTTGGCTGCTCGGCGCGGACGTTGCGAAATAGTGGTCATGCTGCTCCGAGCCAGAGCAGATCCTAATATTACAGACCTCGAAGGATCGACACCTCTCATGGCCTCAGCCGCGATCGGCAGAGTAGATATCGCGAGAAATCTCCTAGAATCAGGTGCACTCGTTACAGTTGAGGACCGGCAATGTCGCTCCGCTCTAACGATTGCCTCCGATAACGGAGATCTGGCCATGACGGAGCTTTTACTAGATCATGGTCCTAGCGTTGACACGAAATTCATGTCAGGCCGAACGCGTTTACACTGGGCAGCCATGAACTCTGACTGCGTGATAGCAGGGGCGCTGTGCGCCAGAAAGGCTGACCTTGACGCCGTTGAGGATCACACGCTGTACACTCCATTGTTCTATGCGGTCAGGGAGGGTACCATTCATATAGTTCAGGTTTTGCTGGCGCATGGCGCCAGCCTCGAAGCCAGAGATCGAGATGGCAGGACTGTACTCTTTGACGCAGTGGGCCGAGGCCATCAGACAATCACAGAGTTGCTACTGGAGCACGGCGCTGATGTGATGGCAGTGGATGGAGATCAGGAGACAGCCCTGCACCGAGCTATCAAGCACGGGAATAAAGCACTGGCTGACTCACTGGTATCGCGCGGCGCTACGTTAGACCGCCTATAAGTTGATCATAGTAGCGCGCCACTTTCACAGACGACCGAGGAATATGTTGTCGCTATCATCTGCGTAGACCTGAAAGAAGATATGGGATTGAGCCGTGCCAGACACTGCTTGCAGATATAATGTAAAAACGAATGACTTGGAAGGTCAAGGTTGAGGGGGCCCTCAGAGCTCTGGTTGGAGCTGGAAATACCTCAACCGGATCAGACTCTGTTGTGTTATGCTATGGCCGTAGGTAAGTACGCCAAGCAGGTCCCGTAGCCCTGACGCCATTTGTGCTTGAAAAGTCGTGTCTGATTATCGGGAGATCTCGGAACATAAAAGATATCCCGAGTTTACGTCACCAGTGAGATAGCCTGTAGGTGCGTCCCTGGTATAACTACTCCCTCAGCCCTGCCCCCACGAGGTGTCTTTTCCCTTTCCTGTCATTAAATATGGGCGAAGACTGGATAAGACTTTTCTGCGGGTTTTTAAGCCTCTGTTTCGTACCATTGTATGGGTACTTTGCATACTTTATCTACGAGGAGCTTATGCCTTTCCATGTGTCTAGATCGCTGCCCCAAAGTCATCATGCGGCTCTTGTGTCTTTCGTGTGCTTCATCTACGCGTCCATGTACGGAGCACTAGTCGCGCTGCATACCTCAGCTCCAGGTTTCACAGAATACAAGTGCGTGCCAAAAGATATCCGAAACTTCGCCCTTTTACTCCTGTCACTCTTGTTCACGATCACTGGCGTATGCGCTTCGGCTCAGGGAATGGTATGGCTTACTTACATCACAATCAATCCTCTCGACGATGAGAATATGCATTCTATTTATTGGCAATGCCTTGGCTCAGTTACCTCCCTGATGGTGGGGGCCATCTTGAATGCTACCCTGTTTGGGTGCAGCAAAGGGCGCGAAAAGTGTTTCACTCTTGGACAGGAGCAAGTCCTTGTCCTTGCGCTCCGTTATTCCATCCTGTACTTGACGTAATACATCAGGTCAGGGCAAAATTCAACTTTCAGTGCTAGGTATAAGTGTACGTCCTGAACTTTCGTACGAGTCGGCTGTGCTTACAGAGATCACGCTTCGCAATGAAATCCGACCTTCGCTCCTTCCTCCACGTTCTCCTAATGCTCTCGCTCGGGGCTATCGCACAGAGTGACATGCTTCAGAACCCGGGCCATAGCAGAAAAAGAATTGTTCTTTGGGATCCAAAGAACAGTGAAAATATTGAGCAGTTGCCAAGGCCGGAAGGACGTGCCATGCTCGAGTTCATATGCGTGTATGACATCACGCGCTGATGAATCCGTCTGAACGTCCATGGACCGCTTTTGTGCCTGGTGAGTTCGAAATCGACAGCCCCATTCTGGTTTCTGGCAAAGAGGTAACCAGGACAGAAGTATGAATCTCCGCGGCTGGCGAAAGGCTTTTGCGTGAGCGCTAGCTGGCCTTGATAGCTGCCGAGGTGGTTGACCACATCCCCAACGTCGTGTATGGGGTGCTCGTTTACAGTCAATAGTCTGCCCCGCCTGAACGGTATGACAGCAGAATCTGAGACACAGACGCCTTTTACTGCAGCATTGAAACCAAAAGCCTTCACGATAGGAATAGAGCGGAAAGTCGTGAGGCCGATGCCGAGGACGTGTTTCGGATTGAGTTCGTAAAGATCTTGCACGGTGGCAGAGACCGACATCAGCTGACTTTTGCGCGTCCTCCAGATCTTGCAGTGGACGTCTCGGCCAACATGAGCATTCAGGTGATCCTCGAAGTTGCGGAGGGCGGTCATTTTGCTCCCGTTCATCTCTAGAAGGATATCTCCTGCGCTGACAGAGCTAGCCAGTGGAGAATCTGGCAAGATTGACCAGACTATGATGCAGTGGGAAGCCTCCGTTTCGCGGAAATCCTCGATCGTTTTATGGTCTAATCCGAGCTCGTAATATTCGTGATGTGGAAGCAAGTTACATGCGATCTGCAGTGTTCCGCGAGGTATGGAACGATGCTCTATCGTTGTCTCCAGCGCTTCTTGTACTTGGTGGAGTGGCATGAGCTTGTGGTGGCTGGTCTGGAAAGCAGCACTTACCATTGCGACACCTTCGCCATTGATGTTGAAGGCAAGGCCACCTGAGCTACCTGCACCTGCAGTTGCATGTGCAGAGATATAATCCATATTGATGTCAAGTGGGCCGTCATCATTTTGGGGTGGATTGCAAGCTGTTCGACTCAGGGTCCCCGACGTGACAGTGAAACTACCACGACGAGCGTTGCTGATTCGCCGGATTTCGCAATCTGGAAATGCTCCGGATGGGTTCAGACGTATGGCAGCTGGAAATCGAGCTTTCCAGTGTGAGTCATCCTCGGTGCTCTTTCCAGGCTGAATTCTGAGGAAAGCATAGTCGTGGTCCGGAGCTGCGTATTCGAGTAAGACCGGATACTGTGGCAACGTTGGAGTATATTAGTGTCGATGATCGTCAATGTGAGACTAGAGCAACTCACTTCGATCATATCTTCGAATACGCAAACAGCTTCACACAAGCCGTCGAGCACGATATGATTTGCTGTAAGTAGAAGTGCCTCCTCCTTGTTGTGTACCAGTGTGCCTGTTCCCCAATTGCTGTCGGAAAAGCTGTTAAAATGGCAGCGCGGTTGTCGGGTGTTGATAGTGCAGGTTGCAGCACGGACTTTGGCCGAAGCCTTGCGCCAGAGTTCCTGAAATAGAATGAATAATCAGTTCACGCAACCGAGTGGAGTCTGAAGCTCTCACCTCATATCGGGCTTGTGCGTTCGATGGCGCCGCTAGCATGCTGCCTGCTTCCATGGTGTGAGGTTGTTGTTCGTCGAGGTTCAGCAGCGTTCTTGGGTGTGGAGGATCTGCTGGGCAGCCCCGATCAGCCTTATAATTTGGTCACTGCAAGGCTGTGTGCTTCCTGGGCCGGGCGCAAGCCATGTTTTGAGGGCATGGGCTATGACTCAAGAGCCCTCTAAACACTTGGAGGGCAATATCGTTGATGAGCAGGCTGTCGGCTGAGTGCATGACAGAGCAGGGGTAGCCATCTGGCGGTGTGGCTGATTGAAAGGCATCTCGAGAGCCTGTGAATTTGTCCGCTGTCCCTGCTTAGATACGTGGACCGGGTTATGGCGCGTAACTGCGGTTGACAGCGTATCGTCAGCTGTGCCAAGCCTGGCTGTGAGGCTGCGCTGGCGCCCTGTTTCCCAACAGGTATGAACTGCAACGCTGCCCAATCGCTCCTCGTTCACCTCCAAGGGCACAGGTTTGCTGCAGTGAGGTACTCAACGCAAATGGTTGTTGCGACTCTTTCCTGCTGCGCCAATCAGAGCGTGGCGACTTGCCAAGGCTAAGCAGGGGCAACCGCTTGGTCCCCATCTCGATGATGTTCGCACATGGGGCTTGCAAAGCCTTCCAACCGGGGTGACTGATTGCGAAGTGGTTACCTGTCTTGTCTAGGATGACCACCCAGGCATGATAGGGGAGAAGGTACAGCGCAAAGGGAGGCTCACAAATAGCTCAACATCGGCTGGTCTACAGCCTTGACTAGATCTGCGGCAAGATGTAGTTGCTCGCAGACCATTCTTTCTTCTGCTCTGTCACCCCTGTCAATCCATGATGACGCCCGTGTGCTGTGTGTCAGTAGTTCCTTGCCACAATCTGCTTGGGCAAGTCATTTTGGCCTAGCTTGACTTCGTTGCGCCACTGCGACGTGGCCTTGACCCTCGTTGGCAGGCCCACGCAGATAGCCTCGTGCTGTGCGGGGGTGCTGTCGGAAGCGCACTTCCAGGAAAACTGATTGCTGAACTACATGAGAGGTACCGGGCTATCGAGCATCAGAGTGGATCTTTCTTGCAGCCAATTATTTCGTTGAATCGCTTCTTCCCACGCAGTCCTGCACAAATAGGCCGCATCGTCAACACTTGACTGAGACTGTGGATGATCTATGATCTAGCGGGCTCCCGTTCTGGCACCAGAGAGGACAGTCAGCAGTGTCATGCAGGCAGAGCGAGGAGGCTTTCTCGGCGGGGCAACATGATCCACAATGAACGGATGTCAAGCCCGGCTGTCGCTAGTCTTGCCCGCTCCGCGTCGCTCCGTGGTACATCAGATGCACGTCGTTGCATCAGCCACGGCAGCATGGCTCGTTGAGACCGCAGCTCAAGCTAGGCGGGCTGCATCGACTAAGAAGTCTCGTCCAAACAGCTTCGTTCATTCCGTCGCAGAAGCTTGCAGTGTCTGGAAATGTGCGAGGCCAGCTCTCTCAGATATCAGCTCTCACAGCCAAGGCAGCTGTCCCTTCGCCGCCGTCCGTAGGCAATTTAGTCTTTGACGTTGTCTTCAGCACCAACTGGAAGTGGTGGGTGCTGCAAAAGTTCTTCGCACAGGCCTTAGCCGACATCAAGGCTTTGCAGATTGCCGTTCTAGACTGCTGCGGCGAAAACTAATCTGGGTTCGATGGGGACGGCACCCTGCCACCAGCTGTCGAGCAGCGAGGCCCGGAACCACCAATTGTCATGACAGCACCGGTAGTGAATCAGGTTGGCATGTCGTCTCCCACTGATGATAGTAACAAGCTTCGGAACAGCCACAGCATCAGCAGCGGAGGCGTTGCGGGTACAGCAGCAGTAGGCGTCGTTTCACAAAAAAAAGTTCCAGCAACGACGCGGACATGCTGAGTCCGATCTCTTTCGGCCCGAGGCACAGCGGCATGAAGTTGTGGAACGGCGGTTAACTCAAGGCCAAGCTTCGCTCTGTAGGCACTGCTTACTCGGCGGTTCAATACAGCCTCAAGACATACACCGGTAACAGCCTGGCCTCGTTGTTCCACATGATATCACAGTTGGGTGAGAAATCCGGCTTGCGGCACGTGATCATGATGTTCATTGATCGTCAAGATATTGGTTGAGATGTCTCGATGGGGCAGCCTGGCCTCGAGCCGCAGTGACTTGTGTGCCGGCATACAATCTACCATTGCCCTCAGGAAGGCCGAGCGTGAGCGCGTTTGGTTGATGGGTATCCAAAGTCGCACATGGTGACGCGCCGGCGAACTCTGCTTGCCTGCCCAGTGCTGCTGGGCTTCGTTGGCGATCTGGAGCAAGACCGCTTACTACGTGGCGGCAGAGCACCTGCTTGGCTGGACGACCTCTTCGGACCGGGTGCCCCCACTGCGGCGACGCGCCATTCCTGACATGCTGGCCCCTCCTGCTTGTCCAAGGCGTGCTGGCGGATTGGCCTTGCCCCCGTGATGTCCAGCCCTCGGCGCACGTTGTTGAGGAAATCATCAGCCTCATGGCCGACTTGAATAGTGTGATGGTGATAGCAGCGAGCCGCATTGATCACTCCGCTCTTGGTTGCGTCTCGGAGCCGCTCGCTTTCTTCGGCGCGCTCGCAGTAGTGCCCCGAACCCTTGATCACGAATGAGCGAGACTCCTCGCCCTCTTTATGAGCTCTCCATCATGTTGTAGCTCGGCCAACAATACATCCGCGTACAGGATATCACTCCATCGATAATGAGATCCTCGACTGTGCCGTTCCGATCGGTTTCGACATACCGCCGGCCGTCTCCTGTTGTAAATGTTGACTCAAGTCCGCGTTGTTCCCCGTTCATGCAAAGAAAGCTAAGAATTATGAGCACGAATCGTTCTCATTTCTATCAATCACGAAGAACTGTGGTCCTTCGCGCTGCTTCGTCACCTCCCACCCCCGGCTGCTCAGTGCCTCCGTGGCCCCGAAGTCTTCTTTGTTGTCACTCGCATTGTTCCCGCCATTTCACGTTGTTCGGAATGATATTGCCAGACAGGCGAATGTCTCGCTCCTCACACTATCCCGGCGACACAACATGCATTCAAGATGTGCCAGGCATGAGGTCGGATTGGGCAGACATAGTGCACGTTGTAGTCACGGCAGGTCTGCCATTTCCATTATGTTATAGGAATTCTGAGAAATCACATGAGCTCTACATTCACCCAGGCCTTGAGACTAGCCCATCTTCTATAATTCATCTTGCGTGGTCGACAGACGCTCAATCTGCGCGAATCACTCCTTGAAGTCCTCCTCTGCGATCCGCCGGCCGTCCAACGCCTTGCCCGTGTGAGTTTTGTCAATGGTTTCACACTCGCGTCTCATCTTCATCATGATGACATTGAGCAATCCCACCAGGTTATCATCCAGCACGCGCGCTTCACTGCTGCCGGCCTCGCTGTTGGACGAAGACGAGGGCCGGGCGCGCAGGTATTCCCGGAGGGCCTCAAACTCTGCAAATGTCTTGAAGTACAACTGACCGGCAAATAGATCAAGCTCGAGGATCACATCCGTAGGGACATCCAGCAAGAGGCCCGTGGACGCAGAAGCAGCAGCCGCCTGCGACGTCAACGGCGGCGAAGGGACGGTGTACAAATCAAGCCTGTCGAGGCTGCGGAATCCTTCATTGAGCAATGGTGCATACAGGCGCAGCGTCACGGTGCGGGACTGCTTGATCCCATCCATGAGATGCTGCGCCTCGTACGGGCTGATAATAACCATGTGCTTGAGCTTCCGCTTTTCAGCTCCCTCTGGCGGCTTCAAGCTGGTCAGGATCCACTGCACTGGTCGCTGGTACGAGTCTGACACGTAGCCGACAGTTGGCGGCTTGATTGTGGCCTGAAAGTCGCGCGTGCAGTACAGCAGGACCGGGCGATGGGCCAACTTGGCGAGATACTTGCCGCCCGAAGAGTCCGCGAGGGACTGGTAGACAGGCACGAATGCCTTGCTGTTGGATGGGATGGTGCCGGTCTGGACAAATGCCTGTACCTGTGGATGGATCGAATGATCCCGGGGCTCCGCCTTGTCCGGTCGCTCCAGCTGTCGCTCCTCCTCGATTTCGGGTGCGAGCTCGCGTTCTTGTTCCTCTTGGAGGATTGCAGAGGATGGACCAATTGCGTCGAGGTCCTGGCAGCGCTGGGCGATGAGGCGCTGAGTCTGACTGAGGTCAGCTTGAGCCTTCGGCGGGCGCTGCGAGACTGGTCGATATCGTGTCTCGATGAGCTGCGCCTCATCCTCGAGGAAGTTCTTCGCCAGGTCGTGCGAGAAATCCAGCTGCCCCCCAGCGGCAGCAGTACCTGAACTTCCGACCCGGGCCTGCGCCCACAGCTGGCTGTGAAACTCGTACCGCTTGCCTTGGCTTGCCCAAAGCGCCGTGTTGCGCCGCGCATCATGCCATGTCTCGCAGATGGCCCAAGCCAGGACGTCGGAGACAGAGACTTCCTGCGTGAGGTGGCTGCGGCTCATGAGGCGATTGATCTTGCGGTGGATCTCGTCGGGGACACAGAAGACGACAGACTGGCCTCTTCCCAGCTCGCGCATGCGCATACAAGCTATTTCACGGCGAAGCAACATGTCAGCATGGGGTTTCTTGCAATCGGCCGTGGGAGTTCAATGAACACTCACCCTGAACAAGCCTATCCTTGACCAGATTTGCACCTAGCGTGGCTGCAGCACGATAGTCCTCGGGCAGCTTCAGATCGGTGCCGCGGGTGTGTGCGTCATCGAGAAACACTACGCACAGGCTGAGCTGCGTGCAGTATGGCGACGTATGCAGCGGCTCGACGCGGCCCTTGCGGTCGACCACGCAGATGTTGTCGTTCTTGTCGACAAAGACAGCCGCCTCTGTGCCGCTGTCGTGAGCCAGCAGGTGCAGCCACTTCTTGGCAACGCCCAGATTGTCCAACTCAATGATCTGTGCTCCGACATCGAGAATCACGCGCACAGGTGGTGTCATCGCAACGACCATGTCGAGAAGTTGCTCTGCGTTGGTACTGGGCGTGGACTGGGCGGCCCCAGCTGCTGAGTGCAGAAAAGGCATCAGCTTCACAGCCGTCTCGGGCTGGAGCAGGTGCTGCAGGACAAGAGCATTGGTGTGAGCCTGCGCCGGAAGGGCCGTCTGCGTGACACTCAGCGGAAGCACAATCTGCGCATCGTCAGTGCCGCTGAAGCCAGTGGTCGGATGAATCTTCTGCTCGCCGATGTCCCAACCAGAGGCCGATAGCCGGTGCGGGAACTCTTTCATCTCCTTGGTGAAGACGACGTGGGCGAGGAAGTAGTCGACCGCAGCCTTGGAGTGCCGGAAGCACGGGAAGAGCTTGTTGACACAAAGGTCCCGGTCCTCCAGGTTCACGCCGCCAAGATGTAGCAGAGCATTGGGCAGCCCATTTGCGTCCTTGATCCAGGTTGCGTACTCGTCAGCGCGCTGGTCGGAGCGGTCGAGGTGGCATAGAGCGTTGCTGAGCTGGTCGTCGTTCAAGCCTTGGTAGTAGTAGCTCAACGACGTCAAGACAATCACAACGTCGGGGTGGCTGAATTCGGACCGGGCAGAAGGGTGGTCCTTCGCGCGATATGGCACGGCCAGTCTGGTCGGCGGCGATCTGGTAGTGTCTAGGCCATAGTCGACCCTCCAGCGCTTGTGCCGAATGCGAAAGCAAGAATGCCGTTCGCAATTAGGCCGCGGAGCAGGAGCAGGGTATTCTTGGTAGTCTCTGCCCAGAACCCTGTGGGAGAATCCTGCTCCACACGAGCAATGATGTCCGCAGATGCCTTACAGTTTCTGATGTACTCGCGGATAGGGCCGCGGAGACTTGGAGTGGCCTGGGCAATGGGGAAACCCTTGACGCCGTATTGGCACACCTGATCTGCAAGCATGTCGAGCAGCTTGTCTGTAGCTTTCGGCTCGATCAACCGCGCGCGGGGAAAGCAGCCTTCAGATCCCGGCCGGATCTCCACGCCATGAGGGAAGTCGTGTTGGATCTTGGGCAGGCATTTGCGGACCAAGTCAAGCAACTCCTGAATGCAGGCCCAGCGCTCGGGGCTGTGGTCGATGGGCTGCTGCAGACCGAGTGAGTAGACAAGCTCAAACTTGGGGCTAAAGTTCTCATCACTCTCGTCGGCCACGTCGCGACTGTGACTGCGCATATATTCGTGCAATTGCAAGAGACGATCAGCAGTGTCGTTCTTCTGACTGATCTTGTGCTCGATGCCCATGAGTTGGAAGGACAAGATGTGCTCAGGCTGCACAAGAAGTACGCCACCCTCGACACGGCAGCGAGTCAAGAGTTTGTCGATGGCGGCAATCTCTGCCTCGCCAACCTTGATCGCTCTTGAGAATGGGAGGTGAAAGACCTGGCGATTGACGAGGCCGCCGAGTTTTGAGATGGGCATGTGAACCATCTGTTTGCTCTGAGGCTTGGCCACGATCACACGCATCAGCTTGTTGCCGTCTGCGAGCGAGGTAACAAGCATTGGCACGATGACGCACGACTTGCCCTCGCCCATGTTGAGCTGCATGACGGCGTTCTTGCCGTGGGCAGGGCTCTGCATGTGAGTGGCGATATCAACCTGGACATCGCGGATGAGAAGCGCGCCCTCAATCTCAAGAAGCAGCCACTCAGGGTGTCTGGCTGGATCCCAATTGGTGTGGCCGTCGTTCTGGAGCTCTTTCATCAACGCAGTTCCTCGAGCGTCGACAAGTCTCTGCGCTCGTTGAAGTCTTGTCAAGGCCACTGCATACTCTATGAGAACCCTCTTCCAGTCATCGCCCAAGCGAACCCAGTTGCTGCGGTTGAGCTGCTCCAGAAGGAGCATCGGGGAGATCCGGGGCAGCTGGTAGATATCTGCCACATCGCTAGTCATGAGATTGCGTATGTTCTCATGAATCAACTCGACATGGTCCTGACATGATGCCAAGTAGCACGCTAGGTTGTGTCTCAACTGTGAATGGTCAACAACGAGCATTTTGGAAGCGAACTGCCCCCTTTTAAGCGCGGCGCGACTAGCATCCATACTGGCTACGTAGTTGTTCTCGTATGTTGACTTGGCCATTGTCTTCAAAGACCTGGCCAGCTCCTTGACGCGTGAATGCGCATAAGCCTCAACGCCATCATTGACGCTGGATGATGAGCTCAGCATCTGAGGCAAGCTGGCGGGTGCTGACGCAGATTCCGATGGAGCAGCTTGGTCGAACAGGTCTGCGACAGATATATACCCTCGGCTGACACCAGGAACAGCTGGCAGGAGTACCAGCGGTCGGTGAATCGGCTGGACGATAGTACACTTGTCGCGAGACACCATGGCGCAGGTATGCTGGAGATACTTGAAGAATTGCAGGTTCTCGAACCACGCGCGGAACATGGCAAGAACCTGGGACGTGATGCCCTTCTTCATGCAGAAATACTTCGTCGCCTCGTCGCGGACAGGGCCGGTAGGCCCCACCGGCACGGCACACGGCCACTGCTGACCGAAGTGCGCGACGAGAACCTGCGCGGCTGTCTCGGCGCGGCTGTGCCACGATGTGCGACCGCGATTGCGAAACGCCTGGAGCGACTCTTTCTTCTCGCGCGTCTCGATGATGTCGGTGCTCGGATCAAAGTCTCGTTTATGCTGGCGCACGATATTGAGAATCAGATCGCGCTGAAACCCGTGGCCGCGATTCAGGGCGAACTGTGTGGCCGAAGAAGGAAGGTCGACCTGGCTCATCTTACCCGAAGATGTGAAGAATGTGGTCAGGACGTGCAAGATGTCCTTATCCACGTGCTCGGCACATGCGATCGCTGCTAACCAGGTCGTGAGTGTGAGACGCTTCTCCTGGTTGCCGGGCTGGCTGAGCAGGTGGTGAAGCCTGAGCCAGTTTTCCGCAATGAAAACGTGCGTTCCAGTGTCCTGATCCCAAGGCATGAACCACTTCGCATCGTAGGAGAGCTTGTGCATGCCAAAATCTGCCGAGAAGTTGGAGACTGGGCATTTCCCCAAAAAGCTCCAGATGCGCGCTGGCAGATTACTAGCAATGGCCACATGGGAGTCGACCCTACTACACTGTAGCGTCTCGGCAACGACGTATGCCGCTGTTGCAGTGGCCGTGTTTCGTCGGTCCACGTCCCGTGCCTTGTAGACGATGTCGTAATCAGTGCTGTGGTCTTCAGCGCCATAGGTCGAAACACGGGACTGTGACACGCGGATCTTGTGACGCGCTAGGAGCTTGGTATTGGTACCGGAAAAGAGGCTCGATGAATCGGTCTCTGGATGCCCTTCATGGAAAAATTTGTTGTCCATGGTTTGGTTGAGCAGGACCTGTACCTACTCGACGAAGCCGTCGTGCTGAGCCAAGAAACCGGTATCCTGGCCAAATCGCATCGTCTGCATGACGTGCAGGTGTTTGGGGTAGAAAGCCCTACTCGGAGTCAAGCTGGCGATCATTTCCAGTGCTGTGATGGCTTCTTTCGTGATTCCATTGGCTGAGCGTACGGCAGCAGTTCGCAGGATACGCAGGGCCTCCTCTGTACCTGTCCGCGAGGTGAGCTGGTCTGGAAGGCAGAAAGCCGTCAGACAGTGAAGGTGAGACAGGAAGAGCTTGCTCTGCAGGTCGCCACTGTCCACGAGTCGTCCAAGAAGAGTGTCAACGCGATATGCGTAGAGGCCTGTGCTTGAGGTCTTGCTGACCTGCACAGATACGTGGGTTGATGTCTTCTCCGCCCTGGTGGGGCCGTTTGGCACCAGGACGATCCGATGGGCCAGCGAAGATGGATTTTTAAGGACAAGCTTGTTGAACAGGCCGATAAGAGTACCAGCATTTTGATTTTCGTCGATGATCATGCCGCGGAAGTCTCTGCTTGTGACAGCAGTGTCTCCTGTCTCGAGATAGAAGTGAGAACGAAGTCCCGGCAGCTCGATGTCGATCCGCTTGTGGTTGGCTGAGGCCAAGCAGTGGATGCGCGCCTCGTCTGTGAGGGTGCCCAGGATCTCGGCCATGACCTTTGAAGTCCGCGTGCTGAGACTGATGACGGTCACGTTATCCTTGCGCAGCTGCCAACGATCACCAGCAGCACCACGCGAAAGAGTCCATGGGATACATGGTGCAGCCCAGGGGTGGCTGAGCAGGCGCAGGCTCACAGTCTGGGTCGTTTCGTCATAGAAATGGACGTAGTCGTCGACGAAGGCATCCGGAAAACAGCCGCGGAGGAGTCTACTCGGTACGTAGTGGAACGTGTGGTAATCCTTTGTCGCCCGAACGAAGAGCTCAGAGGAAATCAGAGCAAACTGCACATCGTGGCTAGCAAAAGGAACATTTGTGGAGAACGGAAAGCCTGGAACGTTGCCTGGCATGACATCGATGATGGAGCTGCCAAATAGAGTCTTGTAAATCTTGTGGCTCTCGTACTCTGAAGGGAGCCGGTTCAGAGGCAAGCCGTTGACGAGAAGTTCACCCGTGAGCAGGTTGAAGCGTACGATGGGAGAGTTTATCTCGCAAGCCGTGCCAACCAGCCACTCCAGAAACTGACCCGACACGGCTAACCAAGTCTGCTGCGAAGTGTGGCCAGACCAGGAGCTACTGATGGCATCATCCAGGGCACGACTACCGCGTGTGATGAAGCGTGAGAGGATGGGTAAGGCGCGATGACTGATTCGCTGCCATTGCCAGAAAAGAGTATCACTAGAGTTGGAGCTATTCTCGCTATCGATGCCTTCGCGAGCGATCATAGAGCACTGTAGGAACTCAGAAGCAGCAAGTCGGGTCTGGAGGGCTGACGGCAGGTGATCGTCCTCAACGTCGAAGGACAGTGAGCAGATGAGCGCGCATCTTGCCGCGCGGCGCCGAAGGTCATCCCGCGTCTGTGCGGCATCACTCAATCGAGCCTTGTCCCTTAGAGAGACTGCCCAGCCGAGGACTGTGCTGCTCGCAGATGCCAGGAAGTCTAGGTACATGTGAATGATTCCAGTACCTGTTATTAGCCGGAGAGCGCGAGTGGCGATGAGGATAAATGTGCGGAGAGCTTCGGCGGACTGCCACGATTCTGCAAGTCGCGAGGGGGCAATGACCACACCATCTAGAAGCTCTTGCGAGAAGTTGTGGTCGGCGAAGATGGCGTGGGATGCTCGGAGAACGTTGCCGGAATCTGCCGGGCCTACCTGGTTTATGCACTGCGCGTGAAAGATGAACGTAGATGCCTGGTTGAAGTCGACCGACGGTGCCTGAAGCTGGCGAAGAATGTTCTGCCACTGCAGCTTGAAGCCCAATGGCAACACACACAACTCTCTAAACTCAGCCAGCGTCATGTGCTGAGGGCAGTCATGCTGGGCTGCAATGACGGCGTTGGGTGGCGGCCCGCTGGGATCACTGGCGGGGCTGTAGAGGAAGCGTTGCATCGTGGAGTCCTTGGAGGGCAGTTTCAGCATGCACTGTTGTGCGATAATATCCGTCAACGCCACACTACTGGTGAAGACGCCAGTGTGCGGGCTGAATACTCATACCGAAGGGCGTGATTAACGAGGACGTCAGAATCGCTTTTGATCGAGCCGATCTTGATCGTGCTGTAGTGCGACTGAAGAACGGACTTTGCCTGGGAGATTGCTATGATTCTCTGGTCGCTTGGGCCTAAACAGTGGTGCCTTAGCCCAAAATAGTCGAAGAGTGCGTACTGCTGCTGGGCTCGCATGCCCAGCTTGTAGGACAGCGACATACAACCAAGTAGGAGGAATGCAGTGGCATCTCACCAGGCTGGGAACCACTCTGGAGGTGCCAGTTCGAAGACGGCATTCCGTGCCTCCGCGGTGTTCTTTGGGAGCGGCCACTCGTGCACCTCAATCTCCATTGCCTGATACTCCCTCACGACACGGCACTTCCTGCAGCTCCATTGATCGTGCTCGGTAGAGTGGTATTTACCGCGAAACACGTCATAGTAGTCGCAACACATGCCGTTGGCCTCACATTTGAGGTTCTCGTGCTTCTTCTTCTTCATGGCCAGCTCGATCTTCTTCTGCTCGCGAGCCTGTCCGGCTTGGCTGTATATGCGATCGTACAACTCCTGTTGCTGCTGTGATGATTCGAAATACATCACATAGAAATTGTTGCTTTTGCCAAAGCTGTCGAAGATCGAGAGCGTGACTGCTCTCCGGTTTTTCGAACACGGGTTGAGGTACTCCTCGACCCGATTCAGCCTGTCGAGCTGAGACTTGCGCGGGAGGAGTAAACTCTGAAGCAGGTCGCGGATTAAGTTAGGCTGCACGCTCGAATCATGGTACTTGCCGAGCTCAAGACAGATCGTCAGTGCTGACTTGTTGCAAGCAATCCACAACTCGAGGCAGGTCAGGATCATGAGGGAGAATGCTTCGGGATTGCTCTGATACGCTGCGTGTGCAGCTGAGTGGTACTTGTACAGCACGGTCCAGATGCTCCTGCAAGTAGATGAAGTCGAGGTGTTGTGTTCGAGCCACCTGTCGAGCGAATGTTCAACCCAGCTCTCGAGGCCTGCCAGATGGAAGGAACGGTAGTCGTCCACATCAACCTGGACATAGGGCAGCTCATCAGGATCAAGCTCGTGCAGGCTGGATCTGAGTGCAAAGGTGGCCGTCAGCTCTTGCATGTCGAGCTGGGTGATTGTCTTGAGGTATGTTTCGGGATGGAGGCAAAGGCGTCCTTGTGGAAATCGAGGCCTTTAAGAGTGTCATAATTTGGATTGCGAGCGTCGCTCTTACAGATAACCGCCAATCGGTCCTCTAGAAGCTTGTTTGTCTTTCGAATGACGCCGCTCCCATACTCTCGAAGCCAGCTGCTTGCAATGATGCCCAACTTGCGGAAGCGCCGGCTGACCTTCGAGGTCATGACTGAGAGAAGGTCGCTTTCGACATTGTGTTTATATGCTTCCTGAAGCAGTGTGGCCATGAGGTACGCAATGAACTCCTTGTACATGGGGGCTCTAGGACTTTCAGTGCTTGCGTCGAGCTCGGCTTCCAGCCTCGACGTGGTCAAGTGGAGACCAACGCGAAGTAAGAGCCACGTCTGCGACCGAGTCCAAGGGAGGCGGCAGGACGAATACATGATCTCCTCCCGCATACTCTTCTTGATGGCCTGCACCTCGATCGTTGAGCCCAGGGCGTGCAGGATGGAGGAGAGGTACTCTGTGACTATACAAGGGTTGACGGTGTAGCGGACTTCGCCTCGCTCGGATCCGGCTTTTTTGGTCGTCGGCTGTGAAAGCGTGGTGCTCTGGCTGCTCATCCTGCCTATCGCGCTAGCTAAGCTTCCATGACATCGTCTTGCTGAAGCGAGGATGCTGGAACGGCTATGGCCTGGCCAGGGAATCGACGAACAAGCCTGCCTTTGGTGTCCAGGATGGACTCGTTGGAGGGTGTGAGCTCGAACAGCTCGAAGTGGATGTCGGTATCGACTCGGTTGAGAAGCATGCCCGCGTTCTAAGAAGTGACCTGGAGGAGCAAGCATCCACCTGGGAGGAAGAGATAATCAATAAGTGAGCAAGCAGGCAACAACAAATACATGTTTCATACCTGTTGTGCAGAGATCTTGAAGCTTCGCAGCAAGTAACTCAGCCTGTACAGAGATTTGACTGTCGCCGATAGTGTGCAACTCGACAAAGCTGGTGATCGTGTCCGTGGCCACCTTGGTGATGGCCTTGTGATGACCTTGTGAGCGAGCCGCGTAGGTCTGGAGAGCCTCAATCGCAAAGCTCACAAGCCATTGAACACGAGGCTGGGAGGAGTCATGCTTGTGCGGAAGCACCGGCGGCAGAAAGAGGTGGTTGATGGCGTAGAAGACGCTCTTGTGAGTCGTTCCAGCACTTGCGGCCGCCATTCCAAAGTGTCAGCACTGCACGGGGACAGCAAAGTGAAAGAGACAAGTGTCAACAACAAGTTGACAGGGAAAGAGTCAAAATAAGGCGTCTGTAGTGTCTGAAGGGTTGTAATGACAAGCACGAAGAAGGAAGAGAAGTCGATAGAGCGACCGACTGGCTACTAGTGTGGCCCAAGTCAGGTCCGAGACTGGGGGGAAGTGGCTGCGCAGACGTGAACCTCTACACTTCGATGAGTGGCTTTGTTTTTGACCGAAGGAGGGCCAGTCAGGCGAGGCATACGCCAACATTGGCGGGCCTCCTGCATGCAACCCACCAACATTGTTGAGGATCATCCACCTGCTCGCACTTCTGCCTAAGAGACGTATCCAAGCATGGCGCTTTCACACTCTTCAATAAGGCGACAATTTCTGACTAGATGGTCGTATAGAGGCACGGTGATTGACATTCCGACCGTCTTCATAGCCGACGCCAGTGCTTGACCCGGTGCTGAAAGTCCAGCATGTACATGTTCTTGAGCAGGTGTCTAAGATCTCGCAGAACGATAGAGGCAGTACCCTGTTTGGTTGAGGAAGATGGAAGACGCCCACTGTGAGGGTGCAGCTGAGCCATCCCATCGTCAGAAAGACAGGCTTGAACACCACTGGAACAAAGGACGCGGGCCAGAGCACCTCGTGGGTTACCTGTCATGTGTCGTTAGTGATCTCGAGCTTGGCAATCTCGGTGCTCCTGCTTCGTGTCACCCTCCTAAGATCTTGACGATCATCATCTCCATACCCAACGCAATCTTTCTGGTGCCTTACCAGTGTTCCTGAAATGTCCTGCGGTCTACAGGCCACATGTCCGCTGCCACCCTCAGTGCGTCAGCTCCAGGCTCATCAGCCCATAGATCGCCTCGTACTCAATCAACGACCAGGCTCCAGCAAATCGTCGCCGCCACCCACAGCTGCAAATCCACATCGTTTGCATCGTACACGCCCTCATTCTTCACCTGCGACCGACTCGTCATGTCCGTCACCTGCCTGCGCCCCTCGGGCGTGCCGAATGTCATGACGTAGATGTCCGCCAGCCTGCGCCCCTCGGGCGTGCCGAATGTCATGACGTAGATGTCCGCCAGCCTCGCATGAGTGGGTGCTTTCTGAATCCGCGCGAGTCGGCGACAGCATGGTCGAAGGGCTTGCTGGCGATCTGCAGCAGCATTTCCGCGGTACTGGGAGGCACAGAGCATAGTCCGCCTGCGGTCTTGCGCAGGTTCTGTGGCGTGGTCAGCGACGGGATTGTGGTGGACTGTGAGCTGGTCGTGGTGGGCAAGATGAAAGGTCCCCTTTCGAGAGCTCGTTTCGTCGACTAGTTGGAGCTGGACTTGTAGCCTGCTGGGCATGTCATTGTTCGGTGAATTTTGCTTGATTGGGTGGACAGTCGTGTTGCGTGCTCTAAAATCCTCCTGCAGCTGCTGAGATGACAAGTCAGTGATCGGAGGCGCGTGAGAAATGTCCCAGGACAGCCGACGCCGAGCATTGAGCTCCCGATAAGACATCAAGAAGCTTGGCCTGTTACAGGTACAGTACTTTGACCACTCTTTTATAACAAGGTAAGTAACGTTAGGTGACAGTGCCGCTGTAACTAAATTGGGGTGGGGGGGGGCGGGGCTGGCGACCAGAGGAAATCGTTTAGTTCTGAGCACTGTTTCCCGTACAGATCCACAGATTACCAGACGCCAGTGTGGCTGTCCTCTTCAAGGCGACAATGGGCTTAAACCTACTAATTACTGCGCGATTGATCTGAAGCACGAAGGACCCATTGGACGACGTGTGCCTCGGCAACGCGCTCCACAGCACCGGCTCCTGGGCTAGGCCTCTTTGGGCGACAGCCATGGGGTCTGCCTCGACTTCCTCGGCCACAGATGCGACGAGCCGCGAAGTCCCCCCAACAAGGCTGCTGTCAAGGCTGATGACAGGCATCAAAGTTGCACAGGCCGAGCCATGGAGATTGGATGCCGACAACAAGCGCGAGATGTTGTGCCATGCGTCGAGGCCGCAGGCTTTGATGCAATGCCGACCGGCCCAGGCACGGTTTTATGTACGCGTGCTCAAGGTTGGGTTTTGGAGAAGGCCGGGTACCTTGTTGGAGATTTTAGTGCCACTTCTGAAATTCCCATCAGCTGTCGAGGTGGCAATTTGTGAGCAAGACTGCGCATTGCCCGAGGAACCCGTGGGAACTCATGACGACGACGATTCCGCGGAGCCCGACAGTGTTCGGACCTGGAAGGCCGATTCGTTTCGCATGTCTCGACATTTCTGTGTTCTGGCAAACCCCAGGATTTGGTGGTTGTGGGGAGGCGCTGGGGAAGACAAGGCTCCTCCGCACCGCCGCAGTCGAAATCCCCGAGGCCAAGGACCGGTTTTGCGAGCAAGGGGCATCGGCACAGCAACGCGTGCGTGCTCTGCCTGCTTCATGTTGGGGATGAATCCGCGGCATGGCCATGCTTCGTAATTCAATCCGTTGAGATGCCATGATCCGGGACAGCGTCCTTGCGTGCTCGAATTTGTAATGGCTTCTTCCGTTGTATCCCCGTACTCCCGGTGGGCGGTCGGGTACTTGCAAGCTCGAGCCTTTTTTTCGTGAGGACGTGGCTCCCGATTCTTCGAGGATAAAGTCGCGAGGTAGGTACAGTAACCATGGGTCGCGAGGATCGAGGAACAGCCTGATGCATGCAGGTGGCTTTCCCCACTGCTGTGCTGCCCATACTGTGACAGCAACGGGCTTCAACCGCAGCTTGTGAAAGCGAGTCCTTGGAGTGTATGAGCGTCGTGAGGGGGCAGCGGAAGGTGCGTCCAGGGCCCGGCGAGTCGACCTCGGCTCTGGCGTCGCGCGCGACGGGCCCAACTTCGAAGACGACCAGACCCTCGAGGGCGGCCGCGGCGAATCAGGAGGCAGGCAATTGAGGCAGGTGAAGGCACCCTGGCGCCTGGGGCACCTCGCCGGTCGGCCACTGGCAACATATCGCCGATGCTGAAACTTGCCAGTCGTCGCCACGGCCCTGGTCCGGAATGTGAATCGTCAAACAATCAATTGCTGACGAGGCACGCCACTGACGGCAGAGCCTTTTCAGAACTTTGCCGTTGTAAGGACTGGCCACTTGTTTATTCGGAGGCAATAAACAACGTCCATAGCACAGCTCGACAGGACAGGGGCCCGAGAAGCAATGCCAGCCACAGCCCGTATCGGCATGCATCATGCACAACCTGCATTCGAGCTGCAACATGGCAAGAACCGACTGGCCTGGGTGGCATCAGACCAATGCAGCCAGACCATCCAAGGCATCACTGTCCCGTCACGATCGACATTGTTGTGGTTGCGGATGCTACGACTTGGGATTGCTCTGGGCGCCGCTCAGTCCTCCTCCGCCGCCGCCAAGCCTGCTGCCCCTGAGTAGTGCCCGGCACCTCTGTTGCAGGCTTCACAGCCGTCTGCTTGGCACCACCGCAACGACCCTTCCCTGATGGCGACTCAGCCCATGGAGCTCGCCCGATCCTTGTCAAGACCCATGTGGCTCTGATCCTTGTTGGCTCTCTGCACGAATGCTTTCCGCAAGCTCACGGCACTGCTCCAGCTTGAGCAAGCATGCCCAGATTCCAGGGCGCCCACCGTCGAAGCTGGCGCCGCACCGGCGGCGGGAGGCTGTCTTGACGCAACGGCGCCGCTCCCTGAACCCCGTCCATCCCCTACCGAGCTTGGCTACGAGTGTTAACGCTCGGGATCGGAGCGGCGGGCCCGTTGCAAGCCCAGAGCTGCCGCGGCTGCGCACTTGCTTGTCTGAGCGAGCGACTGTCGTGGCATGACAGTCGTTGTTTTTTCTGTGCCCGCTGGCAAACAGGGATCATCCAACACCTGCATGACACTCGCAGCTGAGGCGGACAAATATGGCCGTCACCCTGCCCAGGCTCGTATCGCTCAACTGAAAACCCTAGCGGGTGATCTGATCTTCGTGGCTCAGGGCACCCGCCGCAACCCCTGCTCGCCATGGATGCTCTCGCCATTTTCAGTCGGTGGGTTGCTTAACACCATGCAGTATAGGCTGAGCATGCTGCTTAAAAGGCGACATCGTGCCCTCCCTATTTCCGAGGCTGTGGTTGCCAGCTACTTGGTACGCCTTTTGCCCTCGGCGAGTCCTTCGTTCACAATCGTTGCCCTGCCGTGGTGACTTCCTTTCGCTTATCCGACTTTACACCTTCGCTTCTACGCATCTCACCATGTTGTTCAACATCAAGAGCACCGTTATCGGTGCTCTGCTGAGCGCAACAGCTGTCCAGGCTGCTTGCTCAAGCAACCTCCTAATCGATAATTTCGCAACTTTCTCCCAGAATACGAACAGCTTGGGTTCGTGGACTAGCGATGACGGTCAAATGACTTCGATCTCGGCGTCTGCCAACACGCTCAGCTTCACCCCGAACGCTAACTCGTACTTCTACGAGACCATTCCCTGCCAGGCTGCCAGCACCAACAAATATACAGCTTTGCAGTTCTCCGTTACGGCGCCTAAGGATGCGACCTTCTTGGTCGAACTTCAGTCAAAGGCCGCTTGCTCGGATGCCACTCACAAGAGTGTCTGGTTCACTGTTACTGGCATGACCGGTTCGAAGCAGACTGTTACCATTCCCTTCAGCTCTTTCCCTGGCGCGAGCCTGAATGGCATCACAGGCTTTGTGTGGTCGACTTTCTCAAAGACGGGTTCGCAGTACCAGCTGAGTAACGTGAACCTCGTCTGCTCTGGCGGTGGCTCGACGCCTACCACTCTCACGTCTGCCACCCAGCCTCCGGCTCCCACGGGAGCCTGCACTCCCTTGGTCGTGGACGATTGGGAGTCGCAGTCTCGCCTGACTTTCCTGTTCTACAATGCCCTCATCCTGCCCACGAGCAGTGACGGCACCATGTCGTCCCTCGTTGTGAGCAACAACAACAGGATGACCCTGACGCCCAAGGACACCAGCTCTTACTTCTACAGCAAGACTGGGTGTGTCAACACCCAGAACCGTTATGGAGGCATTTCACTCCGCGTCAAGGCGCCACGCGGTACAACCTTCACGATCCAGCTCAGCTCCCCCGATACTTGTGGAGGCGAGGACACGAAGTTCGCAGCCCAGACAGCCTCAGACCTTGGCTGGACCTTTGACGGAACCGAGAGATTGTACACCATCCCCTTCTCCAAGTTCGGCGCTCTCGACAAGACCAAGGTTTCTACCCTCTTCTTCGCAGGCTTCACTCAGGCTGTCACCTTCGGCCCGATGGCGTTCTACTGCGGCAACACTGCTGGCGAGTTCGTGCCTCCAGTCACCTCCGCTACTGTTCCCACCGGCACAGTTGCTGCTCCTACCGCGGCTGCCTCTGCTACCCTGGTTATCGACCGCTTCGGCAACCAGGCTGCCAACGCTCTCAACATGTGGCACGGTGGTGACGATGGTCTCAGCTTGACTTGGGGCTCGCAGTCGCTGACTCTCAAGGCCTCTGACTCGGACTACTCGTTCTACACACAGCTCTCCGCCACGTGCAGGGACATGACCCAGTACGACAACTCCTACCTCCACGTCGTCTACAGCGGCAGCAACAAGTTCACCATCGCCATGCAGCAGCACAACTCGCAGTGCAACACGGCCATCGCCCCGTACCCGGAGACCTGGGACTCGCTCGAGGCCGCGCGCTACTCGTCGGCCACCGATATCTACATCCCCATCAAGCACTTCAACATCAACCGCAGCCGGGCCGTCGGCTTCGCGTTCAAGGGCTTCTACACCACGGACTCCACGCAGCTGAAGCTCGTCGAGATCGTCAACAAGATCCCAGCCAACGTCAAGATCCCTGTCAAGCTGCCCAGCGGCAACCTCGTCTTCTCGTGCAAGCGGCCCAACTCGTTCGCCTTCGCCATCGACGACGGCATCCCGGCGCTGTCCCAAGAGGTCATGAAGATCATCAAGGAAGAGAACATCAAGGTCACCTTCTTCACCGTCGGCGCGCCCCTCGACGACGCGGGCACCAACCTGACCAACGTCTACCGCGAGATGGCCAGCCAGGGCCACCAGATCGCCCTGCACTCGTACACGCACCCCAAGATGGAGGGGCTGCCGGACAACGAGGCCATCGACTGGGAGTACATCAACGACATCGACGCCATGAAGGACGCCTTCGGCGCCAACTACAAGTCCAACTACTTCCGGCCCCCCTTCGGCAACGAGGGCGCCCGCATGCGCCAGCGCCTCACGCAGGTCCTGGGCACGAGCGACGCGTACATCATGAACTGGTCCGTCGACGTCGAGGACTGGCTCTGGGCCGAGTCGTCGACACCCGAGAAGCAGCTCGAAGCGTTCAAGCGCGATGTCAATAAGGGCGGCAACCTGGTCGTGCTGCACTACCTGTACCCCAGCACGGTGTCGTACCTGCGCGAGTTCATCCGCATCGCCAAGGCCACCGGCAAGCAGCTCATGCGCGTGGACCAGTGCATGATGGACCCGAACGCGCCGCCGTTGTAAGTGGATGGATGGGTGGTAGATGAGCTGGGGAGATGTGGAGTTGTGATGATATGCGGGCGTGGCGTTGAAGCGGTGATTCCTTTGTGTCTTCTTGCGAATAATGGATATCCTCTGTAGTAAAAAAAGTCAGCTAGTCATAAGAACATAATTCAGACCAATATCATCGACAAACGTACACTCCAGTGTACCTACTGTATTGTTGTGAGTGTTACTGAGCATGGCAGAGATCTGCCAGCAAGGGAGCCTGGGTATCTGAGACGTGAACAGCCACGACTCCTGCTCCGCGACTCCTGCTCCGCAACATTCCAATCAGGTTCTCAACATTTCGGACCCCTTGTCAGTCGTTCCCCAGACCACCTTCTCCAACAATTGCATCGATCTACTGCGTACACAGCTAACTAACCCCAGTTCTCTTCCCCTCCCCGTGTCTCTGATCTCCTCACCATTTCCATCCCGGCATTGCCCACCCCGGCACGGGAGAAGCGTGGGGTTGGTACCATACGTGCCATATAAAGAACCCAAGAGATAATCTGGAAAAGACCCCCGTGGCATAAGATCCTCCACAGCACAGGTCTCCCATCCTCCTGCCGCGTGCCGTACGTACCCGAATATCATCATTATCGTATCAAGGGCCCGTGCCGATATAGCCTGACCGTTGTAGCAACTGTTGCTCCCTCGGACATGTACCTAAAGCACACCGCGTGCACCAGGACTTGTCGATGCAGCAAGTATCCACCCAGAAGTATTGCAGGCCGTCGCGTCTCGCTTGTTCCGCGCAGAACCGGAGCTTATGATAGCCAGTCTTGTCCTCCCCAGTCCCGTCGACCAAGTTCCTGAAGGTAACCTCTTCGGTATCTAGGCCCCATATGTGTGACAGTATGGCATATCTGGGTATATCGTGAATCAAGTCCTTCGTCAGCTTGAACTTGCCGTCGCTACATTCTAGGAGTCGCATAGTTCTAGGGCGGGGTCCGTTATAATAGGACGACAATTTGGAATCGAAACGGTCAGGAAGCCTATTTCCCTAGCGGGCATTTTGAAGAGTAGGGAAGAAATCCTTCTGCAAGTTGGGGACTGTACGAATAGTAGGTAGTAGTACTATTACGTAGTCTCGCTCGCTTTATAAGTAGGTACTTTTATAGTTACGTACTCCACAAGCGACCCGCCCACACAAGCGACCCGCCCACTTTCTAGGCACTTACACGACAATGTATAAGTGCATTCAACCACAACGCCTCAAATTAATCAAAACTATTTAGAATCCTCTTCTTCAGAGATAGACTCAACTTTCTGACACGTACGCGCATTATGACCGGGCTCCCCGCAGACGCCACAGCGTCGCGCGCGTGTCTCTGTCCTCCTCGCGCGACCACTATTCTGACTCGTTTCTGCCTGTAACTGCTGCGTCGCATCGATTTGATCCTTCAAGTCCTTTGCCTGATTAATTGTTAGGGATCCTCCTTTCTGTAGCTGCTTTCTCTTTGTACGGCGACGGCGGCTAAGGCGGTCATTTGCATCTCGAAGTTCGGCGAGTTCGTGGCGTACAAGGGTTTGCTCGTGCACCATCATTGCGATTCCTTTATTTAGCTGCCGTAAGCTTGCAATTATTGATGAAGGAGAGCTACCCTGATGCCGTACGATACGATTCTTGATGTATTCAGTCTGCGACCCTAACCCTACCCTCGGCTTCAATCGGGTTGTTTGGCGTCTTCGAGACCCAGGGTGGCGGGAGGCCTGTAGAGGAACCTGGCGGTGTTGGCGTATGAGGCTTCACATCTAGCTGCGAAATGACGTATTCCGGGTCGTACGGTACTAGGCCAGTCGCTCTAAAGCCTGCCTGTATATTTGACTTCGAAATTGCAGCGTCGTACGCCTTGTAAAAGGCTGGGAGGAAGTCTTCCTTCGCGATGTGGGTAATGTGCGCCCGCATAAGATCTTCGATTTCGTTTCCGTACGCCCGTTTTAGAGGTCCGAAGCACCCGACATCGAGAGGCTGGAGCTTATGCGACGAATGAGCAGGCATACAGAGCGTGATTATATTCTGGTCCTTGCAGTACAGCTCGAAATCGACCGAGTGGTGGCTCTCGTGGCCGTCGAGAATGAGGACCCGGTAAGCGCCCTTCGTACGGCTCTTTGTATAAAAGTCGAAGTGCTTTGCCCATTCTAGGCCTTTCTCGTTCGTCGTCCAGCCGTTTTCAGTAAGCGTAATTACCCAGTTAGGCGGTAGAGGGCTTTCGGACGTCCACGAGTCGAGGTGGACCTTGCCTGCGAAGATGATGTACGGCGGGATCGAATTGCCGGACGCCCCGATGCCCTGGATTACTGTAACCCATTCCTGATTCCCCTGTTGTACGGCTCTTGGCTTGCCGCGTCGATCGGAGGTTGTAACGACAGTCTCGGCGGGAGATCTTGCCCATCGCGAAGCCTGTCTCGTCGAAGTTATAGATATCGTCGTCGTGTATCCCGTATTTCGCGATTATGTTTCGTACGAGTAAAAACCACGCGCGATACGCGTCCGGATCTTCGCAGAGGACTCTCTGATAGTCGATTCTTCGATTAAAACGCGTTCGGAGCTCAGGTCGTCGTCGTACGAAGTTTGTAGCCCAGTTCGTTCCGACGCGCGGCGCGTCGCGTGCGCGGAGGAGTCGATCCGCCATTTCTCGAACACCACTAAGTCGCGGCGGAAATGATCGCGAATCTAGGTCGATTACGTATCGTACGATGCTCTCCTCTTCGTACGGGGTCAATTTCTGGTTATGTGGTCGGGTATCACGTTTGCGCTCTACGCCACGTCGTGGGTCTCGGAGGGTTGTACGTGGGACATTATAGATTGATGCAGCCTTTCGAACACTTATTTTCGGGTTTGATTGAAGCGCGTTTAGCGCTAAGATAAGGTCGTGTTCTTTAGATTGCGCCATAAGAGGTAATGGTGGGAGAATGAAGGAAAAGATTGAGGATTTGTTTAGAGGGAAGAAAGTGGGCGGGTCGCTTGTATGGGCGGGTCGCTTGTGGATTACGTTATATGACCTCGGAACAAAGTCTTTACATTATATATAACGTAATCCACAAGCAAGCGGGTCACACAAGCGACCGGGTCATATTCCTGCAATTCTCAATTACTCCTCTTCTTTCCTTAATTTCTCCACGAACAAGTATGCCACGACAATCAATTGAATCAGAGATCATTCTCGCGCTAAATGCGCTTCAATCAGACCCTAAATTAAGCGTACGAAAGGCTGCATCGATATATAAGGTATCACGTACAACACTACAACAACGATACCACGGCCGCTCTGCGAAAGGCGATACCCGACCACGTAACCAGAAATTGACCTCGTACGAAGAGGACAGTATCGTACAATACGTAATCGACCTAGATTCGCGATCGTTTCCGCCGCGGCTTAGTGGTGTTCGAGAAATGGCGGATCGACTCCTCCGCGTACGCGACGCGCCACGCGTCGGAACGAACTGGGCCTCAAACTTCGTACGACGACGACCTGAGCTCCGTACGCGTTTAAATCGAAGAATCGACTACCAGAGGGTCCTCTGCGAGGATCCGGACGCGTATCGCGCGTGGTTTGAGCTCGTACAAAACATAATCGCGAAATACGGGATCCACGATGACGATATCTATAACTTCGACGAAACGGGCTTCGCGATGGGTAAAATCTCCGCCGAAACCGTCGTTACGACCTCCGATCGACGCGGGAGGCCAAGAGCCGTACAACAAGGGAATCAGGAATGGGTTACAGTAATCCAGGGCATCGCGTCGTACGGCTATTTAATCCCGCCGTATATCATCTTCGCCGGGAAGGTCCACCTCGACTCCTGGACCGCGAATAGCCCCCTACCGCCCGACTGGGTAATCGCGCTTTCAGAAAACGGTTAGACGACGAACGAGAGAGGCCTAGAATGGGTAAAACACTTCGATTTCCATACGAAGAGTCGTACGAAGGGTACCTACCGCCTCCTTATCCTCGACGGCCACGAGAGCCACCATTCAGTCGATTTCGAGCTCTACTGCAAGGAACAGAATATCGTAACGCTCTGTATGCCTGCTCACTCGTCGCATAAGCTCCAGCCTCTCGATGTTGGGTGCTTTGGACCTCTGAAACGGGCGTACGGTAAAGAAATCGAAGGTCTAATACGGGCGCACATAACCCACGTTTCAAAGGAGGACTTCCTCCCAGCCTTTTATAAGGCGTACGACGCTGCAATGACCAAATCAAACATCCAGGCAGGCTTTAGAGCGACAGGCCTAGTACCGTACGACCCGAATTATGTGATTTCGCAGCTAGATGTGAAGTTTCATACGCCGACACCGCCAGGTTCCTCTGCTGGACTACCACCCCCATGGGTTTCAAAGACGCCGAACAACCCAATTGAGACCGAATCGCAGACGAAGTACATTGAAAATCGCATCGTACGACACCAGAATAGCTCACCGTCGTCCATTGTTGAGAGCGTACAGCAGCTGAGAAAAGGAGTCATAATGATGGTACACGAGCAGGACCTTATGCGCCAAGAGCTCGCCGAACTTCGAGATGCAAACGACCGCCTCAGCCGCCGTCGTCGTACGAAAAGAAAGCAGCTACAGAAAGGAGGGTCCCTCACGATTGATCAGGCAAAGGATTTGAAGGCTCAAATCGATGCGACGCAGCAGTTAATAGCGGAAACAAGTCAGAATAGTGGTCGTACGAGGAGGCCCGAAACGCGCGCGCGACGCTGTGGCGTCTGCGGGGAGCCCGGCCATAATGCGCGTACCTGTCAGAAAGTTGAGTCCACCTCTGAAGAAGAGGATTCTGAGTAGTTTGAATTGATTTGAGGCGTTGTGGTTGAATTGACTTATATATTGTCGTACGAGTACTGGGAGGGTGACCCGGTCGCTTGTGTGACCCGCTTGCTTGTGGATTACGTTACTAGAAAATCAAGCCACAATATGATGACTCCTGCCTAACACTCTAAAAGGCGTGGTTCATCGGTCATATGACGTGAGCGGCTGTAGTAACGGCGAGGCGCCCTATGACCTTTACCGCGCTTTCGGGTAGGCCGACGTTCTGCGTGGCAGGTGCCGTTCGCAAGCTTCCGAAAAAGATATCCAGGCGGAATCCTGTTACTAGGGCTCCGTCTTGCCTTAGTGCTCTGCTGTTTGTATTTCAGCAGATATCTAGTAGACCGTAAACCAGATGGTGCCTTTACATACCGTATGATGCTCCAAAGTTTGGCGCCTTGTATCACTACTTGCCCGTTGGTGTCACGTTGTGGCCTGCAGCATCGGTGGCATTTGTCGCAACTTCTCGAAGCCCACTCAACGCCATGTAGTCGTCACGACCATGCAGGGCAAACTTGATAATCTCGAAGTGCAGACGGTTGATTAGACAAGCGTGATCTCCTTTATCCGCTTCTTACAGACAGGCTGTATCAGAATAGTCCGATATGAGGATCGTTTTCGGCCCCGTAATTCTCTATTGGCCGTTCTCTAAGTGCATACAAATAGATCGGGGTGAGTTTTTTAGATGAGCGCAATGCCAGATTCGCTTATACATAGGCGAGTATGCGCTCGAGGCCCAAAGGAATATTGATCTTCCGCAAATAGGTGGAAGGATATCCAACATGTGGAGAGCTGCGACTGGGAAGCACTATGACATTGAGGCTCGTAGAATCACTGGCATACACAATACGAAATGTCTCAGCAACGTGCTCACAGACGGAGGCCCGCTAAGCGCTGCGACGCTGTGTCAACAGCTTCGACGATGTCTACCTATTCTTGTCGGCACACAGACGAGCAGCTCTCCGCAAATCCGCTAGCTGATTGTTTACTGGTCATGGCTCCCTCCAATTTGAGGAGATGCGGGCAATGCTGGTGGGGTATCACCAGCGCCCTACCCGCGAGCTGTTGGAGTGGCGAACAACGGACGGGGCCAGTGTAACGCTATTCTGGCGCTTCTGCCGTATATGTCGCGGTTGAAGCAGTTTGCCCTGCGGATTGACACGACCAAGCCATACGACTCGCATGGCATGTTCAACAGAACCATGACTGAGATGATGCTGTCAGGAGCATCGACGTCGATCGAGAACATCTCTTTCCACACACCCGCTGAAGATGTCGGCACCGAATTTCCACCGTGAAGCGATTTATCAAAATCCCGACATTCCATCTCGAGTTTCATAGGGCACCTATACCGAACCCATCGTGAATGTTGTCGGTCATTGAATCCTCGACCCAGGCGGTACGGCAAGCTCTCGAGGCACGTAGCACAGCTTGTGGACCCAGACGACAGGCTTACCAAGCGGTTCATAACATTCCAAGCGATATACTACCCGGCGGAAGCATCGGCTGCAGCCCGCCGCTGGAGCGGCAACGATGATCAAAGCGTTCCGCTGTCTGTGCTTATGGGCGACGAGGGTCTGTGGTGTTGAGCCCCTTCCTTATCGACCAAGCCCCCAATCTCCAAGTCATGTCTACTGCCGGCCCTGTGTAGCTCCTAGAGGAGATTGTCTTCAACGAGTATGCCTTGATTTAAGTAAAAGACGGCATACTGACGACGTTATCCTACGGATTGTTCTCTAGAAGCTCGAACTACAGCGATGTAGAGCCGGGGCTCCTCAAAAGAGTAAATTTCAAAGAGCGCTTCGCCTGCCTGGTCCCTCCATAGACATTCGCCTAAGTCGAGCCCAAATTGCAGTAACTTCTGCGCCGGACGTACGGTTTGGACCATGGTACGGCTCGCTAATTCCCGTCGGTGTTGAAGGGTAATCGAGTCTAATATGCTCGCAAGCTGGCCTTCGTGGGTGTATAACGTGTCGCTCTGCGGCCGTGCTCCTATCACACGGATCCCCTATCAATCAGAGCCACGTACTAATCATCGCCGACATGACAGTCGTACCAACTAGCGATTCATCTTGAGCTGCAGTAACCACTTCATGTACCAGCGTGGAACAGAAGCCATCTGAAGGCGGGTAAGGCGGGAAACGACGTTCCGGACGGGCTCGAGTTGGCGCGCGATATTATAGATCGGTGATGGAAGAAAGCTCTTAGGTCTGTCCCGGGGATGGCTTGACGGGGTCCGGAAATCCCGAGGCAGCAGTTGCCTGCTTGATGATAATGAGCTTTAGCGTGTGGTTATAGCCAGGAGAATGTTCCGTCTGCGTGGTATCTATTGATTCTGGAAGGAGGTGTCGGAAAGTGATGTACCCAGTTATCCCTCGGCGACAGAAACTATGTATGGAGACGAATGGGTGAGCATAGGCATCCGTCTTAGTTCATGATACTATCTGTCTCTCGGACGTTTTATATGAGTGCATCTCTGCGCGTTGTCGTTGGTCTATCGTACAAGGAAAGTCAGACCAGGTTGCCGTCGCCTGTGCTATTGCAGATACTTGCAAAGCCGGAGTCGGCCGAGAAGTATTGGCTCAGGCGCCAGCGTAGTGGCCTTACAGTGGGGGCGCAAAAATAACGCGAATTTCTCCACAAACGCGCATCGACACGCTTCTTGCCACCTCCAACCCATTCAGCACCACCACCTTCAATCGACAATGGCGACACCACAACGGCCGTTGAAGCCATTTAAAAAACATTCCACACCTCGTACGAGGAATCGCGTTTGGGCAGCATTTTCTGCGGGCAAAAAGCTGCACTAATCGCCGAGGATGAGGGCATTCCCGTGAGCCTTGTGTATGGCATCAAAAGACGGTTCACCGCGCAGGATTGGGGTGTATCTCCTCCTGGCCGAGGGCGCCCCAGCCCCCTTACTTCGCACGATAAAAGGCGATCAAGGATGCAATCAATAACGACGCTTTCATCTCGATTAGAGAGCTAAAGAAACGGATAACTCCTCATGTTTCTATCGACACCATAAGGCGGTACCTCAAGGCGGACGGAATTATGCACCGTAAGGCTGCACAGCGCCCCTTTCTGACAGAAGACCATGCTCAAAAAAGAGTCCAATTTGCGCAGAAGCATCGTGATAAACCGCCTACGTGGTTTCGTCGCATTCTATGGAGTGATGAGTGCTCTGTCCAGCGCGGAGATGGGCAGAGTCAGAAGTGGGTTTGGCGGCCAAGAGGTTTGCAAATCACACCCACCTTCAAACCACGATAACTTAGTCCACAATTGACCATTTCAATCCGTTCCAGGCTCAAAAGCAATAGATCCAAAGTACGTACAAGGCAAGACGAAGAAAACGGGCATTCCCTTATGTTCTGGGGCGGAATCCGGTACGGAAATCGGGGGCCACTTGCCAGCCTCCCAGGAGACCCCGACGCCAAAAAAAGGCGGTGTGACGGGCGCAGTTTACAAGGACCATATTGAAGAATACTTGCCGACGATGCTTGATTACGACACTATCTTCATGCATGATAATGCGCCCGTTCATCCTGCAAAAGTGGTGAAGGAATGGCTCAATAACTCTGGCATCGAGGTGCTTGAATGGCCGCCATACAGCCCAGATCTCAACCCCATCGAAAACCTCTGGTGGTGCCTCAAAGACCGCATCTACAAGGCTGGCCCTCAAATGGCATATATGACGAAGTGCAAGGCTTCACTGGATCACCTTGAAGAAGTCGCAATGGCTGCCTGGGAGCAGATTGAGGTTGAGCTTGTCAACCGCGTCATCGACAGTATGCCCAAACGGTTGAAGGCGGTGATAGTTTCAGATGGATGGTACACTAAATGCTGATTACATCACCATGTAGAGCAATGCCAACGCTACAGAATGCACTAATTGCGACCATTACAGCTGCCAGAATGGCTTCATTATCTATAAGTAAAGTTGGCACATGTGGTGCGGTGGTGTGGGCCGGATTTGGCGGTTTGCGTTATTTTTGCTACCCACCTGTACATGTCGTCCGAAGGATGATATTAAGTTTACTGATTATAACGCCAAGGGTTTCCTATTCCTAAGCTGGCGCTCTTAAATACTCCGTCGAACCGGGTTTTGTTCACTAGAACAGGTAGCCGACACCTGTAAAAAGTGGTTATGGTGGCATCTTGCCACGCCCTACTAACAAATAAAGGATTCACTGTCCAGATAGAGAACCGCCCTCTGTCGTCCAAGAATGGCTGTCTATGGTACAGAAGGATTTTTCTCTTTTCTCAACCTGATCCGCCTGGACCTGCCTCTTGGATGACCTGCTCTTTTCCTCTGTGGCCGCTGGCGACCTGATTCCAGTAGCTGACGGCGCCACTCAGACAAAATGTTCCGGGCCCAAATTATGTCTTCTTTTTTCGAGCCCGGTTGCATGGAGCGGACTGTGATAGAGCCCTGTAAGAGGCGGACGGCGCTAGTCTTACGGCCCATATAGTTCTCCGTGATGGCCAGATCCTCCATGCTATCCCCGATGAGATCACTGATTTTAGACTTCTGTTTGGACGTTTCCACCACGTGCACCTGTAATTTTCTTGCATCTTCCCACATGTTCTGCAAATAGTATGCACTAGCGAGGTTTAACTCACTCCTGAGGGTGTCAGCGTGTTCTTTGCCGAGTCTGGATTGGCGAAGGTTAACCACTTCGACGCCCAAATCTTCCGCCTGTGCGCACTCCTTCAAGTGTAAGTATGTTGTTACCAGGTTTGCCTTACAATTAAGGGTGAGAGGGTGATCTCCGCCGAGTATTTCGGTGCACACTGAAAGCAGTTTTGAAAACTGCCCTTCTGCTGTCTGTAATCTTCCTCGATCTCGATATACAGTGGCCAGCTCGCACTCAATTGCTAGGATGTCTGGATGATTTTGGTCGAGAGAAGTCTCCCTGGCTTGTTGCAGGACGCTCAGATATACCTGCTCAGCACTCTCCAGATCGTTACGTAGTCGGAGGAGTGTGGCCCGATTCGCATCACAGCCGATGATATCAGCGGGGTGGGCATTTGCAGGCCCGCCATATTTGTCTCGATCTTCCTTGACCTCTTCCATCTGCTTTGCTGCCTCGTTCAGACTCTCCAGACTCCCCAGAGACTCCAAGTTCATCGCCTTATCCTCGCGAATGTTTAGAAACATAGGATCATCGGGGCCGAGATACTGACTGCAGGTTCTCAGTAGATCGGAGAATGTGTCATCAGCCGCCTGGTAATGACCCAGATTGCGCTGGGCTCTGCCGAGATAATGTTTGCTCTCCAAGACCAGACGGTCTTCCGGTTTGTGCACCTTCAGCGCGTCAAGAGACCGGTCGGCGAACTCTATAGCTTGGTCGGGATAGCCCATTTCTAGCTGGTACTGGTACAGGCTGGCATGGCAAAGCACCTGTGCCTGCTTTCCAAGCAACTCAGCATCCGTTGGGCGATGTCGGGTCATCTCTTGGACATGCGGGTAGAGGCGTCTGCACGTATCCCAGTTCTCATAGCGCCCCGTTGGGAAGTTCCGACCCATCCAGCATATGAACTGTGATTCGAAGTATTCAAAATGTCTGTTGTCCTTCAGCCAGTGTCTTACTGCCAGCTGCACGAGTTGGTGCATTGAGAACACGCCGGGATTCCCCTTAGCGATGAGGCCCGCGTCAAGCAGATCCTGCACGTCCCTCTCAGAGGCATCAGTGAAGTATTGATTGCTTCCATCTCCAAGTGGCGGTGGCTCGTCCGTTTGGAGGTCGCTCTGGTGGCCCTGGTCAGACTCGGTCACTACGCTCTCGTCGGCCCCGCTCCTTCGAGACTCAGCAAGCGATTTCGGAATGTGATCGCGGTCGAAGAACGACATGAAAGAGAGCAGAGCAGCTGCTGGCGTTAAGTCCTTACAGCTCGGCTTGAGGAACTCGATAACGGGCCTCCAACAGGCTTTGATGTAGTCTGAGGCACTGCAGTCTCGTCGGAACTGATGACTTTGTTCTTGGAAAAGAGCTCTTATAGACGTTTTGTTCCGTTTCCGTTCTTGCAGGTAGGCGTTGACTGAGATGGGTAGGGTGTGTCGGCTTATGTACGCTGCCGCTTGCACGATTGCGAGCGGATTGTACTCTAGTGTTTTGACTAACTCCATATCATCCTGCTTGCTATGCTGGTCATGGTCGCCGAGTTTCTTCAGAAGCAATTTCACAGCCGGGCCTGCACTCATTGCTCTCACGGGCACAATGTCGCTGGATTTGATGCCGAGGGCCAGTGCAGTGTCCTTATCTGTTGTCGTGACCAAGATTGAACCGTGGGACACGTTTGAGAGGAGGTGCAAGAAATCCCTCCGCCGGGCGCCGCTGTCATTGCCTAGTGTGGTGGGTTCGCCGTCGCTACAACTGAGAACGTCGGCTTTGGTCACACCATCTAAAACCAAGAACCAGGGACCATTCGAAGGGTTGAGTAGCCATTGTGCGACGCGTTGGGGAACTCCCGGCTCAGTTGTCCCATAATCTCTAATGTCAAGCAGGTCGGCGATGGACCTGAGGTCTCCCAGGAAACGCTCACGCGTCTCCGCGCCTATCCAAAACACCAACGGTAGTCTGAATACCTCATCCGCTTGGCAACAGTACTCGATAGCGAGTTGCGACTTCCCCACGCCGGCAGGTCCCACGAGCGCAACACGGGAGCCAGACTTGGATCTGGCGCGTTTCAGTATTGAAACTACTGCTGATCCTCCCCGCGGTGGGACGAAGTCGGAGTCGGGTTTGAAGGGAGGTAGCGGACGGCCAACGGTGAACTCGTTGGAGTCGGCAATCACCTGACCATCGAGACGCGGTCTACGCCAGAAGAAAAAGGCCATAGTAAAGTGCGTCAGCTCTTCGAGTGCTATGTATTATCGCACAGACCGCCCCGCCATCTGGTTGTGGGTGGGGGCTGGGACAAAGTCACTCCACGAGAGGCCTTTGGACTAAACGTACTTATAGTTTTGATAATACCTTTCCAGTTCGGAGGTACTATAGCTTCAGCTCACGCTGAATAAAAACACTGGAGTGCTGGCCAGAAGTGAAAGGAACTCTTCGCATTTGTGGCCTTATGGGAATAATGTTTGTCGTACCTCATGGAGGAGACAAACAACCTGGTTGGCCGCGTGGAATGCACCACTACAGTACTGTAGCATCAACAAACCTGCAGCTCCGGCTCGCTTTGCGATCGTTCCCTATACTTGATGGACTCAATCCTGCTTGTTGATCACTATTATTTTGTGACTAAACATTGGCACCGGGTGTGGGGCCGCGAGCTCCTTGGCGATTGCCGCGATTGGCAGTCGAAGGGATACTGGGGCTGGCGATCTGGGTCGGATACAGGATCATTGTCGGAGTCGCTGGGCTCGCGGGTGTTCTTGCAGAAGTGCCGAATCGCAGCCTCTGCCGTTGACGACCACTTCAGAAGACTTGAGGAAATGATCCATACTGTTAACTCTGGACGGAGTTGACCGCCGCCGTTGTATCCTGCGATTGCGAAATGGCTGCTGTGGAGTCGGCTGCCAGCACATTATGAGCCGTGGTCAAGTTGTTGTGGGCCTGAATTATTTCTTCGCCCGTGGCGGCGTTCTGGGCGAGGTGGACGAAGTGGCTGCCGACTCGCTCCTCAGTGTAAGTGAGGCGAGCATTAAGGTATTCGACCATTTCCTTGTTGTTGCCAATCTTGTCAAGCGCTCTGGACTCTTGTACCCCGTTCTCCGGCTGAGCGGACATTGTACGACTCATCGAGCGGAAGCCATCGAGCGTGACGCGGCGGGATGTGTCACAGATCTTGTATGTCTTTCGTTTGAGATGTTTTTACCGGCTTCGTTGTCGTGTGTTAGGATCGACGCCGGGGGTAGGTCGATTTCGGTCGCCGTGCAGGGGAAGAGGCAGGAAACCCTTCGAGCAGAGTATTACCGGCGTCGCGAGAGTGCGATTTCGCGTCAAGCAGGGCCGGCCGGGTTGCGATGTGCGAGCGCCAAGGTTGGAGATGCCAGATAGGGCTGGCTCTGGGTTGGTCGCTTGACTGATCATTCTGGTGGCCGCTGACGTGGCTGATTCCGTCGTTCTCGTCATCGTCGCCAGCAGAATGGTTGGCTTGGCGACCAGCGGGAAGGTTGCTTGGCCATGATGAAGTGGTGCGCGCGAGTGGACAGGCGGCTAGGCAGACAAGGGGATGTTGTCAGAGACTCGCGCGTACCCTAGTTCGGCTGTCGTCAATCAGTCCGCGAGGGTACCAGGGCTACCCAATTACGCTAGGAAACTCCATCATCTGCGTCGTGACGTCACCGCATCCAAGTTCGGGCGGGCGACAAAAGCACCAGGTAGGAGTGGTGCTAGGGAATGGCCGCGCTTGACGAACTCACGACAGCGTCTTTTCTGGGCTTGTAGCCTGATCGCGTTGGTGAGACAGCTGCAGGGCGCGACTTATCGCACGCCTGACTTCGCGCACTGCCATGATCCCAATGGATTGGTGTTTTAGGCATAGATGTGAGCTGACTGCGAAGGAGGGCGCAACCTGAATCAAATATTGTTACTTCCAAACTCATGGCCTGTGCAAAGCTACACATTTCGTGAAAGGAAGACTTATAGTAGTGAGTATCTGTGATGCACTCTCCTATCGGGTGAAATCATAGCAGGGGAGGTGTGATGTATTTCCAGAATGCCGATCAGATATCAACTAGCTGTGACATTCGGGCTCAAGTACATGGCGACGCAGTTTGCGGTGGAGGAAGAACAAGAATATATAACGTAATCCACGGGTGAGTGAGCCACACGGGTCAGTGAGCCACTTTTCAAGTACTCGTACGACAATGTATAAGACAATTCAACCATAACGCCTTAAATCAATTGAAACTATTCAGAATCCTCTTCTTCAGAGGCAGATATAACTTTCTGACACGTACGAGCATTATGGCCGGGCTCGCTATAGACGCCACATCGCCGCGCGCGCGTTTCGGGCCTCCTCGTACGACCACTATTCTGACTCGTTTCTGCCCTTAACTGCTCCGTCGTATCGATTTGAGCCTTTAAATCCTTTGCCTGGTTAATCGTAAGGGACCCTCCTTTCTATAGCTGCTTTCTTTTCGTACGACGATGGCGGCTGAGGCGGTCGTTCGTATCTCGAAGTTCGGCGATATTATGGCGTATAAGGTCCTGCTTGTGTGCTATTATCGCTATCCCTTTATGAAGCTGCTTAAGGCTTACGATTATAGACGACGGTGAGCTATTCTAGTGTTGTACGATGCGATTTTGGAGATATTCCTTCTGCGATTCGGCCTTAATCGGGTTATTCGGCGTCTTTGAGACCCAGGGGGGTGGTAGTCCAGCAGAACCTAGTAGTGTTAGCGTACGAAGCTTTATATCTAGCTGCGAAATCACATAGTCCGGGTTGTACGGTACTAGGCCTGTCGCTCAAAAGCCTACCTAGATGTTTAACTTAGTTATCGCAGCGTCGTACGCCTTATAAAAGGCTAGGAGGAAGTCCTCCTTTGAAACATAGGTTACATACGCCCGTATAAGACCTTCGATTTCTTTACCGTACGCCTGTTTTAGAGGTCCAAAGCACCTAACGTTGAGAAGCTAGAGCTTATACGACGAATAAGCAGGTATATAGAGCGTTACAATATTCTATTCCTTATAGTAGAGCTCGAAATTAACGGAATGGTGGCTCTTATGGCCGTTGAGGATAAGGAGGCGGTAGGTACCCTTCGTACGACTCTTTATATAGAAATCGAAGTGTTTTACCTACTCTAGGCCTCTCTCGTTCGTCGTCTAACCGTTCTTTGAAAGCGCGATTACCTAGTTGGCCGGTAGAGGGCTATTCGCGGTCCAGGAGTCGAGGTGGACCTTCCCTACGAAGATAATATACGGCGGGATCGAATAGCCGTACGACGTAATACCCTGGATTACTGTAACCCATTCCTAATTCCCTTATTGTACAGCTCTTAGCCTCCCGCGTTGATCGGAGGTTATAACGACAGTTTCGGCGGAGATTTTACCCATTACGAAGCCCGTTTCGTTGAAGTTGTAGATATCGTTATCGTGGATCCCGTATTTCGCGATTATATTTCGTACGAGCTTAAACCACGCGCGATACACGTCTGGATCTTCGCAGAGGACTCTCTAGTAGTCGATTCTTCGATTAAAACGCGTACGGAGCTCAGATCGTTGTCGTACGAAGGTTGAGGCCCAGTTCGTTCCGATACGCGGCGCGTCGCGTACGGCAAGGAGTCGATCCGCCATTTCTCGAACACTACTAAGTCGCGGTGGAAATGATCGCGAATCTAGGTCAATTACGTATCGTATAATACTCTCCTCTTCGTACGAGGTCAATTTCTGGCAGGGTGGTCGGGTATCGTATTTCGCAGCTCGGCCGTCTCGTCGTCGTTGGAGGGTTGCGCGGGATACATTATAGAGTAATGCAGCCTTTCGTACGCTCAATTTTGGGTCAGATTTAAGCGCAGCTAGCGCTAGAACCAAATCGCATTCATTTGATTGTCGTACCATGATTGTTGGTGGAGAAATAAGGAAATGAAGGTTATCTATTCAAAATGGGGGAAAAGTGGCTCACTGACCCGTGTGGCTCACTCACCCGTGGATTACGTTACATGCCCTTGTCTTTAATACGTTCATGTGGATGCAAATCTTCAACTTGTGGAAGTAAGTGGAATAATTAACCCTACCCTAACCCTACCCTAACCCTACTCTGGGACGCTGATTGTGCTAACCTGGCCTACAGCAATCGACGAATCGACGGTAAATTGAATATCTTCGAGGGTCTGACAAGGCACTGGTCCTTCATTGGAATCAACGTCATATTTTTCGGGGCTCAGCTTCTTATTATCTTCTACGGCGGCACTCCCTTTTCCATTCCAACCACAACCTTGGAGGGCCGGCCTCCTCAGAGCGGGCTACAGTGGGGCATCGCTGTTGGGTTTGGTTTAGCCTCCATCCCAGTGGGCATCATGATACGTTGTTTCCCTTACGAATTCGTCCTGAAATGTGTCCCAAAATTCATGAAGCGCCGGCGTAATCGGGTTCATCGTTCCCAGGTCTTTGTCAAAAATGACCTGAGATTCCTCATGAAGTTTAAAGGCGGCCCTGTCAACAGCTTGACGTTCACCAACCATGTAAGAGATCTGTTGGGATACGCCGTTCCCAGCCCATCTTTTAGGCGCCCAATTTCCGCTATGGAATCTCCCATGCTTGTGCTCACACAGCCAAGCCCCTTAGCTATGGCGTCCAATCACTGCGCCGAAGATCAAGCTATCAGTACAACACGTGTGTCGGGTCCTGGGGTCTCATCCCGGGCGTCCTCGCACACTCTTCCTAACGGCGGGGAGAGTAGACAACCTGCCGAAGAAAAGCCAGGTAGAGACGCTGCAGATCAGCCGCAGTGGGAATCATCCTCGCGAGACGAGGATAATGACAGAGAGCCGTCTGTAAATAACGACTCTACATCGCGGAATCCACTTTCGATATCGGAAATCAAAATCTCTCTCGGTGTCGGCAACCAAAACAACCAACCTGAAACAGATGTTGCCGGGGAGGTTCTGGTTCCAATACCTCCGCCTTCCCCAAAGAGTGCGAGTGGAGTTAGCGATGTTCCAGAGATAGCACTAGCGGAACGGTCTATTAATGAGCTACTAATAGGAAGGATGGATACTTCAAATGACCCTCCACAATTGGTTCAAGATGTTGTTGATGGAAGCGCACCCTTCGACGATTTTAAACAGAAATATGGGATTTCGTTAGAGAAACCCAATAGGACGAAGCACATCTAGGACTCTGATGGACTTTAAAGCATTTCTAAATGATTTTAAGAATGAAGTCACGCTAACTTAGAGTATCGTGTCAGGGCAGTGCGGAATAGTCTGATCAGGAGTTTGTTCATAGAGCAGTACATAAGGCTTGAAGCCATCGCGACGTTTTACCATAGCATACACCCGGATATCGCTAGTCACCTTCACTAATATGACTTGATTTTCCACTCCTTTGAGTCTTCACACTTTTGCACCCGTTTAATCTGTATCTCGTCGATAATGCCATGATCAGAAGCTCCCTCACAAGTGCTGCATTATCAGACCATTCTGTTGACGTGACTGGCTCCCCCTCTTGAATCCGGTTTGGCCCCCTATCTGGGAATGCCCTCACTCTGGCCTGGGGCCAGAGTGCACCTCGCCGGTAATACCGCCGAAACTGGCAGGCGGTGAACTCTTTTCGGTCGTTCTGGTCGTTTTGTCCACGGTCAGAGGAATCCTCACCCGACCCAGGACAGTATTACTATCTTTAATAAGAACTGTGAGGTAAGAAACGATGCAAATCGAGATGTCTTAGCCGGTTAATCGCCTACGTATTGTGCTAGGGTAGTGTGGACCGGTCTGATCGGGGTGTTTATTAGTACAAGGGGTACTCATAAATCGATTCCATCGCGATATTCTTTCATAGATAGCAGACAGATACACACCAATCCAAGCAGTTTCGCCACGTCTTCAAGTTTGCATTTTTGACGTCCAGAACAGTGGTGCATTACATCAAGAATGCCCTGATCAGATAATCCCTCACAATTGCCTCGTCATCGCTTTTGCGTTGTCATCACTGGCTCCCCCCATCAAACTCCACCGTCCCCAGGAAACTGGGAATGGCCTCGCTTAGGCGTCACGCCTAAGTAAGCCTCGCTGGTAATACCACCGAACCTGGCAGGCAGTTAACTCCCTTTGGTCGTTGGGCGGTTGTTCTTGCCATGATTAGAGAGAGCCTCATCTTCCTCCAGCACAATATCTTATACTTAACCCTTTCATGTTTCTTTTAGTCGTTTAATAGCACCTATAGTGAATATTATATAGAAGTAGGTATAGCTCAGTAATGTTACATATTTCAGTAGCTAATTCTGCAAAGGCTATGAAATGCCTACAGCGTGTTAGAAGTATTGTCCTGGGGCGGGTGAAGATTCCTCTAATCGGGGATAAATTAACCACCACGACCGAAGGGAGTTGATCCCTTGCTAGTTTCAGCGGTATTGCTGGCGAAGTGCACTCTGGCTGGGGCTGAAGTGAGGGCATTCCCATAAGATTTCAGTGGGGAGCTAGCTGTGTTAATAACAAATAGTCGACGCAGCACTTGTGAGGGATTCTCTGATCATGGCATGCCCAGTGAGATGCAAACAAGAACGGGTGCAAATGGGTAAGAATTCAATAGGTTGGAAAATCAAGTCGTATTGGTGAAGTTGACTGGCGATGTCTGTGTGCGCGCCATAGTAAAAGCATCGCCATAGCTTCAAGTCTTTTGTACTACTCTATGGACAGACCCCTGATCAGACTATTCCGCACTTCCCTAGTACAATATCTGCAATAAAATCCATAGTAAGTAGGCGAAGTAACATGCGGTTTGTAGGATATAGCATGCTGAGATAACCCATGGGTAGTGCAGCGACGAAGCAAATATCAAAATCGAGAAACCCGCGACGGAACGATCCGGCCAATATGAGATATCCTGGTCATCGCAGAGTGCCCAGATGTAGGTCCGTAAATATTGAGTGTTGAGTAGTACTTGGCAACCAGCCAGAATGATCTGGCAAAGTTTTATCAGCATGGTGTGTCGCCCACTCTAAGTAGTGCTCGAGTGATTGAACCGATGAATAAGGCAACTAATGACAAGATAACCGCGATCCCGTTTCTTTCAAGTAAGGGGGAAAGCGTCGTAGGGTGTTGGAGATTGAAGCGTTGGTGGGACGGTTAAAGTTACGCAGCCCGACTTCCTCGTAGAGAATCTAAGGGCGAAGCGTTATTGATATAACGTAATCCACAAGCAAGTGAATCACACAAGCTAGTGAATCAGTCTTCGGGCACCCGTACGACAATGTATAAGAGAATTCAACCACAACGCCTTAAATCAATTGAAACTATGAGGAATCCTCTTCTTCAGAGGCAGATACAACTTTCTGACACGTACGAGCATTATGGCCGGGCTCGCCGCAGACGCCACATCGTCGCGCGCGCGTTTCTAGCCTCCTCGTACGACCACTACTCTGACTCGTTTCCGCCCTTAACTGCTCCGTCGCGTCGATTTGAGCCTTCAAATCTTTTGCCTGATCAATTGTTAGGGACCCTCCTTTCTGTAGCTGTTTTCTTTTCGTACGACGACGGCGGCTAAGGCGGTCGTTTGCATCTCGAAGCTCGGCGAGGTCATGGCGCATAAGGGTCTGCTCGTGCACCATCATTGTGATTCCTTTTCTCAGCTGCCGCAGGCTCTCAATAATGGACGACGGAGAGCTATTCTGGTGTCGTACGATGCGATTTTGAATATACTCCGTCTGCGATTCGGCCTCAATTAGGTTGTTCGGCGTCTTTGAAACCCAAGGGGGTGGTAGTCCAGTAGAGGAACCTGGCGGTGTCGGCGTGTGAAACTTTACATCTAGCTGCGAAATCACATAATTCGGGTCGTACGGTACTAGGCCAGTTGCTCTAAAGCCTGCCTGGATGTTTGACTTTGTCATCGCAGCGTCGTACGCCTTATAAAAGGCTGGGAGGAAGTCCTCCTTTGAGATGTGGGTAATATGCGCCCGTATGAGACCCTCGATTTCTTTACCGTACGCCCATTTTAGAGGGCTAAAGCACCCAACATCGAGAGGCTGGAGCTTATGTGATGAATGAGCAGGCATACAGAGCGTCACAATGTTCTGTTCCTTACAGTAGAGCTCGAAATCGACGGAATAGTGGCTCTCGTGGCCGTCGAGGATAAGGAGGCGGTGGGTGCCCTTCGTACGACTCTTCGTATAGAAATCGAAGTGTTTTACCCATTCTAGACCTCTCTCGGTCGTCGTCCAGCCGTTCTCTAAAAGCGTGATTACCCAGTCGGCCGGTAGAGGGCTATTTACGGTCCAGGAGTTAAGGTGGACCTTCCCTGCGAAGATAATATATAGTGGGATCGAATAGCCGTACGACGCGATACCCTGGATTACTATAACCCATTCCTAATTACCTTATTATACGGCTCTTAGCCTCCCGCGTCGATCGGAGGTCGTAACAACAGTTTCGGCGGAGATCTTACCCATCGCGAAGCCCGTTTCGTCGAAGTTGTAGATATCGTTATCGTGGATCCCGTATTTCACGATTATATTTCGTACGAGCGAAAACCAAGCGCGATACGCGTCTGGATCCTCGCAGAGGACTCTCTAGTAGTCGATTCTTCGATTAAAACGCGTACGGAGCTCAGATCGTCGTCGTACGAAGTTTACAGCCTAGTTCGCTCCGACGCGTGGCGCGTCGCGTTCGCGGAGGAGTCGATCCGCCATTTCTCGAACACTACTTAAGCGCGGCGGAAACGACCGCGAATCTAGGTCGATTATGTATTGTACGATACTGTCCTCTTCGTACGAGGTCAAATTCTGGCAGGGTGGTCGGATATCGCGTTTCGCAGCTTGGCCGTTCCGTCGTCGTGAGAGGGTCGCATGGGATACATTATAGAGTAAGTCTAGACCCCCCATTGCGACCAGTGCGCATCGCGCCCAGGGGTCGCGTCGCGACGCGGTTGAGCACCCCACCATACATTTTCCCATATAAACCTGCTCAACCGCGTCGCACCGCGACCCGACCACCTGCATTGTGACCGTCAAAAAGGAAGCTATCGTCATGGTCGCAAAAGACTACCAATTGCGCGCCCTGCGCGCACTGGATGAAGTTGAGGCTGGCGTACCTGTCGCGACGGCTGCTAGACGACACGATGTCGACAGATCCTACCTACGTCGTCGCCTTGACGCGTGCCCAACCTTCAAGCAAAGGTACCAAGTCCGACAAACCCTCTCCGTGACCCAGGAGGATTATCTGGTCTCTTGGGCCCTCGACCAAGCAGCAATGGGCTATGCAGCTCCATTGAAGTAATTCAAGCACTTCGCGATGCGCCTGCTGGCTCTCGACAACCCCTCCGCACACCTCGGCAAGCACTGGTACCGACGCTTCATCCGCCGCAACCCGACCTTGAAGACCTCGAGATCACGACTTATTGAATACAAACGATACGACGGTGCCTCCAAGGCCAATATCGACATCTTCTTCGACCGCCTGACGTCATTGAAGGGCAAACGAGTACGGCCCGAGAACATATGGAACGTTGACGAGTGTGGCGTCGCGGAGGGCCTAGGTCACAATGGCTTCGTGGTCAGTGATGCCTTGCGCGACTTTACCTTGAAAAAGGACGGCGCCAGGAGCACCTGGATCGCGATAATTGAGGCCATTTCTGCTGGCGGTGGCTTCATCCCTCCCCTTGTTATTTTTAAGGGCCAATCCGTGCAGCAGCAGTGGTTTCCCGACGTCGAACTTGACAGGTGGAAGCATTGGTGTTTTGACACATCACCAAACGGGTGGACCAGCAATGATATTGCTCTGAAATGGCTCAAGGAGGTATTTATTCCCAACACCAAGCCTACGGATTCTAGAGAGTGGCGATGCCTTCTTCTCGACGGCCACAAGTCGCACGCAACAGAGGAATTTATGACGGAGTGCTTCATCAATAAAATCTGGCTGATTTACCTCCCGGCTCATACCTCACATGTTCTTCAGCCACTCGATGTGGGCGTGTTCTCGGCGGTGAAGGACCACTATCGTCAAGCGGTCGCGGAGGTTGCATATAACACTATGAACGAGTCCCCAGGCAAGCGGGAGTTCCTTGAAGCATACCAAATTGCGCGCAAAAGAAAGCTCAATAAGGAGAACATCTTAGGAGGCTTCAAAGGCACAGGGGTGTGGCCTCACAATCGGTTGAAGGCGCTGGGTTCCCGCTTCGTGATGCGGGACTATGAGGAGGTACGGGAGGCCCAGCAGAATCCCCAAAATCGGGCCCAAACGACGGTTTTAGAGCCAGATTTTTTGACGCCCTTGTGCGCAATTGACGTCAAAACACCAAAAACATCTCGCGATGTCTATAAAATGCATAGGGAGTTGGTAAAGTGTGGTGTACCTTTAGGGGCGGCGACCTGCAGGAAGCTCTTCAACAAGGTCGGGAAGGCAATCGACACTTCGAACATCGCGCGCACCACCGCAGAACACCAAAAAGACCGTCTCCAAGCTGCATTAGATGCTTCAAAGCCTGCTAAACGCCGCAGAGTCGATCCGGATCCCAATAAACAGTTTGTTCAGGTCGTAAACGTGGAGCGCGCAAAGAGGCAATTGCAGCTCGAGATGGGGGCGGACTTCAGCACGGATGACGACACCGACAGCAGCGACGACGAGGTAGAGATCATTGAAGACGACAGTGACGAGGAGAGCTGCATTGAGGTGCGGATCAATTGATTTGAAGCCTTTTTAACGAATGCTTGTTCAGTTATTGCAGAGTGACCATGTGGTCGGTGATGCCCTCATGCGCAGGTTGGGTGGTGGTCGCCATGCGCACTGGTCGCAATGGGGTGTCTAGACTTACAAGGAAAGTTCGGTGCGACAAAGCCGTTCCGTGTCTGCCATGTAGCAAGAGAGGCGAAGCCGATGCCTGCATGCGCGAGACGGTCATCGTCCGTGGACAAGTTACTACAGCCCGAGATAGCACTGGCAGCCCATCATACGATGAGCTTACCCAAGAAGTCCAACGACTGAGGCCTACCCTCAGCGAGACGACCGCGCCAGAGAGTCACGGCGCGCCTCCCTTGAGTCGCGCACTGCCCTATGTCGACCACAGCGGGTACGAACAGCTCCTACTACATACCGGAAATGACCGACCGGCCTGTTCGACGTTGATCAGCCCCGACGAAATTATCCTTCCTAGTCGTGCTTGCAGCCAAGCCCTCATCGCATACGACAGGAGCTGGAACTCCTGGGTTCACTATGGAGTCGAGTATCCGGCCTTTGAAGAGCAGCATGCCCGCTTTCTTGAGAGCCTTGCTGCCGGGGCGGCTCGATGCTGTGATGCATGTAAGTGCGTGACAGATGAATGCTTGGCACACACACTCCCGACATTCTGGAGCATAGCTGACATTCAGAAACAGTGATACGCATGGCTAGAAGCCACAGTCAGATTGTTCGCAGCAGGAGGTTTTGGCGATCGAACAACGGCTCTGGGAACCCTAAACAGAAGGGGCAAGGGCACCCGACCGCGTGAGAGTCAAATGAGACGAGGGAGAACGACCGCATCGTCCTTTTTTCTTTCGCGAGGGTGCTTCTCGTCTTTCATAACGCTTTCTTTTCGCCCCCTGGAGAGGGCTGGACTCCAGGGGCACGTTGCAAAAGCTTGCATTCATTGATTATCCTAATTGCTCAACTTTCCTGCTTTCTACGAGGCGTTCAGAGGGTTCATTGGAGCGGAAAGAAAAGGAGCCATTTTATGAGTATATGAGGTGAGGATCACATAAGAGGCCCGTAGGCTGAAGCTAAATCTTTGCATCCAAGTCCGTCACAAAGCAAGTCGTGTGATCGCATCTTTGCAATCAAAGTTGAAGCGTGAAAATGGTCCATCGTGAGAACGTTCAAAGGGCTCAAATGGTCACCATTGGGCTTGGAATGGAACGAAGGCAGGGTGCAAAGTACTGAGAGTCAAATCACCAGAACCAAGGCCATAGTGTACGTCCAATTGACTGACAAGCCCGCTTCAACTTATAGCTCCATCCTTCAACGCCAGGGTATCTGCCGAATCGCCTTCTTGAGCCGACCTGCTCAAGCGCCACGCCACAACGCATTTCGGACCATCAACCTCAACTCCAGCAATCAACGCCACGCCCATGCTCACACCCGTGCCCATCACGACTTACACGACCTGCCTCACCTTGCCACTCTCAACCTCATAGACCCAGCCACTGACCACAACCTCCTTCGAAATGACCTTGCTCTCCCTCAGAAACCGCACATCCCGTCTGACCGCCTCCTCCAGGTCCGGGAACGGCAAGAAATCCAACCCTTCCACCTCCCTCGCCGCCTCCCCGCCCAGATTCTTCTCCACGAGAGCCCGCGCGTCGTCATTCGTGAAAGTCAGCATCCCGCAGCCCGTATGCTTAATCAGCACGACCTCCTGCGTGCCAAGCAGCTGCTGCGAAATCACAATCGAGCGCAGGGCGTCGGCCGCGCTGGCGCCCGCGTTGCGAATCACGTGTGCGTCGCCCAGGGAGATGCCCAGGGCGGCGGCGGGGTCAATGCGCGCGTCCATGCATGTCACTGTGAGGTGGGTAGGTTCTAGATTTTAGGACGGGAGATTCGCTCTGTTCTTGCAACATTCAGGGTGGACGGGGGATGTGGGAGGAAAGGAGGAGAGGGGACGGGTGGATGACTTACGGACGAGGTACTTCTTGCCCGGGGGCAGAGGGAGATGGCCCTTGTCAAAGGCACTGGCGTACTCGGCGTTGGCCTTTTTGAGGTTATCCTGGATGGCAGACATGTTGAAACTGTTTCGGGGCACAAGGGTGAGGATTACGTTCCTCCGCCGGGAGATGGGAGAAGCCGGACAGAAGTAGAGATGATATCGCGAAGAGAGTGGGGTAATCAGGGTTGTCCAATAATGTCTGTGGTGACATTGCATCAACCCCGCGTTCCAGTCAGTCTTAACTGCTGTCGAGTGGTTCTGCCAAGGCTTGGGATCCCCCACGTTTCGGACTTGGTGAATTGGCGACGGCATCCTGCTGCCGATGGTCGCTGCGATTGATACGAACTGGGTCAGTAGAAGATAATACGGGCCATAACGAAGCATCGGGGCTCGCCTTGTGATTCGTCTGCATTTGCTGTACCTCGTTCTCCGTTGAGTGTTGGATTACGATGTGGTTGCGTTGTTCACTGCCGCTTGAACTCAGCCCCCCAAAAGGGCAAAAACACCACAAACGAGAACTGCAACCCCTGCACAGACTGTTGAAGATGACTCACTCTCTGCCAGACGACAGCCGCCGTAAGGATCTCACTTCGCCAGTTATTTACTGAATGTGCCCATAATGATTTCTGATCAACGTGATGCCTCTCACCAAAGAGTGCAGTCTAGACATCAGGCATTGAGCGAGACGAGCGGGAAGCATGAGCAAGAAGAAGCAGACCTCCCGACGAAAGGCCGGGGAGGCCGAGCAGCTGCAGACTGCCTGTCAAAACCACATCACCCCCAAGAGAAGCCTGCACAGCAACCCTATGGAAATCAGGCCTCGCAAGCCGCGACGATAGACTCCTGGGCCAACACTGACACCGGCTTCACCAACAGGACGCGAGGTATCCGCTTTGTTTTGACGGTCGAGTGCTCTCAGTGCGTGATGGGTGAGCGGCGGCCCGGTTCGCTTCACAGAACTCCCTTCGCCCGGTGGCTCGCAGTCTGCTTGTCGCTTTCGAGGTCGGGATGGCGAATGCAAAGGAGACAGGCGAGGATGCCGCGTCTCCGGGAAATCTGCTCGATAGTACTCGTTCGGCGATGTATGTTTCTTCTTTGCTGGCGGAGTATAGGCACTATTCGGCTTTGCCCTTTTCGACGACGATTGGCCTGCCTCGAGGTCGGTCGCTCGTTTCCTCTTTGTGCTTTGCGTTCGCGCCAGGTGTTGATGGTTGCGTAGGGTGAAGTTGTTGGAAGTTAGAATGGGGAGTGGAGATCTGTTACAGGGCGCGTAGGTACGCGCTCAGCGCTTATGGTTGGCTGGGATCAGAGGCTCTTCACACAGAGTGATTCGCTGTCACTGACTGATCACCCGAGCCGCCGGGCCGTGGGGCGGCCTTTTCCTTCAGCTGCGCAACCGAAACACCTACGGAGTAGCTGTATCTCGGACACGTTTTCTCGTCAAAAGTGAGCCATAGTAACGCCATCAGTACTTCAATTCTCAACTACCTAAGTACCTAGCGCGGTATGCGTTCACCTGAGCATGCCCGATCTGGTTGAGCAAACACCCAATAGGCCCTTGCGAAGCATTTCGGTCTTCAGAAAGCGCATCGTCACATTTCGCCCAACCCCACTTGCCATTCGGCACATAATAAACCCCTCACCCATAGCCTGGTCGCTTCTCGTCGCGCCGCTTGTGTTAACCGCAATGTTGGGACCTTCGGTATAGATGGCGTGAGCATCTGGTCTTGCGAGCCGCTGGGGAGTACTAGTTAATTGCACGGTCTTGGAGACGAAGGTGTTGGCGCAGACCTATCTCAACCGTTGCCGCCGCATGCGCCGCAGATCCCACCAGCATTCACGCCGGTGCCATCGCACGTGACACTCGCCGCCCGACATGTCGAGACAAGACTTGTTCCCTAGTCGCTTGAGGAGTCGCTTTGAGGAGTTGCTTCGATCTTTGGAGGTCTGAAGACGAGGTACCGAGCTTAAATGCTGCCCAACGCGAGCTTGCGGAAGGCCCCAATCATCGCTAGCCTAGTCCTCCGGACGGAACGCCTCCGATGGGCAGTGCTCGGCGCTCCTGGTCCTTTCCTGACTCATAGTCCAGTTGAACAACCCCTCTCCACTGAGCGGGGATGGGTGTGATAAGATACACCCCGAAGTCACATGGTACTCACCCTCAATACCAGAAACCCACTTCTGTGCTTACTACTAACAATTGTTCGCAATTTGTCCAATTAGAAGCTGGGCTCTCCACTATAGAGTAAGACCGCCCAATTAGGGCCTTGGCGCTGGGTGTGGTACCTTTAACGCCACAATTGCAGAGGGTGGAACTCCGGCCCGCGTTTCAACGCATGGCTAACATAAGGGTTAGGGGGTCACCCATATGGCTAGCCGCTGTCAAGACTACCTTCCCCAGAATCGCGTGATAACGTGAAGGTCTCTTCTCAGTCACACAAACACAAGCCCATCCACGGGATTCCTCAGATCACGAGAGCCGTCAATCACCGTACCTGCGATAACCTCCGATATCACAGACTGTAGGCAAGGGCAGCAAAGGCAAGGACAGTAAAGGCAAGGGCAGCAAAGGCCACAAATAGACGTACGGATACGTGTCGGAACAACATCTAACGAGACTTGTGCTTACCACTAGAAGGTTTGTGGACTTCTTCCCAGCGTACGGCAGCTCGCAACGGCTCCACGGTGGTATTGTTAAAGCTAAGCGGGAATTGGTGATTGAATTGTCTCGATATGCTTCGAGAGGCCGCGAGGAGATTTATTGTCAAGATTCAAGACTTAGTCTCGACAATCGATCCAGTGTTCCACGAGCAATCATGGCGACTTTTGACGACTGCAGACCGTTAACGACCCGGGACTTTCATAACCCTTCAAAAGGGCTTTCTCGTGGATTGATCCGCTGAGTCATCTTCCACAGGCCATACATTGGTCGAGCGGGGACTATTATTTGAGCTCTGCTGATTGAACATCATCAATACAGGCGCAAAGTCGACCACATGGGCATCCATGGTCAGCACGCCTGGCAACCGGTACCGTGTTTTCATCGTTTGCTGTGAGTGGACGAACCATGTGATGAACAACGGGCTACCGTGGTTTCTAACAGAATATCACAGGCATGGGCTTCATGAGCCAGTGGTCTGGCAATGGCCTCGTCGCATACTGTAAGTCTTTCTACTTTAGATATACTCAGACGCATGAAAACGCGGCATGTAACTAATCTCACCGCCGAAATTAGACCTCAGCCGCGTCATGGGCTCGGTCGGCATCACCGACAAGAACACCCAAGCCCTTGTCAACGGGCTCATCAACATCTGGAGCTGGGCCATCGCGCTGACCTCAGCCTTCTTCGTCGAGCGTCTCGGCCGGCGCGTGCTCTTCCGCACGTCGACCCTCTGGATGCTTGTCGTCTTCACGTGCTGGACCATTGCCTCGGCGCGGTTCGCCGACACGGGCGTCAGCGCCGCGGGCATTGCGGTCATCACGCTCATCTTCATCTATCAGTTCGGATACTGCATTGCCTTCTCGCCCTTGCCTGTCGCGTACTCGGTCGAGGTCCTTCCTTACTCGATCCGCGCAAAGGGCATGGCGACGTACGTCTTTGCCACCAAGTGCGCCGTCTTTGTGAACCAGTACGTCAACCCGATCGGGCTGAACAACATTGGGTGGCGGTTCTACATCGTGTATGTGGCGATCCTGGCGGTCGAGAGCTTCATCGCGTATGGCTGGTTTCTTGAGACCAAGGGCAAGGCGCTCGAGGAGATTGCCGTCATCTTTGACGGCGAGGCGGCTGATGTCCGCGTAGAGGCTGAGGCTACCAAGAAAAGCGAGCTAGCTGCCAAGAGTGAGCAACACGAGCGCGTGTAAGCTGTCGGATGGTGGGATGTAAATATTTCGTGGTCTCTCAAGATGGCCCTAGCCCTTGCTCTCTCTCTTGTAAATGCTTCGCGCCTTATGAGGCATCATACAACATCCCAATGGATGGCTTTCTATGCTTCGAAACATGGCTCTTATGCATAGTCTTACATCGGCCAAGAGTACTCACGCAGCTTTGGCTACTGGCCGTCAGGTGAGCTCGTGGAAAAGATCACGAGCGTCCAAATCCCGGCACAGAATACGCGGTGTTGGCCTGAACCCCTGAACCGCTGCGCCGCTGCCGATGTGGAGACGGCAGCCAGGACCGAGATAGCCACCTGTGGCACAACCAACAAATACAACATCTCGGGGACCATTTGAACCCCGCACTGCTCTTGTTTTAACCGAGTTCAAAGTCCTCTCCCAAAAGCTCTCTCGCCGATCATCACATCTTCGCTTTTCTCAGCTAGCCTCAGACATTCTCTAGCGTGGGCTGCAAACATGTCCCACAGATACGCTAACCCGCCACAGCCTCCGGTGACATTCACCACTGATCCGGCATCCATCGTTGCCTCAGCGGACGCAGCATGCCGCCACGCCGAACAGGTCATCAACGAGGAAATTCTCGCCAACGTCACGCCCGAGACCGCCACGTTTGACAATGTCATGGCTGTGCTCCTCCAGGTCGAAAATGAGTTCCAGCTGACATCCAACGTCGCCGTTATCCGCGAAATACTGGGCAGCGGCAGCAGTGGGAAGGCCGACGGCACCCCGAGCGACCTCGAGAAAGCTACGCGGGCCGCGGCAAACCGGCTGATGGGCTCCATGAACGACTGGAAAGGCGACGAGAGGTTGAAACCCTTGGTAGAGGTGGTGTATCAGCGAGAGCTGCAACGACGACAGCAGAGTGGCACGCCAGGCGTACTGGACGATGAAAGTTGGAAGGCGCTATGCCAGGAGCAGCGGAAGTTCTCTAGCGGGGTGGTCGATTCAGCCAGTCAGGTGCGCATCGCAGAGGTTGAAAAGAGACTTGCTGAGATTGAGACGATGTTCCAAGATAACCTCCGCGTAGCACAAGATTGTCTCTGGTTCACACGGGCTGAGCTTGACGGTGTGCCTGCAGCTACAATTGATGCATTGGATGTGGGGGACGGGGAGTTGGTCGGAAAGTTCACGCTGAGGCTCAATGACCATCAGGTCAGGGCCGTGGTGAGCCAGCTCACCTCGCCCACGATTCGAATGCAGGTATACCTGGGCACGAGAAACCTGGTAAGTAATCAGAGTGGTACTGGGCAAAGAGTTGTGCTGATAGATACACAGGCGAGGGAGAATGACTTCCTATTGCGAGAGGCCGTGAAGCTTCGCTACGAGGCCGCCCGGCTACGGGGCTACGACAGCCATACCGCTTACAAAGTCGAGACCATGATGGCCAAAACAGCCTCGGCGGTAGAGAATTTGCTGAGCGGCCTCCAGCATCAAGTACTTGCTCGGCTTCCACATGAACTTGAGAAGCTTCGCCGGCTCAAAACAGCAGACTCACATGCTCAAGGAGATGCAGACTCGGAAATTATCACGCGGGCTGACTTGCCATACTACAGTCGCCTGTATGAGGAGCAAAATCACGGGGCCGACCAAGACTTGGTAGCACAATACTTTCCGTTGGTGCCCACAGTGTCTAGAATGCTCGACCTCTTCGGCAACTTGTTCGGCTTCGTCTTCCACAAGATCACAGACACCAAACACGACCAGATAGAGAGTCTAGTCTGGCACAAAGATGTCATGCTATACAGCGTCTGGAATAACGAACAGGAAGGGAGCGGTTTCGTCGGATATTTGTATCTCGATCTATATCCGCGTGACAGCAAGACCCTCGGCGCACAATGCCGACCTTTGCATCTCGGCTTCTTCGACCAGCGGACTTCCAAACGGCATTATCCGTCCACTGTGCTTCGAACCAACTTCCAGCAGGACTCGTTCCTCCAGCACGCCGACGTGACCCTGCTATTCCATGAGCTGGGCCATGGCATACACGACCTCGCTGGAATTTGCAAGTACTCACGCTTCCACGGCGCCGAGACGGCTGGAGATTTCAACGAGGCGCCCTCGCAGATGCTGGAGAATTGGTGCTGGGACGCCAGGGCACTGGGAAAGCTCTCAGGCCATCACGAAACTGGCAAACCGCTGCCCGATGAGGCTATTGAGGCGCTTGTGGCCTCGAGGACGGTGCTGCCGGCTGTCAAATTGATGGGACAGCTCACTGTGACCTTGTTTGACAACGCGGTGCATGGGGCACCAGCCGCCGGAGTTGATACGATTGATGTGTCAGGTCTATATGCCAAGTACAACCAACTGGGTGGACTACACTGTGAAGGAGATGAGTATGAGTGACCTCTTGATTTTTGGAATGACTACTCAAAAGTGCAACGCTAACAATTCCTCAGGCACGGCTACACGACGTATCAGCACCTTTTCTCCGGCAACGACGGGACGATGTACTGCTATCTGTGGTCGAAGGCAATTGCACAGGACATGTTCGAGGCTGCGTTTGCGAAGAATCCACTTGATGATGGAGTAGGAAGGCGATACCGGCGTATGGTGCTCGAGAAAGGCGCGAGTCAGGACGAGCTGAAGACTTTGATCGATTTCCTCGGACGTGAACCCTCCTTCGATGCCTTTCACCAGCATTTAGGCTTGTCGGGCTAGACCTGTGATCATTCACCTCAGGCTCCATCAACCTTCCTAGCGCAATCCCGGCAAATTTCAGCCTCTGAGATGATGGGTATTCTGTCCTTTCTCAATGCATCGGCCACCTACGTATCACCAATACCACTTTGGAAGCCCATCAGCTGGTTGGCGCAAGGACACGTAGTTCTTGATCTCTCCGTAATGAAATGTATCCGAAACGCCTTGTTGCTGCCTAGGAACGCTCAAGGCATGACATGTGTCATCAGCGCTATTTGCTAGTGGATGCCTGCGCCTCATCGCGGGGACCTGGAGAGCCACTAGCATGCTCCCGCAGCCTTGCTTCCACAGGGTTGTAGGGCTATTAATACTCGACTGGGTCCACCTCGCCCCGGCTCAAATGTGAATCGAAACAGCAAGCGATGCAAGGCGTCTTTGTCTCTCTTGCAAACTCTCATACCCGACTCCGCACGAAAACACGACACGAATTGGAATACCTCGAGCGCCAATATGGAGAGCGAAGCAACGTCACGTCCCCAAAGCGCCGCTGGCCCGACAGAGACCACAGCACTGCTCGCTCCCCAAGCAGATGCTGCGGCAAGTCCGCAGGGCGGAGAGCACGTCGCAGCTCACGCGGCTGATCCCGACGACACGACAGACAGCAGACCGCGATTGAGCACAGACCGACTTCTTCACATCGTGAGAGGCTTGACCTGGGTTTCACTCCTCCTCGCTGTGATACTGATTGGTCTGGCAATTGTGATCCTCGTTCTCGTCAGCAATGCGCCCGAGCCTTTCATGGCACGGTGGCAGCTCATGAAGAACCTGGACACGGTGACCATATACGTAAGACGCTCGGGCCTTCTTTCCCACACAATGATTATCACCACTAACTTGAGGCTCGCTTCCAGACCGTCGTTCTCTGCATCATAGACATCTGGGCCCTCCGCCGCCGTGTTGGCGGAGCTTGGGAGTCTTGGGCTGTGCTTTTCACTCTTCTGGCCGATGGATTCACTGCATTGTTTGTCTTAAACGCAGCGGGCGAGTCCGTGAGCTTCATTCCCAACCAGAGCTGGTGTGGCTCCTGGCACGACGGCCACTATAGTGGGGCTAGGTGCCAACCCTTCGAGGATGTCTTTGATGGTGTTGCGTCAACATGGGCTGTCCTTGCTCTACTTTTTGCGTATGTCGGTCCCTCGCATACCCATGGCAGATATCCACAACCACTGATGTCTGTGTCTTCAGATTGAGCCATTCTGCCCTCTTCGTATTCCGCGTTTTGTACCTCGTCCGCACGCATCACACTACCCGCTTCATCACATACGAGGGCGGCGCAGCCAGTGAAACCCTCACAAGCCTCAGCTTCACGCTTGGTCCGTTTGGCTTCGACTTCCGTTTCAGCATCCGGCACCGCAATAGGGATGTACCCGCGGGTGCTGTGCGTGAGGATCAGGTTGTTCACGGTGATGCTGTTCGCAGTGAAGGGGCTTCCGTCAATGCGTGAGAGAACCAGCTAGGCGACAATTCGCGAGACCTTGTTGCTCTTGGCGTCAAATGAGGTGGGTGAAGTCGGGATAAGTAAGTGGACATCATTGTCAGGCTTGCCCGGTAGTCTGCAGCTCAAGAGTCATAAGAACACTCTACGATATTATACACTCTCTTTGGTGGTTTAATTTTGCTTTCGTGAACTGTCTTTACAGATAGCAATGGGGTATCTATGTTGTTTCGAGTGGCATTGGCCAGGACTACTTGGCCGTTTGGGTTCACGAAGATGTCACCGTCCATTGATCGTTGGGTTTCGTTCTTGCCACTTTTTCTGTGACATCTTGGCATGTACATCGCGGGTGATATAGTCTAGCTGGATGCCCATTGCCACGCACTTCGCCATATATCTCCTAGTTTTACCAGACACCTAGAGCCAGACTTGGGCGCTGTCCAAGGCGTTACCTAACGAGCGAATTGGGCGTCGCTGCGTTCCTTGTGTCCTTCCCAGTCACAGACAGGATCTCCCATATGAATCAGCCACCACCATACGACAAAGCCAGCGCCATAGTCGTACCTCGCTTTCGCCCTTCTCGCACTCGCCCTTCACGCACTCGCCCTTCTCGCACTATTCTCACGTCGCAAGTCTGAGCTACCCATTGCCAGATCATTCCATCTACAGCTATTCATTACTACAACACCATTGGTCACATTTATGCAACGTAACCAGACGTCGACCATAAACTAATAACAAAAATAACTTTCGAACGTATACTTGCCTGACTGCGAGCTAGCAGCGTACCGCGGAGTCTGAACAATGTCTCATATGAAAGCCGTAGGTTTCAAGGGTGAGAAGATTGTGATTACTAGCACCACAACCCCTCCAGCTCAGCTATCCCGCCACCTGCTCACGGCCAATCTACCTTGGCTCACCAACTCCTTCTACAATACAGGTTTCGATCATTTGGCAAAGAAACTCCGCAATTGGTCGTATGACAACTGGACCAGCCGTTTTCGATCGCGCGCTGGATTTCCTGCCTTTCGTCGTGAAGAAGCCGACCACGCCGACTTCACCTACCGGGACAGTGCATTGTCTATGCGCAGGTGGCTAAACAAACTCGCTGTTCCCATCGATCCATCGTGGTCAATCTACACGACATATCATATCGAAGTCAAGACGACCAATAACAATCACAAGGCGCCCTTTCGAATCAGCGACAATCAGCTGGAACTAGTAAGCTCTGATTCTGGTCTTGTAGAGTTCCCTATGGGAGTATCGTCGTGCCACAATTAAACTTGGCGCTGTGGGTTCATAAGTGTGCGCTGCGACATTAACTGAAAGGCAGGCTTGAGTGATTATCAGCGCGCTTCATTCAGAAATCAGCAACTCCCAGTAACCTCACAAATCCAAGGAAGGACCCCGGCAATTTTGCCAGTCTATTAGCCGTGACTTGAAATTTGATGATTGAACTATCGGATTGTCCTCGGCTTTGTACAGAAATCATACAGCTGGCCACCCGTCCGCACATAGATAGAAATAGAAATTTAGCATCCACCGTATCTCAGTATGGTTCTGTGTATGCTGACCGAGGCAGGCCTCAAATGGGCAGACACTGTATAGAAAGCAGCAGTCCACGCATATTGGTTTGCCTGGTCCCTAGTGTTCTTCCGAACTAGCTGCTTTCTCCTCATAAGGTTATTTGTTCTGTCCCGAGGGTGACGGCAGTTTAACAGAATTCACCACCTGATTACGCTGCGCGTCTCTCAAGCACCGTCTTCACCGGCAATCATTGTAAACTAGATGAGAATTTCGCAAAACCATCCTTGATCCCTTGACACACCTGCTCAAGGAGCCTCTCCTCCGGCGTGGTCGCGACATCACTCAGGGCACCAGGCTGCCGGACCACACAGATCACCAGGTTCCCGCCTTTCACACTCACCATGTCAAACACGAGCGGCGAGGAGGTCGGATTCTGCGATTGAGCAAAGACAATCCATTCCACCTCGATCGTTCTGTGAAGTCTCCCGTCTGCCCTTTTCCTGCTCGCGGTAGCAGTAGGAGGAGGCGAGAAAGCAAGCAGATTGCTGACCTCAAACGAACAGTCCCTCTTCTGGCCCATCTTCTTCGCCATCCATCCGCGCACACTCAGAGCATATCGCAGCAAGCCGACCGGCTGGTCGGCCAGGGTCGCGGCACTTGAGGGCGAGCTTCTGGGTGTTCGCGGCTGCGGCAGCCCACTCTGCTTCTGTCAGATTCTTGTTGATTTTGTTGTGATTGCTGGCTCTCGGCCGAGTTCTTGATGCGACGCGGGTGATACAGTCACTAGCGAAGTCGGCTTCCGCTTTTTACTCACTGTTCAATTGTCTTGGGTCCCTTTTTTGAGCCTCTTGGCGCTTACACCATGACTGTGGATAGTGCACGCCAATGCTGGCCCCAGACATGTACTGTGGAACCTGTGCCGGCAATTGGGCACTGCTCCTTCGGCTGCTGGAAAGGCCACAATTTCACGACAGATCGGGCATTCTGAAATTTGATTCGGCGCCTCAAGGTACGGGTCAGGGTCTTGCAAGCCTTGCTGTAGTGACTGGCTCCATCTTTGACGCTTTCGCCTACGACAACCCGGTGACGAGCATGATGTTTGACGCACGGCGCATTGTGAGCGCGGCGGGCGAGGACGTTGTCAAGGTGTATGACAAGATGGAATCGCGGCAGTGGGACTGCGGCGCGGGCATCACGCAAGCCGAGGAGAACAGGACGCCAGCCATTGTGGAGCATGTACGCATCCGGGACGGCTACCTGGTGGAGGGCCGCCGCGATGGTCTGGTCGGTGTCTGGGCTTGCTAGAACGGTGCCTTTGGGCCATAGACAAATTACAAGCGCAGGCTGCCAGCGAACCTGCTTGCACGAGAGAGATTCCAACGAGTTTCGGGCTTGAGACGTGATAAAGCCGGTATTCCCGCTTGCCGACAGGGCACCTTGGGACTGATAAGAAGCGGGAAATGTGGAACGGCGTGATATGACATTGACATTTGATCCCGCTCGCAGCTCGGGAGACGTAGACAATGAACGATGCGGGGAGTCAGCACTCTAATCCAGTGAGCACTCTAATTCAGCCAGCACCTGCGGCTCCTTGCGTGGTTTCGTGGCATCCTACCCTTTTCGGTGCTTGCCGTCCACCACCACCACCACTAGCCAGGTACTTGTTCTCTCGGCCATGCATGTAATCCCGTCGTTGGGTTGCTTTGACTGATGCGTCGGCGATAAGATCGGCGATTGTTTGGTCTTTCTGTTATTGATTTCTTGCGTGTGTTTCGGCCATGGGTAAGGGCACGCTTTGGATTCAAAAGCCTCCTCAATATCTACCCATACGAGGGCGGCCCACTATTCGTGCCGATACCCTCTGGAGCCCCGTTCGTGCGGGGATACCTGTCTGGTTAGCGCCTAACACCGAAACATTCCATGGTGGGAAGGTAAGCTTTCGTCGCTGGGATCCGCGTTTGTTCTATCTGCTTTTCTTGCAATTTTGCTTTAGAGAGAGCACGGCATCACGACGCCAAGAAGGAGGTTGTGTTGTTAGAAAGCAGCTCAATTTGCCGGCTTTGGGCCGGATTCTGAGCGGCATAGTCACTAGAAAGGACATGACGAGGGTGGTGTCTTAAGCGGTCGCTTGTTGACTTGCGAGGTTCCATGATATCATAACTGGCAGCTGCTACGGGTGTTAGTGCGGAGTCGGCTCAACCACCACCACCACCACCTGCGGGAGCCAGCCGCAACATACTTCAAGCCCGAGGGGCCGGTCGGATCAGTCGTCGATTTCGATGTCATGGTGAAGCATTTGTCCGGCAAGGGGCTCGCTCGATCGATCCGGGGTGATGGTTGACCCGGCGGGTACCCCGGAAGGATACCCTGGAATGGTCCCGTCTTCACCGCAAGCCACGTCGATGTCCCCTAAACTCCGTGTACCTATGATGAAACGAGAAGATCCACGGACTTAAGTTTGTTTCCCGCCTCGGCAGCTGGCCCCTCTCTCCACGGCATGCGTACTTTGCAAGGCCGTTGTGCCTATAAGTACGATGCTACTCCGGCAGGAGCTAGGTCGGTCTGCCACACTGCACGCCATACTCTTCGCAATTTTCCAAAGGCTTCTCTAGAATCTGACGAGAAGATTCTCACCCATCGACATATTTCCGACCTTGCAAGTCCCATCTCTCTGCAGCAACCATGGCGAAGCAGACCCTCGCAGATATCCTCCCCGCCGCGCCGGAGCCGGTCGGCCCCCTCGCCAATTACCGCATGCTTTCGCCCACTGCCTCGGTCCGCGTGAGCCCGTTGTGCCTCGGGGCGATGAACCTGGGCGACGCTTGGAAGGGTTACATGGGCGAGTGCGACAAGAAGACGGCGTTTGAGCTGCTCGACTACTTTGTGTCCCAGGGCGGCAACTTTATCGACACGGCCAACAACTACCAGGACGAGCAGTCGGAGCAGTGGATCGGCGAGTGGATGGCCGAGCGCGGCAACCGTGACCAGATTGTGCTCGCGACGAAATATACGACGAATTACCGCGCAGGAACGCACAGAAAAGGCGAAATACTCATTAATTACCAGGGGAACGGCAGCAAGAGTCTGCACGTGAGCGTCCGGGACAGCCTGAAGAAGCTCAAGACGGATTACATTGATCTGGTACGTTGAAATTTGCCCGTTGTGCAGCCGCCTCGCGGTTCGGGGGTGGTTTATCACCCACCGGGCCTCAACCACCACTTCCACGCACACTCAACCATCACAACACAACACTAACTCGTACAAAGCTGTGGGTTCACTGGTGGGACTATTCTTGCGACGTATCGGAGCTGATGATCGCACTTAATCATCTAATTGCCTCTGGAAAGGTTTTATACCTTGGTATCTCGGACGCCCCGGCGTGGGTGGTCAGTAAAGGCAACGAATTTTCTCGAGCCCATGGATTGAAACCCTTTTCAGTCTATCAAGGGCGTTACAGTGCCGCGAGTAGAGACCTAGAGCGGGAGGTAATTCCGATGGCAAGGGTCGAGGGCATGGGCATCTGCCCCTGGGGCGCTCTGGGCGGCGGCAAGTTCAAGTCCGAGGAGCAGTGGAAGGCGGCGGAGAAGGACGGCGGGCGCGGGGTCCAGGCCTCCGAGGCCGAGAAGAAGGTCAGCAAGGTCCTCGAGGACATTGCCAAGCGCAAGGGCACGCTCATCACCAGTGTCGCCCAGGCGTACGTCATGCACAAGACGCCGTATGTCGTGCCCATCGTGGGCGGGCGGAAAGTGGAGCACCTCAAGGGCAACATTGAGGCGCTCAACCTCACGCTGTCCAGGGAGGAGATTGACGAGATCGAGGCGGCTGTTCCGTTTGATATCGGGTTCCCCGGGTCCATGCTCTGGGCTGGGGGGAAGTTGCCCGAACACATGGGAGAAGTTCGCCTCCTCGCCATGGGTGGTCGTACCTTGTACGAGCCGACATATGTGCCAATTCCAGCGGCCAGGTTCGCGAGCAAGCAGTAAATACTACGGCTTGTTGCGGCCGTGGGCGTGTTAGAGGTCCAGAGGGTCCAGAGGGTCCAGAGGGTCCAGAGGTTCAGGGCTTCAGAGGTGTCACCTCAATATGCATACATTTCTTCAAATTGCTTCACAAATATCATTATATGCATACAAGTATGTGCGAGTATGTGATTGTTTTGTGTATTTTGTGGCCATGACGATAAACTCGTCTCCCCTTTCAAGCCGCACTTTAGTAAGCCCAGTTCTTGCCCTGAGCTATGAGGTCCACCAATGCCCTTCCTTTTCACCATCATCGCGACCAAATATCTATTAGACTGCATTATGCTCGCCTCGGACAAAGCCTTATCTTGTGAAAAGTTGGGTCAATGCGAGCAGGGGCGCCATACCTCGCTTGCGTGTGCTTCCGTGCGATGATCTAACGCATTGGTCAACGCCCATCCCGCCCGATTAGATTCGAAACGCATGCTATTTCTTATGTGCCATCGTGAAGCGCTTCATGCTCGAAGCGGCACTCAATGGCACATCATGGACCCACGACAAGATTTTCCCGGCCAGTGAACTCCGAGTCCGGGCTGCCTTCAGCTGCCGAAGACTTGTCACTGTCACACAATGATGGAGCCAACGACACCACCCCCCCTTTCAAGCTTGTTCAGTATGCTCTACAGTGTAGCACCCCTGAGGCTGACATTGAGAAGCCTCTCCAAGTGTACTCCGTCCCCAAGGAGGTCAAGGCTGGCAAGGGGCGCGTGTTGTGCACGGAGAATACTATTGCCAAAGTCCAAAGTGTCCTGTTTATGGTGTTGCCGTGATGACAGATTGCACTGATTGCTGCAGCAGTTGAAGTCTTGCCCGAGCGAAAACAGTCAGCAATCACAGCGAAAGCGTTGTCAATTTTTGCGAGACCCTCGATGGCTTGCTTTTGCGATGCGTCCAGAGAGGTGAAGCGTCTCGTGATGTAATCAGGCAGCTCTCCGTTGATGCATTGCTGCATTTGAGGGAAGTCCTCAAACGTGGTTTTCGCGGATTGGTCACCGGGCTCCAGACCAGGCAGATTGCGGTATATGGCAAAAGATCTCGGGCTGATGGGCGGGTGCTCAGAAGGGATGGTGCGCGGGTGTTGCAACCAGGCACCGGCGGTGATCTCCTGCTTCACGGGCTTGACAGCGACCTGCTGGGTGACGATGCAAGTACTCTCAGACTTCGCGAGCTGCTGTTGAATCCAGTCGAGATAGTTCACGCCTGGTTCAGGGCCGGCGACGTCCAGCTTGACTTGGCGACGCGGTCGTGCGATGAAACAGATGAGGCGACCATCGATCACGGGGATGGGGCAGTCCATTCGCTCGGCCACGAGCGACAATTGCGGAGTGCACACTCTTCGGGGATACAATGCTGTCTACGCTTTGTTGCCAGACACCTTGCGAAGTGGACGCCAGAATGCTCCACTGCATGCTTCCTGTAAGGAAACAACTTGACAGGTAAGGCGGCTGCACTCAGTGGCTGCTACCTGGCCTGCTACTGTTCCACCTGCGAAGCATTGATGTTGCGTGCGCGAGAGTGGACGACTGCTCGCTGGTACGGGGGTCTGTAAGGGCAATGGCAGGGAAGGGAGCATGCTAGGCTGCGCCATTAGTTGAGTCGGGTTCTCGTAAGCGCTATAATCGATGTTTACTGGCGGGTCCAGGTGCTTCTAACAAGCATCAGCGTGCTCACACGTTGCTCTCATCGATTGAATGAGGTTCTGAGGTCGACACTATCTGCATAAGAGAGATGATATCTGTTGGGTGATATTGCGCGGGTACAGTGCGGGTACAGTACCTCATGAGCCCGTAGAGGACGTCGGAGAGTTGTTGTTTCTCGCATTGCGAAGACCAATCAGATGCATCGCTCCAGTCGCGGTACACACATTCACGTGAGCGCGCATGGCGTGTGGATGTGAGTTCTCCGCACCTTCATAAAGCTTCGGCTTTCCTGCTTCTTGAATCAACCTTTGACGTCAGACAAGGCCCGCCACACCCAATTCTGGGCATGCGACGACGTTGAATGATGGAGCCACCACCAGCTTCAGATGATGATGCTAAGGCCATCGACAGGCTATGGGCCAAGGTAGCAAGACAGCGACGGCCCAACACAACTTCAATCGAATACCCACCTCGGAAGCCGTTTCAGACGCCATCTCAGACGCCACTTCAGGATGTCGGCTGCGACAATACCATTATCGATTCGGTTGATTGCGCCCTGGACGGTCACGTCGGGGATCCCCTTCTTCCAGAACAAAGCATAATGGATGAGACCTGGGACGAGGCTCAGTCGACATGGCGGGCCTTTGTGTCAAAGGCAAACAGCTGGCCGGCTGGGTTTTTCGATACTCGGAGGATACTGGGCGATATTCCGGCTATCCCACGCATGATCCCACGCATGATCCCACCCAAGATCCAACGCAAGATCCCACCCAAGACCCGATGCAAGATCCCACACAAGATCCCATACTTGGAGGGGAGGCCAATTTGGCACGTATCCGATCTCAACAAAAAAGGGAAGTTCACGCCAGGTGCTGTAAAGCACTTCGAGCTCCGTCATCCGACACCGCTGGAAGCTTCAATTGCGGAACGACAGGATTCGAGCTTCTTCGGGCACGTGGACGGCATAACTACGGAACCGCCTCCAAGCGGTCTCACGATTTTGATATTTTGCTGGTCATACATTCTCTGTGCGTCCCTTATTGAGCGTCAGGGTTACCGCGTGACTTACACCGAGCACCTCGTTCAACCGCAGCCAGAGGCAACGTCCTCCGACCTGCCAGCCTTTCGTCTTCCCTCTGATGCTTCTGACAGCTTGGAAAGGTGGCTGTGTGCCTTATTGGCCCCTAAGATGGGGTGGACAACTTCACAGAAATGCGGCTTGCCCCCCTGGGCTCTCATCTGTTCAACAGCACCGCGCATCACTCGTCCGACAGCCTCTCGGCCTCGACCAAAGCTAGTCGAAGTACAGGCTCCGAACTCAGAAGAAGCCCTGCTATTACTTAAAGAGCTATGTTCCTGGTACAGCCTACATCGCTCGGACGCCACCATGCCAGCACTTGAATCGTCATTCATCGCGGCATTAGCCATTCCGTACTACCGATGGGCCGAGCTTGGTTTACAACTGCCACCGCTCGCATCGATTGAGCCTCGCTCGTCGGCCAATCCGTCAGACGTCTGTGGCGAGATCATTGACAGATACTTCAAACATCTTCCATACTACATGACTCTCAGTTTGCAGCCTATATCATTCGGCTCTATACTCTGGAGCGTTTTCTGGCAGCCCTCTGTTGCGTGCAATGTGGCGAGTTCCTGGCTCAACTCAACTCTGGACGTTCTGGAGCCAGTCATTGCCAAAAGAGACGTAGGGCAATTGGCCCGGATCTTTGCTGCTCGCCGCCCTCTCGCAGCAATCCTTTGGCTTGGCGTGTTTCTCCTAGGAGATATCAAAATCCTAGACAGAATCAGGTACTTCCTCCGGAGTCTTACAGAGGGAAAAGCCCTTCCACTCGGGGGTCCTCCAGATATTACGGTATCTGCATGGACTCGCTCCCCACAGTCTTTCTGGGATTTACCGTGCGAATCTCAGCTCCCAGACGGAACCTACGACAGAGCCGAAATACTTCAAAGACGACTGAATTTCCAGCTCTCAGATCAGCTCTTGATTCTCTTTGCTTGGAAGCCATTCTCTCCCATGGACAGGACCAGCATAGAAATGGACCTCCACGGCTATCTAGAGCATCCCTTTGCCCGTCAGTATGTTTACTGGCAATGGTTGGGTGTATCCCGTGTCGGAAAAGGGTTTTCGGCAGGAGCAAAAGGGCTATGTGGCACCCAATGATAATCTCGGCTTCCAACACGGAAGTCCTATCATTACACCTGGCAAGAGAATCACAAATATGGCGCCATCCAAGCGCGCGACCCTGACGATGCTCGACTTTAGCATGACGAATTGTCGTGGGGACAGATCTCTCGACTACGCCTCTATCCCAGGATTGGACAAGAATCATGCGTGGTTAAGAGACTGGAGAGGATTGGAGTAGGTCACCCGCGTATGACTAGACTATCGCGCGTTGACGACAAGGTCATGTCCCAAGGAGGGCTTATAAGCACCGGCCAGTCTCAGTCTCGCATGCTGCAATAGAAAGCTACGTGGCAGCTGTTTGGATTGCCTGTTTGGTCCTCTCAGCAGAGGCTGGGGAAACTCACCAGCATTCACGTTCACAGTTGACACCCAGAGTTACACGCCATGCCTGTGAATTTGTACTTGACCATCGGCCAGGCAGCCTACTTAGGGTAGCATTCTCATCCAGGCCTGCACGAACTCATGCAGTTGATGCAGGTAAATCAAGCGCCGCCGGCCAAGTTGGCACTCTGCAATTGGTCCATCCTTCTTGACGGGGATCAGCATGCAGCGGATACCGTATCCGGGTGTTCGCAATCACTACCGTCTCCAAATCAGCCAGCCACATGCGCAAGTCGACAAGGTCTTGGCTGTCATTCCCAACCAACATGATGTGAGCTCAAGCATAACGGCTGAAACCCTAGAAGATGTTGTGGATGAGATTGTGAGTGAGAAATCAAGGAGGTGGAGACTTGCTGGAAATGTATAAATGTTGATCCTCGGGATATGGTGTGTTGGCATAATGAATTATCACTAGTCTGCGTACTTCGAAACGCCACCCATCATGTCAACTAGTTCAGGTCGTCCTGGCAGTTGTGAATATTGCGGTCATTCCCTTTCTGGACACGCAAGACGCGACCAAGACACCCAATGTCGCAGGTGCTTATGGCACTTCGAGATTTGTCAAGCAGGCCTCCATGGCTCTTTCATGATGGGAAGTACTGAAGTCATAAAGAGATCGGCATATGCAGGGTCTCTTTGTGCGACTTGAGTCTGAGCTCTGACGAGAATGCGAGGGAGCCTATGGACAAACTTGAGCTCTTCGGCGGCCCCTTCGCATTGGAATTCGAAGCGAACTGGGCACGTCTCCATGATTGAGACAATAGTACAGGTCAGATCTTAGAAAGCTCGCAAATAGAATCTTACTAAGTCATTTGCTTGTGTTTCTTTGATGTATACCGTCATGGTACTCATCATTCAACACCTCGTAGATGACAATAGTCTTTATATGAGACGAGAACACCTGATTTTTAACTAATGCAGAGCGGAATTGGGAAGTCGGAATAGAGTTGTCCCCCTTTCTCAGATCATGTTTTTGACTGGATCTTTCAGCGTATCAGCTGCCGAACTTGCTTCTTTACAGCAGACCTAGTTCGGCATTTCCCATACCCCGCAATGCAGTCAGCCACCCAAACGCTCCTGCCCCAACTTCTGAATATCTGTCTCATAAACTTTCTTAAGCTTACTCGAAAACCACCAGATCAAGCTTTCGTTCCTCAAGGCTCCTTTGGGAAAATCGCTTGCGATTTTTGTCACCTGTTGTGGAAACGTAGGGGCACATCAGCCTCTGTTAGAGGCATCCTGCCAAAATAGCTGGGCGCCCTTAACTACCCCACTTCTTATCCACCCAATCCACCCAATCCACCCACGCCATCGTCGAGTGGATACGGTGGATTAGCCAATCCACTGGGATTTTGCCAGTTGAGTGGACAGTGGAATCCCCGAGTGGATCCACTGCGTGGATTGAGTGGAGTGGCTTTCAACCCTGCTTGAAGCAGAGTTTCCTGACCAGCAGCCGTTGATCGAATATATCTCGAAGACTTATATTAAGGTGAACGTAGAGTGGGCAGAATATGCTGTTCGATTACACCGAAACTTCGGCATCCGATCCACGTCAAGGACCGAGAGTGCCCACGCGGCGTTGAAGCTTCAGCTTCAGTCACGGAATGCCCAGCTTAACCAGCTTCACAAGACGATCCTCGAGATCGTGACTCGATCCTTGATAGGCTATACACAACGGGTGCGGCGAGAGAAGGATCAACGCCTCACAAGTCCGCCGTTGGCTACGATTCCCATGTTCCGCCGGCTTCATGGACAAGTCAGTCACTTCGCGTTAAAGCGAATATATCAGGAATATATAAAGGCGAAGGAGATATGGGATCGGGATCCATTTGGCGTCACGCTATCGATTTGTTCAAATGCCCTTGGGGCGCAGTTTGGTCTGCCTTGCCAGCATATGATCTTCTCGTTGCTTCAAGGCGGCAGCGATCTCGAGCTTCACCATATTGATGCCCATTGGTGGCTTCAACGCGATGGGCCACTCTCCGACGAGGAGATTAGGCAAAGGAACGAGCCGGATCCACGGATTATTGCCCGGCGGCAGCGAAATCGCCTTACAATAGCAGCTTCAGATGACAACGCCGCCAGGCCTGCGATATTAGAGAGTATCACGGTGGCTACAGGGTCAAGGCAGAGTAACAGCGTACGCCGAGATCCTTCACACGATGAGATAAATGGCCATAGAGTGAGGCGGCTGATACCAGCTTCGTCAGCGCCAGCAAGGTATGAATAAATAGCTAACCGCCAAAGGTTTGGTCAAATAACGTCAATTCTATATACGCAAAAGCCTCACTGTTGTAATTGTGGCCATAACTATCGCCATGGGCAGCGCAGCGTCGCTTGCCAATTCGCAGCGATGAAAATCGTACTTAATTTGTATGTGAAGTACCAGTACTTTCAGTGCTTGGCGCATTAACCTAATACAGCTAGGACCCGTCAGAATATGGGAATTACCCCGTCAGAATAGGCGCTCTTGTAGGGCGCAACTGGGTCACCAAGTTCATCGCGCGGCAGCCACAACTGAAGACACGCTACAAGCGACGAATTGATTATCAGAGGGCCTATTGTGAGGACCCTATAGTGTATAAGGCTTGACCGCCATGTACTCTACTCTAGGACGGCTATGTGGAGCACGTACAGCGTATTGCAGCTCTCTCTATATATAGAAGCAAGAATGAATTGAAGGTTTTGCCCACTACTTACTTAAGCCGGCACAGGCCATCGGCGTCCCAGCCCTCGCTGCCCACGCCGGACTTGACGATGAAGAGCCCCCGGGGGTCCCAGCGCTGCTTGACGCGCAGCAGGCGCGGGTAGTGGGAGCCCCAGAAGGCCTGCTGGAAGTTGGGCTCGTTGACGTCGGCCTCGTTCAGGTAGGCGCCCATGTCGGGCTCGAGGGCCCGCAGCAGGGCGCCGTCGCCGTTAGTCACGCTGTCCATGATGGCCCGCTGCTCCTCCCAGGTGGCCACGGCCGGGTCCCACCCCTGGCCCGCGGTTAAGTGGGTCAGCGTGCGCCTCCACGCCGGGGTCAGGCCGGTCGCGTCCTCGCCGCCGCTGCCCTGCTGGCGGATCGCCCCGGCGGGGGGCCCGCCCGCAACGACGTGGCCAGTGATGACCCTGCTGGGGGAACGCTTGAGCCGCGAGAGCGTGTCGGACAGCCGTACGGCCCCTTCCTGCGTCGACAACAGCTCGCGCGACACCAGGCGCGAGGTCAGGATGACGGTCCCGCCTAGGGTGTCGCGGTCCTTAGGGAGGTACTCGTTGAACATGTCATGGGTCGAGTTGTGGAGCTTGTCCGCTACGAAGTAGCTCCAGGCCCCCGGTGCGCCGGCAAGCGTGGCGTTCCAGGCCGCCTGGAGAGGCTTGCAGAGCGCCTGGATGGCCGCCGTATCGGTGCGGTTCGCGAACTGCAGGATGCCCGAGAGAGCCAGCGGAGCGGTCGCATTGAGCGGCGAGGGCTTGATGTCGTAGTAGCCGGCCCCGCCCGCGTCGTTGAGCACAACCAGGTGATGGTGGAAGTCCGCCAGCGCGGCCCAGAAGACCGACTCGTACTGTCGTGGCACCTCGATGCCGTAAACGGTCCGCTGAATGGGCACATCGGGCCATGTGCGCAGCGTCACGCGGGTGACGACGCCAAAGGTACCGCCGCCGCCGCCGCGCAGCGCCCAGAAGAGATCAGAGTTCTGTTGATCGTTGGCGATGACTAGCTTGCCCTGTGTTGAGGAGCGAGAGATAATGTCAGCCCATGGAAGGTCCGGAGAGAAAGCATAGTACCACGAATAGGGCGGGTTAGAGGCTTCACGTTACCTCGGCACTGACGACTTCAAACTCCAAAGCATTGTCCGAGCCCATGCCTTTCCAAGCACCCAGCGGCGAGTGGCCCCCTCCCTGTACGTAGCCCCCAGCGGCGGCGACGGTGTGAGACAGTCCGGCTACGACCACCAGATTTCTCTCCCCCACCGCATTGTAGAGCTCTCTCAGCCCAACGCCGCCACCCACGTGGACAGCAGCGCCGTGCGACACTTCGCGGCCGTGCGGGCCTTTGGTGACAAAGTTGTCGGTGAAGGCGATGTTCTTGAGCCGGTAGGTGGAGATCTGCAGCGAGTCCCGGCCTGCGGAGCGGCCCAGGAAGTCGTGACCCGAGTTCTTGATGACGAGCTTGATATTGTTCTTAGCCGCGAACCGGACTGCCTCTTGTACGTGATCCGCACGTCGCGCCAGCACCGCGTACACGGGGACGCGGCCTTGACGGCAGGGGATGCCGCGGGCAGAGTGGACGTAGCAGGTCTGGTTCTCGGCCGGGAGGGCGTCCCAATTTTCCCATTGCACGCCGCCGGGGTTCGAGGCACGCCAGATAGAGCCGTTAGACTGCAGCCGAACCGAATCGCAGGCGGCGGCGTCGAAGTTCGGGTCATGGCAAGGAAAGCTGAACGGCTTCAATCCCACCAAGGCGCCATCTACTGAGCGGTTCAGTCCTTGCCAGGCCTGCGCGGATGGCCAGCAGGGTTCGCGTGGTCGGCAACGGCAGCCAGGACCACCACCTGCAGCCACAGCGCCCAGCACTGCTGCGGTTGAGAGCGCAAGCAGAATAGCTCCGCCCACCATAATTAACTGTTAAAACTTGCTGTGTAGTAGTCTAGAAGAACGACGGAATGATGTCCCAATGAGTGGGCTTGTGCTAATTTTTTTGTTCCCCCGGAAGTCTGCTGTTCAGGGCAGTCTTATATCATTCTCCATTTCTATGATGACCTGCGCGATGTTCGGATTGGTAGAGAAAGCTTCATCACGTTCCAAGCTGAATATCATTCGGTTCGGGTACCCCTCGCATCTTGCGCCATGGTTTGTGGCGCAGCCGTGATAGTAGTGACGCAACTTTACTCTCATGTTCTGTATAGGCGTGTGCTAGCTACCTACGGCGTCGTAGGCTATTTGTCGTACACGTGGTAAGGTGCGTGGCTCGTTAGGTCATTGTGAGCAGGGAGGGCTGGGATTGGTGCGTTCGTATTTCGGGTGGTGCGTGCAGCCACAGTGCGAGAATACGGCTCATTGGAGCGAGACACGATCTTTTACGGCTTTCAACCGTAGTATTGCTGCGGGGCTGCCATAGCCAGCATGCTTGGCCGGAGATCTGCAAGAGTCAGACGATATTGAAGTTCTGTACCTCCACTTCTCCATCTTTGAATTACACCCGGCAGCTGGTCCCCCGAAAATTTGTCACCCTCGACTTTGTCACGGCCAATTTGAACCTCACTTCATCTAAGGTTCTCACTGTCGTCTGTGACACATGATGCAAGGTTTGGAGATCTCAGAACGGGATTGGCACCACAAACCCATCCGCCAACCCTTATATTCGATTTTAAAGTGGATGAAGGAAGATAGCAATCCTAGAATGTAATTTGACTATTGCCATTGTTACGCACAGTTAGTGCTATTTCAGTTGAGCTAGGCCCAACGAGTTCTGTCTGATGACGAGGAATTTCCCCCTTCATCGTCCTGGGGCTGAGCTCATATGCCTGTCTCGTGATGGATGTGGAAGTACCCAAGCCAAGTCTTGAACCATGGGTTTTAACGTCACGGAGTCTGACAAGCGAAATTCTTTACGCCCGACATATCTGAAAGACAGTCCGGGTGCGCATCCTCTATTCTGTGCGTTTCACCAACCCCCCCCCCCCCCCCCGAAGAAAAGGGGCATTCTGAAGTTCCTCGCGATCGGAGGAATTCGACTGTTGCGGACATCTCGTCGATGCCCCTACCCTCTTGAGGCTGTGGCCCGATTGTTTGCAAATTGTAGCCTTGGGGATGATACCTGTCGCCGCCAGAGCCGGGGATGCGGCCACCAAAAGCTTGGAAGAGGAGGCCTGTAGGCCCCCACTTGTCCCATAGTGGCTCTACATAACATGGCTGCAAGCTGAACTGACTAAAGTTGTAAAGGCCTGATTTCGAGTTGGGCTTATCTGCCAACGCCTTGACGGCGAGGAAGGACGGCCGAGGAAGCACAAGTACCGCAGAAGCTCTTCCGTGGTTCTCTCCAGACGAGCATAACGCTTGAAAGGAGGAAACCTGGCGATTCGAGACTGTATGCATTGCTAGGGCGTGACGCGCAAGATTAAGAGTAGCAAATAGCAGCAACGGAATCGCTCGCGGATACATACTTGAGACTATTTCGCATAGCTTCGTCCCACTCGGAACCCAGCATCTTTCGCGCCAACACGGTAACGGCCCGCGGGAGCTTCGACGTAGCACCATCGACGTAGACCCTCACATACTGATCACTGGCTGCGTTGGGTTTGGCCACCAATTCTGCGTGCTTCACGGTCCAGTCTCGGAGCTCCATCGCGAAGTGGAGTCCGTCGTCCCATCCACTTTGGCTGGAGGGCAGAGGCGTGAGCGGGATTTCCAAAGCTTGTTCACGCACCAACCGTACCAAAACATACCGGCTGGCAGAATTGGCGCGGCGTACGCTGTAATCAGAAGTCGGTCTTCTGGTCTGCTTCTGCCGTTTTTCTTCTTCTGTGCTTCCATTATGACGCCCCTGAATCGAGCCTGGATGACCACGGAGGCGAGCATGCCAATGCCAATTGCCAAGCTCGACATACGCCAGTCCTGATATGCCTGTCGACCAGCCGTATTGGCCCTTAAAGACGATCGCAAAGCCAGTGAATAGGAGGAGCAAGAGTTCGAAGGCGAACGCAGCAGAGAGCGACAGAAAGAGCACGATGGGAGAGAAAACCAATAACCGCAGGGGCCGCGTGATCGTGCTGGCCATTCGAGCGGCCACCTCCTTCATCGGGAGTGATTCCACCTTGGCCGGCTGTCCCTGTTCCTTCCTTCGACGGGCTGCTCGGCGACGTAGTATAACCGGTGCGTATGTCTCTCGAAGGAAATCGACGCACAGGGCTCCAACAGCTGCACACTACTCCGCTCAAAGGTGGCTAGTTTCCACGACGCCAAATGCCTGCAGAGTATCATAACCCACCAAGATCAGGATGATTCTAAATGCCCAGCGCCAGCCAAGATTCTCAGCTGCAAACCCTCCGGCGATTGGGCCGATGACAGGCCCCAGAAGGGGCCCCAACACGAACAGACTCATCCATTTTGCGCGATCCTCTCTCGGGATCACGTCGGCCAACATGCCCCCGGAGAGTGCCAAGCACGCTGAGCTGCCGGCGCCGCTCAGGAAACGGAACGCGATAAACATGCCCATGTCGGTTGCAAATGTACTCCCGATCAGGAAGGCGATGAAGATGCCCCTGAGCTTGCATACACGGGCAGCCGGCCGTAACGCTCGGACAACGGTGCGAAGAGAAGCGGGCCGATGGCAAACCCAAGGACGTAGATGGAGACTGCCAGGCTGGCCACGGTTTCGTCTGTAACCTTGAAGTCCTTCACCAAGTCGTCGACGCCCGGGGCAAACATGGTCGCCGTTAGACTGCTGCAGGCGACCAGCACTTTAAGGCATCGAAGGCCTGTACCTAGTACTCTTCTCCGCTGCTTAATGCTTCTTGTCTTTCAGCTAGAGAAAAAAGAAGAATCTAAGTCCAAAGTCATAGCTTGTGCGTTGGCTTATGACGCACAATCATCGTCATCCTTTGCTTTAAGTAAGTTCGCACCAAAGAAGAACTACTAACCATATTACTGACATTAATAGGATTTATTGCCGACCACATCTATATGCAGTCTTACTCTGAAGTTATGCAAAGGCTAGAGGAAGCTACAGAATGCAGAGCACTATCGCGAGAAACCCGGCACGCTTTCAACCTTTTATGGGACCAGCGTCGGCCATCCAAGGACCTACCAGCAACATCGGTGGGTTCACCAAAAAGACGACTTCAAACGCAATGGTACGTCTAGCTCACATCCTGTCCCGCTTTTCTGCTGAGGATACGATTCCAGAGGACAGAGCGTTTCTTGTACTTTATCGATACCTTGTCGCTGTCAAAGGACAACCAAAATACACGAGGAAAAAGCTAATATTTTGCTCTTGTTTGTTGACAGATCTTCATTGGCTACTGCGCGGGGAATATCATTGGCCCCCAGCTTTTCTTCGAGTCTGAGGCTCCCAGCTATCTGTCCGGCTTCCTCGCTATGATGCTCTGCTTTGGCCTCGGCTTTGCCGCCTGCGTTGCCCTTCGCTTCTATCTTCCCTGGCAGAACAGGCGGCGCGATCGCGCTGATGGTATGCATGAGATCGAGGCTAACGGGGCGGCCCACGGCTCGCTTAACCTGATGGACAAGACCGACAAGGAGATTCCACAGTTTCGTTATCTCTATTAAACATAGAGGGGTGCACTTCTCGGAGGTTGGCCGCTCCGGTGAGGAGTCACGAAGCATGAGAAGCCGGAGTAGCACGCGAGACGGGTGAGTGGAAAACATGCATGAACTTGAACAGTGCAAGTAGTACGAGGTGCTCAAATTTCTCATGCGCAGCGTGTAGAAAAATGTATATACCGGGCTGCGTGTAGTATTGCCGAACAGGTTCAGAATGATAGAAGGAATGCCCTCCGTGGCCTCCTTTTAATAAAAGCTCCAGCCTACATTAGTCCAGAACCAGGTCATTGGCAAGCGTTGACTCTTTCTTTCCGCTTCAAAACAAAATAAAAAAATCCATAGCCTCTCCCGAATCTCTGGCCATTGAAAGCCAACTCTTCGGTCAACAGCAGCCAGATTCCAGCTCACCTGTCACAACCTAGTTCGGAACACACTGAGCATAGAACTCGTTCCACAACTTGCAGTTGTATCCGTTGGCGCAGGCTGTCGGCCCAGTCCAACCAGAGCCTCCACAGCGTTCATACGGTCCTGCAGTCTGGATCGGGGCTGGCGCAGATGATGTCTTGGTCGTGCTTGTCAAAGTAGTGGAGGACGAGGAGACAGTGCTAGAGATGGGGGTGCTGGAAGACGTCACAGACTTGGATGACGATGAGGTGGCAGACTTCGAGGCTGTCTGAGAAGAGGAGGTGCTTGGCCCGCTGCCACCACCAGCCAAGGCGCCGTTGCCGTGAAACACGCCGCGCCCGCCTGGATCCACGCCTGCCACTTTGGATACGCGGCAAAGAGAGTCACGGCGTATCCCAGAGTGTTGGCTGTGGTGTCGAAGCCAGCGGGAGTGAAGATGAACAGGTTGCCCCCGATCTCGTCCTCGGTGAGATACTGCGCTTTACTGGCCACCTGATCGTCGCCCGTGGTCTTCGCTGCATGTAGGTCCCGTTCTTTGGGCTCGTCGGAGAGTCGCACGAGTGTTGTCATGATGGTGTGTGGCGCCGTGGTACTGCCGCCATCGTCGTTTTCCTCCTGTGCGAGATTCGAGCTGTTCGTGTGGCGCTCCTGCTCGAGCATGTCGTCAGTCAGCCTCGGCAGCCGGGCGAGAGCGACTCCCAGTCTGCGCACGGATCGGGGCATGATAGGCAGAGGAAGGATCGCCGAAGGCACGAAAGCCGCGAGGAGGAGCATTTCAGTGCACAAAGAGATGGCATCGACGTAGGTCATGTCCGCGTTCGGTAGGGGCGTCGAATCGCTTTCTCGTGGGAGGATGTATGGCATGGGCTTCCCGTACGCGATGCGCTTGAGGACATTGATGGCGATGGCTCGAAGGCCTGGGACAGTGTCGGTCGAGGTCGTGTTGTCGAGGGAAGGAGGTGTGGAGGTGATGGTGGGCGCAGATGAAAGCAGGGCGTCGGCTAGACCGCTAGCTTGCGCGATGCTTTCGGTCCATACGCCGCTGCTAATGCGTTCATTCAATGCAGGGGCGACGACGCGACGACGCGACGCTGTCGAGACCAAGACTCGTCACTTGACTGCGTAGGGGTTCTCAGTGTCAACCATCGGCAACGTCCATCGCTGGCAATTGCTGGGCACTTACAGCGACGATGTTATGACCAAGGACTCCCATGATCTTTGTCGTCACCTCAGGGTGGACAAAGTCGCGTCGCCGTGTGAGGATCGCGCTCGCCATCGCCGGATCTGCCGTTATGAGACGTGTGAGGCCTGGTGTAACCACCACAAAGGACAGACCCAGACCTTCGTGGGCAGCACTCTTGTCGTGCCACTCCCACCCCCATAAGGTCATGTCGAAGGCCTGACGGGCAGATTGGGGCAAGATCCTGCGCAGGAGGTGTTTCAACGGTTCCGAGAGCACGCCAAAGAGGAACTAGAGGGCAGCCAGATTAGGTCTTGCAAAGTGCTCCGTGAGATTTGAGGGTGCTGCGATGTCTACCTACACCATCAGGATCGTACGGAACGATAACCATGGGCAGGCCAAGCACTCGGGCGATCTGGTAGTTCCGGAACAAGGCCCACGGCTGCGAGGTTGCCCAAAGCAGCGGGACTGATGCCGCGCCTACTATGAGCAGTGTCATGGTTCACTGGCACGTACGGAAGGCGACGAAGAGGACTCTATCGTGCTGAGGTTCCGTGTTAAAGGCTGCCCTCATTTTCAGAGGGGAGGATTATGCAGCCAACTGTGTCTTATGGCATTAAGATCGAGACCACATCGCGTGCAGAATAACAACTCATAGTATCCGGATAGTCCAACTGCCGGCTCCACCCGGGCCCTTGTAGTGGAGATACCCGTGGTCCCGGCCGCCGACGCCGCCGAGCGGCCGAGCTGGAAGTATGCTGTAGATATAGCCTATCATGCAGGACTTGAGACGTCCTAGGTTGCCGCACGGCTGTGGACAGGAAAAGGATAGTGGCGAGGCGTCAGTGAGGAAAGACCTCTTGCGGCGTGGAACATTCAAAGGGAGTTCTAGATAGCTGCCCAGCGCAGTCTGCGCAGATTGGGGCTCGTTCAGAGCGTATAACAGAGCATTCAATGCACCGTTCATTCATTAGTTACATGGTCTCCTTTGTGGCTAGACCACTCTCAGGAGCACTCTATGTTTATCGGTCCATATTCTGCGAGCAGGGTCTTTTAACGTTGCACATCCGCCATCGTCTCAATCATTCCTGTCCTGTGCAACATATGATTGATTTGCATCAGTTTCACAAAGCTCTGGCTCTTCCAAGACATGAATCCGAAAGCACAGGCGAAGTCTACCGTAGCTTCATCACATGACAATCTGAATAATGTCGAGGCTTGAAGCTACGTCCATTTTCATCCAGGTACCGCGACCTATCGTTGCTAACGAGCAGGGTGGCACGCTATATTACGTAGCTAAGTCAATTTTCTTTCCAAAAGAGGACATCAGAACCTCCTGCGATTCGCGGTATTGGGATTTGCAATAATACTGAGTCGGATTAGACCTACTATTTAAAGTAGCTATCAGACTTCGTTGTGCCAACACGGCGATGATTATCATATTCGTGCAGCCATACAACAATCGACGAGTAGTCAATGAGAATGGAAGGAGTCCAAGCACCACTTCCGGAGAGTGGATGCGGTTCCTATCCCAGGCGGCTTGACAGCATTTTCTCGCCTCATCGAGGCGTATGCTGAATATATAGCACGGACTCGAGGTTCATCAACGGCCGGGCAATGCCAACCCTTGATGCGAATGTCACTACCAGGCGGACCTTCCGCGAATTTCACCGGAGACTACAATCAATTCCCATACGATAAGAACAATCAGCGAGATTAAATTGATGAATGGGCTAAGTCTCCCCCCCGTCTCGCGACCAGGGCACTTCGCGACCACCCCAATCCCCACCAAAATCGCTAAAATCGCTACCTTGTCACTCGGCTATAACTCAGCTAATAAATTAACTATAACGTAATCCACGGGTAAGCGGGTCACACGGGTGAACGGGTCACCTTCCAGTAACTCGTACGACAATATATAAGACAATTTAACCACAACGCCTTAAATCAATTCAAACTATTCAGAATCCTCTTCTTCAGAGGCAGATACAACTTTCTGACACGTACGAGCATTATGACCGGGCTCGCCGCAGACGCCACATCGTCGCGCGCGCGTTTCGGGCCTCCTCGTACGACCACTATTCTGACTCGTTTCCGCTATTAACTGCTGCGTCGCATCGATTTGAGCCTTCAAATCCTTTGCCTGATCAATCGTGAGGGACCCTCCTTTCTGTAGCTGCTTTCTTTTCGTACGACGACGGCGGCTGAGGCGGTCATTTGCATCTCGAAGTTCGGCGAGCTCTTGGCGCATAAGGTCCTGCTCGTGTACCATCATTATAACTCCTTTTCTCAGCTGCCGTAGGCTCTCAACAATGGACGACGGTGAGCTATTCTGGTGTCGTACGATGCGATTTTCAATATACTTCGTCTGCGATTCGGTCTCAATTAGGTTGTTCGGCGTCTTTGAAACCCATGGGGGTGGTAGTCCAGCAGAGGAACCTGGTGGTGTCGGCGTATGAAACTTCATATCTAGCTGCGAAATCACATAATTCGGGTCGTACGGTACTAGGCCTGTCGCTCTGAAGCCTGCCTGGATGTTTGATTTGGTCATTGCAGCGTCGTACGCCTTATAAAAGGCTGGGAGGAAGTCCTCCTTTGAAACGTGGGTTACGTGCGCCCGCATTAGACCTTCGATTTCTTTACCGTACGCCCGTTTCAGAGGTCCAAAACACCCAACATCGAGAGGCTGGAGCTTATGCGACGAATGAGCAGGCATACAGAGCGTGACAATATTCTGTTCCTTGCAGTAGAGCTCGAAATCGACGGAATGGTGGCTCTCGTGGCCGTCGAGGATAAGGAGGCGGTGGGTACCCTTCGTACGACTCTTTGTATGGAAATCAAAGTGTTTTACCCATTCTAGGCCTCTCTCGTTCGTCGTCCAACCGTTTTCTGAAAGCGCGATTACCCAGTCGGCCGGTAGAGGGCTATTCGCGGTCCAGGAGTCGAGGTGGACCTTCCCGGCGAAGATAATGTATGGCGGGATTGAATAGCCGTACGACGCGATACCCTGGATTACTGTAACCCATTCCTGATTGCCTTGTTGTACGGCTCTTGGCCTCCCGCGTCGATCGGAGGTCGTAACGACAGTTTCGGCGGAGATCTTGCCCATCGCGAAGCCCGTTTCGTCGAAGTTATAGATATCGTCATCGTGGATCCCGTATTTCGCGATTATGTTTCGTACGAGCTCAAACCACGCGCGATACGCGTCTGGATCCTCGCAAAGGACCCTCTGGTAATCGATTCTTCGATTAAAACGCGTACGGAGCTCAGGTCGTCGTCGTACGAAGGTTGAGGCCCAGTTCGTTCCAACGCGTGGCGCGTCGCGTACGCGGAGGAGTCGATCCGCCATTTCTCGAACACCACTTAACCGCGGTGGAAATGAACGCGAATCTAGGTCGAGTACGTATCGTACGATACTCTCCTCTTCGTATGAGGTTAATTTCTGGCAGGGTGGTCGGGTGTCGTGTTTCGCAGCTCGGCCGTGGTATCGTTGCTGGAGTGTCGTACGAGATACATTATAGATCTGCGCAGCCTTTCGTACGCTTAATTTTGGGTCGGATTGGAGCGCATTTAACGCTAGAACCAAATCACTTTCAATTGATTGTCGTCCCATGATTGGAGGTGGAGAAAAAGGAGAAGGAAGTGAACCTCAATTAAATTGCAGTAAAGTGACCCGTTCCCCCGTGTGACCCGCTCACCCGTGGATTACGTTAGATCTACATTAAGTATTTTTAGAGTTAGGATTAATAGCTCTATAAGACTATACTACAATATCCTACTAAACCTATTTATAGATTATTTTATTAATTCTTAACTAAAAGAATTCTAAAATGTAAAACTCTCCTATAATTAACACATACAAATGACTTTAGTTATAGTTAATTTATTAGCTGAGTTATAGCCGAGTGACAAGGTAGCGATTTTAGCGATTTTGGTGGGGATTGGGGTGGTCGCGAAGTGCCCTGGTCGCGAGACGGGGGGCAGACTTAACCTTTCTTGCACGGTATGTAGTGGTATCGTTGTTTGCACTCCATGTAGTGACTTAGCAGCGTGTCGTACTCCTGGAACGGCTTGGCCCTGCAGTTTGTTTTCAGGCACAGATAGCTTGTTTGGACGTCCTGTGCGATTGCTTCCTCTGACTGTGTGGTGGCAGAGTGCTTCCTTAATGCAGTCGTACGATCATGTGTAGCATCAAGCTGTAGTTGATCGGCCCCAGATGGAGCAGTATAGCTCTCGTGTGTTGGTGTTTGGCAGTGAACGCTCTGCCGACTGGGGCTGCTGCTACGAGAGGAGCCAGCGCTGACACCCTCGGATCGAAGGCGTTTGGGAGCCCTGCTGGTTTTCTCTTCATAGTGGCACTCATCAGGGTTCTCTGTACAGAAATTGCAGGGCTTCGTTCCGTTGCACTTTTGCCTCTGCCTAAAGCAGGAGCTGCACATGTTGTAGTTGCACTCCATTTTGGTGCTGCTGCACCTACTGCACGGCGTCCCTCCATCGCACCGGGCTCTGCTACTAGGGCAGGAGCTACAAGCCGTTGGGTCTCTGCCTCTACGGACGCTCGAGCTCTGGATGTAGATGCACTTCGTTTGGGTGCTGCTGCAGCTGCTGCACGGCTTCTCTCTGTCACAGCTGGTTCCGTGACTGCGGCAGGAGAGACAAGGCCTTGGTCTTCTGCGTATAGGGACGCTCGGATTCCGGACGTAGACGCACTCCGTTTGGGTGCTGCTGCAGTTGATACACGGCGACCCTCCGTCGCATCGAATATGGTGACTGTGGCAGGAGCTACAACCCTTTCCCCTGGTTCTAGGGACGCTCGATTTCTGGACGTAGGTGCACTCCTTTTTGAACTTGATGCAGCTGGTGCACGGCGTTCCTCCGTCGCACCGAATGTGGCGACTGCTGCAGAAGTTACAAGGACGAGCTCTTCTGGGCGTCATGCGGCGCTGACGGACGCTGGCTTGGTTCCCGTCACTGTCCGGCTGACTATCGGGGCCTTGCTTCTGACTGCGGGCCTCCTTATTGACAGCAGTAGCATGGGAACCAGTCGTTGAGCGCAGGGAGTCGAAATCGAGGTGATGAGGGACGTTCATTCTTGCCGCTCTCTGAAGAACCAGATTTTTTGTCCGAGTGAAGAAGCGATGAAGTCACAGAGTCTTGCCGCGACAGACGCATGCTGTTCTTCGCATGTGCAGGTACGCTGGCCAGCCAAGCACAGAACTGTACAAGGTATCAGCAACGGAAAGCAATAACGCAGAGCAGGAGGATACCACAAACCAAGCTGGTAGTGGGAGAAGTAGATCAAGCGTCACGCAGCGACCACGACTGATGATGGTGATGTTTGTAGTTGAAGTGACCTCCAGAACCCAGACATATGAAGACTCATATTTAGTGAGGAGTTCTTCACCTGCGGAAGGCAGGTGGTCATACGCTCCCAAACCATCCATTGACGACGTCGGACGACTATCACCAACATCTCGGTTCCCTGTCACTGCCATGCAGGGTCAAGAATGCTTGACGCTCTCACGAGCCGCCATCCATAACACGGATGGCACAGTGCGCAGCAAGGCAGGGCTCATGGCAAGGGAACGGCACAGAGCGCCTTGGCGGCAGATAGCTGAGAGCCCCTGTTCAGCTCACGCACTAATGCATGAGGATTGTAGGGATCACAACTGATCCGAGCAAGCCCCCGGGACCGCTCCTTGCGAATTGTGGGTCATTCAACTTGCAACTAGGAGCCTTTATTTGGCGGTCTTCCCAGTTTTCCAATGTCCGTCCTCGATGACTTTGACCTTCTAACTCCCACTTCCTCGCTAATAGCGCCTTTCTCGCTTTTAGCAGTTTTCTCGCTTTTAGCGCCTTTCTCGCTTTTAGCAGTTTTCTCGCTATTAGCAGTTTTCTCGCTATTAGCACTTTCCTGCCTTTCCCACTTTCCTGAGTGCTGCGCTACGTCGCATCATCAGAGGCTTGGGTTGTCCGCCATCATGGGTATAGGGGATTCCCAGCTGAAGGTGAAACGCCGTATCAAGCAGGAGCCGGAGAGACGATCGCACGCCACAGACATGGTCATGAAGGTCTGGGCACGTCGTCACTCGCTGTACAAGCACTTGTCAATGGGATCGGTTGTTCGTTACTCCCTGTATTCCGCAACGCCGCGACTGCAAACTCTCCATAAGCTATGTGACGACACGCTCATACAGGACTACGACAAGGAAGGCTTTGTTGACGACCTTTTACGCTATGTCGCTTTCATTGGGCATCCAAAAGATCAGACATACGCGTTGTTAGGTAATGTCAATTGAAGTCTCATGTAGTAGGCAACCATGGCAGCCGGCTTACGCTTCTACTGTAGATGGCGTTTCAATACGCCGTGGGAAACCACCCCTGCTTTGTGACGAGCACCGGTGACAATACCGAGGCGGGCACGTCTCACGACAAGGAGAAGCGACACACATTCTGGCTGCAAACTTGCGAGATGCTACAAAAGCAGCTGCGATTGATGTATGGGGATTCTCAAGACGCACCAGGGGATGAAGGCGCAGCGAAGGATAGAGACTCATCGAACGATGATGGACATGTGCACAACCTAGTTTGGCTCGCATTGTCAGGTTCGTGACTAATGTCTCTCTGCGATCATCTCTCGCTGACATTCCACAGGTGTGACATCGCACCCAACCAGTACTGGGTGGACGCAGACATTCTCCAAATGGCTTGAGCAACACTGCGAGAAGGTGATCACTGATACTCGAACACCAGCATATCTCCAAGGTGCGTCCTTTTACAAGGCACTTTATTCAATCCACTGACCGCTTCCAGCATTCGGGTCCTATCTGCGGCGGTTTGCATCGGAAGAGCTTACTGCCTATTCTCAATACCAGGACCACGGCCTGCTCATGAAGCTCTTTGAGGTCATCGACGATCCTCGGGCGAATCCGTTCGAAACAATGGACAGAAAGGAAAGCTTTAAACCCTTTATGACCTTGACTCAATGGCACCGCATCAGTTTGGTATTGGGTCCATTTCTGAAGTTGGCCATTGAGTCAAGTCAACTTCGCAAACTTGAGTTGAGTCGCCTTCCAGAATCTGAATCAAGTCGCCTTCTTCCAGAACAAGAAGGGGATGCCGATTTGACGAGAACTGCCATGTACCATGTGCCGTCAGGCTTAGGCAGTTTCAAGGCTGGCTTCTGCCTCTACATAACCGTCGGGGCAAGCTATGCTGATGTGCTCCAAACACTGTCAGAGAACCTTGAATGTCTCCAAGAGGTTTTCAGTCCATCATTCATTGGTGACGATATAAATGAAATAGGTCCGATGGTGGTTCACAGATGATCAAGTGGGAAAGACTGCATCCTTGAGATGTCTTTTGGAAAAGAGGAGGGTAAAAAGCTTTGGTCATTGCTGTACCCCTAATCGTCTGTTTTCCACGTTAATTTGAAGTCAATATCACATACTACCACCCATTCTCCTTTCTCTAAAATCCTATTTCCTCCACTCGTCACATCCTGGTGTTGTGTGCTATTAATGCTCACACGGGCAGTCCCCTGTTTCTCTGCCTTAGCAGCCTCCCAGTACATCTTGCGCCGGCCCTTCTGCGTGGACTGAAAGCCTTTGAGATCGATCCACTCAAAGTCCTCGCTCGAAGTTGTGAGCTGTTGCGAGTAAGTATGAAATAGCAAGAGCGAGGGGTCATTCATACCTGGTTTTCACTCATCTCAAGAGCGTGCGATCTCTATGGTAGCGCCTGATCGTGGCCTGATGGAAAAAGCCACGGAGACCATATGCGCATAGATGAGGAGACTCGGTGCAAGTTTGCAGTAGCACTTGTCGCTGTCGGAGGTGTTCTGTCGGGATAGAATTTCGTCTGGTCAGGCAGCAATGCGTGGTGGTACACGTGAGGGAAAAGCCGGTTGGAACGGCTCTGGCAGAACCCGCCCACATGAGCGCATTGTGGCGGTGCCGGCACCGGTCCCCGATGGTTCCACTGAGGCTGGTGGGGACGCACACCTGTGGCGCACGCGTTTGACAAGCCTGGTGGCGAGGGCGAGGCTCCTTGGCTCCTTCGAGGCTTGCCAGGTGGGGCATTAATTTAGCCTGTCGACTCTCAGTGTGTCTACAGAACATGCCGGTCCAGGTCAGCAAAGAGTGATCTGTACAGCTTGACGTTCTTGTTCGAAGTTTCTGTGCAAAATAAAAGAGTATATTTGAAGGCTCTGTTGAAGACACCTTATCCCTGTAGGCGGTCTGTTGAAGAACGGTTGCTTACCACAAAGGCTTTCGCTGCCAGCGACACCATGACCACCCTGCTACCTTCTCATAGTTCGTGAGAATCAGCGTCGTGACCATCGCACTCTGCAGACCCTTTAAGCGCTCAGCCATATCTCTCGGGGTCGTCCAAGTTCGTATCGAGCATCATTAGGCAAAGCCTCGCACTTCCCCAGATAGGCCCGGCCTTCAGGCGTTGCAGCCTGGAAAACCGCTTCCAAGGTAATCTTGTGCTGCTTGATTGCCTCCTTGAATATCCGAATGGCGCTCTCCATGCTCTTTCTTACATGCTCCACCTCTCCAGGCAAAGAGTACCGAGGCTGTGCAGCGCCTCCCCTTTCTTGCACCAGCTCGGGATGCTGTTGGCCGTGCCGTATATCGTGTTCCTCCATAACTACGGCCGACTCTCGCAAGCACTGTAAAAGAACATATGCGAGTAACGATATGATCGGTTCTTTCGACGTGAGGATCTCTTCGAATGAGTTCCCTTCCCCTCTATTCAGTAGGAAGTCATCGTATGTCATCCGGAGAAACTCGCTTGTGAGGGCATCCAGCTGTACTGGAATGAGTTGTGGCATTGGACGCAGATCGGATAGCTTCGTCGAGTTCTTGGGCATCCGTTCGACACACAGGAAGTCATTCAAAAGCGCGGCATATACCAGCTATTTAAGATCAGTGGCTGGCCCTATATGAGAATATGAAGAGAGGGACCTACATGCTGCATAGAGAATGCGTGAAGCAAGTACAATGGGCAATACAAGATCGGAACCGCCAGGGCTTGGACTCAATTCCGCGTCCTCAACTAGCTGAAATCGCCATCGGTAGAGCTCTTCGGTGTGGAAGCTACGATGCTTGGCCCAGTAAGCAGCATTTTGGATGAGATGCTTGTACACTGCCTTCCGCGCAGACCCTACCGAGACACATGCCCAGTTTGGCATATCATGTTTTCTGACCTGCCCTGCTTCGGGTCCTTCCTTGATGGTGTAGGGCCATGATGAAGGATCCCCCTCACGGACCAAGACCTGGCGGACTAGAATATGCATCGAAAGTTCCCTAAAGATTGGCCCGTCCTGTGTTTCAATAAAGAAGGACATCCATCTGCGATCGCCAACGAAGTCGCATTCGGGGACGAAGTTGGGAGCGAGAGGATCCCCTCTCTTGTGAAGGTGATCAAGCCCTCCATCTCGCCAGACCCTGAACGACAGGATCAGCGTAGTCTCAGCCATTCCCTGGGAAGTCTTGGCTGGTATCGAGAATGTTGACGGTGTCGTTGAGAGCTGAGAGAGAGAAAGGATTGACCCTCGCGGGGTGGTGGCCAAGAGATTCGCGCCTTGTATGGGGAGCCTGGCCCCCGCAGAGGCGGTCGAGCCGCGTTCTCCCCTGCCTGCACATGTAAAAACGACGGGAGCCTGAGGTCCCCCTCGCCGGCTTTGCAGTCCTTAGCAAGTATGCGTGTTGGGTAGGCCAACGAACCATGTCAAAACAAGTGGCTAGTGTCGCCTGGGATGCTTTTTCACCCGCAGGTATGAAGGAGGTGGTTTTATGCAACAATCCGCTGCATGAACGACACGGCTTGTCAGCATTCAGGACCGGGCTGCGGCAAAGAGTGTCTCACTCACGGCAGTCCTCGTATTCTCTGGCCTAGTTAGCCGTGCTCATCTGCCAAGGATGAAGGGGACCTTACCGTTTTGCTATGTAGTAAACCACAGGATGACACTTGACCTCAGTCTTTGCGTACTCTTGACACCAGTCGACCACGAGATATCTACTGTGTAGACAGCGATACTTGACCTGCTTGTATGGACACATCGAAGCGACTTTGTCTACAGGGTAGGGAATTGGGACGAGAGCGAGAACTGGGCAGTGTCGGGATGCATGAGGCATGAGCACAAGGCTGGGCAAGCCTTCACTGCGCGCTGATCTGAGGTATTTAGCTCCGGGCATTGCCTTCCCCGGCATGAGCAGTTGCTCAACAGGGTGGTGTGGGCGTATGGGTTGTGTAACCGGACTTGTGTAACCGGACCTCTGAGACCCCAGTCACTACGGCCTAGAGCATATTCCCCCTTGCCACAATGCACGAGCAAACAGGGGTCCGCTGCGGTCTCACACTTGCAGCTGCACTACTGATGGGGAATGGACTAGCTCGCCTCATTTCAAGGCACTTTTGGACTGGCATTGGAATCATGCTGGCTCAAGCTTATCTACTAAGAACATGTCATAAAGTGGTTCCCCCTCGTGTGACAGCGCTGACATCAATATTCCGCTGCCGTGCATTCCGCTGAGGCCGTGGTCTGTATCGATATACTAAACCTGTAACGTGTCTCAGCACACTCCGTGCCGATGCCAGACTCTGCGCGAATCCTGCTGGAGTGGGTGAGATGGACACCTTAGGAGGTTTGCCGGCTTCGCTCTCTGCTTCAGGGAGTGAGTCTGCGCACAAGGGCATCGAGCCGTCCTCAAGCGAGTCGTAATCCGGAGTCGAAATCAGTGCCCACACCACGCGCCAGGGTATTGCCTGACTTCTGTACGGCTTCAAGAACGGATATGCCTCGCAGACCCACTTCTCACAGATGGTGTCTATGTATGCATAGAAAGCGCGAGATACCAAGCTGGATCGGAGGAGGTCCGAGGCGTTGTCAAGGTGGCAGATGACCACTATCCAAAGTTCTGGGGGTAGCTTCTGTGGCGGCGCATCGCTGAGGGCCGGCTGGTGGATGGAACCCTGCGGTTGTGCTGTAGATGTTGCCAGAGAGGCCTCGCCGAGCTGCTTCATGAACTCAATCCACAGCGCAGGATCGTGTCGAAACTTGGGTCCTCCCCGTTGCCAAAAAAAGCACAGGCCACCTTGTTGAAAGATGCCAGCAAGAATGGAACCTGGAGTGATAGAAGAGATATGTTGAGCCAGTGTGTTGCAGCCGACGTGAACTGGATGATCAGACGAGTAGAATTGAGTCAGCCTGAGCTAGCTGTCATCTTGTATAAATGGACTTATTTGCTGGCCGCAGATCCCGCACTTGAGAAGGTTGATGGCATCCATCGCCACAGCAGCGGCCGGTCACCTGACTCTGAGACGAGGAGGGCATGGCATTGGGGGTTGATCAAGGGCTCGGGTGAACGAGCGCTTTAAGTAAATCTCCAAAAGTGACGTACTACGGGCATACCATCTAGGTATTCTCCCTTGAGCAACATAAGGGCAAACCAACAATCTATGCAAGCACGATTAGGATCTCAGGACGCCGGGTGCACAGTGAGGCTTTTCTATGCACTGTGCACTTACACTGGAACCTCGTGAGATGCCACATGGCGCTGGGGTATGTGGGTCAGGCCCACAAACTCGTCAGATTCCAGTGCAAAATATGCTCTACATACTGTGTGCTCCTTCCGTGGCTTTCCCGTCAGCCCCTTGCTTAGGCCATTTCGCGCCACTTGCCGCTGGACAGGGCCAAGACTAAGCTAGCGGTCAGGGCAAGGTACGGAATATCCGCTTCACGCTATTTCCCCTCCACGGCCGTGCGTCCCATGCACGAAGCAAGGAGGCGGGCCGTTTTCTCTCAGAGCGTTGCAGACAAGGGCAAGCTGGATTGAAGACCTCTTTGAGCACTCTCCATGGGCTAAGCGCTCCGACGACGGCTCAGGGGCCGGCCATTCTCAAAGTCGTCAGGGGAGATGACCTCGGGGCAGACAGGGTAGTTTATCTGGTCGAGAAGCGTTAGCCTTTTGTTCCATACTTGATGTATTACGCTTGCTTCCTACAATGTCTTGGGGGCCTGGTGGCCATTCCACATTTCGCGGCTCGGAAGTGTACAAGTACAAACGACCGTTCCTGCGGCCAATCAGGAACACATTTGATTTGAAGTCTTCGGCAACTTTTTGGGCGTTGCGCACCAATTTCCTCCGCTCAGACGCGAACCATCCGTCCTCCTTGGTGGGAGCTGTGGAGTCTGAAGTACACATATGCGTACCTCGGTCCGGAGGTGTGTGATTGAAGCGCACAGCAGGAACAGGACTGCCAGAGGTAGCAAGTCTACCTCTGCTGACCTTGTGTGAGGCGTCGCTGCGAATGGATTGCACAACACTCCTTGCTGCATCTACGTGGCTCATTTTTTGTGTAGCTGTTCTTCGTGCGGAAGAGCCTAGTGCCTGCATGCTGGGAACAAAGAAGTGAGAGACCATAGAAGCTGATCAAGTGCAGTTTTATTGTAAATGACCTTTGCAACGCTGTCATGTCTCTTTCAACAGACCGAAAATAACCTGCGATACTGAGCGGGCCCCCCTCCCCAACAAATGGCCCATTCCAACCAGGCCCCACTTTCGGACTCCCCGCGGTTTCTGCACTCCTGCGCTTTGCCATCACCGCCCTACTCTTTTCCTCAGCAACGGGCATAATCATCGCTGTTGCGAACGCGCCTGCTCCCACATCAGCTCCACGCGCCACCGCGCCAGATCCCGTGCACCTAGCCACAAAAAAGTCAGCCCCGGAGCTGGTTGCAGACAAAGCCTCGACAAGGGCCACGCCGACCTCTCCCGTCGCGAACCACGTCATGCCACTCAAGGGACGCCGCGCAGGTCAGCCGTCTGACCCAGACGCAATTGGCAAGCTATTCGCGGCATACAACAAAGGCCGTGATGCTCCCTGGCTGGATGCGAAGCCTGTTGCGGTCGACTGGGAACAAGAGATCCTGCAGTTGGCCCAGCGATACCGAGTTGATCACGATAAAGAACAATTAGACAGGAGTCTGGGCGATCTCAAGAAGTCCCTCAACCGCGAGTTGGACAACTGCGCAATAGGGAACGGATGGAATGTTTGGTATGGGTGGTATGCCGTCAACTGCATCCAAGGTACCTTCAAACAGCATCAAATACGACACGGCCAGATCGAATGGAAGCACCACTTGTACTGGCATTATGGGGTCGAGCTGTTTAACATGTTGGTGGACGATCGACTAAAGCACCACGGAATTGGGGCGTTGAATATTCTCGCATGTTTCGCCAGTAAGCATCATCTCTCCCAGAATGAGACCACACGACTCAGAAGTGTAGATTCCAGATACCGCGGTGCAGGTCTTGGGAGCGATCGCGATGCTTTAGACAAGTATGCAGCGCTTGACCTGCATGAGCCCCCGGACAGCAGACCCCTTCCTCTCATTCCATGGTGGATCGCTGAGTTGTTCGAACTTGAGTATGTAATTGTCAGCCCCCTAAATTACGTGACACTAATGTCGTAGGCTCTCGGATGTATGCCGATGCATGAGGATGACAGAGTTGAGAGCTCGCTACGGCGATAGTGTAAGGCAGTGCTCCCTACCCATCTCCACATACCAAGACATCAAAGCCGCATGTGCCCTAAAGCAGCCTGGACCTCATACTTCCCCAAGGGCAGCGGGTCAGACCTGCTTCGACACTGAGCCAAGCGAGCAGAGCTGGCCCGTAGCACAATTCGTCAAGTCTTTGCCTCAGGTCGCTGGGTCACCTGAGTTCAATGGCCCCGTACTGCCTTGTCCTCCCACACCAGCTGCCGCCTCTGCAGGACAAAGGTCCTTCTCTGGTGTCAGCCGGCGCTGGGCTGTCGATGTCTTGCATCCTAAACCTGTTCAGGACACCGGATCCTCGCTTCAAGCCCTATCGGATAGAACCGTTACGCGGCACGCGGGCAGTCCCCTTGATGATCGTGTTGCATCTCTGAGCATCCCCGAGGCATCAAGCCTGCCTGCTGCCCTAGCGTTTGACACTCCGCGGACCATCCCGAGCGAGTCAACTGCCCCTCCAGTAGTGGCTCTGCATACGATCAGCGCACAAGCTCACTCTCCGGCAGAACTGCAAGGACCAAACAACCCAACTTCGGGCTCCGCGCCAACGAAAGGCCAGGACACACCAATTCCGCTACCCCCGAGAGCAGACATAGCTCTGTCTGATCAGACACGCTCGAGTGTCCATGGTCAGGATACGGGGGAGCCGCAAGGTCTTACAGGATTGCCAGCCAGCGCTACTGGACCTGGGCCCGTACACAAACTAGATGATTTCCCACATCATATTTTTGACAGTTACAGAGACTACTTCACGGATGTTGTGGACTTCAGTGCACCGTTGATGAAGCTGGTTCATAGCCTGGCAAGCTTTGACTTGAGTACTGCGAAGGCGGAAGTGGTCCCGCCGACGCAAAGATACGTGGAAGGAGAAAAAGACGATAGTCGGAGCCTGTGGAGCTTGGTGGAAACCTTTGACAAGCTTGAGGCATACCGATACTCGATACCTCATGATCGTCTCGGGATTCTCAGGGAAGCTATCGATAGTCTCGTATGATTCCGAGATTCCTTCGTAATTGCGATTAGACTAACTGATCCACAGGATGTCAAATCACTCTTCGGCCGCGGAAAACGGGAATGGACAGCCGAGATCATCAGGCTTGTCAGGGGCTCGGCTACCCTGGATATGGATGTCCGTGTCGAGTTTGTGGTTGTCATTCCACTACCAAGACTTGCAGTTCATGCGCCAAGGGTGATCTTCAACCAGGGGAGGACGACCAGCGAATATGCGTCCCACCACCAGTGGCCAGTGTTGGTGTTTTTGGAGCGTGGACATAGTATCAAGACTTACGACGAGATTCAGTTCATCTGGGTCTCTTTTCAGAAGATAGACTAACAAAGCTGTAGCCATCACAAATTAATACATTAGTTCACTTAGCATGGTGGAACAGGACTTAGGTCATGCATAAGATAATTGGAGAGCCGTGCGAGCTCATCAGCTCGACGTGGTAATGCAAGACCTGTGGCAGTAGCAGGGTCGGCGCAAATAGCAGGTTTTGCGCAAATAACCCGTCGGCCGTCCTCGAATCGTCTCGAGGTAATATGAGTCGGCGATACTAGCCTTCTGCTATCGAGGCCGCCTACTCTAGCTTAGCGCCGACGACCTTCTTAGCTCTAGAGTTTGAGTTGTCTATGCGCTATACCCTGCCCTATCCGCCCTTGTCGCTTGTGAATACGGCTTCGGTTGATCTGAAGCCGCTCACTCCTATGAACGGGACAGGTTACGTCTCTCTTGCTCCCTTGGATCCCCGCTAGTATCTCCACGGACCAGGTGTCCAGGAAAACTTATGCGACGACCGGCTGCAGAACCTCGACATCTCGTCGGGACGACCGTGCCCCTGCCGAGTAACCTCGCTGCTAGGATTATCTCGACCTATCTACAGACAAATCACCCGATCTGGGGCTTGTTCCATGCAGATCTTTTGTCCGCGACCTCGTTGATAAAAGGCGCGAACTCTGCTCTTCGTTTCTCGTTAATGCTTTGCTCTGTTACGCATGTGTAGGTTTTCCTTCTCTGTCCTCTTACCACGGGAAAACTAGATGCCCCCCTTGCTGATCACAAAGCCTATGCAGCAAGCCTACGGTGTGATAGACCCTAGCCTATCGGCGCTGAGCATCCCTCTCGCACAAGCCACAGAAGCGCTATGGCGGGCCGAGCGCTCTACGGATTCGGTCCTGAACATCGCGGCGATCCTGATGTTCTCCCTCTGTTGTCACACCACCAATTGTGGCGTTAGTGTTGCCGAGCTCCTGGTCGATTGCCGCCGCGTGGCAAAGCGTCTCCGCCTCTTTGGGGCTCCCGACAACACTAGTGCGCTGTCTGCCAGCCACGACCTCGCTCTACCCATGAGTGGTGCCAACCTTCGGCCATTGCTGCCGGCTCCCCGAGAGTCCGGCAGTACCACCACCGACGCCTCCGCCGAGTCAGCCGCCGGCCGCCGCCAGAACTCGGGCGCCTGTGACCGCTGCCGCAGCCAAAAGAGTCGTGTAAGCCTCCTCTTCTTCCTTCCACTATGCCCTCCTGCCTGTCCCCCGCTGACCATGGCCGCTCCCCTCCAAAGTGCGACCGGAGCCGGCCAAAGTGCAGCCTCTGTGCCAAGCGCCAGGTCCATTGCTTCTACAGCGCCGATGTATGTGCACCGCACCCGAGGGCGAGGCTCTCGACATCCTCTTCCGCCTGCGGGCTTCAGGTGATGCCCAGTCCGTCCTCGAGTCCTCCCGCGGCAGCATGAGCCGCCAGTATCAGCCTTCTGCCATCCAGGCCGCCCGTGCCGTCCCCACAGACCTTTTCGATGCTCGAGTTCGAGATGTCGACACGCCAGACGATGCCATACCAGGAAGCATCCATGTGCAGCAGGACGGATCGCAACGCTTAGAGATGCAGCTGGGCTAATGCAGCGCGAGCTCAGCTAGCCACAAGCCATTGGAACCCCTGCTATGCTGAGCCGTCCTCTGCATACAGGTAGCGGAATTATCGCAATAACGGCATTATTGGGTCCGAGGAGGAGTGCCGGTCTTCATGCGAGACGACCATGGAGTGCAACGGAGGGTCTCGAGAGAGATGGCCACGGCTAGCCGTTCGCCTTCACTCGTCAGGCAACGTGTTGTGCTGCACGCAACGTCAAGACTTGACAAGGAGGACACGCGTTTTGAAAGCTTGAGCGGGTCGTACACGGCAAACTGCACCGCGCCGTGCATCACGCCGAACATGCTGATCCCCAGGCCCCGGTAGAACCCGCGGTAGCCCTCGGTGGCCCAGATCGTGCGGAAGCCAGTCCACATGCTCGGGTACACGCCCACGGCGCCGCGGTACAGCGCGGCGACCGGGTGCGGGCCCTGCAGGAGCTTGCGGAGCAGGGAGACGGTAGTCATGCCCTCTGGGCGGGCTGCGCTGCTGCGGTGGACTTGAAGGAAACAGGTGTCAGAGGGTCTGTCTATGTCTGTATGAGGACTCACAAGCGGACATACTCTGCATACGCGTCTTGACAATGTCGAGCGGGTGGACGGTCAGGGTCGCGACGGAGCCGGCCGTGAGCCCGGCCACGGTCTCGACGAGGGCGGGCGAGGGTCCGGCATTGCCTTGTGTCATCGAGAGGCGTCGCGGAGGTCTCGGGGTTGGGCTGGCGGTGGTGTCTGGTCTTCCTCACACCATGGTGTGCTCTCCTCCATCTCCTGCCTGCCGATTCTACAGAGAATGAACGTGCAATCCCGTCCTCAAAGTGTCGTGAAATTGTGGTGCTCTTGTCGTCACCTTGATGCCGGACCGCGGATACATGCACGTCGTTGACGGTCAGCCCCTCACTGCAACCACAGATATATAGAAGGATTATTCTGATAGACGCTTCCCGCCTTTGCTTATCGTCTGGATGTCGTCTTCGCTTGGCAGCCTGCGTGCCGGGCGTTGGGTTGGGGGGGGGGGGGGGGCGCGCTTCCGTGCAGACAAACGATCTGTTCTTGCCAGCTTCCGCTTTTGCCTCCAAACGATATCCGATTGGAGGCAGAAAGAAACACTACTGCAAGCTGCAAAATTGAAATTCGTCGATGCTAGTAGTAGACTGAACCAGGAATCGACTTCCGTGAACCAATTGGAGTGCCGATATGGCCTTGAACATTGGGATTGCTACAATCACCATTCTGGGCATGGCGGAAGACGAATACATTGCTCCATCTCCAACTTACTCTACTGGAACATTATGCAGACTGTGAACAGTCCTGATCCTGCAGGCGGAAGGTGGTATTTCTCACGCGCAGATTATCACCTCTTCACTCAGACACTGATCGAGTCTTTTGCATGACTTTCCTTGCTAGGCAGGGACTCGCACATAGTTACTATTCTCCAGGCCATGGCGTGCTCGTATGTCGGGCGACTCATGATCGTGCCCGTGCCGCCGAACATGTATGCTCCCTGTGCTCACAAGCCCCGGTGAGGCGTTTCCAAAGTCTCAAGAATGCGAGCGTTTCCCTAAGCTTGTCCGACATTCTGTGTGCGAGCTTAGACACGAAGGACAATTCTTGATTTCCCTAGTGATCATTAGAAACCGCGCATACAACCAATTCAAAAAGACACACAGCTAGATCAATTATATTTCATCAGCCCCACGGATACGCCTTTACGAGCGTGCATGTCGTTGGAGAATTGGGATACTGCTATACTCATGGAAAGCTGAACGGCTGCCCCGCCCGCGTAAGCTTGTTCAAGCTGATTTGGACGACGCAGACTTTTCTATCAAGCCTGGTAAGAAATTCGGCACACCCGGAGGGCTTGTCCAGGATGGCGAAGATCAATGCCGAATTTAAGCTTAGCACGTCGGATAAAGGTAAGCAGCAGCCTACAGGGCTGGCTTAGAAAGTGTAGGCGGCTGCATCCTCGTGCTCTGGACAACTGTTGGAGAGTGTGCCTAGTTTGGTCAGTTCACAGGCTGATCATGCATTGTGGCGCAAACTCTCCCTCCCAGTGATGTACTCCGTACCCAAAGTAGCATCATGTGTGAAACACATATGAAAGCGATCTATCCGATAGTGCACTGACAATAATATATGCCGTGCATTTCACGTGTTTTCACTGGTGGGCTATTTAAAGTTGGGTTCCTGTCTTGCATTTGTTTCACCACAGAAAGCCGATCCCTGAGCAAGACGACAACCGCACCGCGACTACATACTCACTCAATCTTGATGAACGTGCTCGCATTGCCGTTGATGCCGTCTTGCAATACGCAGTATACCTGATGTATAGCTTGGCCGGTATGGCCGAGGACCACGATTATGCCTCGTCGCCAGTGTGACTCGAAGGCTTACGTATGCGCTCGAGTCATAGACCCTCGAGGGGCCGTGTCACGGTGTAACGTTGGCTAACGACTTTGGGGCAAGCGCAGGACCCTTTGGTACTGCTGACGACGCCTGGCTCAGGGACCACATGAACCCCAGGCCACGACATTTATGTCATGGGGCACACCGTATGTGCAGCACAGCTCGTGCTTGACATGCAACTCTGAACCCACCAGCTGCAACAACCTTGTCTCTGCAACCCGCCCTCGGTTGCTTGGCGGCTGCCCATGATCTGCCAAGTCAAATCACCATCCACGTCCAAGGCCAGCCCCAGACGACCTCGGGCCCGTACCCGTACCCGACACACACAATGACCGACCCGGCCGACCCGGCTCCGGCCAAGCCCCGCGTCCGCGCCTTCAGCCATCGCACTCGTGCCGGCTGCCTGACGTGCAAGACGCGCCGCAAGAAGTGTGACGAGCAGCGGCCCATCTGCAACCGCTGCAAGGTCGGCGGCTTCATCTGCGATGGCTACGAGGCCGACGGCGCCGCCAGGAAGCAGCGCAAGCCCTCCCCAGCCACTTCCGCCTCGTCCTCGTCCTCCTCCCCCCCGTCGTCGTCCTCGTCATCCTCACCCTCGGCCTCAGGCCGCTCGCTGCCCATCTTAGTCAAGAAGGGCAGGGCTCTCGCGCCTCTGAAACCCGCTCCCGTCGCTTCCGCCATCGCCTCCGCCATCGCCGTCCCCGTCGTCCGTGGGCCGCTGCTGCCGGGAGATGCCCGCGACACGCAGTACTATGTCTGGTTCTTCACCAACACCGTCGGCGACCTTGTCATGTCGCACTCCTTCAGCACCGCCTTCTGGCACAAGATGTTCCAGCCCTCGAGCCAGAACGCCGCCTGCGTCCGGCACGCCGTCGTCGCTCTCGGAGCCATCCACTGGCAGTTCTCCCGGCACGACGCAGCTCAGCTGACCTCCCCGCCTTTGCCGTCGTCACAAAAGGCGTCCCTCGACCGGTTCGCCCTGCAGCACTACAACCAGGCCATATCCTCCCTCGTCAAAGCGCGAGACACCACAAACGACATGGTCACGACAGTCACCTGCTGCTTCCTCTTCGTCCTGCTCGAGAGCCTGCGCGGCGAGTATGGCGAGGCCCTGCGGCACCTCGAGGCCGGCATGACCATCCTCGCAGACCACCAGCCCACCACGGCCCTGCCGAACCGTGAGGTCCAGGAGCTCGCGTCCATGTTCCATCCTATCGGCTGCGAGGTCGGCGTCTTCGCCGAGACGCGCCTCTTCCCGGACATCTCGCGCTTCCAGGCCCCGATGAAGAAGTACAAGCGGCGCACCAACGAGCTGCGCGATCTCGACGAAGCCGAGGACGTCATGAACACACGTGACGACCTCATCACGCTCATCACGATCGACCTCGAGCAGGACTGGGACAACCCGGACTCGGACTGCAACACGCAGTGGGAGCTCCTGCGCATCAGCGTCCAGAACTGGAATGTGCAGTTCAACGCCCTCGTCGACCGCATGCTGCGCGACGGCGAGTACGACGACAACATCCAGAAGATCACCAACCTCAAGCTGCAGTACAAGATGTGGGAGCTCCTCATGGAAGTCGGGGACGAGTGCGACGCAGGAGGCTGCCCTGCTTCCAGCTACGGCAACGGCAACAGCACCAGCTGCAACGGCGGCAGAGGCTCATACTCGCCCCTCGCAACCGTGCCCCCGGACGTGGGACCGACCCCGGGGCCCCCGGCCATGGACGCGGCCGAGTGCAGCGCGCTGCTCGATGAGGTCGACAAGCTGTGGTACAGCACCACCACCCCGCGCTTCGCGCTCAAGACGGACCTCCTCACCGCCATCTTCCAGCTGTACGTCTTCTGCCTCGACGAGGATGTGCGGCTGCGCATCATCAACATGCTCCGCGCGCGTAGGAGGCGCGAGATCATCTGGGACAGCGCGGCGCTCGCCGACTTCCTGGAGCGCGACATGGAGCAGCGGCGGACGTGCGGCGGCGAGCGGTGTGAGCGGTGGCCCAACCTCGGGCCATCGCCGTCGGCCGAGGCGCTGGTCGTCTTCCGGCCGAAGAAGCGGCATCACGATGTGGTCGATAGTGCCACGGCCGCTGTGCAGAGTTTCGTGCAGTGAGGGATGGCATACGGCGTACCAGCATGGCGGCACGGGCGGAGGCGGAGGCGGAGTCAATAATGGAGTTCTTGGTGTTTTCCTTAGTTCTGCTAGAATCCTTAATGCATAACGAAAGTCGTCGACGTGGTTTCCGCAAGTGCTGCCGAGTCTTCTGATCTGTTCCCTGCGCATCTGTCCGTCTCGAGGTGGTGCCAGACGTCATCGCGGGATTCGAACCGAGGCAATCGAGGTCTAATCACCGGCAACCGCTGGAGGAATAGATCAAGGAGGTCAAGTAAGCACTAGCCGCGCCCATCATGTCAGTTGCATGCCGAGACTTGTCCAGGCTTTGTTGCTGGAGAACTTGCTCTGGGAGACAGAGCGTGGCGATTCTATATCTATTTTATAGAGCGAAGAATATAGCCGAGTTGAGGTCCATTGCCACGAATACTCAGATCCGCTATACCACACGCGATACACGATACTCTGTACATGATAGGGTATACATACTATCATCGATCTCCCTCATCAAACCCCCCAAAAAACGCTCGAACAACCACAAGCCTCGATCTCGCCTGGCTCCTCCAGAGGAAACCCACCCAGACACTTAGGATGCCCTGAAACGATAATAATTCCAGCACTCAGCCAACAAACAACTTCCCCCTTTCCCTCCTTTCAACGTTCCTCCTCTTCGCCGCCATGCCAAGCTCCAGCCAGGCTTCGAGAGAGGCTACGTAACGCCGAATCTGGCTAGCACTCATAAGCTCAAGAGGGGGTACGAGTGTGCGATCGGGAGTTTGTGCGGAGCGGGCCAGGTACCTGGGTCCTGCCTCGGCGCGTACCTCGCGGGTGGAAGCGGTGGTGGTGGTGGTGGGAGGAGCAAGTTGTGCTTCCGTTTGACGAAGGGTGTGTTGAGCTTGTTGGACCCCATCCGGAGACGGACCAGAGCTGGTGTAAGTATTTACATTCTTTCTCTTCTTTGTTGGTCGGGTTGCTACGCGGTATACCATGGATTTGTGAAAGACGCTGACCACGGATAATTGCTTGGATGGGGGACGTAGATGGCGACGCGGAGACCAGCAACCTGAAGGAGCGAGATTCGATATCGGGCATGATTTTGTGCGGGCGACCCTGAAAGGGGGGAAGCTGAGCGGTTGAGTGAGATGGGAGTGTCTTTTGATAAGGCGGTGTTTCCATGCTTCTTGTTTTCGCAGAAGCAAATAAATTTTACTCGGAGTAAGTAGCATCGGACTAGAGCGATGTGAACTGCTCAAGATTTGTAAAAAATGACCCTGGGAAGCTCTGCTGTTCATAATTCCCGAGGTGAGTTGGACGTGACTTTTTGAAATAGTTGTCCGGAAAGGGCAGCTTCCTGCTGAACGCACTCAGAGACAGCAACAGCCTGGAAACGTTAACTGGTCCACCACAGTCCAAGATCCTCTTTTGCCTGAATGTTCACAGTCGACTCGAGCCATCGCGGGTTCACTCTCTGACGCTCCTTCCTCGAAGAGCGCCTTCTGCGAAGCCTGAGAAGCGGCACTGTTTGCTGCAGGCTTGAAATCGACGCACACCTCCACATCTTCATCTGCCTCTACAATCGGGACTCCGAAGACAAGACACCATTATACCACAACGTGCTTTGTTCTGAGTTGCTCCAGCCTGATCATCTTCAACAGTATCTAAGGTAGGCAAGCCAAGCTCAAACAGTCATCAAGCACGACACTTCTCTTCTTGGTTGCCTTTCCTCATCACCTCCACACAACTTGGCTGCCACCACTGTCAAACCCAACTTGATGACTCCCACCACGCCTGAAGTAAAGTTCGAGCCGAGCTTTTCCCTCGACTCCAAACACACTTCCGGTTCAAACTGCAACATCGACGGAAGCTGGCAACTCTCTTGAACCACCCCCTCCTCCTCTCTTCTTTCTATTAGCAACTCCACGCTCGACGCCTCGCTCCTTCCGTATCTGAGCAGCGCCATCACCTCATTGCGCCAGTAAGTCCATCGCATTGATTCTCTCTTCCCCCTCCACTCCAAGGTTACGCATTCATCCGCACAACTTTTCAGAACCCCTTCCTCCTTGCCGAGCGTACCTTCCTCCAGCATCCTCTTCTGCATCCACCCCAAGCATGTGTGCCACATGGACTCTCTCTGCACTACATGTCCCTGCCACTTGCGCCTTCCTTCAAACACAGCCCACTAGCAGAACAAGCAGTAGGTTTCTCCACGCTGCTGTGTTATCGAGTTCATTTCGTCATCCACATGCCCTGCTCTCAACTCGCTTCCTTCCCCGAAAGTCTTCAGAAGTCTACTGAAACCAACCTCTGGTCAGATCACGCTCACCACTAACGAGTTCTTGACCTAGCTGCTCAGCTTGGAGTACGAGAAGAACAAACGAAGACACCTGCATCTTCTCGCTCAGATCTCTTACAGTCTCTGCCACTTACTTGAACATCACCATTCCAAGCAACATCAAACACCCACTCAAGCTCCATACCCAGCCTCGTACTTCGGAGTCACTTCTTGACAACCTCTGCCTCGAAAACAATCTGTAAGTCAATTCCTATCCTGAATATGTCCTGTGAGGAAGGAGCGCTCGAAGCAACATTCTTTTAGAAGGAGCACTCCCTTCGAAGGCCCGGAGACTTCCCACAAACTTCGTCTCTCCATCGAACCTTATCACTTCTTGTGAAGTCTATCACCATGAACGGCGCCTGACGGTGGCTAACATACCAGATCCCAGCCAGTGGCAACGAAAGCCCGGCATACTGCTCTAGGAAATTGTCATATCGGGATCGAACATATTCCTCAAGAGCACGTAGCCATCAACTCCATGGTCGAAACCTCAAAGCACGTCGCAGCACATTGCTTTCAATCACATCGCACTCAGTCATAGGACTTCCCAGAACAAGACCCAAACCGGCACGATGCCGTCATTCTCACCACACGAGGGCAATCGTGAGCGCCATGAGTTGTCTCCTGACTTTGACGATGAAGACATGGCACTTCAGGACGGCGAAGAGAATCGCGGTCGACGGAATGCGAACGATGGCAACGAGGACACAGACAGCACCATTCTGGGTTCAGAAGGTCAGTACTGAAGCTGAAGCACACATCCGAAGAGATCATCCTGGTACTAACTTCTCGTGACTCCAGATGATGACGAAGATGTTGACCCTGCTATTTTGGACGACTTAGAAGACGGCGAGTCCGAGCCAAGCCAAGACCCGCACGACGACGACGACCTCGATGATCCTGAATGGGACACACAGGAGAACGACATCATCGCGTTGGCGGATGATTTGCAGGTATTTGATCAAGACCTCGTGCAGCGCACGACACAGATCAAGAATGCCTGCCCCGCGGGTCAACGTCTCCATGAGGACCTTGAGACAAGGCATGAAGAACTTGTGACTCGCTTCGTGAGCATTGTCAGACGTTGTAAGGACCTCAGAGCAGAAACAGCAGAAGTCCACAAGAAGAACAAGTTGCTGGAGAAGGAGAACAAAGAGCTGCGGGACAAGCTGAATCGGCGCAAAGAGCCTGAAGTAGTAAGTCTCCTTACCGACATACGCAGCGTGCATAGACTTTAGAATAGCTAACCAGCATGAACATAGCGATGGGAAGTCGGGCTCCGGAACCTCCTTTCCATATCCGTCGCCGACGTCAAGGCCAGGACAAAGCATTACAGACGCGTGTATCGGCGGTTCTGTCGACAGGAGAACCTCAGCCAGAACCCCCGTCTCACGCATCCAGATCTCCGGCTTGACATTATACGTCTGAAGAGCTCAGAGCTGAGAAGAGCATATGAGACAGCTCTAGAGGGCGCCAAGCTCTCAGGATCCGAGTTTCAAGAGCAAACGATGAGTGATCCTACAGTCGATCGCCGTGTCTGGGCGCTAGCACACCCACTGCGTTTCACTGACCTTGCTCGGCCAGCGAAGCATCTCGAAGGTCCCAGGAAGGAGTGCTTCTCCTTCAGCGACCTGCCAGAATCGGTGCAGATGAGAATCTTCCACTTCCTGTTCGTCAAGAATCGCCTCGTCCACTGCCTCTCGCGGCTCGATCACGGCTATGCGCCGCCAAACTTCCCAGCAGAAAATCGCGAGAGGCGCAGCGAGCTCCCACGTCGCTTCTACTGGGGTTACAAGAACTGCAGCGTGAGCACCGCGCACAAGCCTTGCAACGTGCTGAAATACCTCCTCGTCTGCAAGCGCTGGTGCTACCTCGGCGTCCACGCCTTCTACGGGTGCAACACATTTGCCTTCTCATCACTTGGCGAGCTGGGCAAGTTCTTCAACGGCATCGGCCCCGCCAGAGTTGCACGGATTCGCCACATCGAGCTGTTCTGGCATGGTTCTCTCATGGCTGCCAAGGAGCATATTATCACGTATGATCCAGACGACCCAAAGGTCACTGTCGGCAAGCCCAAGATCTGGAAGACCAACCAGCGCACGCTACCACTGAAGATGCTGCTCATCGCATACAGCCTCTGCACCTTTGCCATCCACATCGCCGAGGGCGACAACAGACGCATGCGACGCCGCTACGAGATGAAGTACGAGGCTGACTACCACGAGGAGTACCACGAGGAGGACATCATGCAGCAGGACGTCTTCGGGGCCATGTGCCATCGCACGGAGGCGCACGCCAACCACCGCCGCTTCCGCAGCCTGCGCACTTGCCACGGCATCGACTACATCTACCAGCTCCGTGGAATGGACTGGATCCGGTTCTACGAGGTCAACGGCGCAAGCCCTCGTCAGCCTGTCCGCGACCACACTTTCGTGGACGACGTCAATTCCGTCGTGAAGCTCCCCAAAACGGAGAGGTTCGCCAATGAGTCTCCGCGCTGCACAACCTGCCACCGATCGGGGGCTTGGGAGATTGGAAGCCTGCCCCGGGCGATGAGAAAATCGCGGAGATGCTCTTCGATATTGTCAGCAAGGCCGACCAGAAAGCAGCGCGAGGTATTCCCATCCGTCCAAGAGCTCCCATTAGATCAGTTGAGACACCAGCAGAGCCTGTTGCTCCTGAGCAGGGTGGTCACGATGACGATGAAGATGAAGATGGAGACGTCACAATCCTAGATGCACCCAGCGCTTCCGTCATGAGCAACCCGGTATCGCGCCCATTGTCCCAGAGACCTAGTGGAAGCATCGCATCTGCCAGTACACCAGCCGCTGCTGTGACGGCGAAGTCGGTCCGGCCAGCCTCTGTCCGCGCCCCTTCGATCAGACAGGCCACGCAACGCCCGAACTGCACACCCGGAACCATGCGACCTGCCGCAACATTTGCCTTTGCAGGGCAGATCATTGACGACGATGACGACGACGATGACGACGACGAAGAGGACGACGACTCGACCGATCCAACGCCTGACGGCAGTGATGCTAGCGTCGGCCACGACGACGACATGTCTAGTATAGGCGGGCAGACTCGGACAGGAGACGTGCCGCAGCAGGAAGCCACGAGCCCTCCGGGCGATCTGCCGGCACCGATTGTTCGTGAATTACCTGTCAGCGTGTCCGCTCGCACGGAGATCGACCTGACCGCTGATGACGAGGACATCAAGGACGATGCTGACGATAGAGTCTCGAACCGATCTCAATATCAACGTTCCAGGTTGTGGTTTCTGCTTGTAGGGCACAATAACAAACAAAAACCTTCGTCCACATGCAAAGTCTCCCGGCACCGCCTTCGTCTGTCGAGGAAGTGTACTCCAAGCCCGGTAGTGATGCTCGGGATTCACTCAGCACGAACATGGGAATCCACGACCAGCGCTGGATCAGATGTTCAGAGGTTGAGAGCACCGCTATGGCATGATTAAATCACCGCGGCAAAGATAAAGGAAAATAAATCGAAACCAGACATGGAGTCATTCCCCAAGCGCGAGCATGTCTATATACATTCTCCGGAGCGAACATGAACGGCGCTTCCCAGTTTTCACGTCGCAGGATGGTTGCTAGTAGATGCCGAGAACCAGTGAGCCAAGTGGTACACTGATCCGGAGCCTTGTCGAGTTGTGCGAAAGTCATTTGATGACGACGTGGAAGAGACGTCGTCAAGGGCAGCTGCGCTGCCTTTGCAATGGTAGAGGCCAGATCTGCATGTTGACATCGGCAGCGTCGGGACATGAGGGAGGGACGAAGCCAACAACTTCTTTCGTCTTGTCGCCCCGTCCTGCTGTATTTTTCCAGATGTTCTGACAACGCTGAAGTTGCAAGTCTCCACACTCATCCCTCCGCAGATATGTCAACGTCGTCATGCTCAGATGACACATCTGCGGCCCGATGTCGTATGTAGTCTCAAGTGTCATTACGATGTGCATTGCTGACCTGCTGCTTTATTGCTAAGAAATCGCAGGAATGTGAGGGGGTACGTCAAGGTGAGACCTGCGCGGCAGAGTAAACAATGCTAAGACGTTGGAGCGACAGCAGCTCGTGATAGAATGCCTTTGTGAGAAGGTCTGGAATGTCTCTGTCTCACTACTGATGTCACCACCAGTCATGTCACATCTTCGTGTTCCGAGTTGCCTGGTGTACTTGACCATTTACCCGCAGGGACGGGCTCGTAAGTCGCGAAGGATCAATTGACATCGGACCAGAGAATCCTGCCGAGCAGCTACGTCGGACGAAATCCCTCAGATCAAGGCACACGACAAACGTACTTGGCAATCCTTCTGGAAACGGCTGGACGCGAGGCATTGAAGGTCAGACCCTTGATTGGCGCCATCGTCCGCTGACAGGGACCATGCCGAAAGTTCTCGCTCAGGATCAAACCATGTCAGCACTCTGTCAACGTTGACAGGGACCAAGAAGTCAATCTCGTGGTGCGGGGAGAAATCGATGCTCAGCCTCCCCCTTCATGAGATTCGTTTGGATTCAGGTCTGCCAGTTTATACGATCGATGTCCTCTCGGGCCTTGGCGGGCCATGACGGGGACGGTCGACGTTGACAGGAGCGTGGAGCCCGGATTGGAGCCGGGGACAAAAGTTGCTGCCTGCCTCGCCTGCCCTTCCAGCAGTGTTCCTTCCTGCAGTTCCCTCCCCGTCCGCCCACCCCCGGTCGCTCGGTCGCCGGAATCCTTGGTACATTACCGCAACATTCCCATCCCATTGCAACGCCCTCTTTGCAGGTCCTGTCCCTGTTTCCTGCTTCCATCCCTTCCCCTCACTCCATCTCCCTCCCCATCTGGCAGATGTGAGCCTGTCCTTCGTTTACCCAAACAACATCCGCTGCGCCGCCGTCGCCAACCGGCCGCATCCTACGATACCTACATCTTTAATCGAGCGCTCTCGCACACCAACGGACAACAGCTAACACAGCACGCGCCGCCCAACATGCGGTTCTTCAGCCTGTTCCTCGCCGTGCTGGCGCCGTTGCTGGCAATGGCCCAGTCCACAGAACAGATGCTCTACTCGACGTCGCTCAACACATGCCAGCCCAACTCGGGCTTCACGGCCAGCCAGTTCCTCGTCACCTTCATACCAAGGAACAACACCGTCCAGCTCAAGCTCAAGTCCATCTCGACAATCGAGGGCCGCATCATCGTCAACTTCAAGCTCCTCGCCTACGGAATCGAGATCCAGGGAGGTTCCATCAACCCATGCGACATGAAGATCTCGGGCTTCTGCCCCATGAACGCCGGCCAGCTGCCCGATCTCGAATCCCAGGAGGTCCTCAACCCATCCATCGCCAAAATGATCCCTCGATCGCCTACAATTTCCCCGACATCGATGCCAAGGTCCGCATCACCATCAACTCGCTCGACACCAAGGCCCAGCTCGCCTGTATCGAGGCGCCTATCTCAAACGGCAAGACGGTCGATCTCGTCGGTGTCAAGTGGGCTACTGCTCTCGTTGTTGGTCTCGCCCTCGTCTCGTCGGCCGCTCTCTCCACTGTCGGACACTACAACGCCGCTTCTCACGTCGCTGCCAGCGCCCTCTCTCTGGTCGGCTTCTACCAGACTCAGGCTCTGATCGGCATGATCGAGGTCCGCCTCCCGCCCGTTGTGCAGGCATGGACACAGGATTTCCAGTGGAGTCTGGGCGTCGTTAACGTCGGCTTCCTCCAGGATATCTTCACCTGGTACCTTCGCGCCACCGGCGGCACTCCTTCTCACGTCCTGAACAGTGTCGGCACAGTCTCTGTCGAGGTCCAGAAGCGCGGACTCGAGCTTGTTCAGCGCGGGATCGACCTCTTCAAGCGCGATGAGGTCCAGACTGGCTACGGCGCATACGTCATCTCTGGCCCTGATCGTGTGGCTTTCCGCGAGGCCATGGATACGACAAACATCTTCCTCACCGGTATCGTCACCTATGTCGTTGTTATGATCTTCAGCTGCATCTTTGTCGCACTGGCCAAGTTCATCATGGACGGCCTGGCCAAGGTCCGTGTGATCAAGCATGACCGGTTCATCGACTTCAGATCCTCGTGGCTTCCGACTCTCAAGGGTGTGCTCTACCGCTTTACCCTGATTGGCTTCCCTGCCATCTGTTTCCTCTGCCTCCTCGAGCTCAAGCGCCGCGACTCTCCCGCTCTTGTTGTCGTGGCTGTTGCCTTCCTGCTCGGCACAATCGGCACGCTGGCTTACGTTGCGTACACCGTCATCGTCATCGCGCGCCGTTCCATTGTTCTCCACAAGAACCCTGCTTACAGCCTGTACGCTGAGGACTCGGCGTTGAACCGCTGGGGCTTCTTGTACATCCAGTTCCGCGCCTCGGCATACTACTTTGTTGCCGTCCTGCTTGGGTACATGTTTGTCAAGTCGCTTGTTATCGCTGTCGCCAGCGGCATCGGCTTGGCCATTGCCCTCATGATCGTCGAGGCCGCCGCACTGATTGGTGCCTCTGTCATGCGCCCGTGGATGGACAAGAAGATGAACTCGTTCAACATTGCCATCAGCGCCATCAACTTCTTCAACACGATCTGCATCTTGATCTACACCGATGTCTTCGGACAGCCTGGTATCGTTACTAGCGTTGCCGGCGTCGTCTTCTGGGTTGTCAATGCCGTCTTCACCACCGTGCTCCTTCTCATGATCATCATTAAGTCTAGACCCCCCATTGCGACCAGTGCGCATGGCGACCACCCCCCAACCTGCGCATGAGGGCATCACCGACCACATGGTCACTCTGCAATAACTGAACAAGCATTCGTTAAAAAGGCTTCAAATCAATTGATCCGCACCTCAATGCAGCTCTCCTCGTCACTGTCGTCTTCAATGATCTCTACCTCGTCGTCGCTGCTGTCGGTGTCGTCATCCGTGCTGAAGTCCGCCCCCATCTCGAGCTGCAATTGCCTCTTTGCGCGCTCCACGTTTACGACCTGAACAAACTGTTTATTGGGATCCGGATCGACTCTGCGGCGTTTAGCAGGCTTTGAAGCATCTAATGCAGCTTGGAGACGGTCTTTTTGGTGTTCTGCGGTGGTGCGCGCGATGTTCGAAGTGTCGATTGCCTTCCCGACCTTGTTGAAGAGCTTCCTGCAGGTCGCCGCCCCTAAAGGTACACCACACTTTACCAACTCCCTATGCATTTTATAGACATCGCGAGATGTTTTTGGTGTTTTGACGTCAATTGCGCACAAGGGCGTCAAAAAATCTGGCTCTAAAACCGTCGTTTGGGCCCGATTTTGGGGATTCTGCTGGGCCTCCCGTACCTCCTCATAGTCCCGCATCACGAAGCGGGAACCCAGCGCCTTCAACCGATTGTGAGGCCACACCCCTGTGCCTTTGAAGCCTCCTAAGATGTTCTCCTTATTGAGCTTTCTTTTGCGCGCAATTTGGTATGCTTCAAGGAACTCCCGCTTGCCTGGGGACTCGTTCATAGTGTTATATGCAACCTCCGCGACCGCTTGACGATAGTGGTCCTTCACCGCCGAGAACACGCCCACATCGAGTGGCTGAAGAACATGTGAGGTATGAGCCGGGAGGTAAATCAGCCAGATTTTATTGATGAAGCACTCCGTCATAAATTCCTCTGTTGCGTGCGACTTGTGGCCGTCGAGAAGAAGGCATCGCCACTCTCTAGAATCCGTAGGCTTGGTGTTGGGAATAAATACCTCCTTGAGCCATTTCAGAGCAATATCATTGCTGGTCCACCCGTTTGGTGATGTGTCAAAACACCAATGCTTCCACCTGTCAAGTTCGACGTCGGGAAACCACTGCTGCTGCACGGATTGGCCCTTAAAAATAACAAGGGGAGGGATGAAGCCACCGCCAGCAGAAATGGCCTCAATTATCGCGATCCAGGTGCTCCTGGCGCCGTCCTTTTTCAAGGTAAAGTCGCGCAAGGCATCACTGACCACGAAGCCATTGTGACCTAGGCCCTCCGCGACGCCACACTCGTCAACGTTCCATATGTTCTCGGGCCGTACTCGTTTGCCCTTCAATGACGTCAGGCGGTCGAAGAAGATGTCGATATTGGCCTTGGAGGCACCGTCGTATCGTTTGTATTCAATAAGTCGTGATCTCGAGGTCTTCAAGGTCGGGTTGCGGCGGATGAAGCGTCGGTACCAGTGCTTGCCGAGGTGTGCGGAGGGGTTGTCGAGAGCCAGCAGGCGCATCGCGAAGTGCTTGAATTACTTCAATGGAGCTGCATAGCCCATTGCTGCTTGGTCGAGGGCCCAAGAGACCAGATAATCCTCCTGGGTCACGGAGAGGGTTTGTCGGACTTGGTACCTTTGCTTGAAGGTTGGGCACGCGTCAAGGCGACGACGTAGGTAGGATCTGTCGACATCGTGTCGTCTAGCAGCCGTCGCGACAGGTACGCCAGCCTCAACTTCATCCAGTGCGCGCAGGGCGCGCAATTGGTAGTCTTTTGCGACCATGACGATAGCTTCCTTTTTGACGGTCACAATGCAGGTGGTCGGGTCGCGGTGCGACGCGGTTGAGCAGGTTTATATGGGAAAATGTATGGTGGGGTGCTCAACCGCGTCGCGACGCGACCCCTGGTCGCGATGCGCACTGGTCGCAATGGGGGGTCTAGACTTACGGGCTTGTCGACTTCGTCCAGCAGACGGGCCGCGGCGGGAGGAAGGCCGGGGAGGAGGTAGAGTCGGTTGTAGTACTAGGCAGGGCGGCTGTGTACCAGGGCCGGCAGGCGAGCGACGTAGATCAGCTGAACCGGCAGGCGGTCGAGCGTTTCACGCAGACGCCGGACTGCCGGAGGCTCGTGCTTGGGGCGTTCATGGACGGGTTCGCGCAGGACTGCGACAGTCTCTAGGCGGTGCGCTGTGACCGGTGCCGGTAGCTCACAGGGGTACAGGTCGACGTGCTCGACGAGGACATGGACGTGGACGTGGACGATGGCAGCAGTACTGGGGACTGGCACTCGGCAACAGACGAGGCAGCGGAGGACTGTCTCCGGAGGGACAACAAGGAGAGACAGAGGAGGATCCGGAAGCTGCTGGAGTGGGTAGAGTCGATAGAGGGCAAGTGCGTAGTGTGCTACGTCAAGTGGTGCCACCAGGGCCGGGCAGAGGGTCGGCAGATGACGTACGAGCACGAGTTCCGGGGCTGCAAGGTGCTAGGAGGATCGGATACGTATATGGCATGGCGGCGGCAGATCCGGTTTAAGGAGTACTCGTGCTGCTGGACGTGTGGTCTCCCGCAGGCTTAGTGTAAGTGGGGAGAGACGGGGAAGTGCCGGTGGGGAGATCGAGTGATGCCGGTGGTCTGGCTGGCTACAGCTAGCAGAAAGCTTGAGCAGCTGATCTGGCGAGAGCTCGAGGTCGATTTATCAGAGGAGGAATTTATAGGATGGCTCGGGAGGGTAAGAACGGTAGAGGACGCGGAGGGGACGAATATGGTCGCAGCTTGGAAGGCGATAGTAGAGGCAGAGTGTTTCGAGTAGGAAAGACGAGTTATAGGAAGATATTAGAAATGTGTTTTAGCTTGTTCGATTAATAAATTATAGTAGGTTGAACATAGTTATAACGTACTCCACAAGGGAGTGGGACAAACAAGGGAGTGGGACACTTCCGTCCTACCTACGCGACAATATATAAGAGAAATCAACCACAACGCCTTAAATCAATTGAAACTATGAGGAATCCTCTTCTTTAGAGGCAGATACAACTTTCTGACACGTACGAGCATTATGGCCGGGCTCGCCGCAGACGCCACATCGTCGCGCGCGCGTTTCTGGCCTCCTCGTACGACTACTATTCTGACTCGTTTCCGCCCTTAACTGCTCCGTCGCGTCGATTTGAGCCTTCAAATCTTTTGCCTGATTAATTGTTAGGGACCCTCCTTTCTGTAGCTGTTTTCTTTTCGTACGACGACGGCGGCTAAGGCGGTCGTTTGCATCTCGAAGTTCGGCGAGGTCATGGCGCATAAGGGTCTGTTCGTGCACCATCATTGTGATTCCTTTATTAAGCTGCCGTAGGCTCTCAATAATGGACGACGGAGAGCTATTCTGGTGTCGTACGATGCGATTTTTGATGTACTCTGTCTGCGATTCGGCCTCAATTGGGCTATTCGGCGTCTTTGAAACCCAAGGAGGTGGCAGTCCAGCAGAGGAACCTGGCGGTGTTGGCGTATGAAACTTCACATCTAGCTGCGAAATTACATAATTCGGGTCGTACGGCACTAGGCCAGTTGCTCTAAAGCCTGCCTGGATGTTTGACTTTGTCATCGCAGCGTCGTACGCCTTATAAAAGGCTGGGAGGAAGTCCTCCTTTGAGATGTGGGTAATATGCGCCTGCATGAGACCCTCAATTTCTTTACCGTACGCCCGTTTAAGAGGGCTAAAGCACCCAAAATCGAGAGGCTGGAGCTTATGTGATGAATGAGCAGGCATACAGAGCGTTACAATGTTCTGTTCCTTGCAGTAGAGCTCGAAATCGACGGAATGGTGGCTCTCGTGGCCGTCGAGGATGAGGAGGCGGTGGGTACCCTTCGTACGACTCTTCGTATGGAAATCGAAGTGTTTTACCCATTCTAGACCTCTCTCGTTCGTCGTCCAGCCGTTATCTGAAAGCGCGATTACCCAGTCGGCCGGTAGAGGGCTATTCGCGGTCCAGGAGTCGAGGTGGACCTTCCCTGCGAATATGATGTATGGTGGGATCGAATAGCCGTACGACGCGATGCCCTGGATTACTGTAACCCATTCCTGATTACCTTGTTGTACGGCTCTTGGCCTCCCGCGTCGATCGGAGGTCGTAACGACAGTTTCGGCGGAGATCTTGTCCATCGCGAAGCCCGTTTCGTCGAAGTTATAGATGTCGTCATCGTGGATCCCGTATTTCGCGATTATGTTTCGTACGAGCTCAAACCACGCGCGATACGCGTCCGGATCCTCGCAGAGGACTCTCTGGTAGTCGATTCTTCGATTAAAACGCGTACGGAGCTCTGGTTGTCGTCGTACGAAGTTTGCAGCCCAGTTCGTTCCGACGCGTAGCGCGTCGCGTTCGCGGAGGAGTCGATCCGCCATTTCTCGAACACCACTTAACCGCGGTGGAAACGATCGCGAATCTAGGTCGATTATGTATCGTACGATACTATCCTCTTCGTACGATGTCAATTTATGGCAGGGTGGTCGGATATCGCCTTTCGCAGGTCGGCCGCTTCGCCGTCGTTGAAGTGTTGCACGGGATACATTATACAATAATGCAGCTTGTCGTACACTTAATTCTGGGTCCGACTGAAGCGCATTAAGCGCTAGAATCAAATCGCTTTCAATTGATTGCCGTCCCATAATTATTGGTGGAGAAAAAGGAGAAAGAAGGTAGCCTGTACGGAAATGACGGAAAGTGGCTCACTCACTTGTGTGGCTCACTCACTTGTGGATTACGTTATGTGGCCTAGGTAGATTTAAAGAGAAAATGTGGCAATGACTTTGTTCGCATCATCTTGTCAAAATGATGATAAAACTATATTCCAACTCCAAGATGCAGCGGTAAACAAGGTGCCTTCGCTGATATATGCTACTAACAGAAAGCATGGTAAGACTATCGAGATGAAAACATTGCTAGTTGTGATCGAGACCTCAAAATGTGACCGGCCTAGTGTTGCGGTCGGCCGTTGCTGTATTGTGGTTGAGCGTTGCTGTACTGCGGTTGAGCGTTGCTGTACTGCGGTTAAGCGTTGTTGTACTGCGGTTGAGCGTCCTTGTACTGCGGCTGGCCATTACTGTGCGGCCTGCCCACGCTGTGAGGGCGGCTGTGGGGGCGGCTGCCGAATGACGAGCTCATCGACATCCGGTTCATGGCCGGGTCCGATCCGTGCATGGGCAGGCCGGGGCCTTCGTTGACGGCGGACTTGCTGCCGCTGCCGCGGGCGGCCATGCCGAGGGCGTCGAGCTCGTTGTTGGGAGCCAGATGCGACTGCGACTTGACGAACGAGGTGCGGTCATCGCCCATGAAGCGGTAGCGGGTGTCCGGGTTCTCGCGGAAGAGGATGAAGAGGGTGCTAAGTCTAGACCCCCCATTGCGACCAGTGCGCATCGCGACCAGGGGTCGCGTCGCGACGCGGTTGAGCACCCCACCATACATTTTCCCATATAAACCTGCTCAACCGCGTCGCACCGCGACCCGACCACCTGCATTGTGACCGTCAAAAAGGAAGCTATCGTCATGGTCGCAAAAGACTACCAATTGCGCGCCCTGCGCGCACTGGATGAAGTTGAGGCTGGCGTACCTGTCGCGACGGCTGCTAGACGACACGATGTCGACAGATCCTACCTACGTCGTCGCCTTGACGCGTGCCCAACCTTCAAGCAAAGGTACCAAGTCCGACAAACCCTCTCCGTGACCCAGGAGGATTATCTGGTCTCTTGGGCCCTCGACCAAGCAGCAATGGGCTATGCAGCTCCATTGAAGTAATTCAAGCACTTCGCGATGCGCCTGCTGGCTCTCGACAACCCCTCCGCACACCTCGGCAAGCACTGGTACCGACGCTTCATCCGCCGCAACCCGACCTTGAAGACCTCGAGATCACGACTTATTGAATACAAACGATACGACGGTGCCTCCAAGGCCAATATCGACATCTTCTTCGACCGCCTGACGTCATTGAAGGGCAAACGAGTACGGCCCGAGAACATATGGAACGTTGACGAGTGTGGCGTCGCGGAGGGCCTAGGTCACAATGGCTTCGTGGTCAGTGATGCCTTGCGCGACTTTACCTTGAAAAAGGACGGCGCCAGGAGCACCTGGATCACGATAATCGAGGCCATTTCTGCCGGCGGTCGTTCCATCCCTCCATTGGTTATCTTCAAGGGCCAGTCCGTTCAACAGCAATGGTTTCCTGACGTCAAAATCGATCGATGGAAGCATTGGTGTTTTGAGACTTCACCAAACGGGTGGACCAGCAATGATATTGCGCTGAAATGGCTCAAGGAGTTGTTCATCCCCAACACGGTTCCTGCTATTCCTGGTCAGTGGCGATGCCTTCTCCTAGACGGCCATAAGTCGCACGCAACAGAGGAATTCATGGCGGAATGCTTCATCAACAAGATCTGGCTGATTTACCTCCCGGCTCATACCTCACATGTTCTTCAGCCACTTGACGTAGGCGTGTTCTCGGCGGTGAAGTCGGCCTACCGTACAGCGGTTACAGAGGTTGCTTACGACACCATGAACGAGACCCCAGGCAAGCGGGAGTTTCTTGAGGCATATGAAACTGCGCGCAAAAGCAAGATGAACAAGGAGAACATAATGGCCGGCTTCAGAGGCACGGGGGTGTGGCCAAACAATAGGTCAAAAGCGTTGAGCTCCCGGTTCGTGATATTGACCCCTGAGGAGTCGCAGTCGACATCTCAAGATGGCCCAAATCAGGCCCAAATGACGTCTACAGAGCCGGACTTTTTGACGCCCTTATGCGCAAATGACGTCAAAACGCCAAAAACAGGTCGCGATATCTATGCATTGCATCAGGTACTGATAAAATGCGATTCTGCGCTGGCGACAGCGACGTGCAGGAAGCTGTTCCAGAAGGTGGCGAAGGCAATCGAGACTTCGAACCTCCGATACACCACTGCAGAACACCAAAAAGACCGCCTGCAAGCTGCATTGGAGGCTTCAAAGCCTAACAAACGTCGCAAAGTCGACCCGGATCCCAACAAAGACTTCGTTACCGTTATAAACGTCGAACGCGCGAAGAGACAGGTGCGGCGGGAGATGGGGTCGGACATCAGCACAGATAACAACACCGACAGTAGCGACGACGAGGTGGAGCTAATTGAAAGTGATAGTGATGAGGAGAGTTGCATAGAGGTGCAGGTCAATTAATTTAAAGCCTTTTTATTGGGTGGGCTGACGAGCTATTGCAGAGTGACGGCGAGGTTGACGATGCCTTCATGCGCAGGTGGGGGGTGGTCGCGAGGGGGTCTGGTCGCGAGGCGGAGGGTGGACTTATGTGGCCAACTGTTTACTACGGAGGCTCACCTGCAACAGCAAAACTCGCATCCCCCCCGAAACATCTTCGAATCCCCGCAGCCTCTTTGTCCTGATCCTGGCCATATTACTCCATCGTCGTGCCTTCCAGGCATCCGACCTCGCCTCTGCCGAGCAGCTGGACAACATAGAAATCCCTCCAGGCGAGCGGGAGTTGCGCTTGCCGCTCCGGCAAGACCTCGACCGCGAGCCTCTGTTCGGTCGCGCGGGCGATGATCTGGCTGGGCCGTGGATATCTGGGACCAAAAGTCGGGCCTGAGAAGACAGCAGGGGATTGGATGGACCCCTCGGGGGCTGCAGCGTCTGCAACATGCGGCGTACAGCGACAGACGTCAGTGGATGAGTAGACTGGATCGTCGACAGGACACAGGCGGGCTGCGTAGCGAGAATGGAGGATCCTAGGTGTATGAAATAGACTGTCTGCATTTGCTTGCCTTCGTGGCGGTCGGTCATCGTTGAGCGGCTGGTCGGAGCAGCTGTGGGCACGCTGTGCCACATGGGTCGGACCCTGATCAGCCCAGATCAGCCAGTCTGCCTCCTGGTGGCCTCAATGCTGGCCCTCCCGCCTGTGGCAACATGCATGAAACATCTGACGGGTGGTCCGGGGTCAACGCCCCTCCAAGCGACTTCGGCGGCGCGAGAAACGGAAGAAGACGAAGTCCGGAAAGGGTACTGGACGGGCAGCGCGTGCACACACCACTCGCCTTCGTGCCGTCCTGGACTCGTGCACATGGTGGGAGGTTGTGTCAGAGATGATGGGGTACCACAGAGGGAGGTACGGGAGACTCGACGCGCCTTGACGTGTTGGCTTTAGTGGGGCTCTGGACGCTCTGGCCAGCCCCAAGCGCCCCAGCGGGCTGGGTGCGAGATTCGGCCTTCATGGAGGATGATGAACGAAACCTCAAGGTAGACAATCGTTCCCCAATCAGACAAATAGTACCCGTGGAGGAAGTGCGAAGCATGTCGGCGGCGACTGTAGATTATCTCGGAGCATCAATTCCATATGGCTATCAACTAGATGCATTTGGCCCGCTTGTTGGTAGATCGGGTCCATTCCAGCCCACTCTTTTGGGGGGAGGGTGTCCTGTAGCACAGCCAGGGCTGCATGGCAACAGAGCTCCTCGGTCTAGGTAGAGTCGGTCAGCAGTCAACGACTGGCCGAGCAGCCGTGGGCACGATGAGCGCGCTTGACGTGACACAGGAAAGTGCTGGCCGAAATTTCGATCAATCCTGGCGATTGGCCGGCCGAGGCAAGGTTTATTCGATTACCTCGACAAGACCCTAGTGAAAGTCGGTTTATGCGAGAATCTCGACTAGACCCTGGTACGGAGTGCTCATACATCTGGTGGTACCTTAACCACCGATGCATTTTAGCCTCCTGTAGGTCTCACAATGGCGTCGAGTAAGATGTCAGTGAAGCCGCAGATCAGACCACTTTCGCGCACAGACCAACTGCGTCGCAGGCAATGAGTGCCCCAAGCGCACGGGATCTGACGCCGCCCAACGGGATGGCCCCATCTGCATAAGAACCCAGACTACCCTTGGCGGCATTGAGAAATGCAGCCTTCAAGCCCTTCCGGTGTGTAGTCACGACGACGAGCTGCGACAGCCTTATCCTGCCGGCCATGACATTTACCTCTTCTCACTTCCCAACAACAAAAAAGGAATTCGTCGAAGAGAAGTCTGCAAATGAGCCACTTGCAGACATCTTGTCATTGACCCCCGGCGCCACCACGCCTGGGAGCCGAAATCCCTCTAGCTACGCCCCGAGGCAATCACAACTGGAACCAGACGCAAGGCAAACACAAAATGCGCATGTTTCCGATCCCAAAGACTGTCATATCTGCCGCCATCCGCACAACCAGCTCTACTTCCCGGGAAACGGGACGCCCGGCTGCACAGCCGGGAAAGGCATGACCGCGTGGGATCATATGCTTGCCGACTTGAGTGTCAGCATCCCGGCTGCTGGGGCGATCGCGCCGGAGGAGGGATGTGGCGTTACAGCGAAGGATCTCCAAGCCCCGATGAAAATGGTGGATCAAGTAAGTTGGACTTCAACTACCTACGGAAGGATGATGCTTATGCCCAGTACAGATGACGCTTATAGATAGGGCGACAGCGTATATTTCGCTTCTGGAGGACAGAAGTTGGTCCCTCCTTGACGAGCGTAGGGCACTGAAGTCGAAAATAGCTGCTTTTGAGGGATTCTTTGCAGATCAATGACCATCGGTTAGGTATTGGTTGGGGCACAGTTCTGCGACTGCGGAGAGCATGGACGCCTGAGCGTTACCAGAACGTCATGAGGCTGGACGGGGAACACTGAGGGGAGGCAAACTTCATGACGCAATGGGAAAGCGCCCCGAGTGGAATAGGGATTCATTGACCCATTACAATACATGTGCAATTCTCCAAAACCCTCATCGCTGCCTGCTCTTCCTCCTCGTAACGGATCGTGGACTCGGCCCGTCCAACGTCTGCCCTGGTGACTCGCCGCTCCTCTCGAACATTGTGCAGTACTGCACTTAGATGGGCCTGCTGGGAGAGCCTTGCAAAACAGTTTGTGGATCTCCGTCCAAGCCAAATTTCATTGCTCCTCGACCTGAGACGGGGCAAATGTCTTAACACTTGGTGAGCTGCCCTCCGGAGCCTGGACCTTATTCCTCCGAGTCCCATTTGCTTACGGTTTAACCAACCCCTCCATGGCGTGGATGGACACGGTTTTCATCGGAGCCGGAGCCGGAATTTCAGGGAGTCATTCCGAAGCAATTTCCATGAATTTGGTGGTTTGCCTTCTCAACTGAATCCTGGTCGGATAGCCACTACCACGAGTCCCTAGTAGCTGAGTAAGAATGAAGCGGCTGGAGTGTCCTACGTGACTGCTGCGGCGGCCAGTACTCACACCAGGTGTTGGACTTCAGCATAATGCCGTAGTATTTCTTTCCCTATGTGACATGCGGGGTTGGAGGAGTCGTATGACGCCGACATGGTTTGCGGGAACAAAACCGGTGGTTCTAGTCTGTGAATGGTGGCGAGATGGTCGATCGAAGCGAGCGCCTCTAGGACGACTTGTGATGACTGTGGACCAAGCGTAGTAGTCGTCTGGATCGTGGTCTGTGCCCCATCGAGTTGAGAGGGACCATCAAAGGAGGACGTGAGAGCATCTCGAGAACATGAGCGAGGTGAGCAGTCCGTGGCCATGGCTGTCTCTCGAACACGACTTGTTGGAACTGGGACCGTCGCTAAAGAGCCCGTGGCCCTCTGGAAGAGCCGACAGAGAAGACTGTGAGACGGTTTGGCCGCCTTTGCCACACCGGATAGTTGGCTCAGCACGGCAACGGCGGAGCCGATAGCATGAGAGATCTCTTCCCCTCTCGAACTGATTAGGCTCCCGTCCTGAAGGATGGCCGAGCAAAGGAACGCGGCGGTATCGAAGGTGATGAACAGGGTGAAGTGGAACCTACTATCCCTGGGGTGGAGGGAAGCCAAAAAGGCGCGGACCTCTTCGACGAGCCTCAAACAAATCTCCACGCCATCATTTCGAAGCCGTAGCTTGGTGTCCGTGTCGAGCGGTCGTGTCATGTATGACTTGAAAGGACGCAGAGACATTGCGAGGGACAGGGTTTGGAGATAATGCCGATGGAAGACGATCCGTGGGTGGGTTTTGTCCATTGATGTATCAGGACTGTCGCGGTCATATATCCGTGGGAAAGTCGCAATCCATGCTTCAATCTCCTGTTGGTACTCATGAATCTCGGGAGGATCCATGTTGCCATCCGCCATGCTGTATCGGCGAGTCAGGCGATCAATGAGGTCTGACTGCAGCTTCAGAGGGACCACGGCAGATAGTACACCCCCGTCCAGGGCAGGATTCGGAAGACCGACGCAGCCATCTGCACGGCATATTATCGAAGGCCTGGAGAGAAAGGACGCAAGTTGCCTGTCAAATATCAGAACTGCCTTTTTTGATGAATTTCGCTACCCACCAGTCCCACACGTTCAAGACGCACCAGACTCGTCTCCTCATTTCCCGCTCGAATTCGGACCGAGGGCCATTCTCACATTCTTCGTGCATGCCTCGATTTCAGGTCAGCAAGGTACTTAGAGGGGTTGCGTGCCTTCCTCCGGTTACTTACCTAGCTCTTGGGCTTCTCGAATGGACGCCCCCAAGACGTACCAGGATTCACGGAGACGCGCTTCTGTTTTATACCAGTAGCACGAGAGCAGTAGGTATTGGACATGAACAAGGTGTCCCAGACCAGGACGCACAGCGCTTCCGAGATCACGCGCAGTGTCGTGATACCTTTCTGTCAGGGCTTGAACGGGCGAGCACAGATCCCGTTGATCCCCGGAGTCGAGAAACTGCGTAGCACAAGCACAGACCTCCAACAGCAAGCAAGTCCACTGTAAGTCAGGAAGCCGATTCTCGGTTCTGTCGGTGCAGAATGTTTGGTACTGCTCCAAGAAGGAAGATGGGTAGATAATGTAATAGTGAAAGTTAACATGATGGAGGAATCCCCAGACAAGGGAATCTGGTCGGGTTAGGCTCGCTCCGTGTGTGTTCTACATGTTGCTCACCTAAGCACGACCTCGGAGGAAGAATTTGAAGAGCACGCTCGAGTTTGGAGGCCCAAGGGGACATCAGACAAAGCTTAGCCGTGTCCGTTGATGCAATAGTCTGCCGCCTGTTTAGTCAAATTTTCCGTTCGTTGAGCTGGGATCTCACCTCGACACCGGTCAAGATATCGGAGAGGTGGTGGGAAGGCATGTAGCCTAGATGCCTGAAGGCGCTCCCCAATTGATCCGTGGGTGTTTCGGCTCTATCGTCACCGGAGCTCCTGCTTACCCCCTCCGGTTTAATCAGGTCCCGGAGGCGAGGTTCGTGGTGGAAACGACATCGACTGGCCGCATTTCGCTGCTGGCAGGGATTACACGGCCAATCACGGCTGCACTAGGCTGACTTTAGCAATGTACGAAAGGACGCGAGTGCTGTCAGAGGGAGTGGGCTTTGCCGACCTTTTGCTTCCGGCGCCTGCACTCGGTGCAGGCAAGGCGGATGGATTTGGTTTCCGCGGAACAAGACTTCATCCTTGCTTCGCAGTCGAGTAATGCGGACGGCGATGGTAAACGGCGAGTTGCGAAGGGCATACGAATTCTGAGGAGTGCCCAGCATCTTATCTTGTGGGTGGGCGGGGCCGAAGCACTCGGCACGGATCGCACACAGCGTTGGAAAGGATACCGATTGGCCCATATCTCCCATTTAGCGTGATGATCCACGACTATGCATGAAAGGCTGCCGCGTGATTCGCGTGATTCGTCTGTATCCCAGTCGGCATGGGACGTCATGCAAGATTCCGAATGACCAATCAACACCACTAGCACACATGATGCCACCCTTGATGGCGTAGTATTCAGGGCCGGCCACCGGCGGTTGCGTGATGGGGATAAGAGGCACAAGGCAGGGATTCAGATATAGCCCGACAAAATCTGCCTGTTGAGGTGTATGTTTGCACGGGAAGGATAGACGTGGCCCTTGCGGGAACAATGATATGTCGTGTTCAAGGGACGGAAAGCGGCGAAAGACCCTGGTCTCTCGACGCAGGCCACGAGACTAATGGGCGGCAGATCCCTTCGTCAACCCGCCAGGCTAACAGCATTGGGGGTCCTAAATAAAAAGGCGGCTGCCCGAATATCTCGAGCAACCAGTTTCTAAGAGTCTCCAGAACAAACTTTCACCCGAAATCCTCGGATACACCTTTCTATAGAGTACTCTAGACGTAGGTTTCCTCGAGGTGCTCGGCTGATCGAGTACTTCGAGAAACCCAGGTTCGGGTTCATTCGAAGTCCCCGGCTAGACAACTGATTAGAGTATCCTAGATTACGGTCCGATCGAAAAACTCGGACGGCCATTTCCGTCGAGCGGCCTCGCTCAAGGTCTAATCAAGCCATCTGGAGAAACCATAGCTTCGAGCATCCTGTACCGGGGTCTAGTCGAGATTATCGAATGAACCTTGGCCTCGAGCAACCAGTCGCCAGGGTTGATCGAAATTTTCGGCCAGCCGCTTTTCTATTTGGGGTCCCTGGGTGAAACATGGCCTCAATCTGGTATCTACAGTAACATTCACGGCATGACCCAAGCACCTCTTTACAGGTGGTCGCCTCCGAGACCAAATCTGGTCCCCATCCACCATGTTGGCGGGCGTGGAGCTGGTCAGACGCCCGGAACCCCGCTATCATCGACACGTCAAGACGCGTTGGGGCCTGTGCAGCATCCCCGCCGGGTCGTCGAGATTCCTCCCAGCCCAATCAAACGCAGCCACTCCGACCTGCTCTGACGGCAACGTGTCACTACGCTCCGACGAGTGACGGCGCGACATCGCGACTGCCTCGACGCGCTACGTGGTGCGTACGGTACACGGCCGAACGAGCTGACGAGCCGTAGACGACAGCCGAACCAGACCGTGCGCCGAATTGCAACGCAGCCAGCAGCCATTCATATCGTCACCGGCCACACGCCTCGTGTAGTTAGGCACTCGCTGGCGCATCCTTGCACGCATGCCGCTGCGTCGGTGCCATTCGAGTCCATGTCGGTACCTACAGGTATCTCACCGTTGGCTCGCGTGGTATCTGCGGCCCGGTGACCGTCGCGACCGATGTACCTGTGACTGAGGGGGCGTGGCGTGCTACGACCATGAGGGCATCGTCCGACCACGTCAACCGGCAAGGCATAGGACCGGACGGTGGCTCTCCAAATTCTGCCGTCAAGTGCTCTGGGCCGCTGCTCTGGTCGTAGTTGCTAAACCAGGCGAGTCACAAGGCCGTCACGCATGGCCGGGCAAGTGTCGCGCATCTACAGTCCCAAGCTGCCGAACCGAGCGACGAAGGCCTGGCAGGTTGCCCGTTGAGGCAGCTACCCGTTGAGGCGACACTGGTTGCCCACTGGAGTCGCGCGAGGTCTGGCCACATCAGGGATTGCCCATTGAGGCAATGCCGAAACAGGCCAGTGGATGTCTCCAAGGAGCGGCACCCTGGAGCTCGAAGCCGTTGCTTCAACACGCAATATGTACACCCCTGCGCTTGCTAGCCCTTACGAGCGGCAGCCATAAATGAGTCCTAAGCGATGCTGAGCTTCCAAGAGGATTCCCAAGAGCAGCAAATGGCTGTAGCGCCAAGGTTGCCCAACGGGGCAGCACCTGTTGCCCCATCTGGCAAGTCTCGTCCCCACAGACTTGCCGGATTGGCCAGTCACCAGGACCCGGTTCGCTGTCCCTGAAGCCCTGGAGTCTCAAATTGGTCCCAGACCCAGGGCTCTGGCTGCTTCCCTCGAGAGCCACAATCGGTCAGGCTCATTCCCATCAGCAGTCAGCAATGAGCCTCTCGACCTTATATGACGGCGCTCCCGCCGTCTCCGGTGGCACAATGGCCGTCTTCCTTCATGTCCATTGTCTCGCCGACGCCGACGCCCACCTTACCCCTCCGACCCAAAGCTTCCATCAAAATGCCCCGCCGCCAGCGCTCACGTAAAGATGAGTACGACTCGGACGATTCCTTCTCGCCCGAGGATGTCTTCGACGTGGATGAAGAAGCGTCCGATGCCGAGTCCGACATCACTGAGGTCGACCCTTTCGACGATGTCGACTGTCATGTCGACGTCGAGGATCTTGCAGACCTCCTCGGCGCCGCCCACCCGCCAGAGTTCTACCAACGCATCGCGGAACAGGTTGATGACAGCGACTTGGACACGCAAGACTACAGTCCGGGGACAGAGAGACTTCTCGATGCGGTCGAGGACCATTGGCAGCGGTAGCATCCTGGATTCCCTTTTGCTGTTGTTAACCCTTAGCTGACAGTACGGGACATTCAGCTTTTGCAGAGGGAACGGATTCGGTGATCCATGCAGACGCCTCAAATCGATCTACCTCGGCATCCTCGTCAGTTTCTTCACATGGCGCCTCGACCTCAAGACTGGCAAGGACGACAGGAAGATAAAGGGCATCAAGACTGCCAGCTCACTCGGCACGAACTGGAAGGTCTTCCGTCTGGTCTACGAGAAAGCGGTGGGCGCGAAGCTCGACCCGAAACTGAACCGCCAGATGCACAAGGTACGTTCCCCGTCACCGTTTGGTCTCGTTGTCTGACGGTCCAGGTCCTACGTAGACTGGCCAAGGACTACAAGCTGAGCACGAAGAAACGAGAGAACCGCTGCATGACGATCGACGACCTCAAGGAGCAGATCGAGACAACGGTGAGCACGCCAGAAAAGTCGTTCGACCTCGGCGAGCTCCGTATCCTCATGGTCCTGTTTCTCCTCCTGCTTGCTCCAGCCGGTTCCCGCCCTATGGCCATCCTGCGGCTACGGTTCGGAGACATCCGGGTCGTGCTGGCAAGAGACCCCGAGGGGGGCCCTCACAAGCTTCTTCTCCAGTTCACACCCGAGTTTACCAAGACCTACCTCGGTACCAAGGACGCGTAGGTCATGTCCCTTGACCGGTAACGGTGCAATATTGACCCCCCGCAGCAAGACGTTCACCGTCCCCGAGACTCTGTTTGATCCGACCTTGCTCCTCAGCCCCGATGCCTTCCTCTTGGGCATCCTGTTCCGCCATCGAGCCTTCCGAGCCTTCCGAGCACCCGACTTCGTCTCGGCGTCGCAGCTTGTCGGCTTAGACATCTACCCCGGTGAGCGGGAGCTTCGTCTGCCCCTCCGACGGGATCTGGACGACGTGCCCCTGTTTCGCCGCGCTGTCAAGACGTTGACCGGCTTTGAGATGTCGCCGACGGAACCCATCACGTATAGTATGATGGCGGGATGGATCAAGAAGATCGGCGAGCTCCTGGGCCGGCTCTACCCCACCATCTGCTACAACCTGCGCTACAATGCGGGCAACGAGCTCGACGGGAGCCGTAAGCTTCACCAAGCCCTGTTTACTGCTCCCTATGCTGACATCTCCATAGCCTACGCCAGTGATGCCATCCGTAACCTGGCGCTTGACCACAACAGCTCGGTCCCGTTCCAGAAGCACTACCTCGGACGCCAACTGCGTCTGGATACGTGGGCAATTATCCGGGGCCAGGAGCCGCAGCAGGCGCTGCTCAAGCAGGCCTGCAGCATCGGCCACGCGAACAGCAAGCGGCGACCGACAGAGTTGACTGCTGAGCAGTTGGCGTCCGTCAACACCGACCCCCGCATCAGGAAGCTGGAGGAGGAGGTAAAACGACTGCCGCATAGATCGGAAGAACGGCAGAAAGCTGTTCGAGCGGTGAGGAGCGAGAAGCAGAGACTGAAGAGAGCCTTGCTGGAACGAACCAAAGTCGAATGGACGGACGAGCAAGCCGTGGAAGATATCCAAAACCAACTCCAGGGCCTCGGGTTCTCAAAGTCTATGGACGTGGACACGGCCTCCGCACCTCAACGCCCAGCACAGAAACGCCTTGTTGATGCGTTGACCGCGCCGGTGGATGATACTCTCGAAGGGTACTACAGACGCAGGGCCAACCTTATCGACGCGATTGTTGCCTACTGCGGCGTGGCAGAAGGCCGCACCGCACGCAGAACCAATGTATCGGCAGCAAAGAAGCAGGTCCCAAGTCCCGGTTCTCCCTCCCCCGAAGAGAGCCCTTTGAAGGCCGCCATGCTGTCCGTATTCATCGAAAACGAGCAGGAGCGGCCGAGGAGGTGCTTCCTGTGTATTGGTGCTGCGCTCACTCTGGGCCCGGACGACCCTCACGTGCAAAAGCTCACCAGTGAATTCTACACTTCAGGTGACCTGTCTAAGCATTTTCGTCGACGGCATCTCAAACTTTTGCCCGACAATGCCAAGCCGCGATGTGAGGTGTGTGACTTCGATTTGACGTGTAAGATGCATTTACAGAGCCATGCGATGAAGGTCCATGGTACGGTGTCTTAGAGCTTCTTTCCTTCAAATAGAACAAGTACTATTAGGCAGACTAGCAGGGCTATTGCGTACAGTTTGTTTACTAGTTAGTGGAACGCTGGTGGCAGGGATTCCTTCAAGGGGCGGGTTTTGGCCATCACCTGACAGGGCAGGGCCGCAGAAGCGGAAGAGCATCATTCCCCGAACTGAGCCAACCACAGGTCTATGCCGAACTTTTCGAGAGCTCTGGACGCATTTGAACATGCTATATTGCCATACTCATACATGCCGTATCTGTCTAGATGTATCTGTCTGCAGTTCCCACTACGGATGCAGCACGGTCGCACAAGGAAGCCGGGAGGCCGGAAGATGCTCGGTCGACAGTCGAGTGTCGATCAGCACTGACTTCCTAGGAATGCGTCCTTGCATGGGACGGACGGTTACCACAAACCGAACGACAGGTAGCTACGAGAATGCAACCCTTCTATAGATAGCTTGGGAAAAGGCCCAGCTACGGGCCTGATCCTTTCGGCCTTCGCAAAACGGGCGCGACACAAGCAGTCAATCTCCAGAGAAAATTTCGCCACAGGGAGGATATCGCTTTGCAGAGGTCTGGCTAAGGAACGATGTGGTCACGGGAGTCTTTCCAGATCCAATGTGAGCACGATCAACGCCGTGACGCCCCGTGCTCCTCAGGACGGCTTCTGCCCGGTGACAACAAGAACATTGAACATTGGGTGCACATCCCTATCCCTGACTGCAGCTCTGACCTGGGCGTTGAGAACGGTCACCTCCTCCTGGCTCCACTCCAAGACGTCCCTGAACAGGGCGGCGGTGGATCCTTCAACGCCGTCAAGGAAGTTGATCCGCATCAGCGTGCCGCACTCCTTCAGTATCGGGTCCTTCGGCCAGCTGCCGATGGGAAGTTTAAAGGTCTGCTGGGTGACGTTCTCGAAGCCGGCCTGCTCTACCCAGCCCTTCATGTTGGGGGCGGGATCCATGGTGCGCCCGATCTTCTCGCACGCCTCCATGAGGCTGTTCATCATGGTCACCATCGCGTTGTCGGGCTTGAGGGAGCCGTCCTCGGAGAGCAGGGTGTTGGCGGATTCCACGAACTCGAACCAGCCACCGGGCTCCAGGTTGTCGTAGATCTGCCGCACAAGGCGTGGCCAGTCCTTGATGGACCCAGCCATGTATTTGCAGTGGATATAGTCGTACGGCTCGGGTTCCACCCAGTCCAGCTCGACGTCGTCCACGAGGAATTTGACGTTCGGCGGGGCCCACTGAGGCTGTATTGGGCTGAGGTCGTTGCCGACGATCAACTCGGCGCCGGGATACTCGTCTCCGAGCTGGATCGGCCAGATTCCGGTTCCGGTTCCGAGATCGAGGATGCGCTTTCCGTTGGGTTTGAAGGGAGCAAGAAACAGCCTGTCACCGATGATGCGGTAGAAGACGTGGTGGATCATGTCAAGGCGATCTTGCTCCTCATCATCGTTGGGAAAATTGTACTGCCCCTCGTGGTAGGCGTGATACCGACGCCCGTGGCGCCATTTGTACTGGACGATGCTGGACCTTAGAGAATCGCTCGCGGTGGGAGACGGAAAGCGCCCCATATTCTCCTGGCATGCAGAATCAGATGGACGAAGCCTTGGGGCCGGTATGGATGGCCACTTCTGCGATGTCTTGGGTCATGGAATAATACCAAGACGTAACGTGCTGGGCTGTGACATGTCCTAAGACGTAAGATGCTAAGATATTGAAGGTACTGAGATATGGAATGCACTGGGATATCGACAGGTCCCACTGTCGCCTGGATCGACGTGCTTGAGAACTATCGCCTGGATCGACAGGTCCCTCGTTGAGAGCTATCGCCTGGATCGACAGGTCCCTCGTTGAGAGCTATCGCCTGGATCGGCAGGTCCCTACTTTGGGACTGTCGCCTGGATCGACATCTCTCCCCCTGAGAACTATCGCCTGGATCGACAAGTCCCTACTTTGGCACTGTCGCGTGTCACTGGTCCCTAGATCGGGCCCTGGCAATGGTTGGCAATTCACCACACAGTCCCCCTTGAGCCTTGGTCTCTCTACGCGTGTCCAAGACAAGATTCCGAGTCTGGGCTATCTCAACTCGCGAACTTGCCACCATCGACGGGTCCTGCAAGGACAATTCCGCCGCCGCCCAGAGCGAGGTCTTCCGTACCCATTCTAGCCGCCACGACCCTTCTCGGCACGCCACTGCTCCTGACTTCCACGGAAGCGCGCACCTTGGGCCTACGGATCATGTCCCTTCCCGCCGCCTTCAGCTGCTCTGCTAGTGACTCGTTCATATTCTCTGTGAGGTGGATATCCTCTGTGAGGTGGACATCCTCTGTCAGGTCAGGACTGAAGTGCAACTACTCGTGAGTCTCCCCGTCCCGCAAGCTGAGCGACTGTCTCATCCGTGATCCTCGACAGCAAGTTCGTCGATGCCCACCTCAAACCATTTCGATGCGGCCATCCTTCCTGCGACGGCCCCTGTTTCTCCTCCGCAGCGTGTCTCCTCCGACATGAGCGCGAGGCACATGGGATGCATGGCCACGGCGACAAACCCTTCCACTGCTCCTACGAGGCCTGCGGCCGTTCCGTCCCCGACAATGGCTTTCCACGGGAGTGGAACCTCCGAGATCACCTCCGTCGCGTCCACCACGAACAGCATCGCCCGACGCGTAGTAGGAAACGAAAAGCCGCAGCCCAGGGACCTGACCCAGCCTTAGGTACATCGTCAGAATCGAGCTGGGATGAATGGGAAAGGCACCGCGAATCTCTGCGGCGGACAATCGCGAGCCTCAACCCACCTGGCGATGTGGAGAACCAGCGCCTTCTCGACGAAAGTCAGGGTCATCTTCGTGCCATGCGCGCGGTCTATCTTGACGCAAGTCAAGGGGAAGCAGAAAGACGAGGATTGGGGCCTGATATTGGTGTCGAATGACGCCATTTGCGCAAGGACGTCATTGCAGTCCAGTAAATCATCGCTTCCTGGGAGAATGCAAATTAGTCCTTGTAGGGTGAACCTACGCGTAGTATATACAGGCTCTGGCTTTTTGTTTCTGGCAGGTGAGCGGCATGACGCTTTCCCCGTGCGGCTTCTGGCTACCAAGGACATCATCATCCCGATCCCTGCACTACCGCGGTTTCCTGCCGCCAACCACGATTTCTCACTTCGATGTTTGCCGACATCCCACGGAGCGGCTATCTTGGTAGCCCTCCTGGGCCCATCAGACGGTACCGGTGAGAGGCGCTCACTTCGTGTAGGTGAGGAGTATCAAGTCAAGCTCTCCTCGGCCTGACCAGGACCTAGGTTCGTATCATTGTATAGTACTCGTCTCGCCCGTGGATGGCGACCATGGTACCAGTCTCCCATCCGCAGGATCTGGTGTCTCTCACAAGACTGGTACCCTGCCGGACCGCTTCCGGAGGGACTGGTGTCGATGCCCTGCCGAGTTCCCGGCACTGGTCATCGCATCCACCCTTGTAATGGCGACAAGTGGCAACTTCGTCCTACACATAGGGTGACCAGTACTGTGTCTTCGTAACATCTTCCCCTCTTCGATCCTGGAGGATTAAGCTCCTTGATTACCAGTACCGAGGCACCGGGCTTCTGGCTCTCCATGGCTGCCCACCCGCCTGGTTCCGGGCTTAAATGGGGTGATTGCGGGGTTCGGGTGAAGTTCTAGCACCGCAGGGTCGTGGTTCCGGCCCAGAGCCCTGGAACCATGTGCGCCTAAAATTGGGACGGCTGTAAAATTGGCCCACTGGGTACGAGTACCCTACGAGAAGAAATCCTAGGTACTAGTCCTGCTCTGACACTGCCCCTTTCCGTCCAAAGGCGGCGAAATTCAGTGACAGCTGGGACTGATAGAAACATTGCGGCTCGACCTGGGTACCAGTGTCACGTCTCCCCCTACTCCTAGAAACCCGTAACTCCGCCGGGTCGCTCGCTGAATACCAGTCCCGTAGACTTACCGAAAGAGGAGCACCCGCGGTCTTCCATCAGTTCTTCCGGCCAGCCCAACCCGAATATCTCGGCAGTGCAGCCCCAAGATAGTCAGTGGTCGGGGACCGAGGCAATCACAGAGGAACTGAAGCTCGCGGCGACCGTACCACTCGCCTGTGGGCCCCGCGGCTGCCTCGGGCCCCAAGAAAGCAGAGTAAAGCCGCGATGACGGAGGTCACCTTTAAATAGAAGCCGGCTGCCGAAGAATGATATTGGCCGCCTTCTCCCGTTCTGAAGGCGCGGCGAATGTCGCATGTCGAATTAAACTTTTGAAGTAAGTTGGGCGTGCTATGAGAAATGTCCAACCCTGCGCGGGTGTTTCGGGCCGCCCTGCGGTGCCATCTGGTAGGGTAGTCTGTCGCAGGATGGTCGTCCTTTTTTTTCGAGGAACTAGTTGCATCTTTGTAAGAACCTGTGGTTGGCGTCGAAACCGACCAAGGCTCTTGTGAGGTCTTCATTTGTCGTGGGGAGAGTTGCGCGATTCATTATCGCCGGCGAAATCCCGTGAGCGACAAATCTATTGTCATGAGCGCATTATTAATACTCGAACACAGAACACTGCGGGATATTGTGTCTCGCCACGAGTTTGTCTCGCACTGGTAGTGGTTGGTCTCTGAAGGTGCCCGGTTCTGCTGTGCGGGCCGTGAGGGGCGAGACCCCGGTTCCTGGCCCCACCAAGCCCGAATCCGGGATATTGGCAGTAACATTCCGACTTGGCCCGGCTGGATCTTCCCATTGATCCTCCGTGCTCAAGGTGGTCTGTGCACCAGGCACCTGTGATTCGTCCTGTTGGCAGGGGCTTCGGCGCGTGCATCGTTCGCAACAGGACAACCCAAGTCAATCTTCCAATTTCCATCTTCCCAGCATCTCGAAACGCATGGCAGAGCAACGGGCCAAAATCATCGGGAACCATCCCATTGGGAAAGGTCTTGATGCCTTTCGCGCCTTTTTTCGCTCTATCTGCGATGGCGCTGGCATCTCCAGCGCTCCTCCAGACGCTTTGGACGAGTTGGGGCACGAAGGTGAGTGCAACGAGACAGTACTCAACATGCACTCTAACGATGACATAGATCTTCAAGCGCTCCTACTTCTCCTTCTTCCGACCCTGCGAAACCTCCTAGTTTCCGGCCTGCTTTCTTCGTCAACCGGGCGTGGCACCCTTCGAAGCGATCTCCTTGTTGTGATCTCCGCGACCGCGTCCCCCGATTCCGACACTGACCGCCTCAAGCCCCTCCTGAAAGCGGCCCTTGCCGACAAACCCGATGATTACGAGATATGGGGAGAAGTTTCCCAAGCGGTTGTCGAATCTACACCACCTCCGCGGCCGATCGCCTCCTCCCTCCAAGAAACCCCGTGGCTGCACAACACAAGCGGATTTGCGAACTCATCTGAATACCGACGCGATGTGGATAGGGTACTCAAAGAGGAGCTCGGTCCCCTCTATGTCGGCCTTCATCGATTCCCAGAAGTCTTCTTTGGACGAGTAGCCGGGCTAGACGCAGCGTCCCAGACTGTGTTCACCAAGTGCATGGAAGGCAACAGCCCCCTCTTTTCTGGAGGATGGACGGGTTGGCCGAAGGATGCAAACCAAGATTCCGTCTTGGAGTGGTTCTCAAGCATAACCCAGAAGCTTGCAATCTTCGCCGAGGAAACATTGCCAGCTCCAACGCATGGACGGCGGCCGCTGGCACAACCCAACAAACCAATTCTCGATTCCACGGCGGAGCGCAAGTTGGACATCGGCTTTGTGGATGACCCAAATGCGTTGAAAGACTCCCGATTACACTGGTCGCACATTCTCGTCCCGGGAGAGTTGAAGAGCAACCCGTCGGCTGACACAAAGTCCAAAGCGTGGCTCGACCTGGGCAGGTATGCTAGAGAAGTTCTTGCAGCTCAAGACACGCGTCGATTTGTTTTGGGCTTTACCCTATGCGGATCCTTTATGAGAATATGGGAGTTTGATCGCCTTGGGGGAATCGCATCCGACAAGTTCGACATCAACAAGGACGGGCTGCGCTTCGTCTTCACAGTTCTTGGTTTCCTCTGGATGGACCATGAGGCACTTGGTTTCGACCCCACGATCACCGCGGAGGGCAATCGACGTTTTATTGCGATCACCCGAAACGGCGAGACAGAGCGACTAGTCCTTGACAAACGGATGAAGAGGGCACCTTGCATTGCCGGTCGCGCCACGACTTGCTGGAGTGCCCACCACGAGGACAACCCTCAGGACTCTTTGGTGGTCAAAGACTCGTGGCAATACACTGAACGGGAAGAAGAAGGCGAGCTCCTCAAGATGGCAACCGAGAGTGGCGTGGTCAACGTGGCCCGATACTACCATCACGAGACTGTTCATGTGGGCGGCGAGGTCGACGATGTTTCGAGCAATATTCGAGGGAGCCTCGACGTCAGAGAAGCGAGCAATTATCGAGCAGATCAGTTGGTTCAACCAGCGAGCTTGGGTGCGCTCGATGCTCCCCGGAAAGGTCGGAGCAGTATTGTTGCTGGCAAAAAACGTTCGTCCAGTCAGACGGATGCCCCCATACCACCGAACAAGCGATCTTGCTCTGCGTCTCCAACCAAGGTTGGCAGTCCTGCACTGCCGAACCGGGTGCATCGTCGAGTTGTCGTTCGCGATTGTGGCACGCCTATCTACAAAGCCAAGTCCCCTTCGGTGCTGCTCTCAGTGCTGAGCGACTGCATTGAAGGTCACAAATCATTACGGCAAAAAGCCTGCCTCCTCCACAGAGACATCTCTGTAAACAACCTGATGATTCGCGGAGAGAAAGGGTTTTTGATTGACCTCGACCTTGCCGTCACGGAGCAACGCCAGGAGGCATCAGGAGCACATGGGAAAACCGGTACAAGAGCGTTCATGGCGATCGGTGCCCTTCTGGGCGAGCAGCATTCGTTCATGCACGATCTCGAGTCCTTCTTCTGGGTCCTGTTCTGGATATGCATTCATCACAACGGACCGGGGCAAAGCGAAATCATTCCCCAATTTGACAAGTGGAATTACGCGGATGCGGAAGAATTAGCAAAGCTCAAGATGGGCACGGTATCTGACGAGGATATTTTTGTGAAGACTACGACAGAATTCTTCACCAACTACTTCAAAGCTTTGATTCCTTGGGTCGGTCGATTGCGAAGAGTGGTATTTCCCGGTGGTGGTAGATGGAAGAAAGAAGTCAGCGGGTTGTATGCCTCCATGCAGGAGGTCCTTCGTGAGGCCCGGAAAGACCTCGATGCCGTAGCTAGTTGACGAATACTTGATGCGATGGTGATTGCTAAGATCCCAATCTCCTCATTTCAATGCCGTGGAGCGTTGCTGCTTCCGTTCAAGACTATCCGCGTTGTCCCTTGAGCGATGATGCACATTTCTGGGGTCGACCCGGACCAGTTGAATCGGTCAGCGCAAGGCTCCAAAATTGGTGTTCAGGGTCAGCCAGAATTGCCGGCAATTGATACACCGGCGTGAAGAATTACTACACTGCCGTGACACCGAGGGGGGCATGACTTTTTATGGCCTCTGATTGGCCCATACCTTTTTGTTAGTGCATTCGATTCTGCCAACGGCTCCCATTGTACCTGGAGCTTAGCTCTCTACAGTCGCGACAATCGACGCAACTTTGCGACGAACCTCTTCACCAACAAGCTACTACACCAATTTACATCTTCCTATCGCGACCAAGGCCGTCATCATGTCCCAGCCCGACTCTCGATCAAGCTCAGTAACCAGCCAACGACGACGAACTCGCAGCCCTAGTCCCGGCTATCAACCACATTCTCCAAAGCGACAGCGGCAGAACCAGCCTGACCGTTCAAGACCATCTTCGTCCACCAGCACAGGGACGAGCATTGGACGACACTATGGCGTCGGAGACAACGAGGCCCTCTATAATGCTTTCGCCTCATACCCAGACACTTTCACGACAGTCCCACGGCCCCATGGATCGCGTGGGCTGAACGAACCACCATGGGAGCTGCGATTTGATCAAGAGATTCACCTATCGAATGATTTCCCATCCCAAGGAAGACGGCCCCAACGAGTTAGAATCCCTATACCAGGCCCAGAAACCGACCAACTACCTAGCTCCTCTCCGCCGCAATCAGTACAAGAGCATCCTTCTCCAACCAAGGCCGAGTTTCATTCTGCTCTCAAGCTAGGACGCGAGGTCATCGGGACAGACCGGAGACTGACCCTCGAGCTGGTCCGGTCATACGAACGAGTCCGCCAATGGCGTGAGAGATGGGGCTACTCGCCGCTCAGTTCAGATGGAATCGAATCACCTCCACCCTACTCGCCTCCCCGAGACAGGCACTCTCCGACTATAGCCTCGCCGCCCTCGCCCAACCACTCCTCGTCGCCTGTCCCTGACCCGATCCCGAACCCACCTATCCCAGGTGACCCAGCGCCGTCAGCCGAAATCCTGGTCGAGTGGGTGGATGCTTTCGCGAAGTCTAATGGCTTCGGTATTGTTCGACGAAATGCCCATTCATACAAGGGTCGGAAGATCCGGTACACTTTTCAATGCGATCGATTCGGAGAACCAGCGCCTAGCCAAGGCGCAGGTCTTCGACAACGGAAGTCTCGAAAGTGTGGATGTAAATGGATGGTTGTTGCCGAGGCGTTAGAGGAGGGGAAGTAGCTCTTACGACAACACTCGAAGCCCGAACACAGCCAGCATAACCACGGCCACAGTATCAGTCCTTCTGCCCATCCCTCCCATAGAAGACTCACAGAGCCCATCAAGACAACAGTCGAATTGACAAGCCGTCGGGTCGGAATTCGGGCACGTGACGTACGTGCTATCGTCCAGGAGCAACATCCCGAGTCATCCTTTACACGGAGGGATATCTATAACGCCAGGTCTCGTATCAATCGAGACAAGTTGGACGGTTACACTCCTACTGCAGCACTGATCAAGCTGTTTGACGAGATGAAGATTCCCTATCTCGTAAAGTGGGGCGACGATGAGCCGAACCGTCTTGTTGGCCTTGTCTGGACCTTTCCTTACTGCCTCCAGATGTGGAAGCGGTTCCCCGAGGTGATCAGCTTCGACAACACATACAACACCAACCGCTTCAAGGTTCCCTTATTCCAAGCAACGGGGCAGACATGCCTTGGCTCTGTCTTCAATGCGGCTTTCGGTCTGATTGACAACGAGAGACGGGAGGGGTTCCAGTTTCTCTCCGAGAGCATTCGACAGCTCTCAGAGCAGCACTCTATTCGCCAACCGCATGTCATCATCACCGATTTCGACAAGCAGATGACGGCCGCTCTTGACGATCAGTTCCCTGAGGTACAGCAGCAGCTCTGTATCCACCACATCAATTCCAACGTCATGCTCTGGGCGAAGCAGAAGTGAGTTAAGAGCCCCCACAGCAGTCCCGACAGCAGCGATGGGGAAGACTCTTACCCACAGACAGAGGCTGAGCTGAGCCCCAAAGACCAACAGTTCGTCCACACTCCCCCAACTGAGGATATCCCCCATACGTACCGAGGCGTCTTGGTGATGTGGAAGCTCGTCTTGTTTGCCGAGACTGAGGAGGCTCACGAGAAGGCATGGGGAAACCTCTGTAAGGAATTTGACGACCAGCGAGCCATCCTGCGGTACCTCTATGGAACTTATATGCCCATCAGGGCCCAGTGGGCCCGCTGTTTCATCAGGAAATATCGCAACTTCGGCATCCGCGTCACATCTGGGACAGAAGCAAGTAACAACAACATCAAGAGCTACCTTCTGAATGGCATGAGCCATCTCTTCGGGGTGCCTTCGGGGTGCCTGTCCATCATTCAGGGCGGTAGTGACAGTCATTACCTGGGGTAAGCAGGGGTGGTCCCATAGTGAAGCAGGTCAGGGTTAACCCCCCGGTCGGTGCGAGTGACAGTCATTACCGTGACGGTCATTACCACAGGGTCTGAGAAACGGCTGGACCCCTTTCCCTGTCTGAACCTAACCTTCACCCCAGCTAACCCTATGCCGTGTCTCCCCCCTTTATTCATACCGCGGCCTGGACGGGCGCGCATACTGTAAGGCGAAAGCCGTCGTAGTTACTAGTCTTACATGTAGAAACAGAGATATACCTATTTACACTATCTTCCTCTTTAATTTAACGCTCGATTTGTGTGAACAGCCACCTACCGTAAGCATATTACCGCTATCTAGCGATAACAATACGCTACGAAGCCGACGCCGGTCGCACCGGGGGTCAGGTCGGACTGCTAAGCTAGCCTGCAGCTAACGCTAGTAGTAGCTAGGAGCACCGTGTCCTCCTCTACGTCTCGTATAGGGTCGGGATCCGGCCGGACGACGGTATACGGTTACACTTCTAGCGGACGCACCGTCTTAAGGGCGAGGCACTACGCCAGATTATCGACTACAGCTACGCCGCCGAGCTAATTGTGACGGCCAACCAACAGGGGATGTCGTTTGGGCACGGAAGAGCCAAACAACTAGGCCACAGGATCGGGCCAAGGACAAGGGCGGATCATGTGGCAGTGCCGTCACAGGTTTCTTATGTAAGCACGATAAAGGGCGATAAGGAAGGTACGTACCGGTCATGCAGATATGCATGACCGACACCACGTCAAGGAAGATGGTCACCAGAATATGCATGACCATCAGGACCAGATTCGTGACCTGACCGCGACCATCGGGATCAGGGTCATGACCACGGATGAAGGACAAAGGATATATAGATGCGAAGGATCTCCTAGATACACAGTCATTACCTTTGTACTTCAGCGATCAATCTAAGTATCAGTTTCACCCACACTTGAACTAGTCACTCAATTGCCGAGACTGGTATCTCTTCCAAGAGACACGAACGACAACCCCAGAGAGAGAACGACAGCAGTGTTAGTTGTTATCGCACAGGCTTTACCTATCTTGCAGAACAGCAACCCTAGCGCCCTGCCAGACGGTTGACCCCGGAGGCAGGATCGTGACACTAATCGCGAACCCGTACACTATGCCACTACCAGCCGACGGATCGCTACATATAGAGCAGCTACCGGTCGTAGACGGCTTTAGCTGCTCGGACTGCCGCTTCCTAACGACGAGCCCGAAGCTAATTAAGGTCCACCGCTCGCGAGCGGGACACGCCTAGGCGACGGGCGGCCGTGGTAGTAACAGCGGCTAGAGCGAGGTACGGCTCCAGACTCTATCGCCGGGGAGCTATGCGCGGTACTAGGTAGTCGAGCAAGGACCTACTAGAACGGCCAGTCCCGGCGTATCCGGCCCTACTTCTACTTCCTCGCAGCATATTTTAGACGAACGCCTAGTAAGATGCGAAGAAAGTCTAGCGGCCGAGCTAGAGGAGACACGGCGGACGGTCGATAGCCGGCAGGGACCTACCTTCGAGTCTACCTAGGTCCGTGAGATAGGCTAGGTAAGGCACCTAGCCGGTAGCAATATAGGCGTGCACTTCCGGACGAGCTTAAGCGCCCTATCTGCTACAGCGCGCGCTAAATTACGGGGCGAGGCAGAAATTATCGAGCAGGACCGCCTCCTCCGGCTCGGGGCGAGCTTCGAGCGGCTTGTTGCGAAGGCTCTCGAGCGGACAGCGCAAGTGCCGAACGAGGTACTCCGCTACCTAGCTAGCTCGGATTATAGCCGCCCGGCCGCAGGCCCCTTTAAGGCGGAGAAGGAGCAGGCCATAAAGGACCGGTACCTAGTCTATTAGAAGCGATATCTCTGCTACTACGTCCGGGCAGGACGGCTAGGCCGGAAAGAGGCTACAGAGAAGCTCCGGATCCGGTTTAACAACGCCCAGTGGTCTACACTCGCGGACATTATCCAGAGATTAGATAATACCTCTAATAGGAGAAGGGGCGACGATATCTCCGTAGTCTCGTCCATATACAGCGGGTCCGAGGAGCCGGAGACTCTAGGGTACAAGATAGACGGAGGAGATAATCACATCGAGGATCTAATAGACCAGGCCGTAATAGCCTTCTTGTCACGATCCTGCCTCCGGGGTCAACCGTCTGGCAGGGCGCTGGGGTTGCTGTTCTGCAAGATAGGTAAAGCCTGTGCGATAACAACTAACACTCTGCTTTCGTTCTCTCTTTGGGGTTGTCGTGTCTCTTGGAAGAGATACCAGTCTCGGCAATTGAGTGACTAGTTCAAGTGTGTGGTGAAACTGATACTTAGATTGATCGCTGAAGTGCAAAGGTAATGACTGTCTATCTAGGAAATCCTTCTGAACATATACTCCTTTGCCCTTCATCGTGCCCGTGGTCCTGCGACACTCGAGGTGTCGCATGCCGACGGTTTGTTGTCGCGTTGCGACTGCTTGATGTCGGCTGCTGACGTAAGGTGGGTTGATTACCTAATGTGCGTCCCTCCAGCCTTCGCTGGTCCGCCCTTGTCCCTGGCCTGATCCTGCGGCCTTGTTTGCGCTGGGCCCGTTTGTTACCCCAGCCCCAAACAGTTCCCCTGTTGGTCGGGTCGTCACATATCGTTCAAGCACGGGGCGCTCTAACCCTCGCCGCACCACGGTGGGGGCCTCTAGTTCTAGCTGTCCCGATTAGGAAATATGATTTTCTGCCTTATTATATTTCCTAATCGGGATAGTGGACCCACTTCAACGAACCCTAGCCGCCGCTCTGCCTAGCAACCCCGTCCTCGTAGGGTTATCCTACTCTGCCGCCCCGGCTAGGGTTTGTGCTTGAGCGAACTAGAGGCTGAAGAGGCTTCACCGCCATACTTAAAGCGAACAACGCACTCTGGCTATCGGACTCCAGGTGGCGCAGTTGGGCTGGAAGTGGCCGTGAAGTTGCCCATTTGGGAAGCCTTTATCCCCAGGGACTAACCCTCTAGCTTTCACTTCATTCAAGTACGAGGCATTCAACGGGCCGCTGGTGAATCGCATCCAAATTCGGAGGCTCTAGTATTTATGTAAAGCATCCAAAATCGGTATAGCAAGACGGCGTAGGGACCAATATAAAGGGGGCTTATAGGTGTGACAACCCGACCAACAGGTCGCAAGATCGGGCCAGGGACAAGGGCAGGTCATGCACGCGGGAAGGCACACCCCAGAAAGACGTTAGGTAATCAAGAACATTATGTCAGCAGAAAACACGACAGGGGTCGGACGTGGATATGTGGATCGCAACATATCCAAGCGATCCCGGATATGAGGATCACTGCATATCCAACGATCCCGGCAACGAACGGAACTGAAGGACAAAGGGTATATAGGATGGAGGATCTCCTTGATAGACAGTCATTACCTTTGTACTTCAGCGATCAATCTAAGTATCAGTTTCACCACACACTTGAACTAGTCACTCAATTGCCGAAGCTGGCATCTCTTCCCCGAGACACGACAACCCATCAAGAGAGAACGAAAGCAGAGTGTTAGTTGTTATCGCACAGGCTTTACCTATCTTGCAGAACAGCAACCCCAGCGCCCTGCCAGACGGTTGACCCCGGAGGCAGGATCGTGACATTATCTTAGCACGTTTCGCTTTTTTGTTTCTTTGTTTTTATAATGATTTATAGCTTCATCCACCCTATCACTAGAGGGATAGTAGGAAACGAAAGAGCGCACATATACTTTCTTACGTCTTTTATACGGCCTCCTTCCGTTCGCGGCTCACACCCGCCGTGATCAATACCTTCATAGTCTCTACAGCCTGCCTAATAGCCCGAGCCACATCTTCCACCTTATCCTTACCACAGCATGTGCTGATAACACAACTACGGCGCAATATAAGTTAGCATTCTCGCTCATTAGTATCCGCAATGTCAGAAAAAAGAAACCGTACCTGTCCGCTTCAATGGTATACTTCAGCCTCAACGCTTCCGGATCCATCGAAATCTGCACACTGTCAAAGTTCACATCATTGATGTAGCTAATCACCCGCCAGTTATCCAATCTCTTTTGCAGCGGATGCGTGTAAATCGCCGGCCGCGGCTCCTCTGGCGGCTGGAGCTTGTCAATGACATGGAACAACCTGAAGAACCCATGGCCCTCCCTAGCCTCACGCGTACGGGCATTGATGTCCCGTGCGGCTTTGAGCATCAACGTGCGGCGCGCGTACATCGACTTGGACTCGTCGGTCGCGGCGTCGCAGAACGCCTTGACCGCGGGGGAGTTGAGCTGCACTAGGTCGTGCCGGCCTTCATTGAACTGGGTGAGTGCTACGGGCTGCCAGTTTGGTGGGAGGGTGCCGTAGTAGAAGTGTGTCGCCAGTTGCATTGTTGCGTCAAGGACGCCTTTTAGGGGAAGGTTGTGGGAGGAGATGAATGTCTGGCCGAAAGAGGGTGTGCGATGGTAGATGAATTCGCGGGCGGTGGAGAAGGATGCCCATTTTTGTTGGAGGGTGGTCAGTTGTGAGTCTGCTTCGATGTCCGTGGTGAGGTGTAGTTCTTGTGGCAAGGGAGGAGTGTGGCCGTTGTACTTGTCGCCGTCCTTGCCGTTAGTGTTATTGGAAGGACTGTAGGCGTTGATGGCGTCGGCGATGCGAGTGTGAAGCGGGAGTGGCAGCGTCCCATCGATATAGGAGTGCTCGAAGATGACACCTGCGCTGCCGTTGGCGGCCACCACGAACTGCACGCCCTTGTCGTGCCACCTGTTGGCCCCTTCGCCGAAGCGGCAGTGCTTGGAGCGTTCCTCGGGGGTCTCGGGGGCACCGTCGTCCAGGCAAATGGCGAATGCTGCAGCCTCAATCTGGCGGAAGTACTCTTCGTTGCGCGGCTCGAGTGTTAGGAGTCGCTCACGGGTCTGTTCGGATGTTGTTAGAGGACCGGATGCTATTAGAATCACAAAGGGAGATAATGCCTACCTTGGCCCATGAGTCTCGTCTATCACTCGTCAACAAGCCCACCTGGGTGCCTTGGTCCCGAACACAGTCCAAGATGGCAGTCACGCTATCCCTGACAGCATCGAGTGGGACATCTTCACCCCCTTCCTGCAGAAAAACCACAAAAGCCCGACCACGCCTCATGACAACACAGTAATCACCACTGCCTTTCACAGTCTCATCTCTCTTAACCCCAGGCAGCCTCGCCGTGTTGAACAGCCACTTGTTCAGTGTAGTACATACCGGAATCCCAAGCATATATGTCGGCTCGAGCGTCCCATCATCGATTTCTTTCTTGTACCGGAACGCCGTGGTCGCAATAATCGCCGCAGCCTCGGCCTGTGTGTGCGGGTTCTTGCTGGGGTGATAGATTGCAGCGAAGCTTGTGTACTGCGTCGGTTCCCGGCGGGTGAGGAATGTGTATTCCATCAGATACTCGTTAGCCCAGGCGCCACTCGTGGAAGGATCGGCGGCTTTGCGCTTGATGTCCTCGTAGATCTTCCGGGTTGTGTTGTCGGGTGCGATGAAGTCCTGAACTGCGTCGCGGAAGGTCTCGAGTTCTTCCGGGGAGGTTGCGAGGTGCGAATTGTTGTCGAAGTACTTCTGCATGGCAGTGTCGAGGTCTGGTACGGGAAGACGTGGTAACTCTACTGATGCATGGATACCGTTTTCTTTCGTGGTGCATTCACCTGCTCCATTCTGTTCGGCCTTCTCCTCGTCGTGAGGAGCTGAGTTCCCGTTGCTGGTCAGATTGCGAATGTCGGGGGAGACGAACTTCGACCTCATCGCGAGCGTCCCAGCGAGCGCCAGAATACTTGCGGCACTGGCGAGCTCCGAAGCCTGTAATGTCGCCTTGAACGCCCTTATGATCCAGTTCTTGAGCTCGATCGAAACCAATGAGTCCAGCCCGATCGCGGAAGGGGCCTGGTGAATGCTGAGATCTTCCACGGGGATGTTCAGAAAGATTGCAAACTTGTCAACGGTGGCTTGCGCGATGATATCGACAGCCTCGTCCATAGTCTTTGCAGCCTTCAGCAAACCCTCAATGTCGCGCTTCGCTGTGCCCTCGCCGTTGTTGCCCTCGCTATCGCCCGTCACTGAGTGTGGCAATGTCTCGCACATGGGTGTCCAAAAGGTCAAATCTGGCATCTCGCTCGCCGACTGCCTATCGAAGCCCATGATAGACAAGTTCGTCCTGGGCATGTCATCGGACTGTCGCATAGAATATTCGATCACCTGCAGTATTTCCTCGAGGGACATGACAAACGCACCGATGCGGGTGATTGCCACGGTCGTACCTGCCTCGATGAGGTCGTCGATGTACGCAGATCCACCGACGGGAGGGAGTGCCAGGGAGGTATATCGCGTCTTGTAGGTCTCCGGATGATATCTGGCATAGGCGTCCTGGAAGTTGTTGGCGGCGCCGTAGTTGGCTTGGCCGGGATTGCCAATGACACCGCTGGCTGATGACAGCATGATGAAGAAGTCCAGGTCGGGCGAGGAAAAGGCGTTGTCAAGGTTCCATGAGCCAAGTACTTTGGGTCCTAAAACTGTGTTCCAGTCGTCTAAAGACAGCTCGGGTATGGGGTGGTCCTGTAAAATTGTTAGTCCATGTGTCATGGTTGAGGTCTACGGGCAAGATCCCACTTACTATGAGCACCATGCCGCTATGGAGAATGCCTCGGACGGGCGGTAGGGATCTCTGGCAGTGATTCAGTAGCCCTTGCACACTCTCAGCAATAGTTATATCGCATTGGAGGACATGGAGCCTGCTGCCCGCTGCTCCGACCTTGGCCACGATAGCATCATGCTCAGCCTGGTCGAGCTTCCTCCTTGACAGAGTGATGATATTGCCCGCTCCAAGACTCGCCAACAGCATGATTAACCTTCGTCCAATATCTCCCAGCCCGCCAGCAATGATGTATGTGCCATCACGAGCCAGTGCCACACGAGGTGGGGGGGGAAGCGCAGTCTGGACAACCACACTATCCGGAATCTCCAACACCACTTTACCGACATGCTTTCTCTCGGCAATGAGTCTGAATGCCGCCTCGAGCTTGTCAATCGGCATAGTCGTGACAGGCTTGACGGGAGTAAATACACCACTGTCAAAAAGCTCAACAGTCTTATCGACAAGCTCGTAGAATAGTTCTGGCCGTTGCTCACAGATGACGAAAAGATCCACGGCCGCAAAGGAAACGTTGCGGTCAAAAGGCGCCATGCTGAGACTGCTGTTCTTGTAAATGTCAGCCTTGCCGAGCTCAATGTGCATGCCAAACGACGCGATGCAGTCCCAGCTCTGGGCAAGCATCTCCCCAGCGATCGAGTTGAGCACGACATCGACGCCCTTGTTATGCGTCATCCGCATGATCTTGCGCTTGACGGCGGCCGGTGCAGCCCTGGCGTTGAGGATGTGGCTTTCGGGTATGTCGTAGTTGTCTATCAGCGTCTGTCTCTTTGAGACGGTGCTGGCCGTGGCGATCACCACCGCTCCCATATGTTGCGCGTACTGGATGGCGGCTTGACCAACCGCGCCCGTGGCGGCGTGGATGAGAATCGTCTGCCCGCGCCGTAGCCGGGCGAGATGCTCGAGACTGTAATACACCGTCGCGAAGACGAGCGGGATCGACGCCGCGTCCGACCAGCTGGTCTGGATCTTCTGTGGAAGGAGGTGCGCATGGAGGCCCTTGACCCGCGTTTGGCTCGCGAAGGCCTGGCCTCTCAGCGCCAGCACGCGATCACCAACCTTGAATGTGTCCTGCACAAAGGGGCCCGAGCCAACGGCCGTGACGATGCCCGAGACCTCGCCGGCCATTGGCTGCCCGGGAGGCATCTGACCTAGTGCGATGAGCACGTCGCGAAAGTTGATCCCGTATGCTTTTGCCTCGATCTGAATCTGGTCGTCGCCGAGGGGCGCGGAGATGACGTCGTTTTGGACAAAGTGCAGCGTGTTTAGGAGGCCGGGTGTGCCGACCTCAAGACGCAGGGGTAGTTCTGGGTCGTTGTAGCGGTGCTCCTCGATTTTGTTCTTGTGGTTGGTGCGATCCGCCCAGTGCTTGAAGTGCGTGTCCAGGTGCAGTCTCGGAATTAAGCATTTGCTGTTGGAAACGACGTACTCTGAATCGCACAGCAGAGAAGAGTGCTCGACCTCGGGGGTGAGAACCAGACCGGCTATGCGATGGATGTAAGAAAGCAGCTCTGACATATTGTCTTCGTGAACGAGGTCCTTGGCCTCGATGGTCAGAAGCTTGAGGGCCTGGTTCTCTCGACGAGCCACTCGTGATAGCCCACCAATGAGAGCTTTGACTGCGGCTATGTCGGGTTTGCCTAGTACCTCGACCGCCAGTTGGACAGCACCATCCTCTTGAAAGGTTACCCACAGGACGAACCGAGTTCTAGTCAGTATGGCCTGAACCGTCTTGAACTCTGCGTGAGAAGGCCTGACCAGGACAGACGAGTTCGCGCTGTCAAGAATGACGTAGAAGGCCGCATCGTCCTGGGCGATTGGCGGTTCGCCTGCAGCTAGTGATTCCCATGTGGTTATCTCAGTGGGAAGTCCCTGTGTCTCAAAAGTAGAGAGCAGAGTCTCGCCAATGTGCTGCGCCATGGAGCCAGTTCCCCTGTGCACTACCCGAATGGACTCAGGCATAGCGATCGTGTCCGATGTGGACTTCTCGACACCATTGTCCACAGCCTTGGCAACGATGAAGGCGAATCGAGAAAGGGGTCCATCGCAATCGGGCGCAGCAAACTCGACGCCGTCAAACGAGGCGGCACGGAGGTGCTTGTCCCACTCGTCTATGGACAATGTCGGCCCGCCCCCACGCCCGTCTTCAAAGGCCCACCAGCTGAGAACAGACAAAATCAGTACGAGTCCTCCACCACTGACATGAGAACGTAGACTTACCCGGGCAAAGTGCCAAAGACAATGTGACTTGCCGCCGAGACGCGAGTGAATTCCACCATCAACATCCTGCCGCCAGGCTTGAGGACCTTCCTGACATTCTGCAATGTAGTGGCCATCGAGGGTGTCGCATGAAGAACGTTCGATGCAATCACGAGGTCGAAGTGGGCTTGCTCGAAACCCTGCTCAATCGGGTCCTTGGTGATATCCAGCACCTTGAAATCCACGAACGCCTTCCACTTATCCAGAAGTGCCTTGCCCTGTTCAAAGAATCCAGCAGAGATGTCAGTGTAGCAGTATTGCTTGATCAGATTCTTCCCATTGTCACCGAGAGTATTGAACAAATGGGCTGCAGCGCTTCCTGTGCCCGCCCCGACCTCGAGAATGCTCATCTGCGGATATTTATGAGTCAGAGTGGTGAAATATTCTGCCATCTGCTTGTTGACGGCCAGCATCGGGCCTTCCCGGTACCAGTTGCTCAGTAGGGTGCCCTCAAACATGAGCTCCAGGCTATCGATAGTGTTGTCTAGAATAGCTGGCAAGTGCGGTCCAATGCGGCCTATGAGTGCTCCGTCGTGTGATCCGATGTTGAGAGACTTGTCCAAGATCGAGACCTTGTCTTCCTCGCTCATACTTGCAATAGTCTCGCGGAAGCTGGATGTTGCTGTCCAGTCGGAGATCCAGTTGCAAAAGTCCCGTAGGTGTGGCAGCGTGGCGGTGTCAGGGTTCTGCACCTGTGGCGAGTTCCGAACCTTTGAGAGATAGACAAGGGCTGCTTTCTCGTTGACATCAAGCCTGTCGTAGAACTCTTGGCTCCTCTCAGCTTGTGGACTTGTCAAAGCATGGAAGGTGGCCTCGTTCAAGAACCCTGGGTCTTCCTTCCACATCATTTGAGAGTTGGTGTAGCGCTCAAAGAGCTGGGATGTCCCTCCCACTTCCTCGCCAATGGCCTGGAGCTGCAGTCCGCTGTTGGAAATGATCAACTTGAGATTCGCACTATCCGGATCACGCTGAAATAGCCACGACTTGCCCAGCACGGCCGTTTTGCCTAGCAGCTCCATCTCGCATGCGATGATCATCTCCTCGCCTGGTATGGTGTTGATCTCGTTGTGAAAAGTGAACTCGTCAATCTTTACCGGCATCAGTGGCGCGTTGAGCACCTGCTTGTGAAACAGCGTCGCCAAGATGTGACTGCTGGCATCGAGAGTCGCTGGATGTACCAGATGCGGCTGGAAGTAGCCGTGTGGCATCCACTGAGAGATATCCGGGTTGTGGAGCTTCGCCAGAGCCACTCCCTTTCCGATATTCGCCTCGGTGACGAGCGCAAAGCTGGGACCCCAGTCATTGCCTGCCTCTCGGTGCTCTGCGTACATTACTTCGGGATCCAGGGCGGTTCTTGCTAGAGCAGTGATGCGGTCCAAGGCCTCCAGTGCGTCCTGAAATGCGATGCTGTCTTCGTCTCCAAAGAATGTAGAGTGTTCAACTTCAGATACGCCCTGCAACTCGGCGCGGACCATGGTCGACACATGCTCCGCCCACTTGCCGTCCTGCTGCAGGGAAAGGATGCGGACCGAGTGCAAACCATTACCGTGGTCCTTTGAGGGGTTGAGAACGAGATGCACCTCCACGTCAGAGGCAGAGCCCTCGTTCTTGTCCTGCGCAAGGATCACAGGACGTTGTATGCGCGTGTCCTTGAACGTATAGGAGGCAATTTTGGAGCCTGGAGTGCGCATCTGGACCAGCTGCTTCAAGCCTTCCAATATCATGCAGATGTACCCTGTAAGCGGGAAGATGACCTGCCCATCGACGACATGATGCCGTAGCCACGGAAGCCGCTCGAGGCTGAGCATGTGCCGCCAGCGAGGTTCCTCGATGGTGCTGTGCTCGTCGTACAGACCAAGGAGATCGTGGTAGGGAAATTGACGGAATCTGTAGTCGGAGCTGAGGCGAGACTCCTTCCAATGCTTTACTTGGTGGTTCCAAGGGTACGGGGTCATGCTGCCAATAACGCGAGATTTCACGGATCCTTGACTGGGTCGGAACGCGCTCCGGAGGTCAAGAGGGACCCCAAGCTCGAAGAATCTTGCAATGGCCGTGGCGAACGTACTCGAGGAGTTCTTGCCACGAGCCAAAGGGGCAAAGTACGAAGATTTGAACTCCGGCATCGTGGCAAGAATCTGTCGCAGTGGTCCCTGGAGAGCAGAGTGCGGTCCAATCTCAACGAAGACGTTGGCTGCATCCTGACTGCCAGAGTCGTGCATTTTCTTGGCCAAGCGGCCCACGGCGTCATTGAAGCGTACCTGCGACACCAGGTTCTGCGTCCAGTATGCTGCTCCAAAGTCTTCTATCTTCGTAGTTCCAGTGACGGAAGACACGAACTGGACGCCTTCGCGGATGGTTCTGGGCCGGATGTTCGTCAAAGAGCTCGCGTACGACTTGGCGACCTTCTCCATATGGTGAGAATGATATGCAGTCTCAACCTTCAGCTTCCTGGCGAAGACGTCTTTCGCGGCACATGCCTCTTGGACGGCCTCGATGGCCGGCTCATCTCCAGACAATGTCGTGCTTTCCGGGCTATTGACGCAAGCTACCGTCACTCGGCCCTTGGACTCGTCGATTCTGGCGTTCTTGATAGTTTGCATGGCTGCCTGCTCGCCGAATCCTGTCGCCAGCATGGCACCAGGTAGGTCATTCAGTGCCTTCGCAACAGAAGATGATTTGCCACGATAAAACGCGCTAGATCCCCCATTAGTGGCTCGGCCCAAATCCATGGAGTGACTTGCCACTTACGATCGGATCGCGTCGTCGTCACTCAGCACACCCGCAGCATACGCGGCTGCAATCTCACCACTGCTATGTCCAACCACCCAGCTTGGCTGGATACCAAAGTCTCCTAGAAGATCGACCAGTGCCATCTGGATAATCGTCGTAATGGGCTGGGCTAGAGCACTCTCGTTCATACGGGACTCGCCATCGGCCTTCGCCAGCTCTTCGAAAAGATCCCATTCACATTCTAGAGATTTCAGTAACTTCCCAGCGTTTTCTAGCGATTGCTTGAATGTGTCCGAGGTTGAGAGCAGATCATAACCCATGCGAGCCCACTGCGCGCCTTGGCCGGTGAAGATAAAGGCCAGCTTGGTTGCCGGTGCTGCTCGGAAGGGTTTGGCACTGGTTTGAGCTTGGAGCTCTGATAGAAGCTGTTCCGAGGTCGAAGCCACACAGACTTGCCGCCACTTGAGCTGCGAGCGGCGGCAGGATAGGGTGTATGAGAGGTCTCGAAGGGCGTTGTGTTCCAACGTCCGCCCGGAGGTCCATTGCGCGAGACCTTTAAGCATAGCGTTTAGGGCGGCCTCTGATGAGGCACTCAGCGGGAATATGAGCGGTGGGCTGATGGTCGCATAAGTCTGTTGCGCGCTGGTCTCTGTATTGGTGGCGCCTCCATTGGTAGCGTGAGCATTGTTTTCGTGGAAATCTGCGGCGTTGTGATTTGTAGCATCCTCGATACCAGTATCACTATTGGTGTGGTTACTGTTGATCGGATGCCTGTTGACAGTGTGGCCTTTGGTTGCATGGGTGTGAGTAGGGCCACCGTTCTGGACACTTGCTGAGTCCACTGCCCGACCAGTTGTCCCAGGCTCAAAACGTTCTAGAATGACATGGCAGTTCGTACCACCGTAGCCGAATGAGTTAACGGAAGCTCTAACGGGGCCCTGATGACCCTCCGGAACCAACGGCTCCAGTTTGAGAGGAATCTGCAATTCGTCAGCGGGGTTCCGTCAATATCGGGGCCACTGTAACTCACCGCAATCTGTCTCTGTTCCAAGTTTAGACCCGGCTTAGGTCTCTCAAAATTCAAATTCGGCGGAATCTGTCGTTTCTGCAGGACCAGCACGGCCTTTATGAGGCCAGCCAAACCACTCGTCGCCTCAGTGTGGCCCAAATTTGTCTTCACTGATCCAACGAACAGATCGCGCTCTCGCTTGTGCTCAGAGAAGACGTTCCCAATAGACTTGATCTCCGCGGCGTCGCCAGCTACGGTTCCCGTGCCGTGGGCTTCCACGTAGAGTGTGTCTCGGGGGTCAAGGCCGGCTGTGTGGTAGATGTTCCTCATGAGGGACTCTTGGGAGTCCGGGTTGGGCAGGGTGATTCCATTCGTCTTTCCATCTTGATTGGATGCAGTGTTGCGAATTATGGCGTGGATATTGTCGTTGTCCTCAAGGGCATTGGACAAACGCTTGATGATGACTGTGGCGACTCCTTCGCCTCTGCCATAGCCGGACCCTCGGCTGTCGAATGTGAAGCACTTTCCATGCGAGTTCAGCATCCTGGACACGGTCAGTCACATGTACGCAGATGGGTCGGAAAGGGGTTAAGCAAGAGTCCCAACGTACCCAGCGGCGGCCATGCACACGAACTGGTCCGGGTGTAGCAGCAGCTCCGTCCCACCGACGATAGCCAGCCTGCTCTGCCGTGTCCGCAAGGCGAGACATGCTTCGTGGAGTGCCACCAGACTTCCAGACTACGAAAGAATTAGCACAGAACAGCAAAGGTCACAGGGCACCTAAGAGTGATTTAAACTCACACAGCCAGTATCGATAGTCATAGAAGCACCCTTCAAGTCCCATATATACGACAACCTATTTGAGAGAATCGCTTCTCCAGCTCCACCAAGATGTAAGTTGGAGATGTTGTTGAGGTCCTTATACTGCATCCGGTCATAGTCGCGAGCAAATACTGCAGTATAGACGGCAGTATCTGACCCGCGGAGGCTCTCGATCGGTATACCGGCATTTTCGAGGGCCTCGTAGCTGGTCTCCAGCAGCAGGCGCTGCTGCGGGTCCGTAGAATCTGCTTCACGCGAGTTGAAGCCGAAAAATCTAGAGTCGAAATCCTTCACATCATGGGTGAGGAAGTAGCCGCTTTGTGCATTGTATGCTTGAATGGAGGACCCATCTGGGTGGTAGAATGAGTCTGTAGTCCATCTGTCGGCTGGGACCCTGCCCCAGCCAGACTGGCCCTCGCTCAGAAGTTGCCAGAGATCCTCGGGATTGCCGACGTTGCCTGGCAGGCGGCATCCGATGCCTATGATGGCGATGGGCTCAGGCTCAGCCATTTTGCCGCGTGTCAGTGGGAAGATGAATACAGAGAGGAGGACAGGTCACGAGAATGGCTTAGCAGGTTCAGTCTGGACACTTGACTGTCACAATCTCATTCCGACTCATTGCATGTGGACGCTTTTGGAATCCATGGAAAGCACCTTTCTCCATGCTATTATATGGCCTCACCTGAAACTGGTCCATGCTTTTCCAGACGAGACGTTGGAATTGCAGTTTGAGAAGTTTCCAGCTTAGTTCCGTTGTCGGCCCCGAGATGCCTGCTTGGCGCCGGTCATATATAAACCCACGTGGCTTAAACCCTGACACGGATAGCCCGGTAAGCAAGAGCCTTGGCTCGTTTAGAGCCCTCCCAAATTCGGCATCCCTGCCCCGTCAGTCGGTCTATGGGCCAGCCGTTCACCAAGGCGTGCACTGTAAAGGTATTTTTACGTCGTCAGGGCATCGTGAGGGGCACTCCCACCCAGCTATTCCAGGACCGCCGGGCCGTGCTGTTCCTCACAACTCTCCTTTGCACCCTTGTACCACTCGATCATACACTTTCAGGACGTGAGTGACCAATTCTCGTGGGGAAATGATCGATCTCAGCTGTTGCCAAGTCGCAGCTTCGTCTTGGTAGCCGTCGCACCCGTGAGTGCGCGGCATGTAGTCGTCGTCATCTAAGCCCTTGGCCGCCGCGCCAAGATGCATTGTTGCAGTTTGGCCTGCAAACTGGCGCGTCTGTAGCTGAGGGGAAAGGTGCATGTTCCGTCCGACGTCGCACCACGATAAGGCTGTAAGCTGATGATGTGCTCAGGGACCAAGATGCAGCTGCATATGATGCCACGCTTACGCGCGAGTCGCCGGTTCCCCGGACCGGTTATGAAGGGTTCCCCATAACGGGGTCTGGTGGCGTTTCTTGGCAAAATTCCATGGCCCCCGCGTGCTGATGCGACCGGATGGGGTCTCGCGTGGAGATGTTTATGCCATTGGTGGAGGAGAAGTTGTCGTCTTGAGCCCCTATTGACGCGATGAAGCGAGCAAGGCACAGCGTTGGGAGAATCAGATCCAACAGGGCCGATGCCGGGGCGCTCCTGTCTGCTTTGCTTTGACCAAACTCCGGTGCAGCGAAAAGGAAACCACATGGCTTCGCTGACGCAAGGCAAAGGAGATCACACTCCTATCCACCAAGATCAACGGGGGAAATCATGACAGCAACCACGGTCACGGATATTAACCGAGCAGAATTGCCAGATCAACCAGTATCTGCCAATCATGCGGCCGCCGAAGCGGTCCCAGACCTGTCCCGTAAGCGTCTGTACGTACTTGGATTAGCTTTGGCCCTCACCAACGTCGTCGTCGCTTTTGACACTACCATTCTTGGTGAGCACACTTTTACGCATAGTAGCCCTTGTGTTTGCTTCCTCGGAACCTTGAAGCAAAGTCTAACACAGCATCATCTCCCCGACAAGGGCCTGCAATCCCGGTAATCACCTCCGAGTTTGGTAGAATCGACCACATCGGCTGGTATACGAGCGCATACCTCCTCGGAATGGTAACATGCCAGCCATTCTTCGCCCGTCTTATTCTCTACTACGACAAGAAATGGTTCTACATGACATGCGTCCTAGTGCTCGAAGTAGGCTCCATCATCTGCGCGACCGCGTCATCGTCTCCCATTCTCATCCTAGGCCGCGCCATCTCTGGGTGCGGCTCCGCCGGTGTTTCGGCCGGCGCGTTCGCAATAATCGGACATCTTGCCCCTCTGCGGGAGCGGCCGCGCATCATCGCCATGTTTATGGCACTGCAATCGGTCGCGTTCGCTGCTGGGCCGACCTTGAGTAGTGTCTTCACGAGCTCTGCTGTTACGTGGAGGTTCAATTTCTGGGTCAACTTGCGTACGTATGGTTACCCCGGCCTGATCGTCTGCCCTGATTTTCTTTGTATTGACATGATGATTGGACATAGCTATCGGTTTCGGTGCTCTCTTCTTTGTGTGGTTTGCCGTCCCAAGGGACTTCAACGACAAGAGACTCTTGCCCTTGTTGGAGAAGCTGAGGCGATGTGACCCCTTCGGAAGTGTTCTCTTAGCATTGTGCCTGGTACCTCTATTTCTCGGGCTGGAATGGGGCGGCAATGTCGCGCCATTCGCCTCGCCCCAAGTATGGGGATGCTTTCTCGCCTCCGGGCTCTCTGCAGTTGCCTTCGTCGCTCTGCTGGCTGTGAAAAAGAACAAGTGAGTTTTTCCGTCCTTAGACCTCGCCCGCACTCCTGTCTATTCGATAATCGACCCGGACACCATGCGCGAATCAACGCTAAACCACCTCACAGCGCGGTGATCCCCCTCCGAATATTCAAACAGCGCACAATAGCAGTCTGCATCTCCTTCTCCGCCCTCTACGGCATGGCCCAGATGATTCACGCCAGCATGCTGGCCACATACTTCCAGACAGTCCACGACATCAGCATCACCATGTCCGCTGTGTACCAGATCCCCTCCACAATATCCAGCATCGTCAGCTCCATTATCGCAAACCTCGCCATCAGCGCGTGGAACCACTACCTGCCCTTCCTGTGGGGTGGTCCGCCTATCTTCCTTGCGGGGGCGGTCCTGATGCACACCTTCTCCACGGACAGCGCCCGGGCAGAATTGTTGGGCTATCAGGTCCCTGCGGGTATCGGGTTCGGCCTCGCGGTGTCCACCACGCTTGTTGCTATTCAGGGCGTTAGCTCCACTGAGGATTTGGCGAGCGCGTGTGTGGCGGACGCCGTGTCCGCGCAGGTCGGCAGGGCCGTGGGCGTCAGTATCGCTCAGAATCTCTTTGTCGGTCTCCTGAACAACGGACTGCGGGAGATCGTGCCGGCTGAGGAAGCAGCTGCTTTCGCACAGAATGGGTTGGAGAGGATGATTGAGAGCATGAAGACCATGGATGAGGTGATGAGGCAGCAGTTTCGGGAGGTGCTCAACACGGCAGTCGTTACGGCGCTGCTGATCCCTGTGGCTGCGCTTTCGATGGCTATTGTGGTCTCGTGGTTCGCTGAGCGGAGAGTGCTTGTGCTCAAGACTGTCGTTGAGAGGCAGGCCATGTCGGAGGATCAGGCGCCCGGCAAAATTGATGGTGTGCAGGAGGAATCTGTCATTTTGCAGGACAAGTAGTCGCGCTTAACGGACTCTACAAGTTACGAGACAAGCGAAATGTTGATAGATAATTCACCCTCATTCTGTCCATTGCCAATCCACATCCAACTCTGTCGACGACCAAAACTGCTATCGTCAAGAGGAACTAGTTTTACGAAACACCTGCACAGCTTTGGTATATGCGATTGTGGCATTCTGGACGGTGCCTTCTCAGCAACCCGATCCCGGCGGCGTGTCCAGCATTGGGATATCCGCCGCAATCGGCCGAACTATCGCCTTGTCCCGGCAAAACGCAGGCGCCCATCCAGCTCCACGGTCAGGGAACTTACACCACGGACAGCTATCGGCATGGATTCTTGGCCAACTGTAACGCCATTGCTAAACTCCGGTGGCAGCATTCATGCAATGCCCGGAAGGCTCGGCTACTCCGCATTGCCCACGTCTTACTTGCATCCCTGCCACCCAAACCACAATCTTCATCCCCAGTGGTAGGCGGACCGTACCTTAGCCTATTTGCATCTTACCTGCAATGCGAACTCCTTTGGGCGCTTTCATTGTTTTTGCGACGTCCTGCATCATCAGACATGACGGGATGCAAGGGCATACGAGCCGTGCATTTTAGCCTATGTTTATCACAAGTGCGGAGTGTGGGGGCAGACTCTGCGGGGATTTGAATCCCTTGTAAGCACCGACTCTTGTTTGGAGCTGGGTGTGGGGGATGAATGCTCTGCCAAGAACAGAAAGAAGTCGAGACCCGGCAGGGTGCCAGGGATATGGGTCACCCCGCTGCATCATGTTTGACTTGGAGAATTCGGCCCACGTTTTGCTCGTACGGTTGGATATGGTCCTGGAGATGGTGCGCTTATCCTGGCTGGTGCTTTCAGCTCTTGCCAGCTCCCGTTAGTGCTTACGACACCTAGCGTCTTGGCCCGGACAGAGAAGAAAGTTTCCATCCATAGCCATGACCGATATCGCCCCTGTGTGATCGTGGCACAAGAAGTCCGGGGGAAGCGGTCCAGGGTCACGGCCAAGTGTTCCTAGCAGACATTTACGTTAAAGGCCATCCACAAATGTAGAGGACAGTAAACTGGTGCAGGGCTGTTTGTACCTTGTTATAAAACCCCGTCTTGACTAACGCGGACACTTTACTTTGAATGAAGTTAGGAAAATGTCTTCTCGAATATAAACCCAAATCATTCTGTCCAAGCTCGCACTCAACCCTACCATCCTTTCTTGATACATGACCACTGTCTGTCGACCCAATCAAATCGAGCTAAACCCCCCGATGCTTGAGTCGAGCAATATCACCACGACTGTGATTGGGAAGCTCGGCACTTCCCTCAACCTCACAATAGCTAGCAAACCCCTATGCATTGATCATTCCAGCGCCAACATGAACATCGCCTTCGTAGGCTGCGGCTTCGTCGCCGCATACTATGCCGACACGCTCGCGAATCACCCCGAGCTTCATCCCCTAGCAGCATACGACATCGACACTACCCGCCTTTCAGCATTCTCAAAACACTACAACATCCCCGCCGCAACCTCCCTGCAAGAAATCTTGTCCAACCCATCCATACAGACCATAGTAAACCTCACGCCCCCGGCCACCCACCACTCCATCTCCCGCTCAGCCCTCCTCGCTGGGAAGCACGTCTACTCTGAAAAGCCGCTCGCCATCAAACCCACCGATGCGAAGGACCTAATCACCATCGCGTCCCAGCAAAACCGCATCCTGGCAGTAGCACCGTGCAACTTCCTCGGCCGCTCAATGCAGACCCTCGCACGGCTCGTCACGCGGGAGAACGCGATCGGCATCCCGCGGGTGGTGTACGCGGAACTCGACGACGGGCCGATTCACAAGCTCCCCCATCACACCTGGTCCAGCGGCGCGGGGTGCTCCTGGCCAGCGGAAACGGAGTTCAGGGTAGGCTGCATATGGGAGCATGCTGCTTATGAGGTTGGGTTTCTCACGAGCATCTTCGGGCCCGCGACCAGTTTGACGTCGTTCTCGCACACTTTGGTTCCGGAGAAGATGGACGCCGTTCCAGCCCCCGAAGTCGGTCCGGATTTCAGCGTCGCTGTGTTGAAATTTAGGAGTGGTGTGGTGGCGCGGCTGACGATCGGTACCGTTTCAAGGAGGAATCGCTCGATGACTATCACCGGGGATAAAGGCATCCTGCATGTCCCTGAGGTATGGGACTTTGATGCACCTGTCCAGTTCACGCGCGCGCGAGGTTCAGAGGAGAGTCCTGAGTCGCCGCTGCTGCTGCCCGCTGTCACGACGAAGACAACCAACGGGACACATACCAATGGCGTGTCAGCGCCATCGTCAGAACGAGGCATACAGATCGACACACCGGCTGAAACGCCGCCGGTGTATGCTGGTGGCGGCGCGTGCAAGATGGATATGGCGCTCGGTCTCGCGGAACTGGCTGCCGCTATCAAGCAAGGGCGCCGGCCGAGGATGGGTGCGGACCACGCGTTTCATGTATATGAGGTCTTGCAAGCGCTGAATGATTCGGTTGCCGCACCGGGCTACAGGGAGATCAAGTCAGAGTTTGCGCCGATTGAGCTGATGCCGGCTGCAAAGACTGTTACGTCGGAATGTAATATCTCATGGTAGCGTTTGCGCGGAGACGTGTGCGGCCTGCCGGTTTGGGCTCTTAAAGGGGTTCAACGGACGGAGAACATGGTTGGGGGCGGGACAAGGACACAATGTTGCACAAGGAGGTTCAAGCACGCACACAACGCCGTAAGCATCACCCCGAACAGCAGTATTGGAACTCGTCTTGGTATAAAACGTCCTTCAATGATGAAGGAGGCACGAGCCCAACCACCGCATTCACCGTCCCCGCTACTGCTGATTGCGCCCATACGTAACCGCGTTAGCAAAACCGATGAACTGCGTGGAAGCCTGCAGAATGGGCAAGGCGCGGGTATTCGAGGTGTGCCCCGTCGCCTCCATGATGCGCTTCGTGATATCAGGGATTCACAGGATTACGTAGGCGATCGGATATCCGTTCAGCAGGAGCATCTTGATATCACGCTCCACTTTACGCGAGCACGGGCGGAACTACATTCTTAGCTCGTTGTTTATTGCCGGCGGGTCTGTAAGGGGGTTCGCGGGCTGGGATAGGGCGGTTGCTGCTGCTGATGTTTGTGACTGCAGCGGAGAAGGAGGGTAGCCGGAAGGTTGGAGGTAGTGGGAGTGGTTTATCGGATAGTAGAGGGTGGATGTGGGCAGACTGATGCTGCGCGTTCGACATGCGGCCCTTGTTGTTATCGTTGTTGTTGCTGTGTAGCCTCGAGTGGTTGCTCGGGTCCTGTATGGTAGTTGGTGGGCATAGACGTGCTAGAGAGAGGTTGAACATAAGCGCATATCGAAATGGACGCTAGGTTTTGTTGAAGAAGATGAAACACGCGAGGACATAGATTGAGGCTGTGGCAGACAGGACACTGCCGGCAGGCGTGATGCCTGCAACTATGGGGTTGAAATCGAAAGCCAGGATGATGGTTGTGAAGTTCGTTGACGCTTCAGTGATCAAAGACACTGAAAGAGACTGGTGCGCCCGACGGCAACGAGCCAGCCGGAAATGCAGGGACCGACGGACATGACGGCGTACGCTCGTACTGATGCCCTGAATAAGAATCAGATGGGATCCTGGGGGCTTTATGTAGAAGAGGGCAGTAAGCATCACGACTTAATCGGGCGCGATCCGCGATGTTTATCGACGAACCTGGCCGTGATGCAGCCAGCTGTGCTGAGGCATTGGAAATTCCTCCACTCTAGGGTGCACACGCTACAGTTCACCTCGTCGGAAATACAATCTGTATATGGAGATTTAGCCTTATCTAGATGTACGATCAATTGCCCTTGAACAGAAATCCGTCAGTAGGCGATATTACATGATCTCGGTATAAGCCGACAGGCGCGGTTCGGCCCAACCTACTGAGGCACCACCGTTTGGGGAGAATTGCTGTATCATGATGCGGCCTCTGAGTTCAACTTTTGAATCAGGGTTTCGGGGCTGCTGTCCGGCTAGAAAGCTAAATATCTAGGTGAAGCCAATAGACTATGCTGCTCTCTTGAGTATCGCTCTTTGTAAAAACGGTTGTCGTGTTCCTTAAGATATCTTTCTCTCCTGCGCAATTAACCGCTTGATCCATGAGCGGGGGATCAAATAACATGTCGATTGGGGAATTTTGAAGCTACAGACTGTCCGTAAGAACAAACAATTACTGATTCAAATACGCCTTCATCTTTTATAATGCCATGTTCTAGTTATCACCTACGTAGAGCCTACAGTTTTAGCATAATTATTCTTCTATGCTTGACTTTCGTGTTCATCGCACTTATGAATCTAAATTACCCATTGTCTATCCGCAGTTGCTAAGGCTGACATGACCAGACACGTGGCACATTGGGCCTTACCCCTCACTTCTGCCATTACATTGCGCGCTTTAGTTGTACTAACAATAGCTTAGCTCTAATATAGCACCCGCTGGAAACAATGGAGGCCCTTGCCGATGACGAGTTCCGCCTGCTAGTGCTTTTGCCGGCAGTGGTAATGAGCCTCTACGCTGTGAACTTCGCCCGACGGCGCTCGACAGGCCGCCGCTCTATGAAGCGCTTTCGTACGTCTGGGGCAGCAGTGCAGACCTCGGCGACATCGAAGTCGTTAGCCAGCGGCGGGGTCGCCAACAAGACGAGCATGATGCTCCCTCGTCGCCGTCTCTGCGGCTCGCAATCACACAGAGTGTCATGGCCATCCTCCACCTTCTTCGTCTGCAGGCTGACACGCGGACACTGTGGATTGATCAGCTGTGCATCAACCAGTCCGATCCGGGAGAGAAGACCGCGCAGGTACAGAAAATGTGCGACATCTATTCTAAGTGCGACCAATGTCTCGTGTATATGGGCGCATTCCTCCAGGACAAACGGGTCGACGCAGAAGGCGCGGTCGCCGTTATCAAGTACATGGCAGCGTTCCATCCCCAAGAGGGCAGCTCGACTCGTGCAGCTCCCGAGTGCATGTCGTCCAGAGAGTCATTCCAGGCCGCCATGCAGGCGCTCGGTACCATCAGCACTCGCGCGGGTCAATGGTGGCACCGGGCCTGGACACTACAGGAGCTGATCGTCCCAAAGTCGGTCAAATTCTTCTCAGCAGAAGGGGAAGCACTGGGCAACAAAACAACGTTAGAGATACTGCTCCACGAATGTACAGGAGTCCCTGTTGATGCTCTTCGGGGGAAACCTCTGGCTGACTTCAGCATCAACGAGCGACTCTCTTGGCTGGGAAAGCGCAAGACCAAGCGTCCTGAAGACCTTGCGTACTGCATGTTTGGCATCTTCGATGTTCACATGCCACTTATCTACAGCGAGGGGGAGGAGAAGGCATTCCTCGGACTGAGACGAGAGATTGGTAAGCGTCCATGGCTTCACATGCGCTTCCAATCAGCTGGAGCACAGGCTGACCAGTTTGTCCTGGTATGCATTCTTGTTTACAGGTCAGGACACGATCAGCGAGGCAGCCAAGCAATGCATTGCCGACTTACGGGTTACCGATCCTCGCCATGATAAGAGGCGCATCGAGAGCATGAAGGGCAGCCTACTCAGGGACTCCTACTTATGGGTGCTTGACAACCCGGACTTTCGCCAGTGGCGCAACAATGCCGACCAGCGACTACGCTGGGTCAAAGGCGATCCGGGCAAGGGCAAGACCATGCTACTTTGCGGAATCATCGACGAACTCGAGAGGATGCGCACCGAGGGACAGACTCTATCCTACTTCCTTTTCCAGGCCACAGACGAGCGCATCAATACCGCGAAGGCTGCATTGCGCAGCTTAATCTACATGCTCCTCAAGAAGGACGCCTCCATCATTTCTCACATGGAGAAGCCGCACGCAGCCGCCGGCAGAGACCTTTTCGAAGACACCAACGGCTGGCAGGCGCTATGTGAAATCTTCGAGAACATTCTCCAAGATCCCAAACTTCAGGGAGTTGTCCTTGTGGTCGACGCTCTTGACGAGTGTTTGCAAGATCTGCCAGTGTTTCTCGACCTCGTGGTTAGAATTTCGCGAACGACCAGAGCGAAATGGCTCATTTCAAGCCGTAATTGGCCTCAAATTGAGGAACCATTAAGCGAAGTGGCGCACGGGCTCTCGCTTGAGGTCAATGAAACTTCAGTTACAGAAGCCGTCAATACGTACATCGAGCACAAGGTGTCCGAGCTTTCACGACGGAAGGGTTACCGCGATGACGTTGCCAAGGAAGTTTACCACTATCTGTCATCGAACGCAGCCGGTACCTTTCTCTGGGTTGCCTTGGTCTGTCAAGAACTCGAGAAGACTCGCAAAGGGAACGCGTTACAGAAAGTCAAGTCTTTCCCTCCGGGCCTTGATGCTCTATATCAACGAATGATGGAGCAAACTCTCGCCTCAGAGGACAGCGAACCCTGTACGCAGGTTCTTGGAGTTATAGCAACGATCTATCGCCCACCGTCGCTGTCCGAGCTGATGACTTTGATCGGAGATTCCTCGGATATAGGTACTAATTGCGAATCGCTACAGGAGATCATCAGCCTCTGCGGCTCGTTCCTCACTATTCGTGAAGATAAGGCATACTTTGTCCACCAGGCGGCCAAGGACTTCTTGACGAAGTGGCATACGGTTGTTCTTTTTCCCAACGGACAGCCAGCTGTTCACAGCCGGATTCTCGAGAACTCAATCGCGGCTATGTCCAGCATACTGAAGCGCGACAACTACAATCTACACGATCCAGGCTTCCCAATCGAGAAAGTCAAACCGCCGACGCCTGACCCACTCTCGACAGTTAGGTATTGCTGCGTCTACTGGGTCAATCATTTAGTGGATGCCATTACGGATCAGGTTGAAAGCAGCAGCGCACGCGACGGCGGAATAGCAGACAGCTTCTTGCGGAATAAAGCTCTCTACTGGATTGAGCGTTGAGTCTACTACGTGGCATTTCAGACAGCATCGTTGCATTAGAGGGTCTCAAACAGTGCATTCAGGTATGTTTCATATGCACTTTTGCACGTCAAAGTTACTGAATAGAGCAGGATCGTCAGAGTGCTTCAGGTCTTCAGACAATAGTTGTTGACGTGTATCGTCTTCTACGAGGCTTCCGGCCAGCGATTGAGAGCCGGCCACTGCAATGTTACGCCTCGGCACTCGTTTTCAGTCCTGCTCAAAGTATAATACGGAGGCTCTTCCGCGGCGAGAAACCGGACTGGGTCGAGTGCGAACCGGAACTGTTGGAGCGGCGGGGCGCATGTGAGGCGACACTCGAGGGTCATACTGACTGGGTCCGGTCGGCAGCCTTCTCCCCAGACGGCGGCCGCGTTATCTCGGCATCGTCTGATAAGACAATTAAGCTGTGGGATGCAGCTACGGGCATATGTCAGGCGACACTCGAGGGCCATACCGGCTCGGTCCTCTTGGCAGCCTTCTCTCCAGACGGCCGCCGCGTTGTCTCGGCATCGTCTGATAAGACAGTTAAGCTGTGGGATGCAGCTACGGGCACGTGCGAGGCGACATACGGAGATTTTGCTAATTGCTCTATCTCACTCGACACGACTGACACGTATATCTATACCGGTGTTCGAATAGTCCGTATGGAGAATGCCGTGGAGTACATCTTGGATCCACATCCAAACATGTCCGTCACGGCCGGTCGCCAACGCTATGGTGTCAGTTCGGATGGTGCATGGATTTTGAGAAACTCGCAGCCGGTCCTCTGGCTTCACCCAGAACTCCGATCTCAAGTTGTTGGATGGGCCACAGTGGATGCAGACACAAAGTTGGGTATTGCATGCTCGACTGGCCGCCTTTTTATCTTACATTTCACCTCCATCTAGGGACACGTAGATCATGATGGGCGCCTTTGACTATCGTTTCCTCGTTTGCTTAAATGCTTGAATAAAGGTGGGCTCTAATCTTCTCTCCGATACATGGTAGCTCAATATTCGAGGATATACACTATAGTTAACGTAATCCACAAGTGACTGAGACACACAAGTGAATGAGACACTTTCAGGGTACTCGTACGATAATGTATAAGAGAATTCAACCACAACGCCTTAAATCAATTGAAACTATTCAGAATCCTCTTCTTCAGAGGCAGATATAACTTTCTGACACGTACGAGCATTATGCCCGGGCTCGCCGCAGACGCCACATCGTCGCGCGCGCGTTTCGGGCCTCCTCGTACGACCACTATTCTGACTCGTTTCCGCTATTAACTGCTGCGTCGCATCGATTTGAGCCTTCAAATCCTTTGCCTGATCAATCGTGAGGGACCCTCCTTTCTGTAGCTGCTTTCTTTTCGTACGACGACGGCGGCTGAGGCGGTCGTTTGCATCTCGAAGTTCGGCGAGCTCTTGGCGCATAAGGTCCTGCTCGTGTACCATCATTATGACTCCTTTTCTTAGCTGCCGTACGCTCTTAACAATGGACGACGGTGAGCTATTCTGGTGTCGTACGATGCGATTTTCAATATACTTCGTCTGCGATTCGGTCTCAATTGGGTTGTTCGGCGTCTTTGAAACCCATGGGGGTGGTAGTCCAGCAGAGGAACCTGGCGGTGTCGGCGTATGAAACTTCACATCTAGCTGTGAAATCACATAATTCGGGTCGTACGGTACTAGGCCTGTCGCTCTGAAGCCTGCCTGGATGTTTGATTTGGTCATTGCAGCGTCGTACGCCTTATAAAAGGCTGGGAGGAAGTCCTCCTTTGAAATATGGGTTACGTATGCCCGCATAAGACCTTCGATTTCTTTACCGTACGCCCGTTTCAGAGGTCCAAAGCACCCAACGTCGAGAGGCTGGAGCTTATATGACGAATGAGCAGGCATACAGAGCGTAACAATATTCTGTTCCTTACAGTAGAGCTCGAAATCGACGGAATAGTAGCTCTCGTAGCCGTCGAGGATGAGGAGGCGGTAGGTGCCCTTCGTACGACTCTTTATATGGAAATCGAAGTGTTTTACCCACTCTAGGCCTCTCTCGTTCGTCGTCCAACCGTTTTCTGAAAGCGCGATTACCCAGTCGGCCGGTAGAGGGCTATTCGCGGTCCAGGAGTCGAGGTGGACCTTCCCGGCGAAGATGATATACGGCGGGATTAAATAGCCGTACGACGCGATGCCCTGGATTACTGTAACCCATTCCTGATTCCCTTGTTGTACGGCTCTTAGCCTCCCGCGTCGATCGGAGGTTGTAACGACGGTTTCGGTGGAGATTTTACCTATCGCGAAGCCCGTTTCGTCGAAGTTATAGATATCGTCATTATGGATCCCGTATTTCGCGATTATGTTTCGTACGAGCTCAAACCACGCGCGATACGCGTCCGGATCTTCGCAAAGGACCCTCTGGTAATCGATTCTTCGATTAAAACGCGTACGGAGCTCTGGTCGTCGTCGTACGAAGGTTGAGGCCCAGTTCGTTCCAACACGTAGCGCGTCGCGTACGCGGAGGAGTCGATCCGCCATTTCTCGAACACCACTTAGGCGCGGCGGAAATGATCGCAAGTCTAGGTCGATTACGTATCGTATAATACTCTCCTCTTCGTACGAGGTCAATTTCTAGCAGGGTAGTCGGGTATTGTATTTCGCAGCTCGGCCGTCTCGTCGTCGTTAGAGGGTTGCGCGGGATACATTATAGAGTAATGCAGCCTTTCGTACACTTAATTTTGGGTCAGATTTAAGCGCAGCTAGCGCTAGAACCAAATCGCATTCATTTGATTGTCGTACCATGATTGTTGGTGGAGAAATAAGGAAATGAAGGTTATCTATTCAAAATGGGGGAAAAGTGGCTCACTGACCCGTGTGGCTCACTCACCCGTGGATTACGTTATGTAACATCGTGTAACTCAGTAACACGTTTTACGTGGAGCTAGTTCCTTTTTACCAGGGTGGCTCGCGGGTACATAAGTCTGCCCCCCGTCTCGCGACCAGGGTACTTCGCGACCACCCCAAACCCCACCAAAATCGCTAAAATCGCTACCTTGTCACTCGGCTATAACTCAGCTAATAAATTAGCTATAACGTAATCCACGGGTCACCCGGCCACACGGGTCACCCGGCCACTTTCGTCCAATTTAAGCCACTTCTCTTCTTTCCTCATTTTCTCTACGAATAGCTATGCCACCACAATCAATTGAAAGTGATCTTATTCTTGCGCTAAATGCGCTTCAATCCGACCCAAAATTAAGCGTACGAAAGGCTGCGCAGATCTACAAAGTCCCTCGTACGACCCTCCAAGACCGACGACGTGGTGTACAGCCAAAACGCGATATCCGACCATCCTGCCAGAAATTGACCTCATACGAAGAGGACAATATCGTACGATACATAATCGACCTAGATTCGCGATCGTTTCCGCCGCGCTTAAGTGGTGTGCGAGAAATGGCGGATCGACTACTCCGCGAACGCGACGCGGGACGCGTCGGGACGAACTGGGCCTCAACCTTCGTACGACGACGACCAGAGCTCCGTACGCGTTTTAATCGAAGAATCGATTACCAGAGGGTCCTTTGCGAAGATCCGGACGCGTATCGCGCGTGGTTTGAGCTCGTACGAAACATAGTCGCGAAATACGGGATCCACGATGACGACATCTATAACTTTGACGAAACGGGCTTCGCGATGGGCAAGATCTCCGCCGAGACTGTCGTTACGACCTCCGACCGACGCGGTAAGCCAAGAGCCGTACAACAAGGCAATCAGGAATGGGTTACAGTAATCCAGGGCATCGCGTCGTACGGCTATTCGATCCCGCCATATATCATATTCGCAGGGAAGGTCCACCTCGACTCCTGGACCGCGAATAGCCCTCTACCGGCCGACTGGGTAATCGCGCTTTCAGATAACGGCTGGACGACGAACGAGAGAGGTCTAGAATGGGTAAAACACTTCGATTTCCATACGAAGAGTCGTACGAAGGGCACCTACCGCCTCCTTATCCTCGACGGCCACGAGAGCCACCATTCCGTCGATTTCGAGCTCTACTGCAAGGGACAGAAGATTGTGACGCTCTGTATGCCTGCTCATTCATCACATAAGCTCCAGCCTCTCGATGTTGGGTGCTTTAGCCCTCTCAAACGGGCGTACGGTAAAGAAATCGAGGGTCTTATGCGGGCGCATATTACCCACATCTCAAAGGAGGACTTCCTCCCAGCCTTTTATAAGGCGTACGACGCTGCGATAACAAAGTCAAACATCCAGGCAGGCTTTAGAGCAACTGGCCTAGTACCGTACGACCCGAATTATGTAATTTCGCAGCTGGATGTGAAGTTTCACACGCCAACACCGCCAGGTTCCTCTGCTGGACTGCCACCCCCTTGGGTTTCAAAGACGCCGAATAACCCAATTGAGGCCGAATCGCAGACAGAGTATATTAAAAATCGCATCGTACGACACCAGAATAGCTCTCCTTCGTCTATTATTGAGAGCCTGCGGCAGCTTAATAAAGGAATCACAATGATGGTACACGAGCAGACCCTTATGTGCCATGACCTCGCCGAACTTCGAGATGCAAACGACCGCCTTAGCCGCCGTCGTCGTACGAAAAGAAAACAGCTACAGAAAGGAGGGTCCCTAACAATTGATCAGGCAAAAGATTTGAAGGCTCAAATCGACGCGACGGAGCAGTTAAGGGCGGAAACGAGTCAGAATACTGGTCGTACGAGGAGGCCAGAAACGCGCGCGCGACGATGTGGCGTCTGCGGCGAGCCCGGCCATAATGCTCGTACGTGTCAGAAAGTTGTATCTGCCTCTGAAGAAGAGGATTCCTCATAGTTTCAATTGATTTAAGGCGTTGTGGTTAAATTATCTTATACATTGTCGTACGAGTACCTGAAAAGTGGCCGGGTGACCCGTGTGGCCGGGTGACCCGTGGATTACGTTAGCATATATTACATGATTTAAGTTCCGTCGAAGCTGCACTTTACCGGAGCTATTAAACATTACATTGACAGCCACAAGGCCGTAGATCAGCGAGACGAAGGGCGCCACACACCTTCTGGGGAATATTGATGCGGCTGCATTTGGATGTTGTCTTTTTATATGCTGGCTTAGGGCATTTATCAATTCCATGGGTTGCGAAATTGTTTGCTTGCTAGCAGACAAGACATCCATTGAGTTTGTTATTTCGCAAGTGGAGGCTGTAGCACAACAAAACACCAACTTCACAGTGTTGGTCGTTGAGTCCGCTTGCTTGCTCGCGGGCAGTTGGAAAGGGAAGAGTAGTTTCTCACATATATTGACAATAGCAGACATCACTGCACTCATAGTTCTCACCGTCGTAGAAATATTCGTGCGGTTCTCCTCCCCGCGCTCCTCCTGAGGACTGCAACTTGTGCAGTTGTTTGACACACGGCCCCAGCCGGGGAGCGCGCATCGGAGACTAGGATGTTTGAGGCGTTGATTGGCAAAAAGTCCATCCGGCCGGGTCTCCGAAGAGGTGTGAGTAAGCCCATGCAGACAGCCCAGCGAGACTGGCGCTTAGCAGGCCCAACCAACCGAAGAAAAGAGCCGTGGCCCAACTTCGCAAGACACAAAAAGACTACGCAGCAAAGAGAAAACGCATTTCTTCGATTCAATTCTTACTCACTCTCAAATCCCGGCCTTCAGACATTACACATCACCAGGCGCGACAGTAAATGGCGTCCGCACCCCGTCTCCGAGTTCCGCCCAAGGAGTCAGTGGTGCGCAAAGGGCAGGGAATGGAAGACGACGCATCCGGGTCCGGTGAGGCAGGACGCCCGGCTCTTCTCTCGTTCGATAAGATGCCGGAATGGTTTCAACACGACAACAATCAGTGGATCCTTCACGGTTACCGGCCCATATCGGGCTCGTTTCGCGCCTCGTTCCGCAGTTGGTGGTTTCTCCACAACGAGACGGTCAACATATATTCCCATCTCATTCCGGCGGTTGTCTTCCTCCTCGGCGAGTGGTATATCTTGCAGTACCTTGCTGGCAAATATTCCAGAGTCACTAGTACCGATTTTGTTGCTTTCTCGTCCTTTATGCTTACGGCGAGCATTTGCTTTACATTTTCGGCTCTTTATCATACCTTCATGAATCACTCTTACGCGGTGGACCATCTCTGCCACCGACTGGATATGCTCGGTATAGGGATCTTTATAGTCGGTGACATTATCTTGGGAGTATACATAATCTTTTGGTGTGAGACTGCGCTACGCAATATTTATTGGTCTATGGTTAGTTGATCTCCATAAGCTCGGCTTTTTCTGTGCCAGGACTGGTAATCGGATCTAACACTGTCTTCATCGGTCAATAGATTGGGGTTTTTGGGGCATTGACCATTATTACGAACATCCATCCGAAGCTCCAGAGCCACAAATATCGCTCCATGAGAACACTGGTGTTCGTAGCAACGGGCATGTCCGTTGTGGCGCCATTGATTCAGGGGCTCGATAAGTTTGGACTGGACCTGATGAGCAAAAAAGCGCTCATTTATACTCTGGTGGCAAAGATAGGCTGTCTTCTATCTGGAACCGCGCTTTATGCAGTGAGTCTCCCATTTTGCCCATACAGGAGAAAAATTGATCCTAAGACACCTGATTCGAAAGATGAGGTTTCCCGAAAGTTGGTGGCCTGGAGGATTCGACATGTGCAGCTCCCACTCGTTCATGCACATCCTGGTGGTCTGCGCCGCTGTTATCCAGATGATAGGGTATCTGGAAGCCTTCGACTATGCTTACTTAAGTATTACCTGCTCGGCCTCTTGAGTTACTACCTTTGTAGAGCCTCTCATCACCGGGACGAGCGGCGACCTTCCAACTTAGGTAGCGCTGTTGGAGATTCTGGCAGCAAGGTGCTTTCGGGAGTGGGCGCCATCGGATATTCGCGAGGAAGTGCGCCAGTAAGCCGACAGCAGCACAAGCAATGTGGGTTGAGTGGGTACTCAGGGTCAATCTACTGGATGCGGCGGATATCAGGAAGGCAAAACTCAATTCCTACACCAAAGCCGTGCACCAACTAAGACCGGTATAAGTACCGTGACTCCAGATTCCTGCTACGATCCCGACTGCTACAGCGAGACATCCATCTATCACCACGTGCAGGTCCTTCGTCTCATCCACACTCTCTGCCACCGATCCTTTACAGTCTCTCCTGCCCTCGTTAACTCCTCTCCAGCCCAGTTCGCTTTTGGTCTTCCAAGCATAAGTGCTCACGGACCTCGTGGTGTCGGAGATTCTTTGTGTCTTTCTTGACTTTCTCGAAAGTTGGAACATAAGCAGACTGGAGATACTCTTCAATCTGTCCATACGTCTGGCATAGACCCTCGACCGGTTTTTATCCAACAATCCCTCAATCACGTCACGATCTAAGTTAGGCAAGGCCTTCATAGCTCAATAGGCAAGGCAATACTTACGTGGTTTCCAAGTCCATTCATTAGCATCGTTATGCAAATTCATAAGTTCCACATCGTCCAAACCTCGGTCAAACAACTCCTAAATGTCGAGAGTGTCTGTGTGCTACTTTCTCTTGAACTTCGTGCCGCGTGAAAGGTTCGTTTGTGCTAACGGAACATGTCAGGGCTTGGCCTGTTGACTCATCCAGAAGGCTGTGCCCTCCGCGCCACCATTATAACGACCTTATCCGCGCATTCGCCTTTTGCGACGTCTAACAGAGATAGACGGATCACAGCCACACAGCTATGGCGCATCTCTTGGAGCGGCAAATCGCCTTTCGCAAATACATAAGCAGGCTCTACCAAAAGAGGACGGCTTTGATCTGGGGGCTCATTTGTCCTGTTGCGTCAAAATTCCAATCAAGCTGACTTGCTGTCACTTTCGACATAATATTTCGAAATCTACAAGTGCAGAGCATACACGCAGAGATGTAGTCCAAAAAGCGGAAACGGTTCTCAGGGTAATAACCGAAGTACCTCCAGCTTGAAGCCGTGGTTCGCGATTTCAATATTATCCATCAGTGGTAAACGAACAATGCCAGGGAACAAGAGTCAGGCGCCAAGGCAAGGCCCCCGAGAATCACGAGGTTCGAGCACCCCGTTCTCTCAAAACGATAGGAGCCAGCCTATCTCCCGTGCCAGGCAGCGCCACAAAACCTTGCAAGGCATACAAGCGTCGGAAGAGAATGAGAACGATATAATCGGTTATTAGAGCCTGCCCATCAACACCAAGAGCATACCATACACCACACTATCATCATAAGTGACTCCACAGAGAGCACCGCCGCCGATTCAGGACAGCAGACCTTCCCAGGATTTGAGGCAACAGATAGTATGCTCCATGATGCAGTCAGCATCATCCCCATATTGCGCGCAGCACGTATATCGCGCATCCCGACTGCCGCGCATCTCGACTGATGCAGACATCGAATCGGGTGTTAAACCCGCGCAAGATTTTGAGTGAGCGCTCGAAGCTCTGGGCCGAGATCAATCAGTGCGATTGGGAAACGGGGAACGCGACAGGTCTCTCTCACGACAAAGCCATGCGCAAGGCTTATATCAAGTGGCAGAAGCATCTGCGCAATAAGGTCTTGCTTCCGGACCCCAGTGCGCGGCAAGGGAGCCAAGTGGCGACAGGGATAGATACATATGATGCCTATCTCTTAATTTCCAGCTCCTTTATACGGCTACAGGTGCGCTTTCCCTTCAACATCTGGACCTGGCAAGCGCTAATGTTACGGCCGGCACCGCATTCCCCAGATCACGCAAGATGTGGCCACAAAAATGTATTTCTTCTGGTTGAAAAAAGGCTCTATTGGTCAATCAGGCTAATTGATTAAGACCGCTGAAAGCCCAGACTTGAGAGTACTATCGAAAAAGTTCAGCTACCACTTCAAGGGCTATACTAGCAAGACGTGGGCACGGCGCTGCACTGTTTCCCCAGATGAACCACGACTCAGGCACTACGAGTTCGTAGAGCTCGACTACGGACAAACCTTACATTTACCGGACCTACCCGACTATACGGCTCTGCACTCGACTGCTCCGGACGAAATCAAAGTCCTTCTGGACTTGGCGTTGTATGGCAAAGTATCAACCTGTAACGACCAAGCCCCAGACAACGGGACGTCATGGTCACCATACACGGCGCCTTTCAACCAGCTCAGTCGTTATACAATATATCTGGCCTTCCGGATTTTGAAGGACATACAAAGCCTGCTGGATAAAATCCGCCTTTCTCTGAGCCGGAAGGCTTTGCAACATCATACAACTCGCTACAGAAAGCAAATTCCGCGGTATCAGGGTCAGAGAATTTTCACACCAGTGATTTCAAGCTACAAGGCACTGTACCTCGAGTTACGGCTTCTGCACTCGCTGTCGCCTTATCAGCAGGAGATTTCGCGGACCTTGCACGTTGTTAAGGAGTGCGCGATGATGGACTGGCGGTTTCACGGTGCACTCGCACTGCCATGGTACCATGCTTATAGTTCCTTGAGTCACGGTTTCAGACGCCTGGAAGATCCTACATCGACCGAATACAGGGAACTTTGCCAGTATTTATTCGGCTCGAATCAGCCTACTCACAAGATGAGCTTCGAGATCAAGGATATCTACGAAGTCTTTGTCAAAACCAGAGCGAGAAACGCATATGATGACTGGATTCAGAGTCGCGAGGACCGCGACACCGAGGAGCGCCTGCTTTTATGGCACGGTACTAGGCTCTCTTCGCTGCATGGCATCTTGGATGTGGGTCTGCAGATCCGACGGCGTGGCGTCTTGTACACTGGCACCATCGGGGGACATCATTCTTAATCGAGATCAACCTAGAGGGCTTCGTGTGCTCCTCCACGCCACGCCGGGCGCAGAGATTATATGATTCACAGCATCTTTCGAGCCAGGTCCTGGCCAGGTCGACATCGTCACGATACTCTCGCCAAAGCGTCGCTTCAGCCGCATTAGTGAAGGGCTCGTTCGGACATCGCGCGTTGGGGGTTTCAGCGTACAGAGGGGGTGATATGACATGTGACTCGAAATGTGAGGATTCCGCCCCTGGGACCCGTACTCGCTCGCACTATTTCCAGGAAAATTGACCCACAGCAGCTGAGGGGTGAAGTCGAGCTCTGTCCAGTTCTGGACGGCTAGAGAGGCTGTTGCAGGGAGCCCAAGCCTCCGAAGTCGTGCCTCAATTCTTCGAAATGTTCTGAGAAGACCCTGAAAATTCAGCCGGTAGAAGATGAATGTGCAAAACCTGCAGCCTTCGAGGGCTGCTGCCTCGACCTCTTCCGTCTCCAGGACCCGCGCAATTCGATGAGCCCGCAACACATCTCTGGGAAGGCCCGGCCAATGTTCAAGAAGATGCTTGCACTGATGGCAGAAACCTTGCTCGACGCATGCCGTTGCCCGGAGACTTTGAACACGTGAATTGACCAGATCGTCATCGAGGTAGTCGGACTTGACAGCCTGGACGACGGCTGAGTCTACGCCAGTGGCGTTGTCGTCCTCTGCGATATATGCCTGATACCACGCCTCGAGACTAGAGAGCTTCATCTTGACATGGCCCACCTGCTCGAAGCCGTAGCTGTGTCGGTCAGTCGCACTGATCCCCTGCGCAAACCTTGACGGCTCGGAGTGGTCTGCGACGTCGAGATCCGAGATCGAAGGAGTCTGGACCCCGCATGTGCGTGGGATTCCCAGATGCCGTCATCTTGTCCCAATCCCGTGCTAAAGATATGACTGCCAGGCAAGTGGACCCTGCCGGGTTTCTGACCCTGCATGCCAGCCAGGGTGCTCCTCGCTGTTAACCACGTTGCGGTTGCGGTAGGCGTAGCACTGTGACGCCAGCGCGTACATACTTGGGTCCAGCACGGGCTGACCCGAGCGTCGAGCCCCAGCTTCCCCGCATCGGGATGCCTGCCTGGCCCTGAGTGGAGCTGCGTGCTTGTCGGAGGCCGGGACAATGGGGCGCGTGCCTGCAGCCCACACGTCACAAGCTCCGAGCCAGTCTAGCTCCCAAGCGTCAAGCTCAGCTCCTGCTCCCCAAGCAACCAAGCTCGCCCGAGCTTCCTCCCAGCACTTGCCCACCCTCTCTCCCTCCTCAACTCATCCAGCTGGTAGGGGACAGCTTCGGTCTCGTCTCCCATCATAGCAACTCGGACGCCCGCCGCGTAACCTCACAGTTGTGACCTAAACTCCACGTCCCACAAGCCCAGCTGGTCTGGCGCAGTTCCCCAGTTCAACGCGTCATCCCCTGCCTGAGGACCGGCGCTGAAGCCTTCAGCCACATAGGCACGACAATCGATCATCGTACACGACCAGCACCCACCCGGGCCTCATCACCATGTCGGGCAACAACGAGCGGACCCCGCTGCTTCCCAACGAGGCCCCCGAGGCCGGCAACCAGAGCAATGTCGACGACACGCCCTTGGACGAGCAGGTCAGACAGGCAAGGCTTCGTCGCTGGGTCTCCATCTGCGTCAGCGTGTTCATCATTGTGGCCTTCATCGCCATCCTGGTCCTCGCCGGAGGTATGCTAGTATCTCCCACTTGGGTATTGATATACCATCATGAGCTTGTACTCATCCTTCGTTCTCATTAGTCTTGGACCGCGGCAAGAAGGGCAGAAATGCAGATACCGCAGTCCCTCTTTGCACCACCGCCGCTTGCATCCACGCAGCATCCGAGCTGCTGTGTAAGCCCAAATAACTCGCTGAATCTCGTTCGTGCAAGGCTCATCCTGTGTCAGACAACCTCTCTCCCGATTACAAGAACATTGATGCTTGCACCAACTTTGACTCTCTGGTCTGCGACGGATTCAATGCTCGCCATGATATTCCTCAGGACCGAAGCTCCTTATCCACCGCCTCTCAGATGTCTGATACTGGCCAGACGATCCTCCGCCACATACTGGAGTCACCCTATCCAGGTCAATCAAAGGTAAAACCACGATCTGGGCAAATTCCGTGCTGCAAGAAAACACGCTGACAACAGCTAGCACTCCGCCTTCTCCCCGATGAACCTCGCGCACACGACTGCAAACACGGACGAAGAGAACTTCCGAAAGATGCAAACGTCCTTTGGCGCCTGTATCAATGAGACTGCGATCGAGAATGTCGGAACCGAGCCTCTTATGGAGCTCATCAAGTCGGTAGCATTACACCTCGAGCTTACCGATGATGTGGCAGAGGGAGGGCTTGGCCAGCCCATGACAGAAGGCGAGCTTGGGTCTCTTCATCAGACGATCGAATTCCTGGAGAAAATTGGGGTTGGCTCCTTTGAGCAGCTCTTCATTGGTGCAGATGACAAGGACCCCGTGAGTGCTGTGCGCGATTGTCTGCTTGTCTGGAGTCGGAGTCCGCTAATATGTGATTGATAGGAATTGCTGATTGTCCAAGCATTCCCAGATGGCATCACCCTCCCATCCCCGGAGTACTACAAGGACAAGGACACTTTGGCATCATACCAGAAACTTCTGGAAGAAGTCTTCAGCACTCTACTCCCTCATGAGACTTGGAAGAAGTCTGCGTCAGTACTGGCCAAGGCTGTCGTAGAGTTAGAAGTCAAAATTGCTGAAATTACCCCACCTCCGGAAGATCTCCAGGACGTCACAGTACGTATGCCTCACAAAATATGATGAGACTTTTGCTAACGCGTCTAGAAATACTACAACATCGAAAAGATTGACAAGGTTGGGGAGCTTGGACCTGCGCTGCGGCTTGACAAGACTGTCAGAGCACTTGCTCCCAAGGACTACAAAGACGGCTCAATGCTACTGGCCTTCCCAGAGTTTCTGACCAAGACATCCAACTTGATCGCCGACACGCCCAAGAGAGTACTGCAAAGCTACTTTATCTGGAAAGTGATTTACAGCTATGCTAGCGCCATCGAGGCACCAGAGGTCAAGCCCATCTCACGGTTCAACAATGTGCTGAGCGGCAGAGTGAGTGAAATGAGCAGTCACGCTGGACGATTCCATTGCTCACTGTTGATGGCAGGACCCTGAGACCAAGACGGAAAGGTGGAAAACCTGCCTGCGCCACGTCGACGGAACAATCGGCTGGATCCTCAGCAGATTCTATCTCGAGGCAGCATTCTCTGAGGAAGCCAAGAAATTTGGCGATGAAATCATCACTGATATCAAGCACCAGTTCATCTCCAAGCTGAACGGTCTGAGCTGGATGGACGAATCCGTCAAGGAGCTTGCTGTCAACAAGGTCAAGAACATCGATCAGAAGATTGGGTATCCGACTAAGTCGCCCAACATCATGGAGCCACCCGCCTTGAGAGACTACTACAAAGATCTTCCCATCTCAGACTCCTTCTTCAAGAACACCCTGAGCAGCGCCAAATGGAGTTCTGACAAGAGTTGGTCGTCGCTGGGCAAACCTGTCGACCACAACGAATGGGGCATGCAGGCTGACATTATTAATGCCTACTACAATCCAGTTGGCAACGAGATTGTCTTCCCCGCGGGCATCATGCAGTTCCCCGTGTTTGACGTCGACCTTCCCAGCTACCTCTCGTATGGTGCCTTCGCTTCTGTTGCGGGACACGAGCTGTCACACGCTTTTGATAGCTCCGGCAGACACTACGATGAGCATGGCAACTTCACAGACTGGTGGACCGAGCGTACTGTCAAGGAATTCACAAAGCGCGCAGACTGTTTCGTTGCTCAACATGGCAATTTCGCCGTGGAGGGCACCGACGGGAAGCCGCTCCATGTGAATGGCAAGTTGACACTCGGCGAGAACATTGCCGATGCCGGCAGTGTGGCTGCCGCCTTCGCTGCGTGGAAGCAGCGACAAGACACTCAGCCCGACAAGAATCTCCCGGGGCTGGAGTTCTTCTCGCAAGATCAGCTCTTCTTCATATTCTATGCCAACTTCTGGTGTGGCAAGATCCGTAAGGAGCAGGCCATCAACTACATCTACACGGACCCTCACTCGCCGGCTTGGGCCCGCATTTTGGGCACGACGGCCAATTCGCGCGAGTTCAGAGAGAGCTTCAACTGTCCCGTCAAGGAGCCGACTTGCGAGCTGTGGTAGAGATGGGTTTTATTGTGCCTTGGCAAATTGTACGGCACGGGTTTTGGATGTATGCTGTGAGCTGAAATAGTTTAATTAGCTGAATGATCATTCCTTTGTTCTCCAGACTGCTGGTCCTAGATGTATCCTGGGCTATAGCCTCGCATGACTGCAAAAAGCATGATGGTCTCTGCTTACGAATCGTGCTGTACGAGCTCAACACTGTGTCTGTGCCTGCCGCCTGGTCGTGCCAGCTCAAAGGCGTGATTGTGAAATGCCTGGCAGCTCTGACTGCGTACTCGCGACATCGACCATGACGTATCTATAGGTTTATCACCGCAAATGTCTCCAGGACTAGCCCACCCTTCTTCGTCCATGCACTTTGACTCTTAGGTAGGGGTCCTACTGCGGCATAACTTTCCATTCTCCCAGCAACTAATCATTGTGCCTGCCAAGGGGCTTCCCTGAGTGACTACCGCCCCCTTCCATCCCTCCTCCCTCTACTTATACTTCTCCTACCGCCGCACCCTCCCACTCCTTACGCCTGACCCGGCCCTCGGCCCACCACAAGGCCGTGCTCGTCCCCAGGAACAAGACCGGCCAGAACACGCCCGCACGCCTCATCGTCCTGCGGACCTACGTGGGCTGTGTCTTGAGAACCCGGGCCTCGACCTGCGAGTGCCACAGCATCTCGGCGACGAACCCGCCAGCGCAGATCAGGGGCAGGTTGTGCTTGTTTGTGGTGCTGTGCAGGCGCGCCGCAATGGAGTCTAGTGTTTGTTGAACCCTGTTGTTGGTGCTGCTGGTGCTGCTACTGCCGCTACTGTCAGGTTGGGAGGGTTGGGTTGGGGACGCCGCCATATTTTCTGTACATGTGCAGCGTTGGATTGGCCTCGATCTTTTGGAGGATGTGATGTGATGTTGATGCTTTAAGGCTGGGATTGTTGACACAGAGCCACCACCCCGTGGACGTGGGACAAGCTGCCCCGTGATCCGCCGTGTGCAAGAAGAGCAGGCGGCTGCGTCAAAGTGAAGCTGAGGCGAGTGTCTGTTGTTATGTCTACTTAAAGTACTCGGTGGTTCCCACGTCCTGGATTCCGGAATAGCCAGCCGTGTAATGCACGACGGTCGTGCGGTGCTTGTTTGATTGCTCAGTGGTTCACGGCTGATGGTGTGGACGATCAAGCACTGAATTGACATGTGCAGGCTGATCGAAGCGTTGTGTACAGTACTAGGTAGCATTTTCCCCGCGCGCGGCGCATAGCTTTGCTCCAAAATTCCAGCCACCTTGATTGCATCATTACCAACAATCTCAAGCACCTGATGGGAGGTCATCAAACAGCTACACTTATGAACAAGACGCATCGCCGAGCGCGGTCAAGCACAACTTTATAGCTTCGACTTCCCGGACATCGCGGCTCTGTAGCCATGTCTCATGATCTAGCTATTATGAGAGAGAAAAAAAAAGTACCAGTACAGTCCTAAAAGACAGTCCTAAACGCCATGCCAACATCCCCACTACGAAGATCAAGCGCTGATTTTTAAGTCGTCACGGTGTAGTCAGCAACCACAGTGTGGTCGTATTTTCCAACCCCTCTCCGCCGGGCCCAGCGCCAGTCCACACAGCGTGGTCTCTGCCTTTTTGCGCTCGTGTCGCATGGCGGTACGCCGCGCCATCTCCGGTGGATTTTGTCGTTTCAGAGGCCCAGCTTCTGCTTCTTGATCCTCGGGTAAATACCAGCGAGGATGAGAAGGGCAATCACAATCGCCGCCCACAGCTTAAGACCGAGAACGTTGACGTTGTAGTCAGTCTTGGTGGCCGATGTGACGGCTGCCATGTACAGGAGCAGCAGGCCGTATCCGCTTATCCGGTGGTACTTCCAGATCGCCTTGGCCTTGGCCTCGCCGCCATAGAGCTGAGGCGTGCCGTACATGGTGAAGCCGACAAGGTACTGGAGGATCTGCCAGATTGAGGCGACAACGCCGATGTAGGCGTGCGGAGACTTGAAGTGGGCGCCATTGCTGCGGATCTTCTTGTACTCGATGCTGCCGACGCCGACGATGAATGATGCAAGCGCGAGGAAGTTCAGCCCTGCGTGCAGCTTCTGGCCGACTTTCTTCTGCTCGGCCGTCACGGTCGGCTGGACGATGAGGATACTCTGGATGAGAACAAGCAGTCCAAAGGATTGAGCCAGCGGGTGAACCGAGAAGAGGATGTACGGTGGTGCAGGAAGACTGCTGCCCACACGGACGCAACGAGCAAAAGACCTCCAGCCTCGGCGACGACACCAGTACCTGAAGAGTACATTAGTTTTGCCATGGTATTGCGGGCTGAAGGGAGTCTGCTGCACTGCTGGAGATGGCGCGAAGGACAAGTGGGTGTTGCCTCGTGAAGGGAGGAGATGCCGTAGGAATATGCTCTGACACCAGATTGATGCTCTGTTGCGGATGCAGACCCCCGGCCTTTTGTGGACGGGGACGGAAACGGAGCTGAGGAAAAAGAACAGAGTGGTCTCACCTAGGATAAGATTTTTGGCGATGGAGGCAGCAGGCTTCTGGGAGGCATCGCCGGGCCGACCGAGCAGGGGCTCGCTCTCCTCGTCACCGCGCCCGGCCGGAGGTTGTTGGGGAATTCCAGTCGCGGATGCCATGGTGGCCACTGATTCGTAAGCAGAGCCTGGCGTGCCTGTTGTCAATCAGACATCGAGGATGCAAGGCTGTACAGCAGAAATATGTAGAAGTGAAACGTGTCCACAGGTGGCTTTTGGTGCTCAGCCTGATCAGATTTTCGGCGTACACATTTCGGGCGTAATGAGCCCACTATGCCTGCCCCGGTCAGCGTACTGCTTTTTGTGTTGCAATAACCAGGCAGATGAGCATCAAAGCGGGCAGCCAAACCAGGCGTTAGCAGATATCTATTAGGCAAGAGCGGAGCCACATATAAAACGAATAGCCACACCTTACCGCTGGGTGGGAAAAAGTACCTTCTTTCGGTCTGAACTCCCTCCTCAATCAAGACGCAAAACCTGGAGGAAGTAAGCGAAGCACATCTACACGACAATGGCACCAGGACGAAACAAATCACGAACTTACAGGATCATCTTCACCCGCCATGGAGAGTCCGAGTCCAACGTCCCAGACAACTCTGCCGTCAGCAAGATGGACCCCTTGCTGACCACAGACGCGACAAGGGCAAGCTGGTCGAAGGCGGAGATGTCTGGCCGCGACTACTGCTCCAGCAAGACACGAGCAGAGTACCAGGACATGTTCGACAACCCCGATATCTCCCATGTCACCACTGACAGCCCCGTCGTCATCTCGAGCCTGTCGAGGGCGATCCAGACCGCCATTATCGCGCTCCCGGCCGAGAGGCTGAATAACAGGTCTGGTATCACCATCTCGCCGCTCATCGCCGAGCAGACAACTTGGTTCTCTGACCGGACGAGACCGCTCGACCACCTGAGACGGCTCGTGGACAAGGAGCTGCGAGGGAAGCCTGGTATCACGCTCCCTCACGGCGGCCTGGACGACTTCAACCTGGGGCAGCTCGTGCAGCCCGTGCCGGAAGACGCGTTGCTCGTGGGCACGACGTTCGGCAAGCTCGCCGTCGCGGGCAAGGCAGACACTACGCACCCGCGAGGCACCCCGGCAGGGGCAAACGACAGAGACAACAAGCCATGGCATCTCAAGCACGGCCTTTGGCACCCGGAGAACCTCATTCAGCGCGGACAGGAAGCAATCAAGATGCTCATAATGATTGGGAGGGCCGCATACGTGGACGACGACCGGCCGACGCCGGCAATCATCGTCTTCGGTCACGAGGGGTTCGTCAACTACATGACACAGACCGCGGGCTTGACTGAAGAACACTTGAGCAGCAATCCGCCCAAACTGACGGACTGGGCCACCGGCGAGACCCGTATCTTTGAGCTCCTCGACGAGGATCCTGATGGGCCTCCCGTTGCGAGTCTGCTTGTGGAGACGCAGGAGTCTCGCAAGAGGCATTTGCGGCGGAACGGGGTGGTTGGCGAAGACGTGCACCCGAAGATGCTGGACGACACGCGCCATGAACAGCAACACAACGAGCGTGTGTGAATCAGTCTACAAGCAAAGATTATGCAGATTGATGAAGAGTATCGCACGGGACGCTTATATGTCAAGGCCCTCGAGGATGGGATAAATCCACCTGACGTGGAGGGGAATCACGAGGATTATGTCAAGGATATCTGAAATATGTGATTGGGATAAACAAGACAGCTCCCATACCAGGAAGCAGCTCAAGACATCAAAACCTCGTTATTCCTGCACCTCCCTCGAGGGGTTGTGAACTTTCGACCATTTGTAAGTGTCACTGCACCCATATCGTCATCGGTCGAGCGCGGAGCCAGACGGCGCAGGGATGCAGATGCGTGGTTCGTGTGGTAGAACGGCGTATGCGGTGGTAATCTGGTAGATTTGATACTAGCGGATGACAGAGCCGATTGGTAGAGGGAGGTCGACTGTGGTACAGTAAAATTGAGCAACGCCCAGGATTTTTCGTTGGCGTTGTGGACGAAATAAGCTGACATTTTCAGTATAGGTTAGGAGAGGTTCGTTGTCTTGTCGTAGTGGGTGTCTTCGGTCGAGTAGACGACGTAACTCCGGGAATGAACATCCCGCAGGTGATAGATCATGGGCGGAACCAGGCCTTAAACTCTAGCAGGGAGCAAGTGTCGTTGGCCGTGAGGATGTCCAAAGACCAAACATTGATGATGGTGGTTTAGGGTGGTATCTCAGAGCACGAGTACATGAAAGCGATAAAGGACGAGGCACCTGTGCACAGTGGGAGAGGGGAGCGACAGAGAAGGAACGCAGAGAGAGCATCGACCCGTTGGCCACTACTGAGTCGGGCAATGGAAGGCCGAGAGATTGGTCGTCTGGAACTGGGACACCCCGGGGCCCTTCGTGTCTGATGCTGGCTGCTCGACGCCGGTGCCGCTGGAGGGCGGCACAAATTTCCTGGCTTCGACAATTTCAACTGCTGTGGACTAATCAGCCTGTAGCGCGCAGCTGCAAAGTATGTACGCGTATCCTCAGGCAAGCCATTGCTCTAGCAAGAAAGCCATGCCTTTGGCAGCCGCGTGCTTCATGGCGATGTTTGGCCCAGATCGCGAGCGCTTTGGCTTGGGATCGCACATGGACCCAGAACCTGACCCGGCCCGGTCGCAAAGTGGCTCGCGCAGGTGTGGCGCCGCCAAGCCGCGCGTGGTAGTGGCTGGGTTCCCCGCACCCTATCTTAGCCTGACATGAGCCCTGCCCAGCTGCAATCAATTGACATGTGCATCGGCGACCGGGGCCCCAGGGCCCCCACGTGAGCCGTCTTCTGACTCGCTGGAGCTCGGCCCGATGGACAGAGGAAATGCTGCGGCTGGTGCGCTCACCGTTGTGGGCGCGATGGATTACACTGGACGTGCAGATTCCAGTTATCCTAGAATGGCGGGCGGACGGATCCGCCTGAGCAAAACAACACGCCACTCTCCACCTCTCCCGAAGTCGTTCTGTGGGCCCAGCTCGCCATTCATCGTAATTGAGGAACCAGGCTGGCAGGCCAGGCTCTTTTGTTGTGTTGGTTCGCGTGGTGGCGCTGGACCGTACGACATGCATTAGCCTGAACGTACCTGCAGGGAAGAACCCGGGACAAGCTTCCCACTTCGAAGACACCTCGGCACCCTCCAGAAACATTCCGGGACCAGGGATGTGCGAACATGGGACGGTTGCAGCGGAAGCCAAACTCGGCAATTTCTGCGTGGGGGCCTGCATCCGCTGTTCATGCGGTGCACAAACAGCCCGTTAGCCGCACTTTGCCGATCGCGTCTCCACCTACGCTAGGGGAGCTTGACGCATTGCTGAAAGCATGTCGTCAAGCCAGCCAGGCTCAATCCACCAGCTGCGAAAGTCATGCACACTCGCATCTCTCTTGAGTCCTCCTCGACCGCGCAATAGCAGGCTAATATGGGGTCCCGGCCAAAGCGCTAATAAACGCAGTGACTGCTGGGGCCTTAGTATGAACGCTGCACAACCTCGCCAGTGGCAAGCGGAAGTTCCCTCGAACGTGAGCTTGGTGCACTCGTCCAGAAGACGGCAGACTGGCCACCACCTGTAAAAAGATGTTTGTTTAACAGCTGTGCAATTAACGGGAGTGGTGTCGGAAGGCCATGGCGACGCACTGGCGGATGCAGCTCTGCTCGATGGTGATTGGGTGTTCGGAAGGGTGCCGTAGGCAAACTGGAAGTTCCACATTGTTTGTGCTCAAAACGTGCACAACCAAGGTGTACTTCGACGACACGAGAAGGGGCGTTGCCGCAGCTGCGCCAAAAGGCAAATTCCTTCACCATTGCCCGAGGCCTACCGTTGAATCGCTATTGGTTTTTTACCCACATACCCACGATGATGTTTTTCCATCGTCCAAATGCCAGCAGCGGGATTGCGATCCTCGTCTGTGCCGCTTTCATACTCTTCATTCTAGCGTCGAAGCCTCCATCACATCTCTCGTCACCGGTTTCAGTCCATCACAACTCGAACTGGCGTGACCCGGAAAGCGATTCATACTTCTGGAAGTCTTTGCCGATAATCTACCCTCCGTCGTCAATCCAGACCCTGCCGACAAGTAGACCTGTTTCCTTTCCCGCCGTTCAAGCCATATCGTTCCCCGAATCTTCTGCTGAGAAAGCTCTCAGGAAGGAACGTAGGCAAGCTGTGAAAGACACATTCATACGGGCATGGACATCCTACTGCGAGTACGCCTGGCTCGCCGACGAGCTCGCACCGGTTTCCCGAGGCAAACGAAGCACTTTCGGCGGCTGGGCTGCCACACTGGTAGACTCGCTCGACACTCTGTGGATCATGGACATGCGCGAAGAGTTTGAGGAGGCCGTCGCCGCAGCAACAACCATCAATTTCACCAGTACCGACGCTGGTGAAATCAATGTCTTCGAAACTACCATCCGTTACCTTGGCGGTTTCCTAGGTGCATTTGATGTCAGCGGAGACCACCGACTACTCAGAAAGGCGGTCGAGGTTGGAGAGATGCTATACAAGGCCTTCGATACACCCAACAGGATGCCTATCACAAGGTGGGACATACAGGCCGCCATGCTCAATGACAAGAGTAAGCAAGTGGCGGGCTCATCGACGCTTGTTGCCGAGATTGGTAGCTTGTCAATGGAATTCACGCGTCTGTCCGTTCTCACGGGAGACTCAAAGTGGTTTGACGCGGTTCATACGATTACCCAACGCATGGAGGAGCAGCAAATGTGGACAGAGTTGCCTGGCTTATGGCCACTCGTCGTTGACGCCGAGAAGCTTCTCTTCAGCCTGGGATCGACCTTTACACTCGGAGCCATGGCTGGCTCGGCGTATGAGTACTTGCCAAAAATGTCAGCCCTGCTCGGCGGCCAGCTGGATATCTACCAGACCATGTACGAGCGCGCGGCTCAGACAGCACTCCGGCATAATCTCTTTCGACCCACGGTCCCTGCGGAGGAGGACATTCTCATCGCTGGAGTGGCCCACACAAGTTACGGCGGTCGCAATGTCGAGCTGGAACCCGCAGGCCAACATCTGGTTTGTTTCTTCGGAGGCCTGATGGCCCTTGGAGGCAGATTGTTCAGTCGAAAGCAGGACGTCGCGGCTGCAGAGAAGCTCGTAGATGGCTGCATCTGGGCCTATAAGTCAATGCCTCACGGCGTTATGCCGGAAACCTTCAAAGTGTACCCCTGCTCATCGCCACAGAATTGCACCTGGGACGAATTACTGTGGATGAGACAAGTCCTCCGAGAAAATAATGTGAGGGACGTGGAAAGTCTTAGCCAGTCTCAACTGGTTCAGCTCGTCACGGAGAAAAACGTGCCCAGAGGATTCACAGCGATCCCGGACGATGCGTATCTGCTCCGACCGGAAGCGATCGAGAGTATCTTCATTCTGTACCGTGCAACGGGGCGCAAGGATCTTCGCGAGGTGGCATGGAACATGTTCGCAGCAATTGATCGAATCACGCGCACCGAGTTTGGTAGCTCTGCAGTACGTGGTGTTTCGGGCCTCCATGGCAAGCCACTGCAAACAGACTCGATGGAGTCCTTTTGGCTGGGGGAAACGCTGAAATACTTTTACCTCATTTTCAGCGACCCGAATATCATCAGCTTGGACGAGTTTGTGTTCAATACCGAGGCGCACCCTTTGCGCAGATTGCTGCCATAATGGTAGACGCTGTGGATAACGTAGATTTGTAGCTTTAACCAAGCTCGGTAACTATAAGCCTATGCCGGTGGGATGTAATAATTGTAAAGGAAGGGTGATTGAGCCTTGGGAAACATGAGTGTTTAGCAAATTTTGAGTGTTCCTAGATGGCATTCACACGTTAGTAGTCCTTACTCATAGACTCATCGATGCTTTGAAGCTTTTAGGCCGATCTGGTCCATATCCAGCCCTACTAATAAAAAGTACACTTAATAGCATTATGGACCGCTAGTAATCGGGCCATTCACTTGCAAATTGGATCTATATCCCCATTATGAATTTTCTAGTTTCCCAACATTTCGTCGTCAAATGGTGTTGATCGGATAAAAAGTATTAGGCTTCTATACTAGACCGCTCCGTCACGTTCGGTGGTTTTCGATAGAGCGTGGGTTTCACAGCGTAGTCTCATAGCAGCTAATGGCCAGTCACACGAGATATTAACATATATAAGACAATTATAGTTCTCGAAAGTATAGCCTCATTTTCCTTCCGCTTTCGATTTCATGGTCATCTACCTGGCGCAACCCCTGTGAGGTGGTTTATGCACTAGGCCTTTCAAGGAGGAACTCAACACACATGATGCGATTTGAAGATGCTCCCCTGTCCACCCCCTCCGCAGACGGCGATGATCGCACGTTCAAGCTTGACGCAGTGCTCGGAATAGACGTCAGTAATGCCTGCTCCTTCGCTACGGTTGGTTTGACTTCATTTGCGGCATGCCTACTCCTAAAATGCTCGTCGAGGCCATCGCTGCCTTTCGCAATGTGTGTACACAGGGGCCATAAGCAGACTAATTCGGATTCCTCGGTGGTAGCCTGTAAAGGGTCCTTGGTGGAATTGTTTGTGATACTCTCGGTGTGTTGGTATTGTGGTTGAAAGCTCCATCGAACCCAGCCTTTGGAAGTGTCTAACTGATTGTTGGTCGGGTCCTGGGTGTGATCTATATCCGCACTCCCTCTTCCTCCATGCCACTCCTTTGTGTTGGAACCAGCAGCCTCCCTGGAGTCAAATGCCATGGCCTGTACCCATTGGTGTTCCAGACAGGCGCACCTATCGCAGATGTACCTGATTCTATTGTCCTGTGGACTGTTAGTAGTGGAACTTGGTGTGATTGTGGAGATCCAGTACCTGAAACATCAAGGCGTTGCAATAAGTGCAGGTGTCCTCCGATCGTGTCTTTCCATGATGAGCCAGGGTCTCTTGTGGACGAACAACACCTTTTCGCTCGTAGTCGGTTCTCAATACTGGAGATCTATTGGACTGGACTGAGCAGTAAGGGTTCTTCTTCATGATTTTCCGCGGCGCAGGCCGATTTCGCTGGGTCTGTCTGCGCACCATTTTCAAAGAGCGATCATCAGGCGCGGTACAGAGGGCATCAAACTTGAAGAAAGAGATCTCATGCACCAGATGTGCGGGAAGCATGAAGAAGCATAGCCATAGCGCCATTTTAGGTGAGAGAACAGTGTCTTGTTTACAAGCGGTACTAACAAGCGCAAACCAAGTGGCTGCTACCGCATGTGGCTAATCAGTGTGCAGGGTTTACGTCTTCTCTTACCGGCAGTATCTCTTTTTTTTTTTGGAAACAGTGTAGGTATGTTTGACAAAGTTATAGATTGCTTTGTTTGCTATGTCTGTTGAAGTTGCTCTCGATCACTAATCCAATCTCCACCGTGAACAGCTCTGGTTTTGCAGTAGCCCCACAAAGGCTATCAGTAGTGAGGGGTGAGAGAGGTTTTCCTGGTCACGAGACCTAATAGTGGGGTGTATGATAGTACCGCTCAGGGAGCGAATTATACCGTATCGCCTTGGCCTAAACTGCGAATGGGGTAGGGGCCCGTATTCGCAACCGGGATGGAGGGCGGGGGTATTGGTTCCTGCTACCATAGTATAGAGTGGAAGGGCTATACTGTGTAAACACGCTAATAAGCAACGACCAAAAGGACGGTCTTAGTCGGATCGTCAGGTTATAGCAGAAACGACGGTTTAACAGATTGTTAGCACGGTAGCCTATGAGCTGCGTACAAGCGGGGCGGCTGCAGAACTGGAAGCCTTATGACACATCCTTCTAACCGTGGCATGATTATCATGTCGTGAACACAGGGTATTACTCGGTTAGCAAGCATTTCCCAGCTTGCTGCGTATCTGAGTATCTGTAGAAAGAACCTATGGTCCTACGACTCTCTTCAACATATAGAAAGCCCAGATCTTGTTACACCCAACCAATCGATCTTATAAAAGTTTCAGTACCCTTATTTAAGCCTGATTAATGCTGCACGAGCTAAGTGGAGACAGTTGAGCAGTTTACCGCATGTATCTTCCTACGTACCATAGTAGGATCGAGCTAATCATAGACCGCCCGGGCAGTCAAGCAGGGTGGGACTTAGATTGGGACAGCAGGGCCAACCTGCATGGGCCTAAGACGCCCACTCTTAGCAGTCGGCTCCCTGACAACGCATCGCGGGCTTGCGACCAAAGAAAGACGTAGCACCGACGAATGATGGGCGGGGTGGGGGCAGGTCAAGACATTTCTATGAAATTGTGATAAATAGCAACGCGTATCTGCGAGAAATGAGTTGCTAGACAGATGGACATTACCTTCCACATCAACGACTAACGTAGATCCCGGTCAAGCGGGCCACCCGGTCGAGCGGGCCACTTTTCTCGCTCCTTCATACATACCCAGCCTTCATCCATTTTCTCTGCAAGCAATAATGGTACGACAATCAATTGAAAGCGACTTACTTCTAGCGCTTAATGCGCTTCGATCTAATCCAAAATTGAGCCTTCGAAAGGCTGCATCAGTCTATAACGTGCCTCGTACGACACTTCAAGAACGACACCGCGGCCGACCTGCGAAACGCGATGTCCGATCGCCTACCCAGAGATTAACCTCATACGAAGAGGAGAGCATCGCACGATACGTAATTGACCTAGATTCGCGATCATTTCCACCGCGACTTAGTGGTGTTCGAGAAATGGCGGATCGACTACTACGCGACTGTAACGCGTTACGCGTTGGGAAGAACTGGGCTTCAGCCTTCGTACAGCGACGACCTGAGCTCCGTACGCGTTTTAGTCGAAGAATCGACTATCAGAGAGTCCTCTGCGAAGATCCGGACGCGTATCGCGCGTGGTTTTCCCTCGTACGGAATATAATCGCGAAATACGGGATATACGACGACGATATCTACAACTTCGATGAGACGGGCTTTGCGATGGGTAAGATCTCCGCCGAGACTGTCGTTACGACCTCCGATCGACGCGGTAAGCCAAGAGCCGTACAACAAGGCAATCAAGAATGGGTTACAGTAATCCAGGGTATCGGGGCGTCCGGCAATTCGATCCCGCCGTACATCATCTTCGCAGGCAAGGTCCACCTCGACTCGTGGACGTCCGAAAGCCCTCCACCGCCGGACTGGGTAATCGCGCTTTCGGATAACGGTTGGACGACGAACGAGAGAGGTCTAGAATGGGTAAAACACTTCGATTTCCATACGAAGAGTCGTACGAAGGGCGTTTACCGGCTCCTTATCCTCGACGGCCACGAGAGCCACCACTCGGTCGATTTCGAGCTGTACTGCAAGGACCAGAATATAATTACGCTCTGCATGCCTGCTCATTCGTCGCATAAGCTCCAGCCTCTCGATGTCGGGTGCTTTAGACCTCTAAAACGGGCGTACAGCAAAGAAATCGAAGGCCTTATGCGGGCGCATATTACCCACGTCGCGAAGGAGGACTTCCTTCCAGCCTTTCATAAGGCGCACGACACTACAATGACTAAGTCAAATATCCAGGCCGGCTTCAGAGCTACTGGCCTAGTACCGTACTATCCGGAATACGTCATTTCACAGCTAGACGTAAAGCCTCATACGCCAACACCGCCAGGTTCTGCAGGCCTACCGCCGCCCTGGGTCTCGAAGACGCCGAATAACCCAATTGAGGCGGAATCGCAGACCGAATACATCAAGAATCGTATCGTACGACATCAAAATAGCTCCCCAACTTCAATTATCGCAAGCTTACAGCAGCTAAACAAAGGAGTGTTAATGATGGTGCATAAACAGGCCCTTATGGAGAGCGACCTGGCCGAACTTCGAGACGCAAATAGCCGCCTAAGCCGCCGTCGACGTACAAAAAGAAAGCAGCTACAGAAAGGAGGGTCACTAACGATTAGCCAGGCAAAGGATTTGAAGTCTCAGATCGACGTGACGGAGCAGTTACGGGCAGAAACAAGTCAAAATAGTGGTCGCGCGAGGAGGACAGAGACGCGCGCGCGACGCTGTGGCGTTTGCGGCGAGCCCGGCCATAATGCTCGTACGTGTCAGATAGTTGAGTCTACCTCTGAAGAAGAGGATTTCATCTAGTTTGAATTGATTTAAGGCGTTCTGGTTGATTTTTTCTATACATTGTCGTCCGAATACCTTAAGGGTGGCCCGCTCGACCGGGTGGCCCGCTTGACCGGGATCTACGTTAATAGATCCTACAGTTCTGGGCAAATCGGAGTTCGAGCATCTAAGGATCTGGAAGACATAATCCCAGACTTACTCTGGAGAACACGGTTGTAATCGGTGCCGGCTAGTGCAGTAAAGGGGGGAGCTGGAGTATCTCCACCGTGAGTCAAGCTCTTTTTCAAGGCCACGCGGTTGTGCTCGAATTGTTTACGGAATAATCGTGGCTCGTGATGGTTCGCACATGAACACAGATATATACACAGACATACGCGCGAGAGATGGACCAGAAAATTTCTCAGCAAGACACAGGCATAATGATGGGACTATGCACCTAAAGAGGGCAATTCATCCACGCAAACTGCAACCGGGGCGAGCTCGCCCGCGCATTGGCCGGCGCGCCGGGCCCAGCAGCAAATACGGCCCTCAGGGACGCAGCCACCTCCATTGAGAGCCCCCTTTTTTGGCCAGTCCCTGTGCAGGGTCATCGGATACTCCCTAGCGGCAAGTTCCTGGAGGAGGCGGGCTTCGCGATGTTGTGACAGGATGGAGATGCTTGGGATTGAATGACGCCATCTGAAAGAAACAATACCGAAAACATCACCCTTGCGTGAAGGCAGATCGCCGACTTCATTATGGCCAACTGATAACACTACTGCAGTACAGGCAATCCCCTTTTCGGTAGGGTGTCAGTGTAGAGCGTCTGTTGCTGTAGTTGCCGAGAACCTGCGTCGGCCCCGCCAATTAACGTTGTGGCCACTGCGTGAAAGGGGATTGGAGCCGGAGAAGTGAGGTACGGTGGCTACCAGCACTGGGACTCAAACGTCATAGATGGAAATCATCACGGGACTTGGCGCTTTGCTGACGTCATGGACATACCTGGCAGCAACAACCTCCTTATTTCAACGTACCATGTACGGTAACATGCCATCAAGATATGACAAGCAAACCTGGATTTCACTAGTCACGTCGTACGCTAAAATGGGCATTCAATACCCCTACAACAACGCGGTGATTCCGATATCCTTTGCGACTTGCAGCATCGGATCATATTCTCACCCAGCCCTGCCTGAGAAGTTAAATGCCATTTGCAGCGCAGGATTCGACGCGGTCGAATTGGCCATGCCGGATCTGTTAGCATACGGCAAGTTCTTGAACGGCGAGGAACCGGATGCGAGTGACTACGACACCATTGTCGAAGTCGCTAGGGCTGTTAAGGCTCTAGCGGAGGAAGTCGGAGTCGGGATCCTTATGTTGAAGCCGTTTGTGAACTTCGAAGGATGGAAGTTAGGCCTCCAGGATAGTGAAAGAGAAGATGCCTTTGCGAGGGCACGAGGATGGTTGATGGTGATGGAAGCCCTCGGGACAGACATGCTGCAGGTGAGCGATCTTCTACTGCTAGAAGCATCGACATAGGCCTCTGACAGGACAGAAGCTGGCGTCGTCAGATGCTGAAGAGATATCGCCTTCGGTCGACGATCTAGCCGCAGACGTTGCGAAGCTCGCTGACATGTGCGCCGAGGAAGGGTTCCGCGTCGCATACGAAAACCGATGCTGGGCGACGCGAACCCGGACTTAGAAGGCAGCATGGGAGATCGTGAAGAATGCAGACAAGCCAAACCTAGGGTTATGTTTGGGCACCTTTCAGATTTTGGGCGGGGAGTTTGGAGACCCAACAACCAGAACGGGGTTGATCGAGGATATCTGCAGGGCTGAACTGGAATCTCGCTGGAGAGCGAGCCTCCGACAACTGTCGGCAACGGTTCCTGCAGAGAAGATATTCCTCGTACAGCTATCGGATGCGTACAGGATGGACCCGCCAATCAAGGAATCCAGGGATAGTCAAGGGTCATTGTCTCGGTTCAGATGGAGTCAGGACCACAGACCGCTGCCCCGATAGAGTCTGGTAGCGGGGAGGCGGCCCCAAAAGGGCGATGGCATGTCCTCCAGGTTGACAGCAGCGACGACACAATACGGTAGAATACGCTCTTGCAGGAGATTGGGAAGGCAGCAGGTTACTTGAACCGACGCTGTGTACTGGCCCACGGGACGACTGAACGTATACTTTTCCTACGCACATCCCCTGGTCTAGGAATTGAGCCTCATCGACTCTTCAATGCACCCGGTTCTGTTCCGCAGCATTACCTCCGGATTTGGGCGGCATGCATTCTATTCACATGCCGTTTACTTGTCCGAGTCCTTGCTGTAGAAGGCTTCCTCCCCTCCCAGATCCCTCAGCGCCTCCTTCGACTTTTCCTTAGATTTCTCACTTGTATCTTTCCTCTCAGGTTAGCAGACCAAACAAAATCCCGATGAGCGGATAACACGCACTTGGATTGCTCAGATTGGCCTTGTGGCCTCGCGCCTGGTTGCTGCGTTCCTCTGGGGTATCATGCATGCCTTCCAAGGCAGCATCCTCCTTCTTGATGTCGCGCTGTTGATGGGACATGACGGCGTTCGGATAGGTGTATCTTCGGTGGACGGTCATCGAGATCCAAAAAGTTTTGGTTGGGGTCTATATATACAGGGGCAAGAGGAAAACCTAGGCCGCACATGTACACTTAGGTCCAAAGTGAACCACAACATCATAGATCATCATCAAGAATATTACGTAGTTATTACGTCAACAGAACGAAATCGATGGACCTGGCGGAGGAAATACCACTGTGTCCGCTCCGGACAATTCGCCATGGGGCTCTGAGGTGGCGAGCCGTCGTACTGGCGGTGTGGAATGCAATTTCCCCTGCATCCGACGGTTGTTCGGCGACTGATGTAGTTGCTACATTACTATTGTGGCTGGATGCGTCAGATGTTATGGCAAGGTTATGCCGTTGTCGGACTTGGTGGTGGTATGATGATGGGGCTCGCGCTGCTCTCAGAGATGTTTGCTTCTGACTGCGGCAGGCCCACTGTGGGACCGTGACGATGCAGTCACCATTCCGTGGCGATGAAGTCATCATTCCGTGACGGTGGAGTCATCATTGAGCGTAGGTCTCGATCTAAAGCTCTTTTCGTCAATAGATGGGGCGCTTCATACCCTAGATACCTACTGTCTCGCGGTGACGTCAAGGATCCGACATAGCCGTCACTCCGGGTCATCAACATGTAATCCCACTGAAGTGCGTTGCAGCCGAGGCCTCGAAAGCATAAGAGCTGCTAACTGAAGCCCAGTCCATCTTTTGTGCAATGGGGAATACTTGAGCTCGGTCGGCAAGGCGCACTACGCAACTACAACACTTCGCATTCAGCTTTAATCGCATCGCCACACCAGTCATCATGTCCAGGGTGGCTCACGCTTACACCGACGACAAGGAAGGCGCCGCCCTCCCTCCGGAGGCGCCAGATGGTCAAGTGAGCGATTCCTCGTACTCGACCGGAAAGAGCGAACCAATTCCTGTTCAGGACGACACCGCTCCGGTCGAGGATCCCATTCGGCCTGAGAAGGCCAACTCAGACGAGCAACTCGGCAAGCATTGCTTTCCTTCACAGCATATGCATCCATCAGCCAACAAACCCATTATGCTTACTAGACCTGGAATGCTTACCGACACCATAAGTGCTTATAGAACAGGATGAGAAGGAAGCTATCGACAAATCCAATATCATCAAAGAGCGTACCCGAGGTGCCCCACCGAAGGGCACGTACCAGGGGCCGTCGGATGAGAAGGACCTAGTCGAGTGAAAGTGCCACGAGTCGTTAGCCGTATGCGTCAGGTGGAGTCATCTCTGAGAGCTGCCATGAGCAGTTCACCGGCAGGAGATATAAGGACCACAGCTAAAAGTAGATACTTAGCGATCTTCCTGTCGCAATGAAGAGCAGATCGATCCGGGTACTTCTGTCTGCCCGAAAAGGCCGTTTAACGTAACATCTCGACAGAACACTCGGCTTTCCTGACTCCAATTGGCTGCCACGCCGGCTGGGCCCCATAGTGTGCCTACTGTGCATCCGAATTCTTCAGAGCACCAAAATGCCGGCGACTCGATTCCCAGCATGAGAGAGAGTGAGAGACCGTGCAGCAGGGTCAAATCTTAACAGGAGGTGGCTAGTCTTAAGGGCCTAGGGCCTATGGCGCTGCATGTCTATTTTGCCGTCTCTCCTACCTCGGGTAGATGAGCACCAAAAAACAACCAACTTCTCCCAGCTCAACCACAAAAGTCTCGTACCTCAACTCGCCCTGATTCCCTCCCGCAGCAGCAGTGTATCCACTCGTCACAATCAATAAGTCTTGTGAGAGTCCATGTCTATTTGGAACCACCTTTCTTGCCTGCCTCGGACGCGCGCTCGCTGCCGGGCTCGAATTTGCCTGACGAGGCCTGGCCGCCTTTCGAGGCGATTTCGCGCTGTTTTTCACCCTCATGTTAGCTAAGGTGGCACCCGGGAGCGCGATGGTGAGGTGAAATTTGCCCAGGAAAAGAGTATAGCAATGTACCTGTTTGTCTGGATCCATGCTCGCGAAACCACCGCTGTGGGAGGCCTGGCCGCCCTTAGATGCTACCTCCTTGACCTCTTCGGTGGGACTGTCTCTTATGAGCGAAATAATCACGGCGATTGTGGCGGGGCGCTGGGGGGTCATACCGGTTGGCGAAGTTACCGGGGTTATCGTTGGATGACATGCTGAGATGAATCTGATGCTGCTGGCTGGGCGGCGTCGGTTGCAATGTAGTGTTCGGTTGGGTTGATGCTTTGGTTTTTTCGGGGGGGGCTGATGTTGAGGTTGAGGATTGCGTTAAAGTAAGGAGAAACGAACTGATGGTGAAGAGGCTGTTATTTAAGCTACAGTAGCGACCTGCGGAGGGTCCACTTTGGCGTCTCCATGAAGCCATTGACTCCGCCTCTGACACGGATCTGACGAACTTCTGCAACAATCAACCAGGTTTCTCTTGAAGCAGACTAGATCCTGCGGTGACGATCCTCTGACGACACGAGCCAACGGTGAGTCAACGATTGGGAGAGCTTCATCTTTTGACTTTGCACCAGAGCTGCAGTGGTTTCAATTTCGTCACTACCGTGTAGGTGGGACATTTAGCGAATCAAGGCTCCGCCCCACATCGGGAAATTCCCTCGTATCCGATCCAGACACCCTGAGCTCCGGCTCCGACGCCCAAGACTCCAAGTCCCCGGGGTTCCGACAAGTTTCGGGCTACTCACGCTCGGCTGGTAGTGACTTGGGAAGCGAGCTCGAATTGCCAGGGTTACAGGGCTCCCACTAGACTGACGGGTCCGTCTGCTTACGTCAACCCAACAGATTATATCAGCCCGGATAAATGCATCGCCCGACGCCCGCAACGAGACTCCGTCAATCGAAAGCCAGACCTCGGTGACCAGCAAACTACCCCTCATTCGACTGGAGGACTGGGTCGAGGAGAAATCCTATGATGAGGATCCGCCTACTTGTATACATTACTCGATCGAATGGAAATTGACAGTAGATGGCAGAGTCGTCCCTGGCTCCAAGGATAGCGAGCAAAACCTTGTCCTCGCGCCAGGTGACTACTGGGAGAAGACCCTACGAAGCAAACTCGATAAATTGTTGAAGAAGCTAGCCTCGAATCGATCGTATCGACCAGACGACACCACCGTCGTAGTCCATGTGCAGGATCGATCGGAGAGAGCCTTCGTGAAAAGATTCGACGAACTGGACATCGAATGGTCGATTCTAGAGCAGCAACTTCTCCTCTGGAGCAATTTGTTTCGTGCTGGACGACGATTGAGGATCGAGATCACCTTCAACTACATCCAAACAAGTGGAGGCGCTGGTGTGACATCCAAGCGAGGGACCAAACAAGGCTTCGCGTCTACTTCAGAACGAATGCTCGCACAACGTGACATGTACATTGCTGCCGAGGAAGGCTCCAGTGGGCAGCCATCAATTTGCCAACAGGTGTACGCGACCTTTCGCTGCCCAGGTCCACCCTGCCACGTCAGGCCATACTGCTGGCAGGATAGGGACACCAAGAAGCGATACCGCTTAACAACACACCATTTCAAAGCACACACGTAGGTCTGCGTTCTGCTCTTCGGCCATTCGACGAATCACTTTTTTAGTCCAGCCTTCCGCCCGCAAGGCACGGCCAATGCTTGATGTTGTTACTAGTGTCTCGAATTCGTCCCAGAGGAACACCACCATCTCGTCTTGGTACATCCCAGCTTTTTCAAGCAATCGATCGAACAACGCACTGAGCATGGCCGGGGTTATACTCTTCGGCCGACCAGCAACGTTCGCAGGGGCTTTCGTGGTGCCAAATTGTCGTAGATGGGATCGTGTACGTCGGACATTGCGCTCACTGCATCGGACAGTCCTAGCTATCTCATTGTTAGCATATTTTCCACTTGTAATCATATACCCAAGCTGTTCGTGGACAGCTTGTGCGAGGTTCCGCGCCATGGCTATTTGTGGTTTTAGATCGGTCACGGCAATGCGGGACATTCAGAGTTGGGGCACGCACTCTGTCTTCTGGCTCAACCTCGGACAAGCCAGGGTGGACGTTAGCGCCACCAGCGTATCCACTACATCTGGCACAGGGGTGTCGAAGAGAGAAGGGACTGTACATGTTCATGCAATCATGCCAGAATGGCTAGAAAGATGGCTGCCTGGACGTACAGTACCGTAGCTGCCTTGTGAGGCTGACGCCTTACACTCCACAAACTGGGTTGAACGATGGAGCTCATTTGGAAGCCATGGCATCATCACAGAGCTCACACCATGTTCCCTTTCCGGAAGCTTACGGGAGGCTCGTGGCTCGTTTGTGTCGGGCTGCAGGCAGCCCGGTTGCGGGGAAAGGCCAGGGTAACGCCGTCTTAATCCCGGCGCGTGGGTGGTTTGCGGTCCACCGGTCTCCAGTTAGCCTCCACGACGAAGTTCTCATGTGTAATGGTTCGGTGGATTTGAGAGGGTCTTGAAGAGTTCTCAAAGCGGCTCAGTGGGCATCAGGAACAAATGAGGCTACCTCGGCAAAGCTTGAGTGCGCCACCCATGGATTGCGATGTTGGCATTCTCCTTGGCGGTCTTGTCGTTTTTACCAAGAGCGAAGGCGAGGGAGAAGAAAATACTTGCGAGTACTGGATATATATTTGGACCCAAACTCCCGACAGTGGGAGAAAACTCGTCAAGGATGAGAGGCTGGTGATGGCTTGACGAAGCTATGCAGGCTATCTACTTCAGCGCCCTCAAAATGGTTCGACATGCCGTCCGAGTTGGACCTCGACCCATCTACGTCCGCATGTGACTCTTGGCGAAGGACCTCGCGAGTCACCATGATCACGTCGCCATCCTTGGTCGACTTGTGCGGGAAGATCTCGTCCTGCGACTCGTTCTGTGCCACCGCGTGCCGAAGCGCTTCGACATGGCTCGACGTGCCGTATGCCCGCGAGTGGATGCGATTGGCATTCTTCGAGGCCGTGCCCTTGTTAGTGTAGGCAATGCTTCCGCGGCTCTGCAGGCGATAGGAAGCTCCCTGTTGTCTTGAGTTGCCATAGTATCGATTCGAGCTGTCCCCAGTGGACAGCCCCAGGGCCGTGTTGAGCCCCGGGATCTTCCTGGCGACTTGTCGAAGTGGCGGTATGCAGGAGCAAATTATCAGAGCACATAATTCGGCTTCACACCAGATCAGTGGTTCGGCGAGCAGATCTATCTCGGACGGTCCCAGGTCAGCAAAAAGTCAATCGTGTACGAGCCTTGCAATCATTTCTGGTATCATGCTTACATGTAATGTTCTTCCAATCTATGCTCGTGACCGCATGAATGCGGATGACCGAGATCGATGTCACACTATGCAAGGTAGATGGTCAGCATTTTGTGCGCGCGATGGGTCAAAGTTTTATCCGTTTGGCTTACAGCAGACCGAGTGACATCATGGCAATGAGACCGATCCTCTTTGCCACTGGCATCTGCAGCTTCCACATGGCTGGAATTGGCTGGATGAAAAGCGAAAGATCCGTGAACAGGTTGAACACAAACTAGTCAAACAAGACTATTAACTCCAGAAATGCCACCGTATTATGTATGAGCTGCTTGGGTCATCAGACACTTACATCAGTCCACCAAAGCACCCACAAGTTAAGGCAGGTGCCTTCCATGAGCGGATCCCAGGATTTCTCGACCGGGCTACAGGCGAACGTGACCACCATTATCTCTTCTATAGCTTGACAGGCCAAAAAGGCACATAACGTGTAGTTGAGGATTCTGGAGTTGCCCAGTTGGTCAGCGTTCGCTGCGGCAATCAAGGGAGTGGGGGACCAGAACTCACCTGTACTTCGGGTTTGGAAGCAATCTTAAATACAGCACGGCAAAGCTTGCTTTGGCGGCGCAGATACCAGCAGTGTAAAGGGCTGAGGACGCGGTTTGAAGCTACTCTCCCGTTGAGTCTTCCATCTAAGCTGAACGGAGGTCTGTGTGCCTACCTTCAGAAATAACACAAGGTCGGGATAGGCGACTTCTTCTATGGGATATCCAAGACCATGGCGGGCGGCTATATGCCGGCGTAATTAGTGACAGATCGGCATACCTCCAAGTACGGAAATCGTTATCTGCAGACAGGATGTTGGTGCTGCGTACCTTCCATCACAACTGCGATCATAGCTATCGAGCATATCTTTGAAAGTCGGCGAGAGTCAGTGATCTGTCTACTGCCGCTCGCTCAAAGACGCGGTCGGGATACGTAAAGTATAGGGCATACCCAGCTGAACAGGATCAAAGCTAAGGGTTATAAATGCGAATATCAGTATTGGTAAAGGTGCACCACAGGAAGGCATAGGACATACCATCGTCAATACCAATGGAGCGAATGATGAAAAATCGGGCCCAAATCCGCATGGCCATGAAGAAGCCAGTCAGAACGAGAAAGATGACGCCCGAAGTGAAAACGTGCCCAGCTAAATTGGCCATGGTGGGATCTGCAAAGTTGCAAGATAGATGTCTTTGGCTGATTCGATAATGTGTTTTGTTACATGATATCTTCGAGTATGGAAGGGTTGTAGTACGCTCTTTTAAATCGAGGAGGGGTTGAGGTTGTGTTATATCACAAGCTGAGGTGGTACCATGCTCCGGGCAATATTGACTTTCGTGGCAAGGTTGGGAAATTACAGCAGAGCGAGCTAGGAAGCTTCCCCGGATTCCAGCGGTATCTGTGGAGGTGTGAAAGTGTGAAAGGTGGGGCAACAGCCGTGGCGCAACAGCTCCCCGACGCCCACCAGTATTACCCAAATGTAGTAAACACCTACCTATAGGTATCCAGATATCCTCCAGCATGGCGTATTTCGAGGTGTGCAGACAAGAAGTGTGTTGCGGGACCAGTGCAGGGTCTACCTGACGGAATGGTCGATGTACGCGCCTTCGGCCAGAGCGTTCTGCAGGGTGTGCCTGTGCCGCCTTTGTGGCTTGGTGGCTCTGCAGATATATTGGACAGGCTTCGTGAGTGCCTCAAGGATCAAGGTGATTAGTCGTGGAGCTGTCTTGGCGGCGAGTGATGGAGGGGGCCGAACCCTGGGTCTGAAGACGTCGAGCTGGTCACTGAATATGACAAAGGGCCACTCAGAAGCGAGCACCCTGGGATACCTAATACCTTAAGGTACGCTAGCGTACCTGATGCTGGCAGGCTATCCTGGGGAAGTTGGGTCGAAGCCGGGCCCAAGCTGTCACAGCTGCGGGTTCCGCGCCGTTGAGTGGCGTGCTGTGGAGGGGCCGAGGCTTCGAGCTTGACGAGCTTGACGAGCCATGGATGTTG